ATATGACAGCTGGGCAAAACTTGGAGACGTACTGGGTGACGTTTTATGCGATACTTTTTAATGGATGTTAAGATCATGATTTAGAAATGTGAGTGAACTTCTAATATTGCACATATTTGTATATAAATATACCATCTGCCAATCATATTCGTAAAATATCAGTAAAATTTGGCTCCAAAATATTCTTTAGAAATTTTAAACCAGCAAGATTATTGCTATGGTATTTTCAAATTGTTGAAAGTTTTTCAATTAACTGGTGAATCACAGTTTGACTGTATCAAAAGATTTACTCCAAAACGCCTCTTTCTAAGTTCGTACCGGTTGTGATGAAGATTGTAAAATAAAAACTTAAAAAAATATTTATGGCATAAGCAGACAAAATTCCCAGATCTCGAGGGGAAATCCTTTTGTAACACTGCAAGTTTCAATGACATCATGGAACAATCCACGTTATACTAAGTTAAGCCAATCACATTACATTACGTTTCGTTACCAGAGATGTCAGGGAAAGAGTAAATTACAGCAATTCAAATAGAACGTATTCAGATTGGAGGTTATCATTTTAGCGTCTACAGTAAAAACTCGTCATGACAAGAAAGATATTTTTAATATTGGTTTTTCTTTGTTTTATTGTCCACGAGCTGACAATTACTTTCGCTGTGGTAAGCTCTACGATTTGCAGCTAAATAAACGTTTTTATCGAGGCTCAGCCATCAAATTATTCATGGATTTTTTCACTTTTCATTTGTCTATAACCATTAAAGCCATACAAAATATAAAATACAATGATGTCGAAGGCTTTCAAACTTCAAAATGTAAGATGGATATAGAAGCTGGTTAAATTTGCCAGAAATAATTAAATTTCAAAATTGAAAGACATCGGGGCATCCCTGTTGTCAACAAATTTCCTGCGGCATAAAATAAATCCATCATAAAATCCCCATTTTATCGAATTAGAATGGGAACATTCTAGATGGTAAATTAAATATGGTTTATTGGAACAGTGTAATTGATAAATTAAATATAATTTTTTTTTATTGGAGCAAGTTGAGAAAAACACATTACATCTAAGATTTACATTATAATTGCTTCAAACTGCGTACTGATTTGCTCAAAGTCAAAGAAATTATCCTTCCCTTTGTGTAGGTATATTAACTACAATATTTACATAAAGATTAGTTTCGATTATTATCTCATTAGTCAGGCGATTATATACACATTTTCTATTTTCAGAAAAAGGCAAAAAGACAAAAAAAGAAAATGTAAGTTGATCATTTGACATACAACTTTCAATTCAACTGGTGAAACCCCGCATGGTTTTACCCTGGGTTTCCCTTCCAATAGACTTTTCTATAGTTTGCATAACAATGCATCTTTTAATTTTAACTTATTTCAATTTCTTTTTTCCTCTTCGAATAGCTGGGAAAATTGTATAGATACAAACGGAAGCTCGCAACATTGAACACAAAAATAAAATTTTCCACTGCTAGATCTAGAAGTTCGAAATATTGAATAAAATAATGAAATTTTTCCTATTGCTAGAGCTATGTTTTGATTCATTTATTAGGAAAGAATCATCACAGAAGATATCATCTTTATGTAAAGAAATTTTAACAACTGGTGTAAAAGATCTGAAGTCTACAAGTTATAAACGTTGGGCAAAACTTGCAAACGTAGTTGGAACTATGGCATGTGCTGAATTTTGAGATGAATGAAGTTTACAAGTTTACTATTATAACATAAATGTACAGTATGCCATTAAGATACCTTAGCTATAGATATAAGACAAAATTTTTATTTGTGCTTTGATTAATTTTTTACCATATCATCATTTTAAAAAAGAAATTTCGGTAATATAAAGCTTAAACATGAAGGAAGCCAAAGCTATTTCCATGTCCTTCGTGCAGTAAAAATACTTGATTCTTATTCAGGAAACAAACGTTAGCCAAACATAACTTCATTCGTGTCATATAAATTTTGGTTTTTGTATTATGATCGATTTTTTTATCAAGATTCTGCCTGTTCGTTCGTTTTTTCTTACGTTTTTAGAACTGCACAATTCATCGAATTCCCTGATCCTCTCGAGCACTTCTTTATCCACTGATTTATGAACACCCTCCCACTCCGGTAGGGCCACTGAATAACCAACTAAATACAATAAATTTGACTAATTTTTGATTTTTGGTTCATGGTAAATACTTGCCCATTTCGGTTGAGAAATATTGAGTATGGATATTTTTGGAATTGTTGCAAATACATACAAAATATTAATGATTGAAAATATACTTACATCTCGCTGTTGGAGTTGACATTAAAGGAATATTGTAAACATGAATAAAAATAACTTGATTGTCATATTTCCACAGCTTGTTAAAGTACCCTTGAGCAGATAAGAGTCTTAAATTAGATCATCATAGCATGATGTACTTTGAACATTTAATGTACTTTGACTTGACTCATTGAAGTTGAAAATATTTTTTGATTCTTTGAGTAAAATCATTATAAATGAATTGACAAATGATTTCACATACCTCCAAAATAATGTTTGCTGGGGCCTAGGGGTATTGAATCGAATAAATTACAAATATTTTTTTATAAAGTATTCTTTTGTTTCATTCATTCAGATGATCATAATATGGAACTTTATTTTCTTAACTGTCTTTCGTAATTTAATTTAGCAAGTAAAGTTAGTATGTTAGTGTCAAACTGACTGTTACAAACTTAAGAAAGTCTTGGACAGTTGGACTGGCTTTGAGGCAAAATGTGCAAATAAAGTTATCTAGGATAACATAACCGATCAGCTTAATACAATCATATGATTCATGTGTATAATGTGTAGATACAAAACAAAGCAAATTTAGGACTACGTAGTTTGCCATCAGACTTACATTCAACAATTCGTTTACTATAGCTACTTTTTTCAATTGGGATCATAACGATTCTTCCACAAGTTGACATATTTAGGATTTATTGAAAGATACATCGTCTCCAGTTAAGGTTCTCAGCACAATACAACAAAGCCAACAAACAGTTGCAAGATAATTAAGGTTTTATTTTTCAAGTCTTGTATGTGACTAATTATAAATGAAGCAAAAAAGAGTAATTAGTCCAAAACAAAAGACGACACAAATTTTACAATACATTTGTTATTACAGTAATAAATATGATAATGAACAAGTTAGGATGTATATAGGTATATATATCATTGTAAGCTCATTTCAACTGCCATTGACTAAGTCTTGCCAAGATGAAGGCTTTTTCACATTGTTTACTGCATAGTCTCGTTTTGTTTTGTTAGAATTCTTTGTCGAGCAATCACCGTAAATACTTAATGTATCCGTCACTGTTCGATTTTTTCAAAATACCTAAAAACAGAAGCAATAAAAATATAAGAGTTTGTCTCTGTTTTAAAAATCTTTAAATGTGAGTGTGAAAAGGAGTTCGTTTTCGTCAACAAACTATTTATCTTCAACTTAAGAAAATTGGTGATGAGAGTAAATTTAAATTCTATTTAGTCATATTGCACTTAAACTATATGTCAAAATATTTACTTGCTGCCTATAGACATGTGATTTAATTTTTTATCATGCATATAATCAGTTTTTGGACTTTGGAACTGTTGCTTTCATCTTCAACTTTTTTTCACTTCTTTTCAAAGTCTATGATTAACATAGAAATATTTGCATGTAAATATGCAGATTATATATCAAATTAGTGATTAGTATTGTAAATATGGAGATTGTTAATACGTAAGGTTTTCATACAACCAACCATGCTATGAAATATGTTATACAAAGTGTATTAAAGTAAATGTTTGAACCCGGGAGTATCGTTACATGTTTGTAAATGTAGATCGTCCAGGTTGGTATAGTCCTGAGAAGGACTGTTTTTGTTGTTGTTGACTGACGTTTCGACAACCTTAGCGGTAGTCATCTTTAGAGTCAAATGAGGAGTAAACGTCAGGTTAGCCGTATTTGTTATTTGTTATCTGACGTAAGAACCATTCTTGGAATAATTAGTAACTATGAGATACTAATTATTCCAAGAATGAGTGTTAGTTGTGGTTTGGCATCTTGATGAATGAATTCTTGATGAAACAAGGAAGGAAATTTGCATTTTTGCACGGGGATGCCCCGATGCTTTTCAATTTTGAAATTTAATTATTTCTGGCAAATTTAACCAGCTTCTATATCCATCTTACATTTTGAAGTTTGAAAGCCTGCGAAATCGTTGTTATTTATATTTTGTATGGCTTTAAAGGTTATAGACAAATGAATAGAGAAAAAATCCACGAATAATCTGCTGGCTGAGCCACGATAAAAACGTCTATTTAGCTACAAAGTAGAACTTCGCATGGAAGTAATTGTCAGTTGGACAATAAAACAAAGAACCAATATTAAAATATCTTTCTTGTCATGACGAGTTTTTACTGTAGACGCTAAAATGATAACCTAATCTGAATATTTCTATTTGAATATTTTCGAGATCTGGGAATTTTGTCTACTTATGCCAAAATTTTTTAATTTTCTATTTAATCTTCATCACATGGTACAAACTTAGAAAGAGATTTGGTAAATCTTTTGATACAGTTAAACTGTGATTCACCAGTTAATTGAAAACTTTAACAATTTGAAAAATAGCAAAATCTGCTGGTTTAAAATTTCTAAAGAATTTTTGGAGCCAAATTTACTGATATTTTACGAATATGATTCACAGATGGTATATTTATTACAAACATGTGCAATTTAGAAGTCAACACATTTCAAATCATGTTTTCAGATCCATTAATTTTATCGCATAAAAAGTCACAAGAAAGACTTAATATTTTGCCCTTTGTTTTATTGTCCACGAGCTGACAATTTCTTCCGCTGCGGTAAGTTCCACGATTTTTAGATAAATAAACGTTTTTATCGAGGCTCAGCCAGCAAATTATTCGTGGATTTTTTCACTTTTCATTTATCTATAACCATTAAAGCCATACAAAATATAAATAACAACGATGTCGAAGGCTTTCAAACTTCAAAATGTAAGATGGATATAGAAGCTGGTTAAATTTGCCAGAAATAATTAAATTTCAAAATTGAAAGGCATCGGGGCATCCCCGTTGTCAAAAATTTCCTGCGGCATAAAATTAATCCATCATAAAATACTCGTTTTATCGAATTAGAATTGGAACATTCTAGTTGATAAATTAAATATGGTTTATTGGAACAGTGTAATTGATAAATTAAATATAATTTTTTATTGAAGAAAATTGAGAAAACTCATTACATCTAAGATTTACATTATAATTACTGCAAATCAAACTGCCTACTGATTTGCTCAAAGTCAGAGAAGTTATCCTTCTTTGTGTAGGTATATTAACTACAATATTTACATAAAGATTAATTTCGATTATTATCTCATTAGTCCGGCGATTATATACACATTTTCTATTTTCAGAAAAAGGCAAAAAGACAAAAAAAGAAAATGTAAGTTGATCATTTGACATTCAACTTTCAATTCAACTGGTGAAACCCTGCATGGTTTTACCCTGGGTTTCCCTTCCAATAGACTTTTCTATAGTTTGCATAACAATGCAACTTTTAATTTTAACTTATTTCAATTCCTTTTCTCCTCTTGCAAATAGCTGGGAAAATTGTATAGATACAAACGGAAGCTCGCAACATTGACCACGAAAATAAAATTTTCCACTGCTAGATCTAGAAGTTCGAAATATTGAATAAAATAATGAAATTTTTCCTATTGCTAGAGCTATGTTTTGATTCATTTATTAGAAAAGAATCATCACCAAAAATATCATCTTTATGTAAAGAATTTTTAACCACGGGTGTAAAAGGTCTGAAGTCTACAAGTTATAAACGTTGGGCAAAACTTGCAAACGTAGTTGGAACTATGGCATGTGCTGAATTTTGAGATTTTCGTTGTAGATAAATCATGTCACTTGAATAAATCATCTTATGACGTAATATAACAGAGAAAAACCATATAGATTCTAGTTTGATTAAAATGATAATCGTTTTCATTTTTTATAGATAGTCGTTTTCATGTAGTATTTTCAATCTTAAATGGTTAACACAAAAAGATGGATAACTTGATAAAAATGATAAATAAACTGTATACATAAAGCAAGACGTAATATACACTTTTTCAATATCTTTCTACAACAATCTCTGTCTAACAATCTTTGTAGCTTTAACTACTTATAGTAATAGATATGTTATTGATCATGAAATGCATATTGTAAGCTTATAATATGTCTTCACCTTCCGCCATATTGAATATATATTAATTCGTAACATGAATCGCCAATTAATTAATCAGTTAACGATTTGTGAAAGAAGAAATTATTGATACTTTATGTAACTGTCACCATTACCAAAACACTATACTTATATTATGAAAGCTCGTGATTAGTTTTCCTCTGTTCTCGGTGGTATGACCAACACTGGAAGACCGCTGTGTAGGATGACGTGTCTGCTTACACTTCCAATAAGTACACGTGCAATCTTTCCCAAACCACGTGAGCCCATGATAATGAAATTTACATTTTCTTTATTTGCTTGTTCACATATCACAATGCCGGCTTCTCCCGTTTTGTAGATTGTCTTGAATCTCAGCTATACATCAAAGAATTAAAATAATAATACAAAAGTAGCAAGAGTTAAACAAGTTTACTATTATAACATAAATCTACAGTGTGCCATTAAGATAGCTTAGCTTTTGATATAAAACAAAATTTTTATTTGTGCTTTGATTAATTTTTTACCATATCATCATTTTAAAAAAGAAATTTCGGTAATATAAAGTTTAAACATGAACGAAGCCAAAGCTATTTCCATGTCCTTCGTGCAGTAAAAATACTTGATTCTTATTCAGGAAACAAACGTTAGCCAAACATAACTTCATTCGTGTCATATAAATTTTGGTTTTTGCATTATGATCGATTTTTTTTATCAAGATTCTGCTTGTTCGTTCGTTTTTCCTTACGTTTCTAGAACTGCACAATTCCTCGAATTCACTGATCCTTTCGAGCACTTCTTTATCCACTGATTTATGAACACCCTCCCACTCCGGTAGGGCCACTGAATAACCAACTAAATACAATAAATTTGATTAATTTTTGATTTTTGGTTTATGGTAAATACTTGCTCATTTCGGTCGAGAAATATTGAGTATGGAAATTTTTGGAATTGTTGCAAATACATACAAATATTAATGATTGAAAAATATACTTACATCTCGCTGTTGGAGTTGACATTAAAGGAATATTGTAAACATGTATAAAAATAACTTGATCGTCATATTTCCACAGTTTGTTGAAGTACCCTTGAGCAGATAAGAGTCTTAAATTAGATCATCATAGCATGATGTACTTTGAACATTTAATGTACTTTGACTTGACTCATTGAAGTTGAAAATATTTTTTGATTCTTCGAGTAAAATCATTATAAATGAATTGACAAATGATTTCACATACTCCCAAAATAATGTTCGCTGGGGCCTAGGGGTATTGAATCGAATAAATTATAAATATTTTTTAATAAAGTATTCTTTTCTTTCATTCATTCAGATGATCATAATATGGAACTTTATTTTCTTAACTGTCTTTCGTAATTTAATTTAGCAAGTAAAGTTAGTATGTTAGTGTCAAATTGACTGTTACAAACTTTAGAAAGTCTTGGACAGTTGGACTGGCTTTGAGGCAAAATGTCCATATAAAGTTATCTAGGATAACATAACCGATCAGCTTAATACAATCATATGATTCATGTGTATAATATGTAGATACAAAACAAAGCGAATTTAGGACTACGTAGTTTGCCATCTGACTTACATTCAACAATTCGTTTACTATAGCTACTTTTTTCAATTGGGATCATAACGATTCTTCCACAAGTTGACATATTTAGGATTTATTGAACGATGTATCTTCTTCAGTTAAGGTTCTCAGCACAATACAACAAAGCCAACAAACAGTTGCAAAATTATTAAGGTTTTATTTTTCAAATCTTGTTTGTGATTAATTATAAATGAAGCAAAAAAGAGTAATTAGTCGAAAACAAATGACGACGCAAATTTTATAATTCATTAGTTATTACAGTAATAAATATGATAATGAAAAATTTAGGATGTATATAGGTATATATATCATTGTAAGTTCATTTCAACTGCCATCGACTAAGTCTTGCTAAGATGAAGGCTTTTTCACATTGTTTGCTGCATAGTCTTGTTTTCGTCAACAAACTATTTATCTTCAACTTAAGACAATTAGGGATGAGAGTAAATTTACATTCTTATTTAGTCATATTGCACTTAAACTATATGTAATAAAATATTTACTTACTGCCTATACACATGTGATTTAATTTTTTATCATGCACATATAATCAGTTTTTGGACTTTGGAACTGTTGCTTTCATCTACAACTTTTTTTCACTGCTTTTCAAAGTCTATAATTAACATAGAAATATTTGCATGTAAATATGCAGATGATACGTCAAATTAGTGATTAGCACGTCGCTGTTTGGCCATTGATACCAGCTGCTATAGAACATGATGCCCAATCAACCACTAAGACACAATGTGATGAAATTGATTGTTCTAATCTAATACTAAAACCGCACTGCCTTCAACAAGAAACATTTAGCTAGAAAACGGAATAATGCTAAACTTTCCAAACAAGTTCAGTAACGTAGGAAGCGTGGTGTCACGGGGGGACGGCCCTCCAAAGTCCATCTCAGATTAGCCGGGCCCTCAAAAGTTTTAGTTTTAGGATAAACAACCAAGATTTAAGAATTTAATTTTTCATTTTGCATTTTAAGAATTATGCTTCGATGCAAAATTTATAATCCTTATATAACAAAAATATTTCCGAAAAGGTATGTTCCATGTTCAATAATTAACTACAAAATGCAGTTTCCAGAGAATCTGAGTTCTAGTTAAAAAATTTTTTATCATATGGCCACACACCTCCGCCTCCATCATTGAAAACTCATTGAAAAATTCGTGCGTCCTTCAATGAAATATTCGAATGAAATGACGACTTATTCAAATGCCGACTCTTATGAAATGATTTCATTTTAATTTGTCGATCGACTCTTATGAAATGACTTTATTTTAATATGTCGATCGACTCTTATGAAAGTGACGACTCTCGAATATTGATGAGGACCAAATTTTCTAAGTTCTATAGGATTCAGTCCACCTCACATGATCTGAGGCTTATGAATTCTAGTTTATGTAGTTCCAGATTTTTTGCAGAGTTTGGTAATTGCAATTTATGAAGGAATGTTTTAATTAAGCAAGCTTTCTACTTGTGAAAATATGGCAGATAGTTATCTTTTTACGATCAAATTTTCTTGTTCACAGTTCACACATTTGCACATTTATTTTGATAAAAGTACATTAGTGAAACACGATTCATCCTGTTTCATATTAACATCCGGACTGCGTTCCCTATAACTCGATCAAGAGACAGACCTGGACTACGAACTATTTAATGGCAAAAGTTGTTATTGTAGAAAAGAAACACCAACCTTTATGCTGTACGATGTGCGAGAGAGACAAAGAGTTTTTAAGATTGTTTCTAACTTGCTAAGTTAATTGTGTTAACAAAAATGAGCAACTCAAACTATGAAGTATGGACGTTGTGTTGACGTTAAACGGATTTGCATTGATGTTGGGAGGTCAATCAGGTCATATTTTTGCTGGTACGTACATGGTGTAGATTGTAGAAGGTGTACTGAGACTTCGATTAGGATTTGTTGCCATACACCTGTTATCCTACAAATCGTATTCTCCTTGTGAGCGACTACAAAAAGTCAAAAAAGGTATTCGCACTAGCTATTCGATGTAACGTGAAAAAATTATAGTAAGAAAAATCATTTATGTAAAATTTCTTGTTGAATTGTATATTTAGCATAGTCAGTCGGCCATATGAGTGAGGGAACATATTTTACAGTTCTATAACAAAATTTACTTTACACATTGATAAATATAAAAACCAGGTTTCAAAATATATTTTATTCTTTTAAATGTCATCATATTTTCAAGCGGATGTCGACCGTTAAATACAAACATCGCTGGCATCTTATTTCAGTCTGTTTACTTGTAACTGTCGGTACTCCATCGTTATCTTGGACAGCTACCAAACAATTGATAACACAACGTACGTTGGCAAAACGGTAGAGGTTTCGGTGAACATTAGTATCAATAATGGCAAAGGTATGTTATATATATCAAGATACCAGCTTAGCTAAACTATTCCATTTTAGCAATATTGTGTTATTGTAAAGCTATTTTGCTTAATACAAACTGATACTAAACAGCATGATATATTGTATAATTCTCAAATCTATTTTATTAATTTTCAAGGAAGATTCCCAAAATGTATAACTTCCTTTGAAAAAACTTCTCGACAAACTAAACATTCTTACATTGTATAAACTTTCATCAATAATAAGATTATTACTAAGATTCAATTTGACTTATTAGATAGCATTTATTGTATTTAAGTGTATATATTAGAAGACTTTGGCTGGAAAATTTTCTCAGTTCAAACTAAATAGAACTTTCAGAACTAATTCTACACTATTCGAACGAAAATCAGAGTAATTCCAGGTTCCCTCGCGAAACAGGATGTGCTCTTTACTCACAACCACATATATATGACTAATTTCCTGCATTATGAAAAACATCGTTATTAATGGCATTTCCTGCTATGTTTTTCGAAATAAAAGCTACTTATATGACAAAGATCGTTATTCGTCATAACTCATAAATAGCGTTTTCTGCTTTGGTTTCGCGAGATAAAACCTACAAAACAAAATAGCGTTTTCTGCTTTGGTTTCACGAAATAAAACCTACAAAAAAAAATAGCGTTTTCTGCTTTGGTTTCACGAAATAAAACCTACAAAACAAAATAGCGTTTTCTGCTTTCGTTTCACGAAATAAAACCTACAAAACAAAATAGCGTTTTCTGCTTTCGTTTCACGAAATAAAACCTACAAAACAAAATAGCGTTTTCTGCTTTCGTTTCACGAAATAAAACCTACAAAACAAAATAGCGTTTTCTGCTTTGGTTTTAACGAAATAAAACCTACAAAACAAAATAGCGTTTTCTGCTTTGGTTTCACGAAATAAAACCTACAAAAACAAAATAGCGTTTTCTGCTTTGGTTTCACGAAATAAAACCTACAAAACAGCGTTTTCTGCTTTTGTTTTAACAAAATAAACCTACAAAACAAAATAGCGTTTTCTGCTTTGGTTTCTGAAATAAAACCTACAAAACAAAATAGCGTTTTCTGCTTTGGTTTCACGAAATAAAACCTAAAACAAAATAGCGTTTTCTGCTTTGGTTTTAACGAAATAAACCTACAAAACAAAATAGCGTTTTCTGCTTTGGTTTCACGAAATAAAACCTACAAAAACAAAATAGCGTTTTCTGCTTTGGTTTCACGAAATAAAACCTACAAAACAAAATAGCGTTTTCTGCTTTGGTTTTAACGAAATAAAACCTACAAAACAAAATAGCGTTTTCTGCTTTGGTTTCACGAAATAAAACCAAAAACAAAATAGCGTTTTCTGCTTTGGTTTCACGAAATAAAAACCTACAAAACAAAATAGCGTTTTCTGCTTTCGTTTCACGAAATAAAACCTACAAAACAAAATAATATAGCATAGAAGTTCAGTTGTGTTACACATTCCACTTAATTCATCAAAGTTCTTTATTTAAAACAATTAAGTAAACATTTATTGTTCTCATATTTACAAAAAAGGCGGAATTATATGGCGCACGGTAATTTTTGGTCGATTATATTATAATTTAAAATTGTTTTTAACAAAATTAGAAATTTATGATTTTTATGAATTTGTTAACTTTAGGAAAATAGAAGAAAAAGAATTAATTGGATTATTGCGGTAAGAATTGATGTTTTACGTATAAAAGTAATAACCAACAGATGACTTATTTACGTTTTAATGGCAGGTAAATTTATGCAAAGGATTTAACCATTGTTTTTGGTGATGTCCAATAGCACTCGACCAAATCTGCCTGCCAAAAAAAACGTAAACAATCAATGTCATCTATATATGAACAGTCCATAAAATATATGATCCTCAAATAGTTATCTCTGTCGCTGCACTTTATACAAACATTTTTCTATGTTTATATGACAATGTTTCATGCTCGATTAAAAAATCTCGTTCACCACTTTCCAGGTGCTTACTCTTGGCATCTTGATCATCGCAGGAGTGGTTGTTGCTGTTGTTTTATTGACAAATGATAATAATGGTATGTGGCATTTCTTAACAACATATGATTAGTATGATTGTGCAGTTTAGTTGTACGACATTACCTAGCATAAAAACGTTTTATAAATGACAATTCAGAAATTTGGAAATGTGGTACAATGCAGCATGTATTCCGTTGAGTGCTTACAATTAATTTTAACCCCTGCGCTTTTACTTAGTTTTGACTTTGAATAAATGAATTTCTATGTTATATTCAACCTCGTTCCAACTCTCTTTATTTTGACGCTCCTACCTCGCTGGTAAAGAGCATAGGAATGAGTTTGTGTTATATTATGTATTCTCATTCAAATTTATTATCTAGCAGAAAAGTCGACGTCAATGGTTTTCAGATAGTGAGTGTTTTGTGATTTTGGTGGCTGTATTTAGCAATTTATCTATTCATCCAGTAGGTAAACCATTGGTTACCTAATTTCTACGATTTCATAAAACTAGTCTGCAAAAAAAAGTTAAAGTGCCCTTTTCTATTTCTCATTGATTTATTTTGTGTTTCAATGTATATTTTAATAACTGTATTCTACTTTTATTTCTGCTAGCCCAGTGATACTTATATCAGCAGATGGATTTCGACACGATTATTTGATGGAAGGTCTTGCCCCAAACATAACACAATTTGGTAAGCTACATTTTTGAACTAGTACCTTGGCTAAAGGGTTTGCGCAGTGAGTCCGGGAGAATCAAAATATACTTTTTTATTATTATTATTGAGCTTTGATTTTATTTCAATCATTGCAATAGCGAATCTTGGATTACGTCATGGTATGTAAATTACTGCGGCTTATTTTTGCTTATTACATTTTTAAATACAATACCTTAGAATATTTATTCTTTAGAAATTGAAAACCATGATTTAAAGATAATTTTTATTTAAGATACTTTTTAGTTCTTTTTTACTGTTCTTTCAGCTGACGCTGAAGTCTTTTCTTCATGTTTGTGCTTATGTCAATGTCTGTGTTGTATGCTTCGTTGATTGTCTTTGTTGAATCCGCTTTTGTCTTCGTTTGTGCGTCTGATTGTTTCACACGTATAAACCGAGTTAAAATGGTAAAGGTCAATTATCATTTCAGGAAAAAGTGGCGTACGAGCAAAGTTTATGCTATCACAGTTTCCCACAAAGACATTTCCAAATCATTACAGCATTGTCACCGTAAGTATATAAATTATAAGATGACTGTAATTCTACTACGTCATCAGCTATGGTCGTGTCAGAGTTGTACGAGAGAGCATACGCATGCGCAAGTTAGCCAGTTGTGTACGTCTTGTCGCAAGCGAAGCTACGGAAAAATTTAGGAAGGATATTTATTCATTATAATCCTTCCATCCATAATACAATTTCTCACAGGATCTTCTAAAAAGGATACAATCGCTAATTACAGATAAGTTTATCGTTTTCCTAACGTTATTGCTCATAACTTTTGTTCCATTTATATAGAAACAATTAAAGTATGTCATCCGAATCATTAACCGATGACGAGCACGCCGTGTCTGAATTTTATGAAATCAGCGCACCGCAACGGCCTGATAGTGCTCCCATTAGCGGTGACTCTCGTTTATACTCATTGCTTTCGGCTATGGAGGCTAACATGTCAGAAACGAATAAATATCTGAAAGGTATATTTGACGAGCATAATGCCGCCAAAAAGCGACAACGTGCGTCTATTGAAAACAATGAATTATTGATAATAGACGAAGCCGAACAAGGCGAACAGCATGAGCACTCGGCCCCAAAGAGGGCAAAAATTACCACAAAGTCTGGGCACAATTCTGACGACAATGACCGCTCATTTGACCAGCAAAGTCCTGAGTCTGAAAGTACTGAGGGAAACTCTGAGATTGTGCATGAACAATCAGACGATACTTTGAGTTTATTCGGAGGACCAGAAATTGATTCAGAAATTGAAAACGCGGTCGATAACGATGATCTTCTTTCTGAAATTGCTCAAACACTATCTTCTAAGCAGCAAACCGGACCCCCCATTTCAGAAAAATTCGCAAAAATCATAAACGCCAAGCTTAGCAAAGATTTCGAGGCTACCAAATTAAAAGAAATTCTTAATAAGTACCCTCGGCCTAAAAATTGCTATTAAATGTATGTGCCGAGAATAAATCAAGAAATATGGCAAAAAATGAAACCATTTACTAAAAAAGGGATATCAAAATGGCGAATCTACATGATTCCACCATCAAAGGTTTATCAGGGCTTGCTAGTAGCATTGACAACCTTTACAATGTCGGAAAATAAGACAATTCCAAATTATAGAGCTCTTATACCAACACTGCTTGATGTAACTGCTTTATTTGGCCATGTATGCAAAGAACTTTCATACAAGCGCAAAGAGGCAATTCGGCCAATACTTCATCCTGATTTTAAACCGCTCTGTGCAAGGACTCACAAAGTGGGCCCTCTTTTGTTTGGGGAAGACCTAGCAAAATGTGCTCAAGATATTGAAGCTCTAGTAAGACAGTAATGAATCTTATACCCAATCCAGGCCAACGGGCACAAACTATTTTTACAAAACGGTTTTCATCAACCCAATCACAGGCACGCAAGCCTTTTTTATACCAACAAGGGAGGGCACAGTTCCCTCCCAGAAAACCAAAACTTCCAGAACCGGAAAACATTCACAAAGAACTAGAGTTATTAAAAAATCAGGTAACACAATTTTCAGAATTTGTTGAGCATGTACTTAAACCTTATTTGACCAGAAAAGTTAATTCATTTCAGGCTGGTCAAATTAAACTATGCCACAATGAATGGGCAAAGCTTACTACAGACCCCGATATTCTTGAGATGGTTTCAGGGCAAAATTTCTTTTAAAGGTCTTAAACCAGTTCAGCACCAGTCTCCTCCTAACTCTCTTCCTAAACAAGGAAGAAGCGAAATCGATGAAGCTATTCAGGCATTGAGAGATAAAGGAGTAATTATTCCTAGTAAATTTGATTCTACTGAATTTGTATCACCTATCTTTACCACTCCTAAAAAGGATGGTGGTGTCCGCCTGATTTTAAATTTAAAGAAACTAAATGAATCGGTCGAAAACTTTCATTTTAAGATGGAAAATATCCACACTGTACTTAAACTTATCACAAAGATTGCTGGATGGCCTCTTTAGATTTAAAAGATGCCTACTATAGCGTACCTGTCCATCCAGAATCTCAAAAGTTCTTAAAATTCCTTTACAAAGGAAAATTTTACCAATATACAGCATTTCCTAATGGCCTCTTGCCCGAGGAAATTTACTAAGCTACTTAAACCAGTTCTGGCCACATTACGTGTAAAAGGTCACATTGTCGTTATATACATCGATGATTTACTCCTGGTAGGCTGTTCCTATGAAAAGTGCCTTGACACAATTATACAAACCTTAATTTTATTAGAGAAGCTCGGTTTTGTCATTCACCCATTGAAATCTGCATTTATTCCAGTACAAGAAATAACTTTTCTTGGTTTTTTAATAAATTCACGAACCATGACAATTCAACTTACCAATAGTAAAAAAGAAAAATTGCTCTCCCTTATTAAAGCGATTCTAGCGCCCGCTAAAGTTCGGATTAGAGAAGTGGCTCAGGTAATTGGTCATATAGTATCAAGCCTTCCAGCAGTGGAATTTGGACCGCTTTACTATCGAAAGCTTGAGAAAGATAAAACTTTAGCATTATCACAAAACAAAGGCAATTTTGAATCGTTTATGATTATTTCCGATGAATCCAAAGCAGAGTTGAAATGGTGGCTAAAAAATTTAAAGGACTCTTTTAAATACATTCTATCTATACCAGTTGACATCGTCCTCTATTCAGATGCATCTCTGACTGGTTGGGGCGCCCTAGGAAAGAGTACACTGGAGGAAACTGGTGCAAACATGAAACTGAATATCACATCAATATTCTAGAAATGAAAGCCGTACTATTTGCGCTAAAATCGTTTCTTTCTAATCTAAAAATAAACATGTTAAAATGATGGTAGACAATAGTACTGCAGTGTTTGTCATAAACAATATGGGCACTAGTCATAGTGTCATGTTAAATACTACAGCATTAGAAATCTGGGAATTTTGCATAATGCACAAAATCAAAATATCTGCCGCACATTTACCAGGGTCAAAAAATGTAATTGCGGATAAAGAGTCAAGAAAATTGTACCGTGAAGGTGAATGGAGGTTAAATCCCGTTTGTATCAAGATTGCCATGAGCAAGTTTAATTTCCAGCCTGAAATTGACTTATTCGCTTCACGACTAAACAAACAGTTTAATCAATACTGCTCTTATCGACCAGACCCTGAGGCAACATATATTGATGCGTTCTCCATCCCGTGGAAAAACTTAAACTTTTATTGTTTCCCTCCTTTCAGCTGCATCTTACAAACTGTTCAAAAATTCTACAGGAAAAGCCACAGGCATTTTGGTAATACCAAATTGGCCAACACAACCTTGGTATCCCCTAATCGAACCAATACTTTTACAACCTCCTCATGTTTGTCCACCGTCGCAAAACCTGCTCAAACTACCAGCTGCACCAACAGAAGTGCATCCACTAGTAAAAAAGCTAGAGTTGAAAATATGTCTTGTGTCAGGCAACAACTTACGTCAATAGGTGTCTCTCCAAGTTCAGCAGAGATAATCATGGCCTCTTGGAGAAAGGGAACAAAAACCCAATACCAAACTTATATAACTAAATGGAGTCAATTTTGTGTTGCAACAAAATGTGAATTTTTTAATCCCTCTATTACCACAATCATTCAATTTTTAACTAACCTTTTCATTCAGGGCTATCTTACTCTGCTATAAATTCTGCACGCAGTGCATTATCTGCCATATGCCAGACCAACAATCACACTATTCCATTTGGGCAACATCCTTTAGTGAAAAGATTCATGAAGGGTATATTTGAATTAAGACCTACATTCCCTCGCTACAATTCTATTTGGGATGTTAATATTGTGTTTAATTACTTAAGGAAACAACCCCCTATACATGAGTTAACATTAAAAGATCTTACTATTCGATTAACGTTCCTTCTTCTAATACTAAGTGGAAAACGAGGGCAAACTATCCACCTGTTAAATTTAACCGACATGGATCTATCTGAATCGAAATGTGTATTTTCAATCCGAGAAAAAATCAAAACAACTAGACTTGGTCATCACATTGCTCCTATTACATATGAAGCCTACCCTCATGAACCAGAACTCTGCATTGTACGGCACCTGAAGGAATACATTGAACGAACTAACGAATTGCGCAGTTCTAATTGTAAAAAACTTTTGATAAGCTTTATAAAACCGCATCAAGCGGTTTCCCGGAATACTATCTCACGTTGGTGTAAAACATTATTAAACGCTGCAGGTATTGACACCAAAGAGTTTGGCAGTCAACAGCACTCGAGCTGCATCCGCTTCATTTGCTGCAACACAAGTAGGGGATATGACGAAAATTGTTGAATCGATTGGCTGGTCGAATGCAACCACTTTTCAGACATTTTACAATAAACCTATTAAGAAAACTTTTAATCTAGGTTCCACCATTTTACGGCAAAACGAAATTAGGTAAATCGTTATCTTTTGTGGAAAAATTAAAATTTTAAATATAATCAATGTATGTAAAATTTGCAACCATCTCTTTTTCTGTTGTTAACCTTTTTTGCAGGCAAACTACTTTGTTAATAGACACATTACATCCTGACTCCATTGCTTGCTGTGAAATCTCGTACAACTCTGACACGACCATAGCTGATGACGTAGTAGAATTTAAAATTAAACGAAACTTACCTTAAGTTGAAGTTTGATTTGAATTCTACAAGTCATCAGGGAGTGGAAGAGTTGTACGCCCATTCAAATTGAATTTTACCCACCTCAAACTCTTCCACTCTTGCAATGGATTCCGGCTGGCTTTGAAATCTGGCTAACTTGCGCATGCGTATGCTCTCTCGTACAACTCTTCCACTCCCCGCTGATGACTTGTAGAATTCAAATCAAACTTCAACTTTCGTTTAATTTTTAAATTAAATTAAGTAAGTTTCGTTTAATTTTTAAATTAAACAGTATTAAAATGGATTTTAATTGATTTTTATCAATTTTTTGGTAAACAGTATTTTAATGTATTTTGGTAAACAGTATTTTTATCAAAAACAGTATTTTAATGGATTTTAATTGATAAAACAGTATTAAAATGGATTTTAATTGATTTAATTAAAATGGATTTTAATTAAAATGGATATTAAAAATTTTAAATTAAGTAAGTTTCGTTTAATTTTTAAATTAAACAGTATTAAAATGGATATAAACGCATGAAATGTACAATGGTCAACAGGTTAAGACATGCAATCAGGCATTAAAATACAATATGAGAACGAAAGGTTATTCAAACGACATATCCTGATCAGACAGTGCATTATATGGTTGCTTATATTAGTAAATTTTGAAGAAATTGACGATTTGGTTGCATGGTTGAAACGCGGTTTCTACCCTGCAATGAAACAGCGATCCCGTTTTTTACTCATCTATCAATGCAAATATTTCTTGTGTTCAATCACTGGTAAAACAATAAATTCAATAAACTTTGTAAAAGAAATGTATGACAATTTGGTCGAAAAATTTGCATTACATGAGTAAAGGATTCGCAACAAGAATAGGCGCTATTTTGAACACCAAGATGTCTAACATAGACAGTATTTATTAAGTATTCAGTTTTTTATGCGTCCTAAAGCGGTTCGAACAAAAAAGTACTCACTTCCGTCCTGGAAGAAAACACAAATGATGATGTGAAACAATGCTACACAGCTCTTTTTGCCTTGATGCAGACGTCTAGGTGTTATAGTTTGCTCTCCAACTTGGCCGCTTCTCTTTTATTATATTAATTTCATCACAACATTTTATATTCAGGGCTTATATCCTGAGTCCCATGGAATTGTCTTTAACAGTTTTTATGATCCAGATTTGAGAAGGCGTTTTTCAATACCAAAGTCGACATATCCTAAGTTTTGGCAGGCTGCTGAGCCAGTGAGTCTGAGTTGTGTGAATTATGAATCTTTATACCGAGGTGAATAGGAATATTTATTGAAGAAATCCATATTTATCAGATTTGGATTACAGCAAAAAATTATGGAATAAAGAGTGCTTCATATTATTGGGTTGGCTCTGAAGTGGAAGGTAGGGACAAATTGAGAAATCCAGAAATATCTTTTCTTCAAACAGTTTGTCTTTTTTCGTGCGATGTTCAGCCATGCATGTACGTACGTAAATATAATTCAGAATTGTTGATTAACAAAAAAATTGAAAACCATACAAATTCAAATAAGATTCAAAGGATTGAAAGAGCAGAAAAGCAACCAAAGCAATTATTTAGCGATTTTGTCATTTGCGACGTCCTGTACAGTAAATAAATAAACACGCAAGACATTTTTCACCAAGAAAACCAAATTTTATAAAATTTTAAAGAAACTACATCATTTACTCGTTATAGGAAAACAGCCTACATATTTTAGAAAATACAATCAGTAAGTTCTGAAAACTAACTAATAAAATTTGGATTACTTGCTAGTATGCTGGGCAAAACAGTTTTTAAAATTACAGCTTTGAAAATTTCTTTTAATAGATCTATTCCGTTTTCTGACCGAGTAAATCAGGTACTGGAATGGTTGAAACTTCCACCTGAAGAAAGGTAATTGTTTTAATGAAAGTAACTGCTGAAACGAAGGAAATTGTTTTAACATAGGTTACTTTTCCAAAATTGAGTGATTTTATTGTGCTAGTTTTGAAGCATATACCTGTCATTGAGAAATTAAAGTCGTTGGTCACATCAATCGTAGCACATGTTTGATTTGAAAAGTACATTTGTATATTTGCATGATAAGCAGACATCTAGCAAAGTGGGGGGGGGAGGGGTGAATGTAGAAGTGTCACACTTTGGTGCTCAATCAGAAATATTTTACAATCCATAGGTTCCTCGCGTTCGTTGAATATAAAGCAATTGATTTCCGCCTTCATCGAAAGGAATGTGTACAACTTCTCAATTTTTTTCAATTTAGACCTTCCTTCATCACTCTCTATTTTCATCAGCCTGACTACACCGGTCACAGCCATGGTCCAGAGTCTCCTGAAGTAAAAATTCGTTTTTTATTACTCATAGCGTACTTTGGATGCGATGATTTTGTTTTGTTTTACCTTTAAAATGTCAAGTTATAAGTTTGCATTTACTTACTATTTTTCTGCTAGTTGTATTCTCTGAGATGTAAGGGAAAATTACATATATACTATTTGTTGATTACTTCCTTTATAATTCTTACAGTATCTTAATATGGCATCATGATGTGTTTGTAATTTTGACGATTTTTTCCAAGCCAAAAACCCCCGTTCTTATTAACATAAACCTTGTTTTCGCTCACTAAGTGTGACTAAATTCCTTATTAGGTTAAACAACAAATTCGTCTTGTAGATGGATCGATCGGTCAATTAATGAACGCATTAGAAAAAATGAACATGTCTGATTCAGTGAATATTATTTTGTTGTCTGATCATGGTAAGTGTATCTGTGTCAATCTTGTTATAGTTATTCACATATTGCATGATCATTCGAATTAGTTTTAAAGCTATCAAATACTAGTTCCCAATCTGTCTGAACTAGCTATGATGTTTAGCATACTAGGGCGTGTAAATTATGCCACGTGATGTCTCATGTTAAGCCATTGAACTAAAATACATGGAACGGTACACCCAGACACGCGTGTGTCGTCAATCAATTTTCAGAGTCTCGAAACACTACATACGCTTGTCTGGTTGTAATCTCGCCTGTCTGGGTGTAAGATTTGGCTGCAATCAGTGCTGTAGAAGTAGGGGGGGGGCGCTTGGGGGAGTAGCCCCCTTCTACCTTTGAAATGGGTAATTTTTCATAATTTCATGGCTTCAGCTTCGTCAAGAGAGCCCCCCTCTGATAAATTTAGTTCTACAGCACTGGCTTCAATTATTTGCCTCAGGTAGTGTCTCATGTATTTTAGTTCAATGTGTTAAGCATATCATTAATTCGATTACCAGGGGCCGGTTGCACGAAGCCTGGATAGCGTTATCCATTTGATAGCAAGAATCTTCAAACTTGTAAGAAAGATGTTTATATTTCGTAATCTTCGAAACGATGTTTTATTTCAATGATTGCTCAGTTCGACTCTTATACTTTTTACTTTTTAAAAGGTTTTATGAAAGCATGAAAAAACTTGCTATCCAATAGATAACGCTATCTAGGCTTCGTGCAACCAGTCCCTGCACGCTAAGGGTAACATTTATATGTTTTAGGCTAACTAGAGGCAAAGTAAAATGGAGTAAATTTAGTAAATATAAGTCGTAGCTCCCCAAGGTTCAACTTCCCTGGGGGTTTTGACTTTTAGATAATCGTTTGCTGTATTTTAATGAAGTCTTTAATTACATATGAAAAATTTCTTGAAAAACTTTGTTTTATGATTTTAGGCATGGCAGACGTGAACTGCAATGACACGATATACATGGATAAAGTAATATGAGTTATGAATATGTATCATAAAAAGCATTGTCCGCTTGTGTTGTTTCTCCTCATTGAAGAATGTATGTCGTGATTTGTGTGTGATAGTGAAAAACGTTAACTTTGGACTTGACTATAGTATACATGACCACTGGCTAATCAAAAGTTATGAATTCGAAAATTACTATTGAACACGTAACTACTAGCCAATAAAAAGTTATGAGTTTGATATGTTTATCGTACACATGACTATTGGCAAATCAAAAGCTATGATTTAGATTTGACTTTGACTACATACTCAGCGACGTCACTAAAGGTGAACCGGTTAATTTTTTTGCTTTTTTTAATAGTACGGAGTTTTGGCCAATGAATTGTACATATCGAATGGTGGTTCTGTTCTTAGCTTTAATGTAAGATACAAAGGTGAATGAAATATGTTGGGATAATTTTTTACGACTTTTATACTTGCACATTATGCATAGATTAAGTAAGAAACAGTACACTGGTTGGTAGTTTAAACTACTAATTATCACATTGTCATTTTTACTACAAATAAACATGCTTTTTATCTACAAGTATGATAAAAAACAGCGCCGAAATATACTGTAATAATGATCATACACATTTTTTCAGGCAACCGTGAGAAAATATTTGACAAGATAAAGGTATATTTCGACCCATATTTCACATGAATAATTTCACCAATAAAATTTTCTTTCCCATATAAACACGAATGAATTCTAAAAATCTCTATGGTTGAATACGATTGCAAAAAAGTGCTTGTTTGTGGCTGGCGGGCCCCTATTAATCACTCGATAAATAGTGTTTCATCAGTGTACACAATGTATTACAACGCAACAAGTGTATTTTATTTTAATTCAGTCCAATACTCTTTGCGTTTTCAGTGCAAGAATGATTCATTTCAATCTTTTTACAAGTGGGATTTGCCAAAGAGAATGCACTTTTCAAACAACAAGTATGATTGATTGTTAAATCTTTGAAATCTTGATGAGATACAAATTGACGTTGTACTGCAGCAATATTCATCAATGATTACGTTCCTATTTTGTAGACGTATCGATGACGTCATTGTTCTTGCTGACGTGGGCGAACTGCTTTCAGTGAAGTATAAATTAAGTATTTCATTGAACAAGTTAATTTTCTGTTTGTAATGAATGGTAAAAGAAAATTGTCCATCATTTATTGTTTCTTAATTTAACTAAAATAAATCAATATTTTAACTCGTTAGAACACATTTGCTTATTTAGTAAATAGTAGTAATGAATCAATGTTTTATTTCGTTAGAACACATTTAGTAGTAATAACAGTAATGTTAAAATGTGTATTTTCCCTTTCATAAAACCACAGCTCGAGTCGAAAATATCCTAAATGTTCCCGTGGTGCTCATGGTTACGACAGTATACTTCCTGATATGTGGGTTAGTTTTTACTGAAAGGACAGAATTAATCATATCACTAAAATGGTCAAATAATTTTGTTTTAAAGCATTGAAAAAGTTATTTGAGACTTACATACAGCAGTATATACATGAGCAAATTGCTGTTGGTTATAATAAAAATAAAGAAAAGATACCTAAAACAGATGGAATACATCTATTTGTATCTGTTGCTTGTAGTCACCTGCTTCTGTTGCAAACCAGAGCATTTTTAACAATATCACTGCTGAGGCATTTAATCCAGTTGGTCATAAGCTTGCCACTGTAGTAAACTTTGTTTACCTGATAGAATGACTCTTATTGTCACTTTGTTAAAGATTGGTTTTTGATTATTAATTGTAACATATATTGGTCTTGAAATTGTTTCGAAATAAAATATAGCTAACTGCATCATGTACAGGTTGAATAAAACTACCCCCAGTCAAAATTCCTAAGAAATATGCTCTGAAAGAAACGCGATATTTTGAAAAATTTTAATAATTATACTTTCACAGACAATTTTCATGGCGAGAGGACCGTCATTTTTAAAAGATAAAGCTGTTGAGCATTTTTCAAATATTGAAATTTACAACTTATTGGCAGGTAATTGGTTAATGCATTTTTCTTGTAAAAGTTTGATTTATATAATTTGTAAATATGATTTAATCTTTTTATAGCTTTGCTTAAGATCAAGCCAGCTCCAAACAATGGAACGTTAGGGAGTCTGAACAACTTGCTTGTCCCACATGCCAGATCCACACCTTCAATATCACAAAGTGATGGAACCATATTCCGTCATGATATTTGTCGATTTCCAAATGATGATGTCTTGCCAAGCAAGCAAGTTTGTCAGTCCTGTGATGTAGGTTGGTTTGTAAGAAGATTCGAGATGTCAGAAACAAACTAAAAATTTCCTCGCTTTTTAGACTTCCAAAGTCGATATGGATCAATTGAATAAAGCATTAAACATAACACCTGAACAAGGTACGATTGTTATATACATGAAACTTACACTGAAAACATGACATCGCCTTTGTAAATCAAAGATATATTGCATTAATTTTGTCTGCAGTTTAAAAATGGTATTTTGTAATTTTGTAAATGGAAATGTAATTTTGTCTTTGGTAGGGAAATTATTTGAAATAAAGCATTTACCTTGGGGTACACCTAAAGGAGGTGTTGGACAGAAGAGTTGTTTATTATCACAAAAACATTTTATCATCGCATACAGTACAATTTTACGTATTCCTCTTTGGGCAGCATACACCATAAATTCCACGGTAGTTATACTCATTTTATCCATTGGCTTATTTTATTGCACAAATTATAATATACATCAATGTTAACTTGTAAAAAATTTTTGTTGGGCTCATCTCTCTGAAATGTAACGCTGGTATTTTTGTAATTTAGCAAATAACGACAAACAATAATCATCCTAAAGACTGTTACCACTCCGATTTTCGACTTAGTCATCGTCAAGAAAGCAACTGCTCAACCTACAAAAACAATAGAAATTTTGTCATAGGACGATTGGTGCCTTACACTGATCTACATTTTGACAAAATTGCCATGCTCTCTTCTTCCATGTTGACAAACACTGTTCCAATGAATCCAGTTTTCAAACTAGGTATTTTAAAATAATTACATATTGTTGTGTGTTACATTGTAAAGTCCTAGCTTTGTTTAAACCACGATACTAAAAGACTTTATGCTAGTTTTTCTATCTAAAATTCTCAAACTATAGTTGTACTCATACGTATTGGCAGATTCAGCTTCAAACTTAATTATTGGCCTTTTTGCTCGCACTACAAATGATGACTACATTTTTTGTTGAAACGTTGCTAAAAATTCACGATTTGATATTTGAAGAAATGAATGAGCAATTTGTGATGTAAAGCTTTGTGAGCTATTGCAATGCTATTTTGATACAGGAATATGGAAAAGACTTGAAAATGTGATTCGAAATTGGGCAATGAAGTACAGTTTAGTTCGTGTTATTACTGGATCAATCTTTGACGTTGATGAGAATGGCATAAAGGATGCAGAGGTTTCTTCAAAAAGGTAAAAGAACATGCATATTTGTAAAAGAAACATTTTTAGCGCGTTAATTTTTCATCAACCATTTTCTTCTGTAGACGTCTAGGAAACCTAACAGCAAATCCAGCTATTCCAACTCATTTTTATAAGATCGTCACTCGATGTGACACGAATATAAGATCAGATTATGAATTCAAAGAATGTCGTGGAACTATTTATGTAATTTCGTTCATTTTAAAACATCGGGGTGATTATTGTAAGGTAAGATAATGACTTCTTTTGTAAAGTATTGTCGTGGTCAATTTACCTAACACTACAGGCCTGTTTATAAGGAGCCGAGTTACACAGCTAGACGAGTAACTCGTCTGGCCCGGATAAAACAGCACCATGGGTTTGTAAGATACCGTGAAACTCGGCTTGAAATCCGATACATCGTTATGACATCAAGTCCTTCAATCGAAGTATACTTTAAATCGCAAAGTCTTAAGCATCAATAATAATAAAATGAATCGACGAAAGTTTCTAAAGCCGTATTTGATGTTTTCATGCTTTTGCGTTATCATTGTTTAGTTTACAGGCTATTTGTAAGATAGACGCGTACGTGTTTAAATGTGCCTATTCTACTCGCCTTACCGAGTTTCCCGTTCAAACGTGTTTACATGATACAGTCGCGTAACTCGCTTTACCGAGATCCGGTACAATTCCCGAGAACTCGGCAAGGCGAGTTACTCGGATGTCTCATGTAAACGGTGAAACGAGTTAATCATAAGATTTATAGAACAGACGAGACATAAAACAATTACTTTCCTATGTACCATATACTTTAAAATGACGTATTATTGATATTAATGTATGCCAATTTTTAACGGCTTTTTCAACAGTTTCGATCATGGAATGAACTCCTTCAAAATGTCGCTCCAGTCCGAGACATAGAACTCCTCACTGGAATCAACTTCTTCTCAAAGTTACCTGCACAACTCCAGGTTTATTTAAAAACTTTTGTTCCTGTGGAACTGTGGAAATAGCTCAAAATATAAACCGAACTTTTTTTGTTTCAGATGCATGCATTGTGACACATTCTGCATTCCTTAAATTTCTGTAAATTGCAAAAACAACTTTCTTCTTCATATGCATTAAGAGTACACAGACATGAGACAAGTTTTTCTTGAGTCGTGTTGAAACATGCATGTTGTATTGGGTTTCATTCATGCTAACACAACAATTTGCTTACCAACTATAAGATGTCATTATACATTATACATTTTATGATCGTGTAGACAGGACATATGTGATCTATTCCAACCAACAACTTTTTCGTGATAGCCAAAATCTTACATGATATTTACACATAAATTGTGGCTAAAATGTATTGAGACAAGAACTGTAAAAGTACCGTGTCTAATATCAAACAAACAATTTTGAAAGATCTTAATACTTCATCAATGCAATATCCAGATGCATTTCGTTTGTCAATGAGAGTAAACATTAAATGGCTTGGATCTTAGGACAAGCTTAAACAAAGAGAAAACAAACAAAACAAAAAGGAAAGCTTGGGGATATAATTATGGAGATTATTGTCAAAATTACGCCCTTACCAAAAAAGATTCGATTGCAACAAACGGACTATAATTGATTGAATTCGAGCCGTCATTATTTTGCAATATCAAAGGCAAAACTTTTGTGCTTTGTCGTGAGTTACGGATAAATGTGCTATTGATAAACTTTGAGAACATCTCTTAGCAACAATGAACATAGTTACAGCTTACATGATGTGATAGCATGAAAAGTCTTTCACAAACACAACGACTATTTACAGTAGAACTACTAATCTTTACGTTCACTGGCATTATGCTTGTAATTATTTCGTATTGAATGAATTCCTGGTATCATCAATATTCGGATACCCGCTCATCACCAGCAAACATTGTCAAATTTCCACGAAAATAACGCGCATGTTTCATGATATATGATAACTAAAAAATGAAGTGGGTGCCATAAACTAATGCACTCTCCATGCACTATAGAGGCAGCAATATCTTCAGCTACTGTCAAAGTTATTTATAGAGTGAGTTTGAAAAAGGGAATTTTATGTAAGAAAAATGGCAACGGAGGTAACTCAGGTAAGCATATACTAAGTTTATTAATTTCCACATGAACATGCAAACATCGAATCTTTTATTCAAGCCCTTATTATCAAAAACTGCTGCGTAGTCTCGCCGCTCGTAATGTAGTTTTTCGCTCTTCGCGTACTCATTATGTTGCTATTGGAATTGACGAATTTTGAGCATCCTACCTACCTATTTTCAATGTCTGAATCAGCTTTATATGTATGGTAATATGTTTGTATGAAATATTATTTTGGAACAAGCCAGTTACGCTCTTCAAAATTATCAGTTAGTTGCAGAGTCAGGTTAGTATAGCTCTGTATTACGGTAATTTTAACTATACATGAAACGATAGCATGAAAAGTCTTTCACAAACACAACGACCATTTACAGTAGAACTTCTATCTTTACGTTCACTGGCATTATGCTTGTAATTATTTCGTATTGAATGAATTCCTGGTATTATCAATATTCGGATACCCGCTCATCACCAACAAACATTCTCAAATTTCCAAATAAAAAACGCACATACTTATATGTATGGTATTATGTTTATATGAAATATTATTTTGGAACAAGCCAGTTACGCTCTTCAAAATCATCAGTTAGTTGCAGAATCAGGTTAGTATAGCTCTGTATTTCGGTAATCGGTATGAATTTTATTGCTTTGGATGATTTAATAGGTTAAGCCGGCACTTTGCTTAGTTGTACGATTCGTGCCAGTGTATCGTAGCGTTGCTTTTAATTGAGATCTAAATGGATCACGATTTGAATTAAAACGTTTGTTTTAAATTTGTCTGTTTCGCATTATTGTTATTTTAAAAAAGAAATAAAGGATGTTTTTCGTATTTGCACTGGCTTATGCAAACCTCGGAGACGTTTGTGAGAACTCTCGAGCAGGTACAACAGGTGCAAACACAGTAAACATCTTTTATTTTTTAAATAATATATTCAAGTTTATTGTGCATATTATATACACTTTATTTTGTTCACTGGCAATTACATATAACGGCATCGCAGATTTCATATCGAACGACATTTGCTTTTTGCTACTTTTCTACGTATGATTCCTTTTGATACTCCTTTTCAAGAACGTCTTCAAAAAAATCAGGAAAAGTTTGGAGACTGGAAACTTCCATTTTTATTGCAGAAAGCAACTTAGCTTCGTGAACACATAACGTGAAAAAAAAGAAAGAATGTACTTTTTTAATACAATGGTCATTAAATACTGAAAGTAGCTCTGTCATGAAGATGTTACAAAATATAATTTGATTCAATAATCTTTTCTCCATTATGTGAAGGCATCGAATTTCTTGTATTGATTATAACGGATTTTTTATTTATAAAATCTAGACATCTGGAAGGAAAAAAGGTTTAATTAAGGTGATATTATCGTGTATGCAGTGGCAAAACCAGAAAAATTTCCATTCTGCTTTCTAAATTTTAGAATATTATTATGCATTAATTTAGTAATCTGATGTTTTAATTTTACAGTGAACGAATACAGAAACGTTAGCATAGTATAGGACTGAGTGCAAGCAGGCAGCCACTTCTTGTTTGACTTTTGTGTTAATGTATGTCTAGGTTGGTATCGTCATTTTAATTGGCTTAATATTAGGAGGAGGGAGTGCTCTTGTTGTATTCTTACTTAAAAATGGTAAGTGAAAAATTTGTATCATTGTTTTGCATTTACAACTGTCATCCAGTCAAACACTATGGGTAGAATTAGCAGAAACTGTCCAGATAGTTAACTGTGTGAAAGTTACTGTTATGAATTGCAAAGTTCAAGCCTTACAAGACAAAGAAATTTGTTTATGGATTAATGTTCTGTGTAAATGATATGTTTATAATCATTTCATACCAAGCCTGTAATTTTTTTTCCAATATTTTTTTTTAATTAGGAGATGCATCCAAAAGTGCTCCTTAGTAAGTGTTTTTGTCTTTCATAGCTAAATATTTTTATGACTTGTAGTTCTAAGCTCAATAGTAATCTACTCTACCATCTTATATTGTTTATACCAATACTATATTATGCTATAGTGGCAAAACTGACACAAACTTTTTTCGAGCAACGCAAATTTTCCCGCAAAATTGTTAGATCTTTGCATAGCAGGAAAAAAGAGTTGACACAACAATCATATACCTAATTTAGTGTACGTGCAATGATAACCGATTTGTGCATTGATAAAAATAAAAGCAGTAAGTCTACACATCGTTATTTAACATTTTTATAAGTTTGATCAAGATATGTTCATTGATAACAATTCTTAAAATTTGTTGTGAAAACGTTTTCGCTCATTTTTGGCACATAAGTATTTGTTAAAAAACTGACATAATTATCACAAGCATATTGCAAACTAAGACACTAGCGTAATAATATTTGTTCGTGAGAGTGAGTCGTCTCAGGCATTGTGACCAACTTACATAATGTAAAAATATTTGTTTCTGTTTGTGTGTGTGACTTGTCACGTGAATGTGGTAAACTTACACAGTGTAATACATTTTTTAGTGTATGCAAGTGACTTTCACGTGAATGTGGTAAATTTACACAGTGTAATACATTTTCTTGTGTGTGCGAGTGACTTGTCAGGTGAATGTGGTAAATTTATACAGTGTAATACATTTTTTGTGTATGCAAGTGACTTGTCACGTGAATGTGGTAAATTTACACAGTGTAATAGTAAAAATAGACCTTGAAGTAAACAAATACCTGCTGCCAGCGGCCACACACGAGGAAAATCATCACATAAATGCATGTGCTCACATATAAATGGAGTTTAAAGTCGCGTGGTCGTTAAAATGCAGAATTAAAGTATGGTTAAAACAATTAACTGTCCCAAACCCAGTAATAAATTTATCTTTGCGCATTTGAACCAATCAGTGATTTCATACATGATAAATTATGGTTATTTTTATTATTACTAGTCCATTGATACTAATATCAGCTGACGGAATGCGGCCTGATTATTTGACATTTAATGGAACGAAGAACATCACACAGTTCGGTGAGTTTCTTAAAGTTTGAATTTCATTTCCACATAGCTACATATGAACGCCGTTACAAGTTCATACAGATTTTTCACAGCCATATCCTGTTGTTTTATCAAAATTCTTTTGTTGAACACCAATGTGACTGCTTCCTCCACTTTTATGTTGATCCTTTAGGAACAATTGAAAACTTTCTGAAGGCTACTTATAGATGACACAATATTTGGCAGATATTAATAACACACATTTTTTTCCCTCAAAACAACACATCTTAAGCCATGCTAAATAACATGCCTTGTGTATTCTATAACAATAGTATGTTGGCTTGTTAAGTAACTCAATAAAAATAAATACTTATACGAATATATATTAAGTTTTGAGGCCACGAATACACGATAGAGAGTGTTTTAAGCATATCGAGGAATAGATTCATTTTAATTTCTGATATTGTTCAGTGTTTACTGCATTAATGTAACCAGGACGATTCGTCAGCAGTTGCAATAATTTCTTCCAGTGTATTCAAGTGATATCGAAATTATTCATCTAACCCAACGTCTTGTATGCATGCATTACCAGTTTGCTTCTGATTTAAATTCGCGCATAATGAACAGCTTCGTTGGCTTTGGTTTTCGTTTTTGCGTATTTTTATTTATCGATTGCATCATTTGCATGTATATACGTATATTAACGAATTTCTTCCTTCCAAGTGTTGTTTTGAAATTCTTGATCAATCATTGTAAGTGATTTTCGACCTTGACGTTTGAAGTTTTATTCGTGGTGTGCTATATATGAGACGGCGTGCACATGCATGAATTTATAGAAGTTTATTATACCAAGGAAATTAAGGTGTGTTTTAATGAAAGGTATGTTACAGAATATTGTGCTAAGGACTCGTATATAAAAGGTGTGTTAGCAGCGGATATGGTGGGTTTGAAAAATTATTCACGTTTATAATAACATACCTTGCATGTTCTAAAACAATAAGATCTGCACACCTTTCTGTGCTGTTTAGCCAAAAAAATATTTAGAGTCATGTGCTAGAATTTTCTTATTTTATCTTGTGTAATATATTTCTTTCGATCTCAGATATTTTCTTGAAAATTTATAACTAGTAGAGAGTCGCAATAATAAAGAGGATAAGTCCTCAATGGTATATTTATCATTTCAGGAAAAAGTGGTGTACGGGCAAAATATTTGCTATCGCAGTTTCCCTCAAAGTCACTTCCGAATCATTACAGCATTGTGACCGTATGTAATGTTTGCTGAATAAATTCATTGCTTTTGGTATTTGATAGTATTTAACGCATAGTTTGTTTCATATTTAGGGTCTCTATGTAGAGTCTCATGGAATTGTTTTCGATGAATTTTATGACTATTCATTAAAAACAATTTGATAAGAATATAAGCACGTCAAGGAATGACCCGTCATTTTGGCTTGGAGAACCGGTAAGAATCGCTTTTGCCGAAATCTGGCTTCAATGCTTCTAAAAATTTCAGATAGTCAAGCATGGCAAATATTTTAATGTTTTTTATGTTTTAGATTTGGATTACAGCAAAAAAGAATGGATTAAAGAGCGCTTCATTTTATTGGACAGGTTCTGAAGCAGAAGGTAGGAATAGAATGAATAACTTTTTTTATTTTTATTACAACCATATAATTGATTTTTGAAAAAAATTAGCTTTTATATAAAAGTTTTGTCATGTAAACTGAGATATATCATGACAGCAATAAAAAGACAAACGATTTTCTCTGGTTCATTTGAAAGAAAGCGATTGACGAAAATCCTGCGATAATAGTAGCGTATAGTCAGCTCGCTTTAGTCCATTCAAATTTTCCTGAAAGCCCATATTTTTGTGTTTAATTACTACCAAAACGACACATTTTCATACGAATGAAGTACATTCTTCGGTTTGATTATGTCAGTCTAAATTAACAATTAAAGCATTATCAAATTTGTTCACTGTATGGCTTTGCTGTTGCTATTTTTACAGGAAAGCAACCCACATATTTCAAAGAATATAACGAGTAAGTTTTAAATTGCTACTTCATAAGTAATCGTTAATAACTAATTTTTCAACTTGCAACTTATGGCTTGCATGATTTCAGTAACGTACATATAGCAGCTAAATTGTTTAGTCGTGATACAAAATTTTTTGTGGAAACAATATATTTTCCAGCAGAATAAAAAATGATAATTTTCTAAAATTTATATACATCGCACGACTAAGACCATTCAATTACACGCTTTGACTTATCAATAGCACTGTAGAATATTCATTAACACGAAGGAACAATCAAAGCACAAGTCGACAATAAATAACATTTATTGATGCTGTATAACAATCGGGAATATTTAAGGAGCACTATCGTGCATTCAATAAATTCAAAGGAAGGATCATTAAAATAAAGCAGACAGTCAAATAAACTTAAACATACTTCGTATGAAAAGAAGAGTAGTGTTGCAGTTGCGAAAGACTATCTGCGACAGACTGTTTCTGTTGGGAAGAACGCATTTCGTACAAAGTGTACCCCATTTGCTTATCATTAGAGCACCATTGGACATTCAATTACACGCTTTGAGTTATCAATAGTGCGGTAGAATATTTATTAACGCGATCATTAAGATAAAGCGGACATACAAAAAAACTTACACATGCTTTGTATACAGAGAAGTGCGGTGTTGCAGTTGCGACAGACTATCTGCGATATCTTAATGATCCTTCATTTGATTTTATTGAATGCACGCAGCACGTTACTGCCGCTTGAATATTAATTTCTCCAATGTTATACGGCATAAATATATGGTATTTATTGTCAACTTGTGCTCTTGATTGTTCCTTCGTGTTAATGAATATTCTACAGCGCTATTGATAAGTCAAAGCGTGTAATTGAATGTCCAATGTGCTCAAATGATGAGCAAATGGTGCAAATATAACTAGAATTCTGTCGATAACATCTTGCATAAATGAAGTTACATCTTTCAACAGATCCACGCCTTTTTCTGACCGAGTGACTCAGGTACTAGAATGGTTGAAACTTCCTGAGGAACAAAGGTAATTGTTCTAACAAAGTTAGTTAGAATTCGATTGTCAACTAATACACTATACCACAATATATCTGAAAATTTTTTATGCATCCTTGTTTGCAGTCTATGACGAGAACACAAGCATTTGTCTTCACTTTGCATTCTCATATTCTCATTTGTGTTTCTTTTTCAGAGATCAATTTGCATCTATAAATTCAATTACACTGTAAAAAACACGTGCTCAAAGTTTGATCTTTTGATATAGACCATCTATTATTACCCTTTACTTCCATCAGCCTGATGCTGACGCTCACAAAACTGGAGCTGCGTCTGAAGCAGTATGTTTCTACATGTAAATCATATATTGGAAAGAATGTTATTATTAGTGAACAGGCTTACTTGTCTGACTTTAGTAGCAGACAACAGGCATAGCAAAAAACGAAGCACTCTGGCTACCATCTGTAGCGTTAAAAATTCTGCCCAACGTTAATCTGCGTTCGTATTACAAAATGAATTGCTTTAAAAGCAACAATTGCAATTATCGATTGAAAGAAACAATGCAAGTACTTAGTTCACGATATTTGTTGATTATTTTAGGTACGCAAACACGTCCACGAAATTGATGGTTGCATTGGTCAACTAATGCATGGATTACAGGAATGAACATGTCTGATTCTGTGAATGTAATTTTTTTGTCTGATCATGGTACGTATACTTGAATTGATCATAGTTATGCTCTTCAAAAAATAGCAAAGAATGCATGACCTGCAAAATAAATTTGTTTGTTTCAGGCATGACAAATACTCACTGCAAAAATATAAAATTTATGGACGAGGTAAGGAAGCGTTTAATAAATGACAACATTTCAAATTTTTTACCTTTTAATAAGTGTGCACAAGGTAAAGCCTTTGACTTGGACATTTGCTTCATTATTTTAAATGACTGTGATAAGCATGGTGGAGTGGCTATACGACAATATGTAGAAATGTTATATTTGTATGAAAGCATGTTTATAACATGCATGCAAATAACCACACACATATATATATATGTATTGGAATTGTTTAAGACTTGTTGGGTGTTAGCCCTGTATTTTATATCAGTCAATAGTCAGTATATTATCTTGGCTGATGGTCAGTATTGTACACTGATTTATGATCAGTTTTCTACAATGGTTAATGCTCAATATATTACATCGTTTTATGGTGAGCTTGTTAGCTACATTAGTTGATGGTAAGTGTGTTACATTGGTTCATTGTTAATGTAGTACATTCGTTTACGGTGAGCATTGTTAAATGTGTTGATGGTAAGCTAAGTATGTTACATTGGCTCATGGTAAGTTTACTTTGGACGTACCAGTATTGTAATGTATTGCAGGTTTCAGTCATTTTTTCTTCTCATATTTTTGACGTGGAAAACATTTTAGATAAATAGATTGTTTCCTTTTCATGACAGTACGAAGTAAAGCCAAGCAGTGTCAAGAAATCTGTTTCAGGTGCTGTACTCGCCTTTAGAACAAAAAATCCAGGTGACTATACATAGAATTTTTGAGAAAATTTTAGTTTAATAATTTCAGCATGTACTATAAAAGGTAAAATTTGCAATAAATACATTTGTAGATGATCGTGAGGAAGTTTTTAATAAGATCAAGGTGTGTATGCCTACCGCATCACTTTGAGTTAAAAGTGTGCTGCTGAATCAGATTTTGTTTCCTGTTTGATGTCTTTCTATGTATCGCAATCAATATTAAATGCTATTTGAAGAAAGAGGCTCGCGGTAATGCTCTGCACGCTTGTGATTATTTCTGGTTTTGAACTTCTGATAATAGCGTCTTTCTTTAAATTAAATCTCGTTTTTTCTTCATTTCTTGCCTACAAAGTTTGGCGTTGATTTGGTATTTAGCTATGGTAGGTATTTGAAATAGACTTGGGTGAAATAGCCCCCGAAAATGGCTGTCTATCGCTGGAAAATCGCACAAAGCATTAATTACTGTTAGACTCATTCTTTAACACGAATTATATTTAGCTCTGATTTCAATGGCGTGTAATATTATAACATTCGTGACTTAGTCATTTCACAATTAGTTAACCATGGGCCTAGTAATAATATAAAAATAGAAGAATCCCAATAAAATGAAAAAGACCTAACTAATATTGGCAGATCCAGGAATTTTAAAAACACTGTGTTTCAATGAAAGTCTTGACATATATGTTTCATTATACACTCTTCAATAACATATTCGATGAAATGGCAAGAGAGATATAAAAAAACTGTATTCATTACCATGATATACTATCCGCAGACCTGCCTATGGCATAAATCCTGAAAAGAGGAAAATCATGGTATCGAATATGTTTTTGAAAATTGTATTTATAATTAATTACCACGGCAAGCTTTCTGTTTTGAAATGCTTAAAACTCCTTGCAACTAAGACTTTGACGACATATTTGGAACCTTCGCACCATGAGAAAACATGAGATTAATGATTAATTAAGAGTTACGATTACCATGCATGTATTATACCTATTGGAAAAGGAGACAGATTTTTCTAAACTTTGATAGGAGTGTAAATTCTTTATGGATTTATAGCTATACGGGAGCAAAATCATTGCATTATTTGCAATGATTTTTCAAACTTCTTCTTAATTGAAATAATTAAATATTGAAGTAAATTTTTCTCGACAGGTACAGATTTATCTTTCTCTCACTTCATCATCATTTAAAGGGCAATCTGTTATGCAGGCATGTACTTCTACAAATTAATTTTTTCTTAAAGTGCGTGGATGAAACATTTCACAGCTTTTACAAGGAAGACTTACCGAAGAGAATGCATTTTTCAAATAGCAAGTAAGTCGTTACTAAATCTTTATAATCAGGTTTAATTTGATCCAGCATAAAATTATCATTTTAAAGTGCTAGCCTAATTCTATCCATTATTCGCTCACATGAAAGACAAGTGCAAAATATTAAGAACCATGGATTAGTCGATTGAATCAATAATTACAAAATATTATATTTTTACTTAAACTACATTATACATTTAACTCCATTGCATTTTGATGTTCATTGACCAAATGCTTTAAAGTAATATGACAATTAAAATTTAGCAAATACGACATGTCGACAATTTTTTGAAATCAAACTTATTGGAAGTAAAAATGTCTGTTAAATATGAAATCATCAATAATCGTTTTTCATTTAAAAAAATTTAGCGCTTGAGGCGAAATGCTTAATAAATTTGTATCAAATTATTTTTTCAATACAACTCATATTTTTTGTAGACGCATTGATGACATTATAGTATTGGCTGAGCTAGGACGATTGGTTGCGATAGAGTAAGCATTTTATGGTTTATTTTTAAAACTTACCGGGTTCTGGTGCGCGATTAAATAAAGTTGTCAGAAGTGATGGAAAAACTGCGTTTTTCAAATGTATTTTTAGCTATATCGTATTATAAAATAATGCCATATTTTAATGCTTTTCCATCATTAAAGTTCCGAAGAAGTTGTTGATCGATGCAGTCTTGGTACACATGGTTATGATCCTATCATTCCAGACATGTGGGTTAGTATCCGATGCATTAGAATGTCGTCTGTGAACGGGTGAAACATCTTAGTCAATTAAAAGATTTCAATATTACAAGGATGGCTTTGAGCATGTACGAAAACTTCCCTGTTCTCGATTTTACAGACAATTTTCATGGCTAGAGGGCCTTCGTTCTTGAAAAATAAAGTGGTAGACCATTTTTCAAATGTTGAAGTGTACAACTTACTTTCAGGTATTTTTTTTAGAGGATTTTAGTCACTTAATTGTAACTTGATAAAAATGTGGGAAAAATTGGGTTTTTTTAGCTTTGCTTAAGATCAAACCAGCTCCAAACAATGGAACGTTAGGAAGTCTTAACAAGTTGCTCTTGCCTAATGCCAAATCCACACCTTCAACATCACAAAGTGACGGAACCGTATTCCGTCAAGATATTTGTCAATTCCGAAGAATTATTCTTTTGAAAATAAGAGCAGTCAGGTTTTTTTATTTATTTGTAAAACATGGCATAGATTGTTCATTACACTCAAGTGCTCAGTGGCAAATTGCAAAAAAATGCCAATTGTGATATTATCCTGTCGAAGTTATTTTCCTTTAGCGTTGAGTGTAATATTTTTCTCATTTAGAAGTTTCAACTGGATGTGGACATGTTGAAAAAGGTTTTCGATGCTACATCTCAACAAGGTGCTTTTTCTTACAGTTGTATATCGATAAATGGTTATTCGTGTAGTGGTGTAGCTATTTACACAGCTACATTATTCACAAAAACACGTATCGTTTTGTTTGTAAATACTTTTCATGTGCAGGCTTAACAGTTTGCTTTATAAGAGTGATTGTACGTTTTTTTGTTAACTTGATTCCACTCAATTTTGTTTTTTTGTCCATTAAACTATGGCTTTTTTAATAAATTCATTCAGGTCAGTCTTTAATACAGTATCATCGCCTCTGTTGTGACAGTATACAGCATTTTTAATTATATGTTTTTATAAAGTTTTTGATTTAAAGCAGAGAAATACATTGATAGGCATTACTCTATTTTGTACTTTAAATTACTCGTCAAACGTAAGAAAGTCTTTAAAAAACCTTTTTGCCTTTATAGGGAAACTGTTTGAAATAAAGCATTTACCTTGGGGTATGCCTGAAGGAGGAGTTGGACAGAAGAGTTGTTTGTTATCGCAAAAACATTTTATCATCGCATACAGTACAATTTTACGTATTCCTCTTTGGGCAGCATACACCATCAACTTTAAGGTAAATTGCGCCTAATTTATTATTTGTCTGATGTCTTCTTAAAATAGTGCCGTAGCTCCCTCGATAAATGAGGTCATTATTCTTATATGCATGTTATTTATATGCATGTTATAGTCCGCAAAAAATTTATTTTAAAGGAAGTTAATACGGCATATGATACATATGTGAATATTGCCTCACTCTCATTGCCACTGTTTTAACTCCTTCCCAAGATTTTTGTCCTTTGAGTTTTGGATGGTTTCCTTGAGGTTGCCTTGCAGCAAAGCTGGGAGAAAAAGGGTTGAATTTATTTTTGTTCTGCAAAGCAATTAAAATTACTTACGGTAAATATTTCAGCTGTATTCAAATATTGACGACCCTATACATGTTCAGTTACAGAAACAGTAGTTACAGTACATGAATAAATACGTCATTTTATGATTTAAATCGCCATAAAAATATTTTTCGGTGCACCTGTCCATTGCAAGTTGTTATTACTAGGTATGGTATTTAATTATTGTTTTGTTTTTGATTCAGCAAATTCTAAGACGTAATAACCTACAAGAAAACTGCCACAGATCAGATGCTCGTCTTCAAAAGTTATTTGGCAACTGCTCTACCTACAAGAACGGCTATAAGTTTGGTAAAGGAAGACTAATACCAAAACGAGATCTTACTTTTGACAATATTACAATATTCTTATCTTCCACTTTGTCAAACCTCGTTCCTATGGATATTGATTTGATAGGTAACTAAATTTATACAATTAATGCAATTTGCATGCAATGCAGCTGTAGGTTGTTTTCAATTTCATGCAATTATACATTGAACTAATCTGTTTGATATAATAATCATCATTTACTATACAGCGCATGTAATAATTAGCTAATAATAATTAATAAATTATTTAATACGAGCTTTTATCGATTCCATGAACAAAAAATTAACATCATTGGCAATGTCTATATTTTAGCTCAAAATGCATATTGTCTTAGCAATAAATGATCGTAGAACTGATTGGAGAGAACTAAATTCAGTACTTTCCTTAATTCAGAGATCTGGCAAGAACTTGAAAGCACAATTAAAAAGTGGGCTGACAAATATAGCTTGGTTCATGTGATTGCGGGCTCTATATTTGATGCCGACGATAATGGCTTAAAAGACCAAGAAATCGTTTCTGATAGGTAATAGACAATATATATAATATTATTATTGATTCAGTTTGGATGTTTCTGCTTTTTTTTCTGATATACTATTTTCTTCTGTAGACGTCTGGGAACTCAACAAAAAATCCAGCCATTCCAACTCATTTTTACAAAATTGTCACAAGATGTGACGAGAACATGACGTCAGATAATGCAACCAATGAATGCCGTGGAACCATTCACGTGATTTCGTTCATTTTTAAAAATAGATATGAGAAATGTAAGGTAAGACGAAGATCTGATCAATTGAAATAAATCATCTATTATCGGTTTCACTATGATACATTTATTGCACTTTCTATTAAAATTGAGCGAACTTGAGTGGAAGAAGGAGCCCGAGACCGAGTTAAAAATCAAAATAAATGAAAGCTTGAGAATTCTTTCATGTTGATAATCAAAGTTTGTAATGGTATTTAGCCAATAACTGAAATGAGAGAAGGAAAAATGTTTAAGACTAATGAAAGATATTTACTATGTTTGCACTGGCTTTTGCAACCGAGTAAACCTGATTGCCCGAGACCTAAGGTCAAAGGTTGCACCTGCTCGAGAACTCACACAAATGTCTCCGAGGTTTGCATAAACCGGTGCAAAAAAACGAAAAACATCTTTTGTTTCTTCTATAAAAAAAACAATAATGCGAAACACAAAAATTTAAAACAAACGTTTTATATTTGTCATTTTTTACAAATTATGTATTGTAATTGTATAATTTTTTCCGAACAGTTCCGAACATCGAAAAAAATTATTCTTCAAAATGTCGCTCCAGTCCGAGATATAGAACTCCTCACTGGAATCAATTTCTTCTCAAACTTGCCTGCACAACTCCAGGTTGATCTAAAAACATTTGTTCCTGTGGAACTGTGGAAGTTATAATCATGCAATGGTAAAATTGTGAGAAGTCATGTTCTTGTGACATTTTTGTGACATTTTTGTTTTATTGTGACATTTTTGTTGTAGTCTTTTGAAATTGACCTAATTGATTGAAAGGGTATTCTTTTCTGGTATGAAGTTGACACTCAAGCAGCGACCCCCCTTAAATAAAAATGAATCTACACGCAATTTATTATGTCACTTTATCATACATATTATGAGCTAACCCGCCTACCAAAGCAAGAGGTTAAGCTTTCCGGTGTTGACTTCGTTCGGTGTCTGAAAGAATAGGGAGTTTTAGCAAAGCCTACGAGTACGACTACGAGTACGATTTACGTCGTTTTGGCGCGAAAACATTGTTGCGACAACAAAAACACGTAGCGGTCATCAAACAGAGTACGATGTTTTGTAAAAAATTCTTAGTCGCGACTACGGTGTCTTTTTAAGCAAAGAAAGTAGGTATATTTCTTCATTCGGTGAGAAATTAGTTCACAGTACTATTTTCGAGCATCCAGGCTTTAATTTAGAACCCTTTTTGAGCGCAGATGTACATTAAAAAGGAAAATATGACCTGCAAAACTTTCATGTATTTCGTACGCAAAGTGAAAGGTAAACAAACAATAAAATAGTACAAATATATCGTACATAAAACTTAAAATAGTGAAGATTTTCCAGTCTAAAGAGTCCTATATTCTCGCAAAACCAGTATTATCGATTCTTTGATATCATTATTGACAAATAGAGCCGTAGCTGCTTCGCAAACGTCGGTGTTTTACACAATAAAAAGGCTCGTTCTGTTGTTTACAACTATAGCAAAATTTTGACGAAGCGACAACGACAACAATCTTCCTCGTGCCATTCCCTTACACGGTCAAATTTCGTACTCGTTCTGGTAGTCGTACTCTTGCTAAAACTCCCTAATGAGTATTGCCACGGTCGTTCAGCTGATTATTTGATCAGCCTTTCGAAGCTTTGTCTTCAAAATAGAATATCCCTAACTACAGACGTGTTTTCCATGAACTTATACGTTTCCAAGGTAATTTAATTGTAACGATGTATGGCAATTGAAAACAATGCATACGTTTGTCTTAAAAGAGGTATAGTGAACACTGCTAATCATCTAGTAGTGTTATGTATAATAAGGATGCTTCCATTATTTTTCAACGATTCAAATTTAAGAATTTCAAAGAGTGAAAAACATTGTATTGCGTTGAAAAATTAATGCATGTTAATGACCTTGCAGGTGCTATTTATAACACATCAGGAGAACAAACAGAACTATATGCGATTATACAGATTAATGTTTCTATTTCCATAAGCATTGCTGCATTAGCGTTTAATTCGCTATGTTATCTTTTCAATTTTCGGTTTTCAGATTGCAAATGAAATGAGTTGAAAAAATTTCTAGCACAATGTAAATTGCTTATAGTCTTCTAACAATGGAGAGATTTCTACTTTTTCATTTCGTCCACCATATCACGTTTCATTTAATTATTTCTGAGTAAATAAGTAAACAGTGTTTCCTGGCCACCTGACAACATGATATAAAAATATGAACAAACCTGCTACTCCTAGGATGTTGCGTAAAGACATGTTTAGTTTTAGTCGAAAATATGAGAGCCAAGAAAGATCTTCACAAATTGTTCGCTCACTTTTTTTTAATACTTGTCTATTGTTTACTTGGAGCTGTTATTTTCTATGCGATCGAGCATAAAGGATTTTACAAAAAGGAGCTTGCCAGAAAGAGACGGCTGTATAATAAAACCAAAGCTGAAATTTTGATTAGATTTGGCCTAAATGAATCGGAATTTGAGACACTTGTAGAAAACGTTGTTGACGCTCGATCGCCTACACCATCCGAGTGGACATTTTTGAGAGGAATTGATTTATGCTGGCAAACTGTCACAACTATAGGTCAGTATAAATCATCAATAATTTGAATGACGAAATCTGTTTACTTCACTAATTCTGTGGTTTGTTATTCTCTTGAATCTTCACATCTTGTAATCCTCACGATTCTCACTGTGCTTTAAGTGTTTGTCAATTCTAGATGTATGCATGAATTCTTTACAAAGATTTTGCTTTTCATTGATAAGTAGTTAGTTAATTACTTTAAATTCCCGTGACCAAGTATTTCAATCATTTTATTACATATTGTTCACGACAGGATACGGCAACAAGACACCTAGGTCACTTACTGGTCAACTGTTTATCATACCTTTCGCTTCTATTGGAATCCCGCTCACAGTGTGTATGTTAAATAGTATTGGTCAAAATATTTGTTATTTCGTTGAGTTGCTTGTGAAGTTGATAGAGAAAAAATTACGGAGGAAAGATACTATTGAGTTTCTCAAGGTTAAGTTAATGTTTTCTGTCTTTTTCTGCTTGTTCTTCTTCTTGTTGTCATGGCTGTTGTGAGTATTTTTGGGGAAAAATGGAGTTTTGGAAAAGGTATTTATGTTTGGTTCGTAACATTCACTACCATTGGTTTTGGAGATTTTATACCTGGAAATGCATCTGATTCCAAAGATACTGGAATGGCCATTGTGTATCGATGTGCGGGTGTTCTGCTAGGTCTTAGCTTGGTGTCCACGCTTTTTAATGCATTCATAGATTTTTAGAGGAGAAGCAGGGAAACGCCAATTCGAAATCTATGGTTGGATATCTTATGTCTGCCTTTTGCTATCGTAAAAGAGCAACCGATATTGTCAATGATGAAAAAGGAGCAAGGGAATTGGCAGAGAGCATAACACAAACAAACGCTCATTAACAATATCCTCATATTGCGTGGATAGCGGTAAAGTGCGGCGTCTCGCTTTTATTTGAAGTTGAATATATGTCGTATTAGCAGTCAAGGATTTTTGTGATACGTATTTTCTGAGTAAACTGTAAAATTAATTAATCCATGAAAAAACGAGAAACGTGGAATATTATTCACTGAAATAACATAAGTAAATTTATTGCAGTTTGTCATAAAATGGTTGACCAAATTCTTTATGAAATCATTAACAACCTTTTTTTCATGAAAACATATAAATGAACATTTGTAAAAGTAATAACGAATTAACTATAAACTAATACTTGAAATTGTGATTTTTGAGTTTTTAACTTACAAATTGTGTACATTACAATTGTTAAACAATCTAGGATTTACTATAAAACAAACGCATCCCAAGCAAAGTATTATTGATATTGACCAACTTTGCTGAGTTCAAAGAACGAAAGTTTTGCCTTATATTGGCATTCCATTAGTTTTAGGAGCATAATATTTTATTACACGAGAGCGCTGAAGCATTACAGCCACGCTGTGAATATACCTGCATCTTAATGACGATGCTAAATTTTAACGACATGTTCTGTGGCCAAAGATGAGCACCAACAAAGATCTTCGCCACATGTCCATGGTAACTTTTTTCTTGTGATTTTTCATTATTTATTTGAAGCTGCCATTCTTCATGCACCATCAAGCACTATCGTACGTAGCACATTTCTAAAAGAGTTTCTTAAGCAGATTGCTTATAATGTTTTGATACAGCTTTATCTATTGTATGCATTTCCTAACTGTACCAAGGCCACAAAGGCTTGCGTTGCTATTATATTCCACTCTTCCATGCTTTTTTATTCATAAATGAGTAATATTTGTACTGCCAATGTTATCATGTTTCTCTGAAACATCTTTATTTGAAGTTTCCAGTTGCCTTTCTTCACCGAACGTTGACAGTTGTGTTGAGAGTGTACTGGCCATTTTTCCAAATGATCGTTTAATGTCTTCCTTAGAGGGTGCCGTCTTACTGTTCACCCAGTCAGATAATGCTTGGATTATGGTCGAAATCAATACAAGGCCAAGAAGAAAACAAACCAGGTCGTACGCGATCTCAACAACATCAATAACTGATGTCTGTTTAGCGTTCCCCTTGGGGACAAAATCACCAAAGCCAATCGTTGTCAAAGTTACAAACCAAAAGTAAATTGCTAAAGAAAAGTCCCAATCTTCTCTATTTGTACTGATTGCTGATACGACACACAGCAAAGTGATTGTGAGTACAAAAACTGCAATTAACGATTTTCTGTGAATTTTTTCGGGATCATTTCTTTTAAGTAGTTTCATTTCAAATGCAATAATACATGATTTGATGAAATGTTTCAATTTTTCTCCCCAAGCTTTCAACATCATTCCCATCAATGGTATTCCTACAGTTGCGTAGATGATGAGAAACAAGCGGCCAGCAGTTGTTTTTGGAACTGTATTTCCGTAACCTTAAAAAAGTAAAATCGTCAATCGATTGTATTAATCTTGAAATAAAATTATAAGAACTTTAGAGAATATTCTGTGGCCAAAAAGAAGACCAAGATTTTATCAGAAGTAAACGGTCTTTGTTATTTTTAACAGTTGATCAAAAGAATTTGGCTTAATTTAGCGCGAGTACGTGTGATAAAGAATTGAGATTAATCAAAAGGATTATTATAATCAAAACAGAGGGTGGTAACTCTTCACAACAGCACAATTGCTAAAAAAGCGGCGAATTACATTGGCCCGAGAGTAGAGATGGGTCATTCATCTGGACAAACTTGGTCAAGAAAAGTAAAACGTAGCTGGTCTTCAAGTTCTTTTGTGTGAAAATGGTGCGTAAACGCTGGCAAAACCGACGGATGTTAAGACGAATCATCTGAATAGTTCGTCTATTTAGAGGAACTTGCATGGATGATGGATAGTTCGTTTTGATGCATCATCTGTCTGTGAGTGTAAATTCGAAATGTGGAGAAAGCAAAGTAAAACGGAAACGATACTACGTTATTTGCTCCCAACTCTCCCATAGTGTTTTACACCGAACGACAATCTTCGGGCGAACGAAGTACCGTGATTTCATATCAAATTACTCGTCATAATTTCTTTCTCCCAAAACTTTCCATAAAAACAAAGATCAAAATCTTGCTCTGCATTGTTTAAGTCAAGACTGTCTAGTCAGTGACATATGTTGCTCGTGTAAACATAAACTTAGACATTCGTCGTTAACAGGTGTCATTCAATAGCATCATTTGCATGCGTTTGACGCACTTTATATAATGTATTTTCACAATAAGGAACATTGGTCTTTGAAAAGCCTCTTGTCTGTCGTTCATCTACTGTTGCATGCTTGATCAATTCACGTGTGCTTGCTTCAATACAAAAACAATAAACGTTTAAAAATGTGAACAGAGAAATATCACTTCGTTTAACTTGAGGAGAATTTCTATTTGAAAATTGAAATGATTTTGTCTGTTTGTAATTGTTCCCATTACGGAAGCAAACCTAACTTTCGAGCCTCAGTAACAAAAGAATTTGGATTTGCAAACGTAACCAAATAAGTCTTCTTTAACCAAATAAACGTAACCAAATAAGCAAACCTAACTTTCGAGCCTCAGTAACAAAAGAATTTGCATTTGCAAACGTAACCAAATAAGTCTTTTTTTTGTGACTTGGTATGTTATTTGTTTCCAATATTGTCGACTCATATTATCGAAACATAAAGCATGATAATTGAAATTTCTGACTTGAATATATCATTCGCTGGTTATGAGTGGGTAAAGACATCTTGACCTTGACTAAAGAGGCGCGAGCAATCAACACGTCTTATAGTGCAGCAAATTGGATTCGTTAGTGTATGATGAAATTTGACAAAGTTACGAATTATCTGTTCTCACGAATAGTCTATTGCAGCATTCAAATTCATTGTATAACGTTGCCAGGGTAAAATATTTACGTACCTATAGTCGTAATAGCCTGAATAGTTATATTTAATCCTCCGTAAAAATTCCACTCCTTTGGAAAAAGCTCTTCTATGTATTCACGACGAACTTCGAGGATTATCCTCTCAACTTCACTATGATTTGATATACTACTACTCAAGATCCGCGTCATTGTCTTGTTGTAAGACTCTTTAAAGTCGATGAGAGCTTTTGCAGCAGCGTCACGTTCTAGTACGTGAAATATCCCACTACCGAGAGCGATATAAGCCACAACGAGAAAAAAACGAAAAATAAGAGTTCTCCAATAACAAGTTGACTGTGTCTCAATAATCATTTCAACGATAGTTATAATTAGTTGTTATGTTTGTATTTCTGTCATAAAATATTCCAGTCAGTTAACACTTGTCCAAGCTGTTTGACTTGCATATGTAATTTAAGTATTGCATAAATGTATTAACCTACGATGTGGGTCATGAATGTCACTGTGGATCTGATGTGATTATATCTATTTAACAGTCACCACACATTAAGATTTGAAGCATTTACGGCACAGTTCTCTCCACGATAAAATGGCAACTAAGATAAATGAATTACAAGACCAAAAGTCAACTTCCTGTGATGCATTTCAAACTTTCATTAGCCGACTTTTAAGCGTCCAACGTTACAATAATATATTCTAATTTTCAAAAGGGATTAACAAACGAACTAGCAAAGAAACAACAATAAAAATAATGAAATTGTAGCCATTTCCAGTGACTCGACAGCCTCGACTAACAACAGGTGATTACTCTGCAAAACAAAGTTACATCACTTACTCAGCCGTCGTGAAACTACCGCTAAAATTTACGCAACCGTCATGAAACTACCGCTAAAATTTACGCAACCGTCATGAAACCACAGCTAAACGACGGTTGTACAAATTCCCTTTAAGTTCGCGAACATTCACCTAATTTATTGTCATAAAGTATTTTCCTAAATCGGGAAACCGATGTAGGTTTTCTTAAAGAGGCTGACGTTGGTGGCGATGGAGATAGCGAGTGTAAACCGGATTTTTTATCCAAATCGGATGATAACGATTCCAAGGAATCGGATCCGGATTCTAGCAACATGATTGTCGTATCAGATGAGGACGATACACCTGAGTCACGCGAGCGTGCTGACGACGGAGTAGAATGCTTGTTAGATCCAGTTTGCTTCAATTTAACAGTTTGTATAGAGGAGAAACTATTGCTAGAGATTTGATCATTTTGCTTCATTTTATCAGTAGAATATTTTGAAGAACATCTGCGTACAATATGTCTTGGTTTAGGTGCAGGCCTAGTTGGTGAAGAGTCGGTAAAGACGCTGTGAACTGTGTTATTTCTAAGAAAGTAAACAAAATCAAATAATACGAAAATTGACACTATTGAAAGAGGAAGACCGAAGAAGGATGAACATGACATGAAGAATTAAAGATTTAAAGTTCGCGTTATCTGTTAAAACAATCTAGAATAACGCAGTTATAACGATGTTGTGGTTATCAACCTTTCGCCCGCTAGCGCGTTATCTTATGAAAGAAGAAAAAACGACAAAACGATCTCCCCCACTTTTATCTTTTGTTCTATTTACATTTTTATCATGACCAGAAGTACACTTCATGGAATAGAAAACACGAAAAACATGACATGCAATACAAACCCTTTCATTGCCATTTCTTTTTCAAGTTTTATTGCAAGATCTTTTAATTCTTAAAAAAAGACGTCGTGTATCATTTGACATGTTCAAAAAGACATGCTCAATAAACAAAATATTCAAAACAGTCTATGATTGAAGGACTGTTCATCATGCATGGAGCACATGACAGCTAGAGATCGCAGTATTGGTAAAAAAGTTTTTTACATATGTCTAGGTATGAATAAGTCCACGCCATTTTTACGATGTTAGCTACCTTGCAAACTTGGCTGATCTTCGCAGTTATCACTCGTATTGTCAACATATTCTGATTCTTCAAACAAAGAATTCTAGAAGGATATACGTATATTAAAAATTTATCAGAGTGTTTGACACTTGCGTCAATTCAATACAAATGTGTTCAATCTTACTTGAAGAAATTCAATATCCTCAAGCAAGAGAATCTTTTCCTCGCGAAAAACGTGTCTACAAGTTAAAACACCGACTTTATAATTATTGTAGATTAATGAAATAACACACTGCAAAGTGTTTTCTATTTCGTAAGAGTTTGATTGTCAAAAGCAGTTACCGCCGAGACAGTTCAAAAGTGGAGGAAAAGGCAGAATAGCACAAAAACACACTCTATATGTTGTACGCGGAATTTTACTTAAATTGCTATAGGGAGGGAGGCAAGTAGTTGAAAAATACATATTCAAAATAAACATCTTGTGTGAAGAAAAAAATGTGCTGCAAAAAACCTTAAACTTTCAGCTAACTGGTCAACATCATTAAAGTTGACTTGATCTTCTTGCAATAATTTCACAACATCTCTAATAAACAACAACATTCTTTAATGATTTCATATTCCACACATCAAAACATATCAAATAGTAGAATTCAATAGAGTATGTCGCAGCATTGTTAGACCCAATATTTGATATCACCTCTTTTTTCTAGGTAATGAAAATGATCTTAGTGGAGTTGAACGTCCATTCTCAATACTTATTGCTGAAGCTGGTCTTTGTTGCAATTTTGCATTGCCTGTAATGTAAAAAGTAATTATTATCATTAAAGCTGATTTATTTCGAAAACCAATTAAAAACAAATAAACGTCAAGCATAAGAAATAATCGTCAGCAAGTATTTATGGCTAAATGCAAAATAACTTTTTCTTACTTGATTTTTTGAACGCATAATCTACGATAGATCTTTCACTCTTTGATAGTGACAGGTTATCATGACTATTGCAACAAACAAATAATGAAAGAATGTTATGTTAATCTTTGAAGATTAGCCTCAAAATCACTAACTTTAGTACCTTTCATTTTGAATAGAACGTTGCTTCAGTACGGACACAAACAGTTGAATTTCTTTTATCAAATTTTCTCGAATATCTGGTGGCTCGGGTAGACGTTGACGATGAGATTTTAACGCTAATTCTGACAACAACAAAAAATCAAATGTTTTTCACATCTTTCAATCTTGACCTTGTTTGAATTTTGCATATACACTTAGCTCATCTAGGTTGAACACGTTTACCAAATACGTAGACCCTAATGCAAACTTACAAAGCGAATTCATTCGTGATTAGATTGGAAGTTAACTTAAAGTAAGCGCGTAGCTGGTTCAGTACTTTAGAACCCAATTTACTCTACACGAAAATCTTTATACGACGTAGCTAATAGTCCAATATAGAATGGATCACCGTGCACATGATCATCTAAGACACACGACTTGATAAAATTACGTATAAGCACATTTTGATACAAGAACAGGTAATTATACCACATCATATATATTTATATTAGATTTAGAACAGTAGTGCTTTAAAAGGAATGATTTCAAACATGGAGTTAATTCAGTTGTACTGGTTAGTACAATTCCAAGAAGAACTTTTGGCGTTTTTTTTGAATGATAGCTAAAGTCAAACAACTCAGCACTAACCTGGGCAGTCAACATCAAGAAACTTTTAAAAGTTTTCATTAGTTCTTAGTCTTGTGTGGTTTAAAATTGAAACTTTCAACTGTTTAAAACTTTCAACCAAACAAATTGACATAGATCACCTTTAATGTGTTTGTCATTTTCATCACTGTAGTTTTGCCATATTTCTAATAATGCAATAGCCTACATAATTTTACATAAAAGCGGCTTTGAGTTTGATGATCAACATTAACATTCATTACAGCTAATGTGGTCAAATAATTATATGTTCTGCTTAATTTCCTTACTCTTGCAACAATTGCTTAACATTTCACTAATTTTTTGTCATCTTGTAATACATAAAAATCACACATTATTCACAACTTATTGTTTATATTTAGATAACTTATAACATGGTATAGAAAACTCAAAATATGATAGTTAGGGATAATAAGGGATATGTTTTATAACATAAGCAGATTTCATTGATCAATTACATGAAAGATTAGAATGTCTTTGAATAGTGAAGTAGTCTGGTATTTTACCATGATCACCATATACCCTTGAAATAAAAACTATTACATCTTCATAGTTTTATTGATACACAAAGGATTCATTGTTAAAGCTTTGATGATCATCAGTTTCATCAAATTTATCAAGCATCATGTGTTATATTTATCTTAAAAACATTTTCTAGAATAAATAACAAACAAAAACCTCTTTGTTTAAATCCGCAACTTCATCTACGACATCTTCTCCTAAAATCTCTTCGACCTCTTGTAATTTTTCCTGAGGTAATATTTTCTTCACTTGTTCCCATAGCGACTGTCGCGGCTCAAATGCTTCGTAAATTTGACATTGAGAACTTAAGTAAGAGCTCATAACAAAACCAAGTCGTCTCTAAACATAATTTATTGCAATTTTTTCAAATATTTATGAGGAAGCATATTTTTGCGAGAAAGTCTTTCAGAGCTTATATGATGTTATCATAAGCATTTACGTCGCCATTTTGAACTGTCGTCGAAAACGACACAGCTCACCCAAGACAAAAGTATGTAATTTGCAGTTTACTATTTTGAAGCTGTTTCTAAATAAAGTTAGACATTAAGTATTGATACAATAATGAAACCGGGTTTGCAAGTGCTTCTTTAAAAAACAATTATAGCATAAGTCATAATTTGTGGGAATAGTTTATCGTTAGACGTTAGTGTTTTTTATTATCATTTGAAAGAATGTAACAAGAACAAATCTAATCAACCATGAATGTGCCATTAGGGGAAAAATACAATTTCCTTAAACAAGCCAAGATAGCCGTACATTTGGATATTTCAAATATTCCATTTATTACTTATTTCCAAATGCCAAATAGTTTGAATTCCAAACCACCTTGACAATTTCAGACACATTACACTCAGAGCATGCGCAGACACCGCAAACTGCAGCTTTTGGTATTTCAAACGTGGGCGAATGTTTTAAATTCAAAACATTGTAATACTCAAAACATAAGAGAAATTTTTGTTTGTACAACTGTATCGTATTCTGTCATTACGAAGATTGATTGTGATGATACGAAATGAGAATTTTTAAAAATACTAGAACGAAATAAACGAGTTTTTTCAGATATTCGTTTGACATCAGAAACGCAGACTTGATATTCCAAAGAATGTAAGTCAACATTCAGTTGATGTTGATCTGAAACGGACTCTTAAGATTCTAGAATCATAAAGAGTTCCAAGAAGAATTCAGTTACATCAAAAATGTCGGCGTTGCAAGGTTTGTTTAGCTAGAAATAGTACACAAAATTAAAGATCAAAAAGCTCTTATTTGAACAACCATGAAAAAAATGTGGGGTCTTTCGTCGACATCATGTTTTAACTTCTAAACATTTAATTTTATAATTGTACTTTGCCTTATTTTGATGGTACATTTTGAGAGCGTTCTGCTGCCTATATCTTGTATCATTTATATTTGAATAAATTTCTTCTGTTTTTAATTTTTATTGATTACATGATTTGCATCCTGGTTGTGAATGGAATGCGTAGCTCAAGTTGTGTTTTACTTGAATTTCATTTTGTATGTAGCTCAGAACACAATATTTTGATTTAAAATGCCCATATAATTCTCCCAGGCTTAATTCCATGTAATTTTCTTGCTATCCAACTTCACATATAAAATATTTATTGTTTACAATGGAGTGTTGGAATTTCAAAACTCCATATCAGTTGTAGTCGTTCATCAGGAGGTAGTCCATTTTGGTACAAAAATGAGAAAACTATAATCACTTTACTCCACTGTTACATGTTTGTAGATTGTCCAGGTTAGTAGAGTCCTGATAGCTCTGAAGATGACTACCGCTAAGGTTGTCGAAACATCAGTCAACAATGACAGCAACAGTCCTTCTCAGGACTTTACTAACCTGGACAATCTACATCTACAAACATGTAACGATACTCCCGGGTTCAAACCATTTACTTTATTATTCTACTGTTTTAACTATTAGAAACAATTTGTACACAACTAAGTGCTCATATGTATGTGTTTGATAATTTCTTGACTCTTGAGCATGCATTTGCATCTTGCAGGTTGTCATCAAGGATTATTTTGTATTTGTTCCAATTTATATCAGCTTTTAGACAAAATAAGTGTGAAATACGTTATGAATCTCATGAAATTCAATGATTGAAATTTTTATGTTCAATATAGAGGCCGACGAAGCTGTTCATGCTTTGGAAAATATCAATAACCGTTTGCATCAACAGGGCACAAACATATATGATGAAGAAATAATGAGATTGAAACATGTTTTAAGTAGTCCATTGTTACATCAACTGCTAGCCATTCAAGTATCATGTGCCAAGCTCAATGATATTATTGCTCGTACTAAAGGAGATACAATCAATGACTTTGAGTTCTCACAAGATGGTAAAATCATCCCTATACCAAGCAAGCAACTAAAAGTTCAGAAAGGCAATCATCATGTTGAAAAGAGGATGTCACTTAACAATCTAAAACGTGAAAATAGAGAGCTGTTTGAGAGTCTTAACTCTGCTGCTCAAGGCAGAGATATGGAGAAAATAGTTCTATCCAAGCCTGAAACTGGAGGTTTGGGTTTCACTGTTGTTGGTTTAAAAAGTCAGAACAAAGGAAATTTGGGCATTTTTATTCAAGATGTTCAAAAGGATGGCATTGCTGCCAAGTAAGTACAATGAGAGAAACACATTCATATTTCAAGTCACACGTAACTGATTTGATGTTACTGTTGTAATAAAGCATTTTTTATTCATTTATTGACTATCTTCAGAAGTGCATACTTATTGTCTAAATATTGTGTTGTATTGCTTTTACAGAGATGGACATTTACAAGAAGGTGATCAAATACTTATGATCAACGACAAAATACTGGATAGTGGACTAACACATCATGAAGCTATTGCCATTTTACAAAAAAGCAAAGGAAACATTGAACTTGTGGTTGCCAAAGGAATGCCAGGCTCAATCTCTAGAAGTTCGTCTTTTGCTAGTTCATCCCTATCAAGATCTTCTTCTGCTGTTAGCAATGTTTCACAAAATTCAGTATCTATTCCGGTATGGTTATTGGGGAATTGTGTTTTCTAAATATTTACATTACAGCACAATGATGATGAAAATAGAGTGATCAACATTTCTTTTATAAAACCTGGTTCCTATAGCTTTTTTTTTTGTGAAATATGACTTTATCTTTAAGATCAATTTTTTATACATTCGTACATATTCAGTACTTTCTTGAATGTTATTCATCTTTGAATGGTCTATCCTGCATTTTCTCACTCAAATATAAAATATTGTAATACTTTAACATAAAGAATTATTTTGAATTAGGTTGAATAAATTGCACATGTTTGTTGTAACATTATATCACGCCATTAGTATAGTAAAAATTGTCTCGTTAATCTTCATAAATTTATTGTTTGTGAAATTTTAAAGCAATAACAAATATATAATGAAGGTTGAAGAAGTCGCTAATTTTGATAAATATTTTTAGCAAAAAATCTGTAGTCTCAAGACAAAATTTGAACTTTTATGTATTGATATTTTTCTGTTTCCTATTGCAGGCGGAAGATGGAGTTCATATTCGCCACATTGAAAATATTGAACTTGCAAACGATGGAGGAAGTTTGGGTTTTGGGATAGTGGGAAGTAAAAATGGTGGAGTTCTTGTCAAAACTATTCTTCCTAGTGGAGTTGCAGATAAGGTTGGTTTGTCTGTCTACGAGATTTCATTGCTAATTATGCATTGTTATTTTTATTCGCTTGAAATGACAGTTAACAATACACATGTAATTCTCCAATTTCTACTTCTGAAGCAGCGAAGTTATATAATTTTTTACTTTCGTTGGTAGTAATCAATAGTTAATGGTGCATATAGGTAATTACATGCATCCAATTATAGGTAATTACGCGCATCCAATTCTAGGTAATTACATGCATCCAATTATGTGTCATTACACCAACATTCGTGTTTATCTACTTGCGAAGAGTTAGGTAAAGAATAGAAACGGACAAGTGCAATTAGGTCTATGGGCAATGTTGTCGTAACTAGCCTTGGATATTTCAAAATATGGTCAGATCATGCTTGATTGTCTGCATCAGCGAACGTGATTGACCAAATATGCAAGTAATTTTGTCTCACAACATTTTCCAGTACTCTATGGTAACCCAGTACTCTCTGGGAATCAATAAACCACACTATTTTCCATTCGCCTGCACTATATGTTGGCTGGCATGTATGTATATATGTGAAACGGTTTGAGTTTGTTTCAAATGTGCTTTAATTTCATTTTGCATATTTCAGGATGGAAGAATAAGAAAAGGTGACCATATCATGCAGATAGATGACACAAATGTGTCGAAAATGACCACTGACGACATTGCCAAGGTTCTACGTAACGCTCGAAATCCAGTCAAGTTGGTCATTGCTCGCGTTACTACCGAAAATGTCGAAAAAATGGTGCCGAAAAATGCAGTCGTGAGTATAATGTTATGATTTTTTTTGATTTTTTTTGTTTTTAACGTAAAAACCCTCCAGCCTGTATTTATTGTGTTTGTGTTGTGGCTAGTTTTTCTTGTAAACCACATGAGAGAAATGGTATATTTTCTGTTCTAACTCCCAAAGGAATTTTTGTTGTCTGACAGATCTGTATTGGTGGGTTGTCTATTACGTCACGGCCACCATGTTGCTTCAATTTCACAAAGCATTGTCTTTGTTAACAATGCAAATTTCAACCAACATAGCGAAATTTTTTTTGTCTTTGACTCATTGGGAAATGGTTGTAAGTCACTTGTATAAATCCACAGTTAAAGCTAAGTGTTGTTTGCTGATCATACTGTGGTTTTTGGTTTTTTGCTTATGTATTCATTTTGGGTAACTTGAGTTTTTAATTCACCTGCACGATAATAGAGAATTTAATAAAAAATATAATGACGGAAGATCAACGCAATGACAGAAATGTACTATTCTTGAATTTCCCTATGTATTTGTTTTAATTATCATTTTAGGAATTAGAAAACGCTGATATATTTGATGTTGAACTTTCAAAAGATAACCAAGGTCTCGGTATTACAATTGCTGGCTTTGTAAATGACGGGGAAAATACAGGTTAGCGCATAACGAAATCAACACTTCCCCAGAGATAGCTTGTGGTTCCGAATTTCATCTAATTACGAGATTGTTGTTTTTTTGATCTGAGAAAAGAATATTCTTTTCTTGGACAATATTGAAGAAAAAATCATCCTAAAACTTTTATATCACTATAGAGAAGCATCACATTTCATTATGTATGAAGACCAACAATATTTGCATTAATGGTGATTTATATGCGTTTACTGATAAATATCATTACGACAAACGTTATCATTTTCCTACAGTTTTTCATAGTGAATTTCTCATTACGTCTGGTGATTTCAAATAAATTATTATCCATAATTATGACATGTTGTTTTAGAACATTCACCAGGAATATTTGTACGAAGTATTGCTAAAGATAGCGTTGCTGATAAATGTGGTTTGATACAAATGAATGATCGAATTGTCGAGGTAAGTTTAAATTTATAAACATGAATCCATTGGTAATGCTCACAGAAAATGATTCTTTGCATCTGTTCTTCGTCAATGCTACGTTGCACTTCTACAAGGAATTATCAATGAACGTTGTTTCACAGCATCGCTCGATGCATTTCAGTAGTTAAACTTATGAAAGATGTGTGGGAATTTACTATGTGGTATAAGTAAATCTTTTGGAATTTGGGAGACAGATTTCAGTACAAAGTATCAGTTAATAAGTTGGTTTCTCAGGGTTTCAGTGGAAAGAGGATTTGCGTAAGAGTTTATTTAGTGCACACCATAAAGTTTCTTTCATTAGTGGATTTTTAACAGTTAATGAGCACGTGATATTTTGACCCTTTCATTTCCTCTTCTACAAAACTATTTTGCCTTTCGCTTGAGCATGTATTGTAAATTTAGGAAAAATTTTCAGGCTTTGTGAGATTTGTATGGCTCAAAACAAGTGTTATCACTGGTACTTGGGTATCACCATGGACATGCGGCGATTATTTGAGGGTTTTTTTCTTGTTTATTTATAATAGGTTAATGGGATTAACGTCGAAAGCAAATCAAATCTCGAGGCTGTTGAAGTCTTGAAGAAAACTGGTTCAGTTGTGAAACTCAAGCTTGCTCGACAAAATGCTTCGGAAATTCCTGAAACAAAGCGTTCTCAAGGTAAATTATATATTGTCGTGCGAGATTTATCACTACTATGTCGTGCTGTAGAACTATTGGTTTACCTACCTATAGTATCTATAGGTTTGTATCAGCTAGAGAACTTTACGTTTATATGGGCTAGAGAACATTATTTCTGTTTTCATTATTTTTTTGGTACTTTTTTGTCTCAAGAAAGAGGAGATGTAATAAAGATAAAGTTTTTTGTTTTCTAGATCACGTTTTTAAGACTGACAAAGAGGAAAATATCGACCACTCCGACGTCTATTGTAAGTGTTCATTGGTTATTATTCAACATGTAATATACTTGTTTACCAAAAACTGTAAAGAAATGGATGAATTCATTAGTTATTATTCAACATGTAATATACTTGTTTACCAAAAACTGTAAAGAAATGGATGAATTCATTAGTTATTATTCAACATGTAATATACTTGTTTTCCAAAAACTGTAAAGAAATGGATGAATTCTATTTGTATTTTTACATGAAACTAAAGCTGGGCCTCTTGATCCGGATGTTGTACAAAAAATCAAAGCAAAATATAAATCCATCGTTGGTGAAGACTCTGAAATTATTGTGAGTGCTCTTTGTTTGCATCGGTAAATTTTATTCATTTCCAATATAAATTTGGAATGTTAAAGCATTTTTAATCTTTCTCTTACTTCAGGTTGTGCAGCTATCAAAATTTTCTGTAAACGGTGGACTGGGTCTTAGCTTGGAGGGTTTCACGCAAGGTAAAAATAGTGGACTGGGTTTTAGCTTGGAGGGTTTCACGCAAGGTAAAATAGTGGACTGGGTCTTAGCTTGGAGGGTTTCACGCAAGGTAAAAATAGTGGACTGGGTCTTAGCTTGGAGGGTTTCACGCAAGGTTAAAATAATAGACTGGGTCTTAGCTTCGAGGGTTTCACGCAAGGTAAAAAGAGTGGACTGGGTCTTAGCTTCGAGGGTTTCACGCAAGGTAAAATATTGAACTGGGTCTTAGCTTCCAGGGTTTCACGAAAGTTAAAATCAAAGTTTTGCTTGTGTTCATGATCGATAACAGGAATGTCTGTGTGCACATTTTTAGCCTTTTTTGACATTATGAAAATTGTAATGTACATCACAAAAGATATATTGTTATATTTATCATTTTTAGAAGGTCTTCAACATCATCGTGTTCACACCGTCAATTCGTACGGTCCAGTTGGTCTTAATGGAAATATTAAGGAAGGAGATTTTCTTCTTGAGGTTTGTTGTGTATGACATTATGAAATACCGTTTGAGCAGTTTTTATTTCCGCTTTATTATTTGGATATTTTTACTAGATAAACGGTACGGACGTTTTGCAAATGTCACACAATGAAGTTGTTGAATTGATACAAGGATTACCTCTCAATTTTCGTCTGGTTGTTGCGCGACCAAATTTTGAAACCAATTATGAGATATCTACTGGTGAGTTGTGCATTTTTATGCTTTATCTAAAGAACTTTTCCTTAAGTTTAAAAAAGCCAGACACTTCGCAAAATTAGTTTCATAATGAAACTTTAGAAATGGTCAAGTAAGGTTCGACCATGCAGAAATATCTAGAACTTCGATACGTTTGCGTGTACGTAGCTTACAGCTGTTTTGTTGTATCTTTTTTCTCTCAAAACTTTCGTGTTCGTTTTTCAAGATAATAATTTATCAAATGGTGTGTCTGCTCCGTCTATGTGGTCATCTGAAGTGGAGTATATCGATCTAGAAAAAGGCGATAGAGGACTGGGTTTCAGTATTCTTGATTATCAGGTACAACAACATCAATGTAGTTTCATTTTGAATGCTGTATAAAATTCTCAAAAGGAATGAATTTTTTGTCGGAAAAGTATTGCCTTTAGAACCAACAAAGAGATGGGCTCCTTTACAAATAACCAACGATAGATTAGTCTATACGAAGTAAACGATAGACTATTGAAACTAACCATGTTTAATCCGTACAGGATCCTGTACTTCCTGATGAAACTGTCATTGTGATACGTAGTCTAGTGCCACATGGCGCGGCAGAGCTAGATGGTAGACTAGTGCCAGGACACAGATTGATGTCAGTGAATAAAACGAACCTGGAACACGCAACTCTTGATATGGCTGTGCAGACCTTAAAGTCAGCAGAAAGAGGTTCGTCACGGTATACTTCTATCAATTTTCACTAATCTTTTGGAATGCATGCACAATTACAGTCTATGAAGCAATTTTTTGTCATACAATGTTTGAGTGTTATTCTTCAATGAAGGTCTGTTATTGTAGGTATAATAATATCTGATATATAATAATGTGTAATAATAGCTAATAATAGACAATAATAATTAATTAATTAGTTAAACATCGTGAACAGGGACACACTGAGAAATTTAATTTGAACGTGTTGGTGCTATGTGTCTGACTCTAGTTTATTCATCGTTCGACTTGTTCATGTCAAGTAACATCCAAACGAACATCTTTTGTTCTTTTGCTTTTTTAGGTATTGTTCGAATTGGTGTTACCAAACCTCTCTCTCTCCTTGAAGACATTGACGTTCCTACAGGTATCAAACAACGCTGTTAAAGATTGTGTTGTGTTTTTTTTGAAAGGAAACTACTTGCATCTCCTGTTTTTTCTTTTCACGCCACGATTGAAATACAAATTTACATTAGGAGACATGAAGTTTTAGTCTTTTACTTCTCTTCTTTTTTTGGTCATAAATCTGACTTTTTGTCATGACGTCACGCTGTGATTAGTTTGGACGTGAAGTTTTAGTCTTTTTTACTTCCGTTCTTTTTTTGGTCATAAACCTGACTTTTTGTCATGACGTAACGCTGTGATTAGTTTGGACATGACGTTTTAGTCTTTTTTACTTTCGTTCTTTTTTGATCATAAATCTGACTTTTTGTCATGATGTAACGCTGTGATTAGTTTGGACATGACGTTTTAGTCTTTTTTACTTCCGTTCTTTTTTTGGTCATAAATCTGACTTTTTGTCATGACGTAACGCTGTGATTAATTTGGACATGACGTTTTAGTCTTTTTTACTTCCGTTCTTTTTTTGGTCGTAAATCTGACTTTTTGTCATCATTTAATTTTGTATGGTGAGGTTATTTTGATCAATTTTTAGATCCATCTCAATCATGTTTTATATTTAAAGGAGATGATGACGAGAATGAATCAGATGAAGAACATCACCATCCTTTGCCCTTCAATATCGAAGATTTTCCTAACATTGCTCCTTTGAAAGATCGTCTTGAGACAATTCGAATCAACAGAAAATCTGTTGGAAAACTCGGTGAGTGTTTAATAGAACTAGCTAATGTATCGTTGCTCATTTGAATATTGGGGGAAATTCTGATTTTTGCTATTCTACTTTTGTGCGTTAGTGGCCTCTCCCTTCCTCATATAATTAATCAATCTTCTCCCACGGCTATCTGTACATCCGATTCAACTGCCCCACAGGTATCTGTATGACCTATTCAACTGCCCTCCCCGAGTATCTGTTTTACCCGTTCAACTGACCCCACGAGTATCTGTTTGACCCATTTAACTGCCCCCACGGGTATTTGTTTTACCCGTTCAACTGACCCCACATGTATCTGTTTGCCCTTCCAATTGCCCCTTGCGAGTATCTGTATGACCCATTTAACTGCCTTCATTGAGTATCTGTATGACCACCCAATAGCTCTCACTGTTCCCTTGGCTCATTCGCCACTGATTACAAGCGCTTCTTATTTTTGTTGGGCAGGCATTTCTTTTCGCAGTGATGAAGATCAGAGTGGCTGCGAAGTGAAAGAAATTTTCCAGGGAGGAGCTGTTGATCTTGATGGACGTATCAACGTCGGCGACCGTGTTCTAAGTGTAAATGATCAAAGCTTAGTTGGTTTGAATCATCATGAAGTGAAGTACGTTAGTTTTATCTTTTGCGTAGCTGTTTTACTACGATAGGTGTCTTGGTAACTCCTTCTTACGTTGCTTATCTACTGAATCAAATAAAATGAAATCAGTGACGTAGCATAACTACAGAAAGAAATATTTGACACTGAAAAAATTGAGATGTAAAAAGAAGGTGGATCTTATCTTGCTGCGAAAATCATTTATACTTTTCTCTAACTTTCAGAGCTATGCTGAGAAAACAAACTTTGTTGAAAGAAATTAGGTAAAATATCCTCAAGAAAATTTAGAAAAAGTACTGCGCGCTATGCGAAAAATTGCTAAATTCATGTCGCTCGTTTTCATGGTGATATTTCTATATTTTTTTTCACATGATTTACATGCACTATTTGTAATAATTAACATAAGTTCTTTGTCTACTTTAGCTTCATCGTGATCAAAAAACAAGTTCTGTCGACAAGACGTAAGTCGAGGAGCGAGGAAGATAGCGAGTCCTCGAACCAGTCTCTCGTTTCAGGAGCAAAAACTAAAGATGATAATGGTAGTGTTGAAAACATCAGGTAACCCTGTTTAAAGTTGTGGCACATATGTGGAAATTTTGATGTAGTTTTTTCACCTTGCCATTCATCAAATATTTCAAGGAAATAAAAAAGCGTGCAATTTAGTTCGACAAGCAACACAGTAACCAACTGAATATTCAACTGAAGTGATACTTTTACATAAACATTTTAATAATTGGCAACTCTTATTACTGTACAATCTCACATAAAACTATACGATCACTAATAATCTTCGATTTATAGTCGTGCATGAATGTTTGTTGATATTCCAGCTTCAAATTTAACCTTAACCAGAATACTCTGCATTCAGTATTACAAAAATTGAAGTGGGAACCTCTAGAAAAAGCTAAAGCAAAGCTGATGTTTAAATTATTAAAAAATGCAGGACCAAATTCACTTACTAGATTGTTTACCTATACAAAAGACATCACTGATTACAACCTACGCAATATTACAAGTTGTCTGAATGTTTCTATGCCTAGTACTAACTCCTTGAAGAAAAGCTTTGCGTATGATGGGGCTTCTGTTTGGAATTCAATTCCAGCAGAAATCAGAAATAGCAAAAGCGTGTCACTTTTTCAAAAGAAAATTGCCGTTTGCATTTTATGATTTAGTTTAACATGTAACTAATTGAATACACTATACTCTGTAAATATTTTAACTTATCTTTCTCTTCTATAGTTATTTTAATTCTTAGTAAATTTTGTAATCGCTTTTGAACAAAAGCACGCCCCTCGTGGAAATCAACCCCAGTTGTCGAGGCCAGCGTGTCAAAGTAAAGATTTTCATTCATTCATTCATTCATTCATATACAGTTCAATGCATACTCTGCCATCCAGTTCTATATACAGTTTAATGCATGCCAAAAATGTAAAACACTTACCATTCAAAGATTGCCAGTAAGTCTTATTCTTCTTTTCCAACGGGAATCATTCTAGAAACACAGTCAATTATCCATCAAAAGAGCTTGACAATGAGACAGGGGAATATTCAAGTATCTTAAATGTTGAAATCATGCGAAACCCTGGTCAGAGCCTGGGGATCAGTATCGTTGGCGGGAACGAGGAAGCATTTGGTAAAGGCATTGTTGGAATATTTATAAGAAGTCTCGTGGAAGGTAGTCCTGCTGGCAAAGAAAATGGTTTAAAAGTCAATGATCGCATTCTGGAAGTAAGTCTTTCATTGAATTTGTATCTTCAGAGGAAAATAGCCTCACTCCCCCCTCAAGATAAATTCAATTGATGGATACAGAACATTCTAAGTTTTAACAAAAAAAATATCCTGGTGTTGGCTGCCATGTCCTGCACTGGTTGGTTGGCGAGTTAAGAGATATATTCAGGGGGCTGCCATTTCCTGCACTGGTTGGGTGGCGAGTTAAGAGATATATTCAGGGGCTGCCATGTCCTGCACTGGTTGGGTGGCGAGTTAAGAGATATATTCAGGGGGCTGCCATGTCCTGCACTGGTTGAGTGGCAAGTTAAGAGATATATTCAGGGGCTGCCATGTCCTGCTCTGGTTGAGTGGCGAGTTAAGAGATATATTCAGGGGCTGCCATGTCCTGCACTGGTTGGGTGGCGAGTTAAGAGATATATTCAGGGGCTGCCATGTCCTGCACTGGTTGGGTGGCGAGTTAAGAGATATATTCAGGGGGCTGCCATTTCCTGCACTGGTTGGGTGGCGAGTTAAGAGATGTATTCAGGGGGCTGCCATTTCCTGCACTGGTTGGGTGGCGAGTTGGCGAGAGATATATTCAGGGGCTGCCATTTCCTGCACTGGTTGGGTGGCGAGTTAAGAGATATATTCAGGGGGCTGCCATTTCCTGCACTGGTTGGGTGGCGAGTTAAGAGATATATTCAGGGGGCTGCCAATTCTGCACTTGGTTGGGGGCGAGTTAATGTTATACATCGCTCACATAAAAATAAACAAGATGGTACCATTTTGCTCTTAGCGCATCACAAAATTAAATATGTATAGAAAAGTACAAGCTGAAGGTCTCTACCTAAATTCCTGAATCTAGTGAAATATCGCGGCAGATTCTTGCCATTTGTTAATACATGGTTTAGTAAAAAAATATTTTAAAATATTTTTGTTTTGTCTTTCAGTTAAACGGCCATGATTTAAGTGATGTATCCCATGATGCTGCCGTAGAAGTGATACGTAATGCAACATCACCATTGACGTTTGTCGTGGAAAGGCTTAGTGAACAAGACACAGTTCCAAAAACTGCTGACATATTTTCTTTAAACGAAGCATCAGACGATCAACGAGATGACACCCTTGAAAACGAACTAGCTCTTGCTGGAAATAATGTCATCGAGAGTTCTTTCTTGAAAGATGAGAAAGGTTTGTAGATGGTTTGTATTTTGAAGCATAGATGAAGCCTTACAATAGGGTAAAGTTAAGTTTGCACCACAAAAGGTCATGTTATTTTACTACTTATGACGTCAAAACCAAAAAATCATTCAAAAGCTCGTCGTCTTTCTATTACTTCCATCATGCATGTGTTCTTTATTAATTTTGTTTTGACTTTGCTTAAAACTCATTTAAAATACATTCAAACATAACTACGATGGGCAAAAACGTTATGTGTTTCATAGATGAAGTACAAAGGCTACGTGAAAAATACCCGGATGTTGATGACGAACTTTACACTGTTGATCTGGTGAAAGGCGAACTTGGCTTAGGTGAGAATTTCTCTTTTTAACGTATCTAATTAAACATAGGAATATTAACTATTTCTCTCTCGCATCACTAATTCCTGGAATGTTCAGGATGTTTCACTCTCTTAACCTAACCTTTTTTGTTCAAAATTGTGACCAGAAATTTTTCAGAATTTGCCATATATATGCATATGACAGCCCAAACTATAATTTTAATTATCTTAGCACCCAAGGTAGCTCCTTCCACTTCAGCAACTTTGATGTGTCTTTCCTTCTTCTTGTTAGTGTCATATCTCTTCTTTATTCTGTACTGTGTCATCTAAATTTGCTAGTACTTGTATTATGTAAATTAATTCATGAATAAATATACAATCAGTAAAAATACATTAAATGAATAAATTAGTAAATACACGGCCATTTTGCTTATACTTGAAGTAAATACGTATATATCATTTTATGCGAACTTGTCTTTATTCAAAGACGAAATGTCATTATAAAAACCTTTAAGGCAGCCATGTTTTTGATATTCATGAATCGTGGCTTCATTTAAGGTCTGAGTATTGCTGGTGGACGTGGTGCTAATGCAAATAGAATATTTGTTGTTGAGGTCAAACCAAACGGTGCTGCGTTTCACGATGGCAAGATCAAACCAATGGATGAAATCCTTGAGGTTAATCACGTGACAGTACGTGGAATATCACATCACGACGCATCAGCTATCTTACGTAACACACCAAAACATGTTCATCTGGCATTGGGTAAAACTAAAGAGGGTGCAAATTCCTCGAAACGTCGTAGTACTGCCTCTCGAGGCTCAACAATTTCATTAGAACGTGCCCACTCGCCATCTTCAGATCATTATGCATCAAGTTTATCTCTTAATAAACTCGTGCCCAGCTCTTTTGCAGTTGATCTGAATATGCCACAAGCAGATATTCCTGTGCCTGAAATGACGACTCAAGAACAACCGACCGTTGTCAAACTTATAAAGGTACTTAATTATTTGTGATTTTTGTTTATTTTTCATTTATATGTGAAGGCCATTGAACTAAATTTATAACTTGAAGACGACCTTCGGGTAAACATACCCTTTAAGTTATACGTGGAAGGGTAAGGAGTAGTTGAATTGCTGTCTTCAAAATTCAGCAAAAGGTAGCCTTCCAGTTGTATTTAGTTAAATGGTGTCGTTTGTCAACATCGACTTTTTGCTGTAAAATGTAAAATGACGTCAATTGTAATAGTTTATAATTAAATTATACGATGAAAATAGCGTTTTAGTAAGTTGTCATCATTCATATGTGAAGTTTTCTTTTTAAAGGGACGCAGTGGCCTTGGTTTTGCTATTGGTGAAGGACCTAGTCATCGAGCGGGAGAACAAGGAATAGTTATCAAGAGTATTACACCTGGAGGAGTAGCAGAGCAAGTAAGATGTTCTCTCTTTGTGTGGAGGCTTTTGCGCTCTTAAAAAAGAAGTTTATGTGCCATTTGCGTTAGAAATGTTTTTTGTTTGAAGATTCTTTACATATAGATTATTTTTTCATTTTTGACAGGATGGAATGTTGAGAGTTGGTGACGAAATTTTAGCAATCAACGGAGAGTCAATTGTTGACTGCTCCCATTTAGAGGTTGACATAAATTTTTGAAAGAAAAATATCAACATACGTACAATGAAAAAAATTCATTTTCGTTATTTTTTTGTAATTGTCGAGATTTATCGGAACAAATTCGTTTTCTTCACGTCACAGGTTGCACGTATACTCAAATTTTGTACTGGGGAGATAAAGTTGTCCACAATCAGACCTCAAATAGCGAATAACGTTGTTCCAAACAGAACAAACGAACTCAATGCCAACTTCCTATCGATAGGAAAAGATTCAAGCAGAAATTCATCAATGGAGAATTTAGGTAAATTCAACAACCACTTATTTTCGCTGCATGCTTCGTGGAAAGTTCTTAATACATCAAGTGATCGCTAGCATATTTCACTTCAATGTCGCTCATTTTTATATAGTGTCAGCAGGTAATCCACTGACCGCACCGATCATTTCTGGACAGGAATGCGAGATTGAAATTGATAAAGGCGATGTGGGACTGGGTTTGAGTATTGTTGGGGGAAGTGATACAGTCCTGGTAAATAGTTTATTTTCGAAACATATTCATATTTTTCTAACCTGTTTTTTAAAATTAAATTATGTGAATTGTGGCGATTAATAGTCGATAGATTATTACGTACAAAATCCGATGTTGACAATTTAGGGTGTAAGTTGAGGATGTTTAAAGGAAACATTGTGCAATGACTATGAAATCATCTACATCTTTTCAATAATGTTGTTCAATACAGTAGTGAACTAATACTTTGGGCGGATGAGTTAGTGAACAAATTTAAAACTTAAACTTTGACTTTATTATTTTGTTGGGCATTTTATAGTTAGATGTTTTACTGTAACTTTCAGTGAGTGAGACCTTATATGAACGAGTTTCCCAATTGGGTTAATCAGAAAATAGCAATAAACGTTAACTCTTTGCTGTTATACTTTATTCTTCTTGAAATCAATCATAAAACTAATTCATTATGTAGATATTAACCCGTTCCTTTCTATGTGACAGGGTTCAATCTTGATACATGAAGTATATGAAGATGGGGCAGCAGCACGAGATGGTCGTCTTTGGGCTGGTGATCAAATAGTAGAGGTAAAAATATGACTGATATCAGTGAATACTGCTATCGTAAATTTCAATGCAGAGAATATTTTGAAAAAATATCACCGTTCTTAACATCATGCAGTCTTTCCTTTTCTAACCTAAATCAATAATTCTTCGTGTGATTTATACTGCTATGCGTAGGTAAATGATGCAGATCTTCGCAAAGCTACTCATGATCAGGCCATGGATGTATTAAGAAATACATCGTCAGTTGTACGTCTGCTTGTTCTTCGCTCTGAAGCACAATTTAGAGATGAAGGTCTGTAGCTACTGAAGATGTATTCTGACATACCTATGGTGGTAATATCAGTATATTCAGTTGCATGATAGAGTTCAGTGCACCATACCGAAACTGGAGTGAAGAATCGGGAAAAAAATATTTTCATTTACGGTCTTCATTCTGAGACAAATAATTTTTTGAGAATTTTTTCTTGATTTGTTTCTTGATTGCATTCCAAACATATTACAGTATATATGATCACCGAAATATTTTATAAAAATGTTTTATTTTTGTTGTAGATGCTTTTGATTACATAGATGTGGAGTTACAGAAATATCCAGGTCAAGGTTTAGGCCTTAGTATTGTTGGAAGAAAGTAAGATTTTTGCCTTATTCCATACATTGTTTAGTATCGTTAACTTGATAAAATTTTCTTTCTATAAAATGTATTTGCCAGTTTCGGTATTGTCTCCCGTGTTTTGAAAGGCCAATCACGTCATAACCTATTGATTATTTCCATGTCTAAAAAGTTTATTTTTTACTTTACAGGAATGATACGGGTGTGTTCATTTCGGATGTGGTAAGCTGAACGTTATTACAATATTTGTTTACAACAATTTGTTTTATAATAACTCTTCAATTGATTTATTTACCCATACCCTCCCCGCCTCATCTTTTTCCTTCACAAACAAAGTACTTCGCTACTACAAATTTTCAAATCTTTAATTTTTCAACCTAGAGTGAATGTTAGCTCAATGATTTCTGTTGTCTTTGCTCTGTTCGTCCAACTCTTTGCACAATTCTACTTTCAATTCTTATCAATTCTACTTTCATTCTTCAAACTTGGGTTAAAGTCAATTTCTATATGTAAAACGTCTGGTCAATTCATATTAAGGTTACTGATTTCTGTTGTCTTAACCAATATTGGTAGAGCAATTAACATGCATAGTCTTTGAAATACGTACAAATAGAATGCTTACTCGTGGAACAAAAATCACATTCCAAAATGTACTCCCCGCCTCCCTTGCTCTTTCTTTACATATGTACTAAAATAATGACTCGCAAGCATATGTTGATTTCTTGTTTAACAGGTTAGTGGCGGTGTAGCTTATCGTGATGGACGACTTATGCCTGGTGATCAGATCCTCAGTGTGAACAATGAAGATATGAGGAATGCTACTCAAGATGTTGCTGCTCGAAGTTTGAAGGTAAAATATCCACGATTAAATATAGCATGACGTATTCAATCATGGTCAATCAAGATGTGTGCGCTTAGGACAATTCAGGGAAAGAGAAACACGTTCGTTTTTATAGATGACTTAACGACATTTCTCTTGCAACGTTCTGAACTAAGAAATATTGTGGAAAACTCTTGAAGACATTAATGAAAAATTCGAGTTTAATGTTTAGGTTAATGTTGTCTGTCGAGTTATAGATGAAGAGGTTAAAATTGATCGAGGTTCAAAGTATTGATCTGTTTGTTAAGATAAAGCTAAGGTCGATACCATTGACCAATTTGCCAAGATGCAAAACGAAATTCGATGATTTTTTTGCTTCATGTTTAAATACGTTGGAGACTGAGTTAACAATTGCAAATTTATGCTCAAGGTATAATGATATTTTATAATGATGCATATCAATGGCTTTTCGCAGCGAACGATTGGTCGAGTTGTAATCAGCGTGGCACGTCTTAAACCGAGTTCTCGGGCATCTTCTCCGCGTGTATCGATAGAAAGTTCTAGTTTATACAGTTTTCCTGCAGCTCGTAACTTTCCTAAACCTGGGAGCCCTTTTGATGCCGAAAAATTCCCACCTGTCATTGGACCACCACCTTCATATGGTAAGCTATTGTTACGTTCTTTTGGTGATTGTATGATCATTTTGATATGTGATCGTTTTGATGCTTGATCATTTTGATGTGTGACGAGGTTATAAATCCATAGCATAATAGAATTCAAATTATAATTGCTCTCAATTGTAAAAATCTTTATTCCATTTTGTAGGTGAGAACGGAGGTGGCGCCCGTAATCAGGAAACGAGGTATGTCACGATGCTTGTTTTTTATTGGACGATGAACTTTTAAAACGAGTTATCAAACGTGTATTTTTTCAACAAATGTTTAAGAATTTATTTCAATGAATGTCAAAAAATTAATGAAGAATTTGATTTGCCTTTTCTCGATTTTCCAGAGACAAGTTTCGTTTTATTGCAATGTATACAAAGCCAATCCTGTAGCAATACTAAACAAACAATATCATTATATTAAGTCAGCGTTTACACTATACCAGATTCCTTCATCACGACATCCTCATATGCTTTATAGGGATAACCGTTCGGTGTAAAAGCTTATTAAGTTGATAGATTTAGTCTATGTTTCTGACGTTTAACAATTTCACCACATTTTAATACAAAGAAAATTCAATCTGCTACGGTAGTAATCCGGTATGGTGTAAACGGGGCCTAAATAATATAATAGGACTTTCTTTTTTCATCAATGATTGCAAAATGAATGAATTATTATTTCATTATTTTATACGATTCTTAGAAGACCGAGAACAGAAGTAATAGATTTAGAACGAGGACCTGATGGACTTGGTTTCAGTATTGTTGGTGGTCATGGGAGTCCACATGGTAATCTACCCATCTACGTCAAAACTGTTTTCCCACAAGGTGCTGCGGCCCGAGATGGTCGCTTAAAGCGAGGAGATCAGATTATCGCTGTGAATAATCAAAGTCTAGAAGAAATCACGCATGAGGCTGCTGTGGCTATATTAAAGAAAACCAAAGGAAGCATACGTCTTGTCATTATACCCCAGGTTGGATCGTAATTAAGTGAATAAAATCATAAGTTTTTATAGTTATGTATCACTATTTAGTCCGTAATTGATGACGTATAAATGACATGTATAGAGCAACGCAATTGACACAATATGACGCAAAATGTAAAATCTATATAGGAACCAAGATAACTTTACTTACGCTTAAATAATATAATTGGCTTTGGCAAATAAACGAACGAATGTGATTCGGACGAGTCAATTTGTAATGAATTTATACTAATACATTTAACACAACAATCTAACGAGAACGAGGAGATATTTTTCATTTGCATAGAAATTATTTTGTCCGACTTCTCATCCAAAAATCTGCAGTTACTCTTTAATTACTCCCCGATATCGCACAAACATTTCTGCAATTTAAGTCTTACCTGAGTATGAATGTTTACTGAGCATTTTGCATCTTTAAACGTCCTAGATAACGTATGGTTTATCTGCTCTTCCATGAAAAACAATCATTCTTGTATGCCGTGTCATTTTTGTCCGACGTCAGTCTGTAATTAACTACATCTTCTTCAACTAGGTATGGCTAGCTTTGGCACACTGTAGTTTTTAGTACGAACGGAATATTGTGATTTTGTATCGATGTAATCCATTACCACTCCGTTTAATGATCAATGCAGTTTGAATACTCGAAAGCCAAATAAAATTTGTGCTTGCATAGATCTTCCTAAAGAGTTTTCGTCTCTCTTCATACACATTCTAGGAGAAAACACGTATGTAGCTAGCTTGATGATTTATACTGCCATCTACAATACACACAGATAATGATGTATAGTTGTTAATGTCGTCATCTTCTTAATAAATTTATCTCTGTTTCACTCAATGGCTTATCATCCAAGACTCTGGTCTTTAAAGTAAATGGTTTGAACCCGGGAGCATCGTTACATGTTTGTAAATGTCGATCGTCCAGGTAAGTAGAGTCCTGAGAAGGACTGTTTTTGTTCTTGTTGACTGACGTTTCGACAATCTAGACTCTGAAGATGACTACCGCTAAGGTTGTCGAAACGTCAGTCAACAACAACAAAAACAGTCCTTCTCAGGACTATACCAACCTGGACGATCGACATTTACAAACACTCTGGTCTTTATCTTTTCCATGAGGGTAATTTAAAATTATAGTGCCATTAATAGTGCAAGTAGCTACATTGGTTGTTTGTTTTTAACTCATTTTCCAATTGAAGACATTTCTCTAACTTCAATATGCTATTGTAAAATAAAGGAAATTAATGAAGAAAGAAAACAGATCTTTGTTTTTCACTTGGCTGTGAGTTTTTGTAGATCCAAACCGTTTCTCCCGTGAAATGAAACCACGTCACTAACGTTTAGATCTTTATCATCATTAGAAATTCTACCAACTAATTTTGTCTTGTTTAGCTATGTTTCAATAAAACATTGTGCTGTGGCATTCACATTTACCGACAGTCTCTTATCGACATTTTGTGTTTGAAAGCTTCATTTACCCTGATAACAAAAAGAATGTCAACGTTATTCAAGTACTGTGTAGCAGCTGAGGTTAGGTTCAGCGCATGCCACTCCACTTTTTGTATAGACAAGCATAAGTTTACAACCCCGAGGCCCTAGTACCATGAGAAAGTATCAAGTTACTAACTACTGATGCTTTCACAAGACAAACCGTTTGTAGATAATATATTTATCTTCTCGTAAAAAGAGAAATGTTTGAAGTTTGAACGTGTTTGTTGAAACCACCTAATTGATCATGAGTGACGTCATTAGTTGAGAACTCCGTGACAGAAACATCTTCGTTTGCACGTTGAAGGTGCGATGAAGCCTTTTCTATCATAAAGGTAAAATCAACACAAAATGGTTTTTTTGAATGAAATCTTTCAAAACAACCAATAGACAGACTTCAGGTCTTCAACGAATTCAAGGCTTTAGCTAGTCCAGGAAATAATCATACAAAGAATAAAATGTCAACATGATGCTAAAGGTCCATAAAAATTTCTAACATTAACAGGTTATTATTTACTTCTGGTTGAATTGAAGAATACAATCTAAAACACCAGGATCAAACTTTGCATCTTCAAGAAGTGATCCTTTAAACAACAGTTTCTTCTCATGAATAAGTTTTAAAAAGCTTGAGCAACTTGCACCATACAATGGTGGCTTATGGGAAGGTCCATTTGTGTGCTGGCCGACATTGAAGGCTCGGCACTGGCGAAAATCAGCACCATTCAGATTGGCATTAGTGAAGTCAATTCTTACATTGCTTCCAAATTCACAGCCATAAAATGAAGCTAATCTAAGATTGGCTTCAACAAAACTAACATTGTGAACAAATGCAATATGAATAAATGATAAACTGCATAAATTTTGTTTGTCAAAATTGAGATTTGATCTTGTCATATTTCGAGTGTTTTTGTGGTCCAAAGGATTTGAGTCATTACTTCTGTTACTAAACAGGGAATTGACTTGATCTTGCGTCAATGTGTTTGCCGGTAATGTGGTAGAAGATATAAGTGCTTCCTCAATAATTTTAGATAAACCCGGAAGTTGAAAATAATCTGCGTCCCTGTAAATATGCTTCAAAATTGTACGATCTTCCGGAAGAGTATCTGGTGATAAATCACCTCGCAGATAATTCAAAACGTATTTAAAATATGTGCCATCTCTGTCAATAAAATAAGTGTTTTCAGAAGTTGGTATCATTTTATGCCTTCCTGAAAACATCACAGCTAACATAGACGACTTATCACGAGTTAAAGTAGCTAAAGATGTGGAGAAAAAATGTCCTCCAACATCTAACTTGATGTGAGAATTCTGTATTTCGTAAATATTTGTCATGAAACTCTTTTCTTTCTCTAATTTTAGTTTCTCTTCTTCAAGTAAATGTCGTTGTTCTTTGACCTCTTCATCAAATTTCTGCCACGCTATCTTCATTTCTTCGTTGAATTTGGCTTGGGATACTTCAAGATCTCTCATTGCCTTCTCTAGGAGCTCTTCTCGTCTGGTAAACTTTTCTAAAAGCAGCGAGAAATCATTTTTAACATTAGTTTTAAATTCTTCGTGATTTTGTAAAGAACCTGCCATTTTGTTTGTTTACGTTTTATCATCGGGGAGTTGTAAGACTGGGATCAAGTTTTGTACTTCACAACAGTTTGATATGGTTTGACTTTTGGATATATGTTGGAGTCGTCTTCCTCTTCCTTTTCACGGCAACTGGAAGAATTTGATGGCGGTATGCAAGCATAGAGAGCATTCAGAGAAGGACGTCTACAAAGAATTAAAAGGATTTCAAAAAGATGAGGTTTAAAGCGAAGCTTGTGGATATATCGTCCATTCATAAATTTACAAGTTAGTATTTACCTAAATTTTCAATGGCTATACAGTGATTCTGTTGCCGTGATAAATATTGTTTTTATGCAATATTTAATGCAGCTTGGTATCTTTCTAGGTGTAGTTTCAACTGTCTCTCATATGGCAAAGATGTGTGCCTTGAGGTTGTCTCCAAGCACACTTTATTTTATCATGAATGACACAGCTGCAGAAGGTGGTGCTACAGTTTGGTGTGAAGTGAATCAGGTAGAGCTTTCTGAAGCATATTTAAAAGCTATGTCTGTTCTCCCCTTCCAGCTTAATTTTTTACCAGCTGGCAATTAAACTGTATTTGGTATTAATTTTTTTGCACATAATTATAGTACTACCTGTAGTAGTGTTGCCAGCCTGCAAGTTTTAGTTCTGCTATGTAAATTTTAGATCATTAAAATTAACATAGAAAAATTAAAATAGCAGAACCAAATTAGCAGGTTGGCTACACTACTGTGTGTTGCAATCATTTAAAAAAGTAAAATTTCATTTTTATTTGATGATTTGAAGAGCTCTTTGTTTGAGGAGTTTCGGATTGAAGGAATCGAAGGAAGTAATGACAACATATATTTGGAACTTTGTCCAGAAAATCTTGTGAAAGCAATGAGATCTGCTGCAAATGCACAAATGGTGAAAATTAAATTGACAAACAAAGTCACTCCATGTTTAACATTTGAAATCTCATTGGTAAGTATATTTACAACTGAATATACATAGTATGTATCAAGTCGTTCCCAGGCTCTTTACTTTGACCAGCAATGTAGGAGCATCAATATAAAGAGAATGGGAATGAGGTTGCTATATTATATGTATTGTTGTTGTTGTATAAATCATTATCAAGGAATTAATCATAGGCTGTTCAAACAAAAGCACAAACCATGGTCATAGGAAGATCAATATTTTGAAGGGGGGTGGGGAGCATTCATAGTAGAATCTGTATTAAGCGGTCACCCTTGGTGATTTCTCATGTGACCATTTAATACAGGTCTTCAGGAAAATTACCAGACGGGCTACGTGTAATATTTCATACAACTAAATTGAAACAATTTGTTTTTGTCCCTTAATATACATGCCAAATAACAACACTATATAAAGCAATTTTTTCTTAATTTGAACTAGAAATTAAAAATAGTATACATAAAAATGTCAAGGCTCAAACAGCTGAAAAATAATCAATGCAAGTGTGTCAACAGAGAAGGTGGTTATAACTTTTAAATTCCATCCTTTCTTGAAGATATGTTTCTTTTAATGGCTGAAGGGATGTTAGAAAAATTCAAATTACTGGTGTAATCGTCCACATAAATAAAAAGTATTGTTGACACTATCGAGTGATTAAGGATGAAAAATACAATACAAAGACATTTATACAATATGTGGCATGTTCCAGATAAAATATTTAATTTTGTCTAACCTTGTTTTTCATTTCCCATAGCCATCAATGGTCCGTTCACGAAAATTGATACATGACACTCCAGTTACAGTTATTAGACAAGCTGAATGGGATGATTATCAAGAACCACAACTTCAGCAATATGATGTTTGCTATATTATTTATCTTATACGCACTGCATACCGTCATATCTATTTATAAATTTCGTTTTTCACGAAATTTGAATTTCGTGGAAAGTCAGCCAACCAATGAAAACTATTCACTTACTGTTTAGATAAGCATCTGTATGCCGTCACTCAAGACAGTAAAGAATATTGTGGATAAAATGAAGCAATTCAACAGTCAAATTGTAAATAATTTTACTATACTTTTTATGTAGCAACGGACTCCTCAAATGAAAAATGTTCTATATTTAAGAGGCTGTTTTCATGAGAAGCACTATGGTGATGGCTAGCCTTCTCTGAAGGCTTTTGCCGAGATAAAAACTGTGCTTGCATTTCGCGCTTTGACGCTTAATAAAAATCGCAGTCCACAAACCAGAATAGTTATTGCTAGTTTCTTTTCACACTTTCTTTGCTGTCTTTTCTTGCTGCGATTGTTAAAAAAGGATCTCTCGCGGCGTGCGTATTCTTTAAATTTTCCCCTTTTTTCAGCTTCACAAAGAAGGCTGTTGGTTTAAGCTGCATATGAAAAATTTTCAGCCCTTTCAAGCGAGATCTTTGGTAGTCAATAGCGAGCTCTCGGCTCCTGTCATGTAAACTAATTTTTAGTATGGATTAACGATTTTAGCATGCAGGATCTCGCCCTGTTGGGCCAGCCTTTCCTGTAGAATCGTGTAAACAACCTCTTTGTCGCCGTCAAGTTAACACAAATTGTTAACTAATATTTCATGATTTTTTGTGAAGTTTCAAAATTTGAACAGTCAATATTTCATGCTTTACCAAGTCCGACATTAACTTAGTATGATACATACAAGTCCGACATTAACTTAGTATGAAACACATAAGTTTCGACATTTTCTTCCTCATAAATAGGTGATTTCAGCAAACTCAAGAGGATGTATGACTTTGAAAGTTGCCACCGATTTAGTGACAACGACAACATACTTTAAGGGACTAGAAGTTGAAGATTTGGGTTAGTAATCATTTTTGGCAGTTTACGTAATCACAATACAGCTTTATGTTCTATTGCCTACATGCATAGAAATTTGTTGTTGTTTTTTTCATAACGTTGTCTTTTTTTTACGACAAATAATTTTATTTTACGATAGAAGGAAACCATTCGAATGCAAGCAACTGCAGTAACACACCGAGAACGACGGAAGCAACGTTGGACATCAAAAAGTTTTTGGCTTTTTTTCACGGTCAGAATATCAACCCAACTAAAGTAATATGTAGTGAGTACAAATACTTTCCTTCAAAGTTGATTATTTTGCTGCATGTGTTCTGTCATAGAAGACGTCTCAGTATAAAGTACAGCTTACTTAAACAAATGCAAAACGATAAAAATCGAAAGCATAACCACTTACTGACGTACATGCAATTGGCAAAAGCTTTGTGAGCTAGTGGAGATATAATTATAAATAATTTTTTGTGGGAAGAACCCTGTTGCTTAGCTGACCTCGTATGCCACATCGCACTACAAATAACTTGGTGTGTTTTCCATTCCTAATGTACTTCACTAGACGTTAAATTTCCTCTCCTAAACCTGTGGAAGGGTGGACAAATAGCTGGAAGGTTACCTTTTTCATGACCATATTTAAATTGGGTAATTTTAAAGGGGAATATTTAATTGCAACGTTGATTAGCTGGAAAAAAAAACACAGCAAGTATTAAGTATGCTTTGTGTTCCTAGATTTATTGAGCTTTGATTCATCGCATAAAATGATATATTGACTTTGAAATTTGTTTTATAGACATATCTGATCAAAGAACGGTTCACTTTCATCTCACTCAGGATGATTTTTCCCTTGAATATTTAATTCCTGCTATTGTTACTGGAGAAATTTAATATTCAAGGTAAGTGTAGTTGTGATCTACCAAGTGAACGGTGAATTTAATTTTAAGTTTAAGCCAGAGATTTTTGTGAGCAATCTGGCATTGTTTGAGAATCGCGGTCTATTTCATCACGATGTATTTTATGCAATAATGTTTTTATCGTTTGATTATCACTGTTGCTCTTATTTTGAGTGGTTCTTATCTTAAGTCTCCACTCCACGTATTTGATTTCATTCTTTTGTCTTGACATAGAGCTTTTGAAAATCTATTTGGCATCTGTACATCTCATAAGCAAAGTCTTCCTAATCAGATTAATAAGATTTCGTAATTTCGAAAATATTGCGGGCACGTTTAGATCCCAAACTAATGACGAATTTAAAGTTGCCGTAGCCTGTATGCAGGCTGCATGATGATGTCTCTCAGATTTTATTGCTATATTTGTGCATTTCACGATGTGTAACACATAAGAAAAGCGTTCTTTTTAAATGATGCAGAAGTCTTTTGATGATATCAAAGAACACAACTTGCATGTCAATTCTTCCCAAGAAAAAAGATTTCTTGTAGTATTTATCTTAAAATGTCCACGTTATGAAACCCATGCATAGTAGTTGACCTTTTACACAAATCATTACTCTTTGTTTTTTAATCTCCATAATGTTTGTCAACACTTTCACTAAAAGTCGCTGCTGTTCGATGTCAAGTTGTTGAGCCATGCGAACTTTCTTTTATCAACCCAACATCAAATTTATTTGAAGATGAAAGAAGACAAATGATTGCATGTTGTAAATCGCCAACCACTTCATATTAAAGTCAGTCATTATCACAATAAGGATAACTTGCTTTAATACAATATAGAGGAGTTGTGTATGTTGAGCTTCTCGGCTTCTGTACCATTTTATGATCTTTCATTTAAAATATTCCATATCTCAGTGTTAAAATACAAAAATCACTAGGTTGCTATGTGTGCTTATGGTAAACCCTGCTCTTAGTCAGAAAGCTTTCTGTTCTAGAAAGAACAAAGTTCAAGAATAATTTGTCCTGTAACAACTTAATACAACGACCTATTTTAGTGAACATTAGACTGTATAATAATGAATACATTCGTGACGTGCCGGAATTTATTGATAAATTAGACAGCCATATGGTTATATTGACGATAAATTAAAATACCATCAATACAAGAACTTATACCTTGCATCAATAAATTCTTTTTGTATTGTTGACAACTGCTTAAAGCTATAAAATAATGAGTTCGTTCTTTGGACATAATTCACTAGGTATGAAATCAACAGTAGATTTTCATCGCGTGTCTCTCTCTATATTCCCACGAAACCATTCATTCAAACGTGAAATGTTTGTACGACTTCAAAACCGTTCAAATACGTGTTAAAGTTGTGTTAAAGCAAGAACTTGATGTTGTTTTCAAACTTGACTTTTTAATAAATTGAGTGTCATACAGAGACTGTATAAACTGTATCGTATAAACTGGAATATTTACTAAATATCATAATTATAGAATAGTTTCTTTTGCGTTATTCAATAAAGTTAGATCAAGTAATTGAATTTTAGCGTCGTTGATTGTACTGTTCGCATCTTCATTAGTCCCACAAAATTTGTCTTCAAGTGCTTCGCGATAATGGCTTTGGTTGATGTTGTTTTCATGTGGTTTGTGGCAAACAGAATTGTCGAAATTTTGTGCATCGCTTTCACTTAATCGTGATCTAAGATGGGTTTGTGAATGTGATGACACACAACGCACTTCTCTTGTTCTGTTATTTTCAGCCAAGTCATCGTTCTTCCCCTTTATCTGTTCCGACGAAGAGGACTTCTTCCCAATTTTAACTCTTTTTGAGTCGAAAAGTGCTGACCGCTCGTCTTTTTTTAGATTTTTCATTTCAGTTGTAATTGGAAGTGGGATACTGATGTTTTTATTTGAGCCCAAGATTTTATCATTTTGCCCACAGATGTATTTAATGAAGAATACTTTATAGGCTTTACGAAAATCAGTTTGCAGCGTTCCGTAAACTAGTGAATTTAATGCACTGTTTGCCATGGTAAAGAGATTGGATATACGGAAAAAATAAAGATAATATTTTCTGTTTTCCAGGTCTCCGTATTTCGTCCAAAAGTACACAATATGTTGTGGCAACATGCAGAATAAATAAATCAAAATTAAAGCGACAAGCATTTTTGTTATCTTTTGACTTTGACGTTGTCTTGTGATTTCAGCTGTATAGTTGACACTACCCGCAATAGCTCTTGAGTCCCTTTGTAAATATATCGATCGCCTTTGTAATTTTCTCGCAGCTGCTCCATAAAGCATGGACATGATGAGCAATGGTAACATATATTGCAACAAAAACATTGTTATCCAATAAGATTCGGATGAATAAGAATTCGTCCATTTCTCGTCACAGAAGACTTTATTACCTTTTTCAAGGGTACCAGCAATGATCATTAGTGGTAGTGCTGTTGCTATACCTATAAGCCAAGTTATGAGGATAACTTTTCGCACTGTGGTCAACTTCAAGCGAGGTTGAAATGGAAAAACAATACCCCGAAATCGTTCCCAACTGATGGCAATTAAAGTTGCTGTTGAAGACGTTAAACATACAGGTATGATACTGTATGTAATTTGACAGCCAATATTACCGAACGGCCAATTTTGGTTGTTCTCGTACGCAGCGTATTGCGATGGTACGTATATAACTATGATCACGAGATCAGAGATTGCCAGATTAAGTGTAAAACAGTTCATCACTGTTCTCATTCGCCTTTGCTGTATCATCACGATACATACTAGTAAATTTCCACACAGTCCTATGAGAAAGACCACAGTGAAAGAGAATCTTAGCGCCATTTTTAATGCCAATGGATCTTCGTTTTTGATCTCGTTCGTTTGATTCGTCATTGCGATTTTAAATATCCGCACTCTAAACAAAATTGTTTTATATTGCGGTTTGTAAAGCCTCTTCCCTCATGTGTTTATTAAATTAGTTTTATCGCCATTCGTCCGGTACATACATAAATACTATTATCACTTTTGGCAATCAATTTATTATCTATCGTTCATTATCATCGTTAATGCCGAATATTCTCCGTGAACATTTGGAGTTTGATTACGTATCTTTTATCACCCTGAAAATATAAAGTTAAATTATCCTTCGGTCCATCTTCAAAGACATATTCAAAGAATTTAGCAATAAAAAGTTCAAAAACAATTTCTTCATCCCACGAAAAGATTGCGTTCTTGAAAGTAAATATATTTCATGACCATATAGCATAAATCCAACTGATTTTCTTCCCTTCAGTAAATCAATATTTTGTTTTTTTCAGTAAAAATGTTGTTTATTTCCTTGAGTTTTAGCTACTGCATCACACCTTAAGGACATTGCAATTCACGTGTGAATATATTTTCCTTAACATGTTCACATGTTTTATTTTATTCTTGGTGTACATTTAATGTGTTTCCCTGTTCAGGAATAAATGTTCCTTGCCACGGTTAGAATACTCGTATGCTTTGCTCGTATGTAGAGATCATAAAAATACCCGAGAATACTGCCTTAAAACCCATATCAACGTTTATAGGAATTTGGTTTTAAAAAACTTGTAAATTTCAAATAGTGTCAGTCTGTCATTACTGCATATACGACAATTTTACAATTCTATGCACAATGGAGCTTTTCAACAACTTCTACAAAAACAACCCTTAGCTCCAAGCACGTTATGAAACGTCGTTAAACTTCATCAAGTATTGTACTATTTACCTTTAAAATGTGGTGCTTAAAACATCCTGTGAAAATTAAAAAATAGAAATATAGTTTGCACTTCGTTGGGGATGTCTTTAAGGGATAAGAGAATTAGCTTTATTGAGATGTAGTTCACTTTTTGCAACTTCTACTAAAAATGGAGATTCTTCATGACCTTATTTTCTCTGTCTTGGTTACAAGTAACTGTTCTTATTTGTTATTTTAGTTGATTTTAGTGCATCTTAATTGTGTTCTCTGGTTGCAGAATATCAAAATGATGGAAAAGTGAATGTTGGAAAGAATTCCAATTTAAAAGTTTTCTGCAAGACGGAACTTTAATAAAATTTAAATTGGTCGTGATTGATGACGAAAATCTCAACACATTAAAAGTTGAGCTGACGAAAGTGTTTGATAACAATCGGGACTTTTAATTATCCTGTGTTCACAGGTGCTTTTTTGGATTTCCAAATATTGTCGCAAAGATATTGTCGTAAAGATACAGTCGTATGTTTATCAAACAAAATTAATCGACCAAATTTCATGACTCATGAGATTGGAGAATTCGACTATTCGGTATTCCATGCTACTCATATGTCCCCACCTGTGCTTGATGGAGCTAACGCTATTTAATGGCATTTTTTCTATTCCGAAAAATGTATTCCTTGCGAATCAAATGTCTACATGTGCTTGATGTAGTACAGTCTATAATTGTATTTTTTTCATTCTGATTTATTATCACATAATTCACATTTGATTCGAGGTTTTTTTGTCCAACATTTTTATATTTTTTCGGTATATCAACATCGTGAACATTGTGTGTCAGAAAAACAAATAAATGATAGGAGATTTTATTGTTTTAATTCGACTTGTTTTTAGAAGACAAGTCAATAGAAGATGCATGGCGCGAACCGAAAAGAAAGGAAATTTCTAAAATGAAAAAAGAGAGAGATTTGTGATGAACTGTCAGACTTGTTGAATTGAGATAAATGCTGAAAAAGTGAGATCTTCATCTGGCTTACTTGTTGAAGCAGATAAAATTATTAAAAGGGACGAATACACAGTTTAAAGATTGCTTTGAAGTTTGAACAGCGTATTTGTAATGGTGAAGGACAACTGATTAGCTAGTCATTAAAAGAAATGCTTTCAAAGCTTATTACCACAACCAAGTTTTTGTTTTGTAACGAATGCATTTTTGATAAGAACCTTCAAAGCTATTTTAAATAAAAGAAAATGTTTCTTTGAAAAAAGCATTAAAGGGAAAAAATCGCAAGAGGTTTCTATAGCCACCGGTTTCTGTCAATTTATTCACGCTGTTTTAATCGTTTCCATTGAGGATGGGCGAAACCGTAGATGGGGACGAAATGAAAAAGATGTTAGGGTCCATGCATCTCAGAGAAAAGGCTCTAAAACTTGATTGTGCACTAGGTCCCTTAATCTCCTCTAATGTGATATTGGGCGTATTGGAATTGGACAATCAGATATTCCACAATTATAAAAGCCTCTTCATTCAATATCCTTTCCCGAAATCCTGAAAAATCCATGCTGTACATCTCATCTTTAAAAACTTTTCAAATTTGAAACATAGACCTCTTCTTGCATATTTTTGCTCAAATCTACGGATTGTATGGTGCGCCAAGATGGACAATATTACCAAAATCGAAAATATTTATAACGAAACACATTATCGTATGTCGAAAATAATATACTGGCAACTCTTTCAATATTTGTAAAACGAAACGCAAAAATATAAAAGAAAACAAAAATTCGTTTACCATAATTTATATATACACAACGAAATTTATTTTAAAAAGTTATGAAAATTATTTTTATAAAACGAAACTCATTTATATAAAACGAAATTGACATTCATAAAACGACATTTTCTTCGAACAAACGACATTTTTTACCGCGCCCTGCCACTGACATCAAAGAAAAAACGGCGTTTTGACTTTTTTCCTCCTCCATAATTTACACTTGGGTTGAACAGTGGAGACGTGTGGTGCATTGAAGTATTAGCTGCTGTAGTCGCTGCTCCTCCGACTGTTGTGGTTGTGGATGAACGACCATTTGCAGAGGGGAAAAGAGTGTGTATCGTACTTTCAATATTGCTAACGTTAGCATCGTTATCTCCTTCAAAAGTTCTTTCACAATTGTTGGAGCAATCACTTTCAGAGAGCTGAGTGATGGCTGCAACAAGGTTTGTCAAGTTATGTAAATTCCTTCGCGAAGACATCCTCAAAATTTTGTAGTGGATGGCTCTTTGCAGGCTACAAAATAATGGCCGCAAAAAAGCGGTAAAAAATGTCGTTTGTTCGAAGAAAATGTCGTTTGTTCGAAGAAAATGTCGTTTTATGAATGTCAATTTCGTTTTATATGAGTTTCGTTTTATAAAAATAACTTTCATAACTTGAAAAATAAATTTCGTTGTGTATATATAAATTATGGTCTGTTTTCTTTATATTTTGCGTTTTTACAAATATTGAAAGTTGCCATATTTTCGACATACGATAATGTGTTTCGTTGTAAATATTTTCGATTTTGGTAATATTGTCCATCTTACGGATTGCACCATAAAAACTGTTTTCTATTGTTTGGTTCGATACTCGAGCAAATCTGCAAAACATCATTAAACTTTACAACGTTTAATGCATTGAGAAGACGTTGCAAATCAATGCTTATAGAATTCTTGGAAATTTATGTTTCGTGAAACATCGATCGATATTTGTAAGGTCAGCGGTCATGTAGAAATTTTGAAAACAATAAATATGGCCGAAATTCACAGTACTCGCTCGCCATTCATGACTGATGTTCATTCAAACAAGGTTTGTAAAAAAAGACAGGTGTACTCTGATTGAAATAATTGTACATGTGATGTAGCTTTATTTCACGAAAAGCGAATGTTAATATGATTTATCTTGTATTGTTTTCCTAATGAAAATTTTTAAGGTGTGATTGGAAATTTAAGTTAAATATAATATTAATGCATTTAGATGCACTTGCATAGCAAGCAAAAAAATTTTTTGGTTATACAAATGTTTTTTTTTTAATTTATTTTATTTTTAAAGGTCTGTTCGTTGTAACTTGCGCGCATAATATGGCTAATTCCCTTGTCAAGATTGCTGGTTTTGTTTTGATATATTCCATTGCTTCCTTCTATGGGTTGTTGGTTTCAGTATTTTTGTTATTTAAATTGTGCCAGTTAAGAGGAAAATTGTTCAAGAAAACACAAAGAAAACAAGGTAATTATAACAAGTATGTATAATCATGCTAATGCTACCTTGAATATTAAATTAATAAGCATGTCAATGCAACAAAGCATTTTAATGTAAGCATGGTGAACCAGGTTGTTGAACCAAAAGTCCTATTTTATCAACACCATGGTTTTTCTCAATGAAAAGAAATAATTTACTAACTATTTTCATAAAAACATTTGTTTGCTACTGGTGAGTTTTTTATGCCCTCGAAGAATGATGGTCCAGGTACCAATTAACTTAGACAAAGAATTCCAAGTTTAATTCTCAAATTGCATGTTTGATATCTTGCTTCTGTAAAATAGCTCCAGAATGTCTTCAAGATGCTTCTTTTGGCAATCATCATTATGTCACAACAAAATCTGGTCATAAGTTTCATTATGTTGCAAAAGGAGACACTGATAAACCATTGATGTTGTGCTTGCATGGATTCCCAGAGGTATCAGCTTTTATTATGCAAGTTTTTAGCCTATTTGGTTCTGTTTGGTCATCATTCTGTAAGGCAATATTGCAATCTTTATTCTGTATTGAGGTTAAAGTGAGGTTGAAGTAATTTTTCATTCAATTTAATTTTATTTAGTTTTGGTTTAGTTGGAGATTTCAGCTGAAAGAGTTTAGCAATGATTACCATGTTGTTGCTTTTGATATGAGGTACGTATATGGATAACATTATGCTACAATCTGTTATTCAAGGAATTTTTACCCAAGAAAAATAAGTAGATTTTGGTTGCTCCTTGTGTTGTAGGAATATGTTGTATCATGATTTTATCAATACATTGAATCCATTTATAATTTTGAGATGTTTGTCTATTGTAGAGGTTATGGTGACAGCTATAGTCCAACTGGGGCAATTAATTATGTTGCTCAATTTCTTGTTCAAGATATAAAAGAAGTTGTAAGTTTCGTTGATTTCACACTTTTTCCACACTATGCTCAATAGGATCAATCAAATGTTTATTGAGGGACAATGCTTATGTATTCTGCTATGCCTTGCTGATTTTGAAAACATTGTCAATTTCAAAAGAAATCAGCCTGAGTATAGCACAGTGTTTCACATCATGTAATGTTCGATTGGCTCCAATATTTCACTGCCAACTCCGTTTGAATCTTCCATGTTCGTCAAAGTGGAAAAGTTTTTTTAAAAATACTGGATTTTCATTATGATATATCAGAAAGAAATATTAGTAGTAATGAATACAATTGAGCGATAAATCTTGGAAAAGAAGTTTCAATGATTAATTCTTTGCCCGCTTTGAATTATCATGCGGGCATTTGCTTGGAATTGTTGATCATGTCCAAATGCTACAACTTTACTTGAGACAATCTTCAAAAATGGTTTCTGCATGTGAGAATTTATTATTTTGAAAGTTGTGATTTGCTATTAGTCTGTCTTATGAAGGGGTCGATGCTGAGTGTCTTGTTCTTTAAGTCCCCGTTCATTTAATTAATACGCTTTAAAAAGTGAAAAAGTCACCACTCAGTTGATATCGCTGTACGGGCTTTGTGCAACCGGCCCCAGGATTGTAACCCGTATAGAAATTTGACGTATGTAAGAGTTTGAATGTATAGCATTTCCTCTGGTAACTTATTTTTCAGGATTTCTTACGATGAATCAATGATCATAAACGTTTCTTTTCATAAATTATGTTCGACAACGTCTTTATACAGACAAAGTTCTGAGATTTATCCCGTTATCAATGTGTCCTTTTAAATTTCTTTGTATTTCCGGGCGTTTTCTTAGTATAAAATATTAAAGTTGTGCATATACAGTTCAGTGGAGCAAAAAGATTAATAATACTTTATGTTGAATTATCGTTGAAAGGTCGATGCTCTTGGTTATTCGTCTTGTATTCTTCTTGGTCATGATTGGGGTGGAGTTTCGGCTTGGTAAGTGACTGCATTTTACATAATAATATTTCAATAAGTGGTGAATAATTTACTTTGCTAATGTTGGAAGCAAATCTTAAAGAACAAGATACTCAGGATCGACCCCTTCATAAGAGAATAGTTTACTTTACTAATGTTGGAAGGAAAACATACTGAACCATTTTTTATTTATTGTGACGTATATATGATAGATGTCTTGTTAAATTGATTACATATGTGTGTCACAGTTAGCCAACAATGACGTTAGCTAAACGTATACAAGGCAATCTAGTTAATAAAATTCAAGAATAATGTTTTGTGAATGTGCATACTACATTAAAACACGCAAATGACCAATAAACGCGTGTGAGCAATCACAAAAATAACTCATAAAGCAACTTGTCTTTATTTCAGGTCATTTGCGATGATATATCCCGATATTGTGGATAAACTTGTGATCGTGAACGCACCTCATCCATTGTAATTTTTTTCTCTTGATCTTGAGCGTTGTATAAATACACTGACTAACTTTGTATTTGAAATTTTTCTTCACAGAGTTATGCGGAAGAAAAATGTGTTTTTATCACGGAAACAATTTTTTATGTCCTGGGTCAGTAATGGTCTTGCTGACTGTGTTCAGGGGTGTCGGAACCTTAGATAGGGGATGGAAGAAGGGGCAGTGCCCCCCTCACATTGTATTAGAATAGCAAAATTACTATGAAAGAGAATATTTATGTTACATTTTTTTATTAGCCTGAGGTAAAGCATGCGGCTTTGTAGTAATGAAAAGTGCCATTTATAGCTTTGATTTTGTGATTGTATCTAGTACATGCAATATACAGAAAACACAATACTACTGCCAAATTGGTTTTCGTCATTTCTCGGAATCCCCCTTCCCACTTTTATAGTCTTCTGACGCCCCTGACTGTGTTAATCAACTGTAAACTTTAATGATTTTTTGTGAAATATGTTTAATTTTCATGTTTTATACCAAACATTTGCATATAATATTAAATTTTATTTGTTTTACTTTTAGTACGTATTTTTCAATTGTCTTCCGTATTTGCCAGAAATTTTTTTCTCTTTCAACGACAATTGCCTTTTGACGAGATACATACTGATACTGCCGTAAGTACTTATTTGAAATTCTTTCATATCTTCCTCTGTATCTTCCTTACTTTTTAATTGAAACTTATCATATATGACTTTCTCTAGGGAAAACGGTTTTAGAACTTATATATTTACGATGAACTCTTTTAGTGGACTGATGAAGTAAAAGACGCCTTCAAATACATGTTTACAAAACCAGGGGCATGGACTCCCCCTATCAACTACTATCGCGCTGCAATGCTTTACGCAGGCAATGTGTCTTGGCCAAAAAAAGCAAAGAAAGTGATTTCATTTCCAACGCTTGTTGTTTGGGTGCAGTATACGATTCTTGTTTGTTTTATTATAAGTTCCTAAAAAAAGTTTGCGTTCATTGATCATTAATCGTAAATGTGTCTTGTTGGTTTACAAACATCAAAAAGAAAGTCAGCGTTTTACATTAAATATATCAGCGGCCATGTGTGTGAGAAGTTTAAATTTGGCAACTGTATTGCGGTTACAATAGCATACATTATCATACATTATCATGGGAGCATACATTATCATGAGAGCATACATTATCATGGGAGCATACATAAATACATGCCTATTTTTATTTGTTTACTTCTGAAACGTCAGACACCTAAAGAATGAGTTGACATTTTTTCTCAGTCACCTGACTATCTATCTTTGTCGGCAAGTAAAGTGTTTGGCTTCTTTTACCAACGACGTCCACACAATCAGATTAAAGAAATCAAATTTAATTGCCAACATACCTCTGAAGAGAAACGCAGATTTTATACTCACCATATATATGGTCACTTATAATTTATTTAAGAAATAAAAATGTTTACTGTGTTTTCACGGGCTTATGCAAACCGAGGAGGCCTTTGGGAGAAATCGAGAGCAGATCAGTGCAAGCCCAAGACCGAAGGTCGAGGGTTGTACATGCTCGAGAGCTCTCGCAAACGTCTTCAGGTTTGCATAAGCCAGTGCAAACTCGAAAAACATCTTTTATTTCTTTTATAAAATAACAATAATGCGAAAAAGACAAACATTTAAATTTTATCTCTAAAATGTATTCATGATCGATTTGCAATCATTGTGTTTAGTTTGTAATGTATTATAATATTTTGGCTGTACCATGTTTTTATTGAAAGTTAGAAATACTCGTAATTTACTAGTTGCAGTCTTGAGTCATTTGTGCCACAGATTTTACCACTCTATATTTAAATGCGGTTGTTTTTTTAGGGAAACAATGACAAATATATCGATGAGAGTTTATTAAACTATCTTGATGAATATGTTGAAAATCTCACTGTGAAGTAAGACTTTATCTCGTTACAAATGTCGCCACACAAAATGTTTTCTCTTAAGAAAAACTATGCATGATTGTAATCATTGTAGATTTTTTATATAAGTAGAGGAAAGTAAAAAATGTATAATTGCAAAGTAGGATATTAGCAGTTTTATAAAAAACGAGCAATACTTTAAAGTAATATGTGATGTGTGCTTTACATTTATATTCTGTAAAAAGTGTGTAGCGGTGACTGCGAAGTCTGTTCAAAAAATTGGAGGTGGCTGGAATATAACGAAAAAAATTTTTATGTTTGGGACGCTGAGTTTTACCCGATGAATTGATTCTCCATGAAACATTCAGGGGGGGCATTCACTCCTTCCTTTTGTCCTTCGTGTTGTTTGTGTAATTCATTTTCTCTCTCTCTAATTTTGATGCTCAAATTTATGAGTAGACTTTAACTATGTTAAACGCAATGCATTAAACATTTCCAGTTGGTTGTTTTCATTCTATATCTATGCTTATTTAGGATAGTTGAAGGAGCAAGTCACTGGGTTCAACAGGAAAAGCCTGATGTTGTGAACAATTATGTACGACAGTTCCTTGAAGTTAACTAATTTCATTAGCTCTGAGGATTAGTAAGTCAGTAATAAGTATAATGCAGTGAGATTGATATATTTGAATGCTGAAATATTTTTAGCAATCTATATTGTTGAAGGAATTTACCAAAATTATAAATTTTGCACAAAAGTGTTAAATTGATGTTATTTTTCAAGTCATAGATAGTATCTCCATCTTTCAGTCTCAACACGGTAACATGGTAATTGGGCTGTTGAATTCACTTCTGATTACAGGGAAAGTGATCTCAGATCTTTGAAATGCAAAGATCCCCAAGTAAAGAAGGCGTATGCTCAAAGTCAAATCTTTGCATCTTGGATGTTGACTCGCTTTAGTTGCTATAATCTCCATCCGTTCAGCGAGCCACGTTCTTCAATCTTTGCCATATGACAGCTGGTTAAACTTTAAATATATTTTAAGTTAGACATCTATTCAGGTTTTAAACCGAAAAGACAAATAATTTATGTGGCTTTGTCATTTTTCAATTGCAAGATGAATATTTACTGTAGGTAGACATTGGTCACATTTTTGCAATAACGTTTTACGTAGCAATCACATTTGATAATCATATTTCAACCGCTTCGTGTAATCAACACTAAGCGCATGTAATCGAAAGAAGAGAAAAGATAAAATCTTTGCAATTCCAATGTCAAATTAATGCGACCAGTTACTTTGGCACTAAAGGAAAGATTTAAGTAATGGTATACATCAGAGATACATCACGTGTTAGATCTTTTAAAGAAAAGCCAGCAATATGCTAGATTTACATTTGAATGCCTTTGTCATGTAAAGAAGAATAATTATGAGTTTATAGGAAGAAACATAAGCGTGCGGGAGCTATTATTTCTGGGGGCAGTAAATATTTTGCCAAAATCACAAAAAGGTTCCGCCGTATTTTCGCCCGACTTATGATAAAAATTTGCCCAACTTTTCAATTTTTAAACTTTCATGGAGGGCAGCCCCTGTCCCCCGTCCCGTATGCCTATGGGTAGAAAGATGCTTTGTTTAGAACAGCAAAGTAAGAGATTTAGTGAGAAACAAAACGGATTTTACAGTTCACTTTGTCGATCCCTAATTAAAAAAGAAGACGAGAAAAAAAAAGCACAAAGTACTGAAGTTTGAGAGTGAGTGAAAACTGAAAAAACTGATCAAATAATTTGAAAAGTTAGTGTTCTCGTCCCGCGAGACAATAAATTCCACGCACAGAGATGACAGCAAGCAGAGCAAGGATACTTGGTTTCTCGAACCAAGATGGCGTGGCAGCCGAACGAACAAGGTTTGAAACAAATTTTGGAGCTCTTGAAAGAAAGTCAAAGTCATAATAATGCTGTACAAAGAGCTGTTCAACAAGTATCCCAACCATATAAAAATTCATAAAGACTTTGTGCGATATGAGCATTATAAATGTAAATTTTTGTAGCATACAGGCACCATAATTTTTTTTTATCTAGCGTTAACGATATGTCACGCACGTGTTTCTAATTCCTCTTTATCGTCAGTACTCCCTATGTTTTGTTTCCTTAATAAATTTTCAAGAAATTGGAATCGCTCAATCAATTCTCCGACTTCAATAACTATCTCATCTTTGTTCTTACCAAATTAAAAACTGAAGGTAGGAAAACCTCGTTTCGTGTATTTTTTTGAAGTATTTCCCCCTAAATTTGCACGGTATAATGGGTAATTTTATTATTTGATGTGCTTATAATTTTTTGATATTTGCTCTGTTATAAAATGTTACTAACGATGAGAATTTTCAATGAACTTGTTTCAATGTTTGTGGTTTGTGCTTATGATGATACAATCAAGTAATTAAACAAAGATGTATTTACAAAATTTCACCACAATAGTTGATAGGATAGTGTAATTTTGGGGCTGCCATCCTGTCTTTAAAAAAGGATTTGATCATGTGTATACACATGCTGAAAAAAAGATTCCAACAATCAAATCAAAGTACTTTCTACGTACGTAGCTTTAAGAGCAAAATTAGACTGTTGATTAGGAGAAAAAGTGCTTGGAGTGTCATGATGTCCAATTTTGCAGTGTGGGTAAAGGAAATTTATCTTAATAAATGAAGTCACGCTAATTTTTTTATATATTTCTTTGGACATATCAAAAAACTGTCATTAATTTGTTACGTGTTTATTATTATGATTTCTTGATTATCATTTCAAGATGAACCAACTCGATCCTTAGCTGGTCTTATTGTCAAAAACAATGTGAAGTCAAATTATCACTTGTTCCCGGACAATGTTAAAGAGTATGTAAAGACAGAATGCTTACAGGCCATTGGCGATCCGTCACCTTTAATACGAGCAACCATTGGCATATTGATTACCACTATTGCACAAAAAGGAGAATTAATTCATTGGCCACAATTATTGCCATCACTTTGCCAACTCTTAGATAGCGAAGACTACAATATCTGTGAGGTATGCATTTGGTTTTGATAAAGCTGTTGCATGTGCGAAGATGATTGTTGGTTTTGAATTCATATCCTTGTCAATGAAAAGAAAAAAAACATGAAGCGTGTTATCACATCACTGAAACTATTTCTTTTTAGGGTTCTTTTGGTGCTCTACAGAAAATATGTGAGGACTCCACTGAACAACTTGACAGCGATGCTTTGAATCGTCCATTGAATATTTTAATTCCTAAATTTTTGCAATTCTTCAAACATGCATGTCCGAAAATAAGGTGAAAGTTAGCTTGAGAATAATTTTGCAACAGCCTAGTGTCACTTGAATGATGGATAACTGATGTTTGTCTTGGTGTTGTGGTTTTATCAATTTGTTAAACTGAGTAGCCTGTATGCCTGAGGTGGTGTGTAAACTGTTTATGAAAAATGATTGCAATCTTTAAATCATTTTAAAGGTCGCATGCCATTGCTTGCACAAATCAATTCATTATGGGAAGATCCCAAGCGTTGATGGTGCACATCTCATCTTTTATCGAGGTTAATATTTTAAAAATTTTTCTGTTCACTTGTGAATTGTGCAAAGCTTGAACAAATACAAAAAAAAATTGTATAATATGGGTACACCATTTCCCTTGATTCAAAAGATTTTTGTTGCTTGAAATTCTTTGCAGAAGAACTTTCTTGAAACTTAGTGTTTTTTAGTATTTTTCTGTAGCATGATAAGCAATAATTATAAACTTTTCAAATCTTTATAGAATTTGTTTGCTTTGGCTGTTGATGAAGATCCTGAAGTTAGAAAAAATGTTTGTCGAGCTCTTGTCATGTTAATGGAAGTTCGTAGTGATCAACTTCTTGCGCATATGAATAACATTATTGAGGTATGTAAGAGAAAAAACAATTGCATGTATTGTGCTTTGACTTTGCACCATTGAAACAAACTTTTGTTGTAAGAGCAGCAGTAAAATTGTTATGAACTACACCTTTTTTATACAGTTTAGGTTTTCTTCAGTAAAATGTATCATTTTTTTAATTCTCTTCTTAAAGTACCTTTCTTGACTGTTTCTTTAAAGGAAAACTATTGCCAACCATATTTCAATCAAGAGTTTTAAATTATACAACATAAATAAGTCTAGGGATTCTGTATTCACGTGTGCAGTCAAATCTAAATTAAACTACCTTGTATTTACACTTGGTAAAGTGCCAATTTCAATTCCATGTGACTAAATTGTAATAATAAAACCTCTATGTATCAGACAATTTCATTTAGCAGACACTAGTTCGTTTTACAATGGTGTTTACTTAACACGAGGTCGACTGTGCGTTCAATTTAAGCCAATAGATCGTCCGTATTATAATCATTTGACCACTTAACTTTTACTTTGTTTCTGAAATTTAACAAAAAAATTTTTTTCAAGTATATGTTGATCAGAACTCAAGATAGCGATGAGAATGTAGCATTGGAAGCATGTGAATTTTGGCTCACCATTGCTGAGCAAACAATATGCAAGGAATCTCTTGGTCCATATCTAAGTCGGTACGATGTTTGCGTCTCTTATATATGCTTACATTTTTGTTCTGTTTCTTTCATATTTGTGAATCACTTCTTTGAAGTGTTATTTAACCATGCACATCTCTACATGTACTCTTTCTCCAAGCTTTTAACTGAATGGATAAGAGAATTTACAATTTGAAAATTGAAATTTATCATTTATTCATTGTTGCATTAAGACTTATTCCTATACTTGTCAATGGCATGAAATATTCCGAAATTGACATCATTCTCTTCCATTGTTGCATTAAGACTTATTCCTATACTTGTCAATGGCATGAAATATTCCGAAATTGACATCATTCTCTTCCATTGTTGCATTAAGACTTATTCCTATACTTGTCAATGGCATGAAATATTCCGAAATTGACATCATTCTCTTAAAGGTATTTTTATTTGTAAAATTATTTCGATTTTCGTTGTCATTTCGTGTGTCCCAGCGCATATAACCTTGTATCGTAGGGTGACATTGAAGAAGATGAAAATATTCCAGATAATGAACAAGATATCAAACCTCGTTTTCATAAATCAAAAACTCACAGCCAAAAGAGAGAAGAAGACGATACATCTGATGACGAAGATGATGATTTAGATGATGATCCTTTGTCAGACTGGAATCTTAGTGAGTTATTAGCTAAAGAGTCTTTAGGGGGTTGCTGTACAAGCAACCCAAACAATACTTACTCATTGTTGTCAAAACTAGACGCTGAAACTAATGCGTCTATTTTAATTCACATTTTTATGCATAGTGCAAAGGTTTTTCTCAGTTCCTACATGCAAAAAAATCACTTAAATTTTTCATTATTTCTTGATGGATAAATCGTTTCTCCTTTAAATAAATATCCCGTACTTCTTCATAGGAAAATGTTCAGCTGCTGCCCTTGATGTGTTGGCCAATGTATTTCGAGATGATCTTTTACCTGTGTTATTGCCCATATTAAAGCAGACATTATCTCACAATGAGTGGGAAGTCAGAGAATCTGGAATTCTTGTATTAGGAGCTATTGCAGAAGGTATGGTCGGTCGCCTTTACTTTAGTTTTAAGATGGACTACGTTTTTGTTTCTTTCATTCAAATCCTTTCATAAAATTCCGTGTGACATGGACCAAATTGTCTAGGATTTTTCTTTTCGCTAGCACCAGGAGCTAGCACGTCTGCATGGTTTTTTAACATGTGGCGTGATCATGAATTTAATAAAAACAAATTAAATCAATGCTCTTATTCTATGCTTATTGGGACAAAACCTGCATTATTTATCATTTTTATCGTTCATTAATGGCATTCATACAATCTCTTTAATTCTTGCTTTTTTTTGGATAACGTACATACGCTCACAAGTTTTTAACATCAAGTATTATAATTACAGATGAAATACAAAATTTAGCATTCCACACATTTAGATTACGTATTTTGTCTTTAACTGTAATGATCAAACTGGCTTAAGTTCAGACACTTGGAAATTGAAATAAGTTACAAAAAAAAAGGTGAAAATCAAAAGATGACCAACCAACAAAAGTTTTGGCCGGAAAATTGAATAACGACCTTTGTGCTTTCTAGGATTATATGGAGGTACTTGCGAGTTTTTATTTTATTGTATTAACAACTGTCTTCTATAATGCAGGTTGCTCGATTGGCATGACTCCACATCTTCCCGAATTACTTCCGTTTTTAATAAACTGCCTTGAGGATAAAAAGGTTAGTTGTGCATGTAATGATATAATATGCCCGCACAACGTATTATGGAATACTTTAAGTAACAGTTATATAATTTTTTTCCTACTAAGGCACTTGTTCGTTCTATAACTTGCTGGACATTGAGCCGTTATGCTCACTGGGTGGTTAGTCAACCTCATGATTTATACTTTCAGAAACTCATGAGCGAGGTATAGTATTCATATGACAATAATAAAATAGGAAGAAAAAATTTTCTATGTTTTTAATGTAGTGACACATGCGTAACATGGAGAACTTTGTCTTATTTTTAATATTTCTGTACTTGTTTTCCATCTCCTGAAGTACGTAGTGGCAAAGTAGTTGATGCCAGCTTTTGTGACACGTATTTTTCCTTTTAGCTTTTAAAACGGATCCTTGACAGTAACAAACGAGTACAGGAAGCAGCGTGCAGGTATTAAAACGTTTAAAACATTTGCTGTTATAAAATCATAAAATATCGAAGAAACTTTATATGAGACATTGTGACGAGTTGCAAAAATTCACGTCAGTCGTACAACAGATGTACTATTGTAAACTTTTCGGGGGGATAAGTTTGCTATTAGTTTTTTCAAAACCATTGTGAAACTACTCCGAAACTAATTTTCACAAATATTAACAGAGCGCATCTTTCACACTTCAGGGTATTTTATTTATAAACATGACATAAATGTAATTTTTTTCACAAATATTAACAGAGCGCATGTTTCACACTTCAGGGTATTATATTTATAAACATGACATAAATGTAATTTTTTTCACAAATATTAACAGAGCGCATGCTTCACACTTCAGGGTATTATATTTATAAACATGACATAAATGTAATTTTTTTCACAAATATTAACAGAGCGCATGTTTCACACTTCAGGGTATTATATTTATAAACATGACATAAATGTAATTTTTTTCACAAATATTAACAGAGCGCATCTTTCACACTTCAGGGTATTTTATTTATAAACATGACATAAATGTAATTTTTTTCACAAATATTAACAGAGCGCATCTTTCACACTTCAGGGTATTTTATTTATAAACATGACATAAATGTAATTTTTTTCACAAATATTAACAGAGCGCATGCTTCACACGTTGGGGTATATAAACGTGGCATGAATAATATTTAATGAAAATCAAAGAATTAAAGCTACGTCCATAATCGTTATGATTTCTTTCAGCTGATAATACTTGTGTTTTAAGAACAGATGATTTAACACATAATAATGGCTACTTTTCAAGGACGAAACTAGAACACTAGTTTGGGGGGGAGGGGTTCATTAGTTTGGGGGTTGAATCTTCACATATTCATTTCTGACTGACTGGTTTCTCTTGAAAATACACTCGCTTTCAAATGTAAACACATTCTATTTCTTTTAGCGCTTTTGCTACTTTGGAAGAGGAAGCATGCACTGAACTTGTCCCATATCTTGGATATATACTACAAACGTTGGTGTTTGCATTTGGAAAATACCAAGTATGTGTACTGTCTTCTTCGCTTAATGTTTCTTTAATTTCTTTAAACACCAATTACATAAAACGAAAATATGTGTTGTATCGTTGTGATGTTAGAGATAATGAATTCGTTTTATGAAACGATGAAATTTTGCATTTTCTGCTTTGCTTTGAATATTTTTGAGTTTAGAGTCTTGTCGTATCTAAAGTTTACATTTTGCTCTTTTCGAATACATTCTTGCGCTAAAGGGCTCTGCTTCATGCAACTTTCTGTTTCTTTTTGCATTTAATTGTGAGAAATTGTGTTTCAGCACAAGAACTTATTGATATTGTACGACGCCATCGGCACACTGGCAGACTCTGTTGGTCATCATTTAAACAAACAGGAATTCATCGAATTGTTAATGCCTCCACTTATCCAGAAATGGAATGAATTGAAGGATGAGGATAAAGATTTATTTCCCTTACTTGAATGTCTATCATCTGTAGCCACTGCTTTGCACTCGGGTTTTCTACCTTATGCCGAACCTGTATTTCAACGTTGTGTATCTTTGGTTGAAAAAACGTTAACACAAAGTCTGGTAAGATAGAGAAACAGTTTGTAGTTGAACAAATTGTACGTATGATATTTGAAAGAAAATCTAAGTCTTTTACTCGAAAGAAAGTGTTCAAAAAAGAAACGAATTTTTAATGTACGCGATAATAGATGATCAGTAAAAATAAATTTAAATTGAGCAAAAACCATACTGTACGTGTTTTTTCTTTTCAGGCTTGTGCAGCGAATCCAAGCCAAGTTGAAGTTCCTGATAAGGATTTCATGATCGTCGCTCTAGATTTATTAAGCGGCTTAGCGGAAGGATTAGAAATTCATATTGAACAATTCGTCATACGTAGCAACGTTTTAACTCTTCTTTACCAATGTATGCAGGTGAGAAGAATTTTTTCGATAGTGCCTCTGTTTTTGAATACTAACCATGACAAAGAATTGCTGTTACATTTACACATTTGCTATTACATTTACACAATAGCGAGATGGCTACTTTATTTTTTAGGACGATATGCCGGAAGTTCGTCAGAGTTCTTTTGCTTTACTTGGTGATCTTGCAAAAGCTTGTTTTAAACATGTAAAGCCATGTATAGGTAAAGTTGCCCATGTTTTGGCAAAGTCATTTATGTACGTATGTACAAGTAAAGGTTAACCATCTATATAGAGAGTCACCATGAACTATTATAACGATAAAAGTGGGTTTTTTTATAGGAGAATTAATGCCAGTTCTTGGTAGGAATTTAAATCCAGAGTTCATTTCAGTTTGTAACAATGCAACTTGGGCTATCGGTGAAATATCTATCCAGTTAGGTAATGTATTCTTTGTTATGGTGTTTACCACATACCACACACTTTCTTAGAAATATCCATCCAGTTAGGTTTTGAATTCTTTGTTATGGTGCTTACGACATTCAACGCACTTTCGTAGAAGCATCTATTCAGTTAGGTAATATATTCTTTGTTGTGTTGTTTAGCACATACTCACACACTTTCTTATAAGTATTCATTCAGTTAGGTATTGTATTCTTTGTTATGGGTTTACCTTACATTGTCTTGAATGTGCAGAAAGTAGGTCCTTTTGAAATAATGCGATGTTTTTTACGCGAGAATGAAATTGTGTTTCAACTTGGAACTGATATGGGCTTTCCTGTCATTGTTTTTTTATAAACATTGTTTGTGTAGGTGAAGAGACGAAACCTTATGTTTCCCTCGTTCTGGCATCGCTCGTCAACATTATAAACCGGGGACATACACCAAAAACACTACTTGAGAACACAGGTATATTAATTTGATTCATGTTGCGGATGTTATTTCGCTATAAATACGCCGAATTTTACAACATGTGTGTTTATTTCACATCTGGATGTTTCTTAACAAATGGGATTTCAAAAAGAAATTTCGTAAAGATTGCACGAATTTTGCAACACACAAAACTTCGACGTTTGCGACAATTTAATGTCTCTTGTATTCGTTTTGTTGATTAGAAATGGGAAGGCGATAGCTTCTTAAATCCGTTGTTTAGATTGTAATATAGTCATAATGTTGATGTGTTGTTTGTGTGTACAACTGACTGTATTGTTTGTTCTTTTGTTTAGTTTTTAATTTGTTAAACTTGTTTTCTTTCCGTATTGTGTTTATTTTACGTCTCAGCGATCACGATCGGGAGATTGGGTTTAGTTTGTCCTCAAGAAGTGGCACCTATGTTAGCGCATTTTGTCAGACCCTGGTGTGTATTTTTATATATTATTTTATGTTTGGTTATCTTTTTTTTTTACAAATTTCTGTCCACGAAGTATCCTTTATGTTTACGTAACTGATCGTCAAGAAATGTTTGTAAGATTTTCCGATCCACGCATCGTGAGATCGTGTGAAGTAGTCGAAACTTCTTTTTAAATGTTCTTTAAACTTGTTTGTATCAACCATAGCGTATATTCGGAATGTCAACACTGTATGTTGCTGCATGGTTTCTTGAAGTATAAAAGTATAGTCGTACGAAGCACATCCTAGTTTGTATATTTACTTGTTTTTCATGTATTCTACTCTCAAGGTTTGTCACATTTTTCTTGCAATCAAAATTACAATTCAGTGTTTTCTCGATTATCCATTTAGTACCTCTGATATCCATGATTGAACCCCTATATATATAACATATATTGAATGTAGCTACTTGAACTCCTAATGAGCAGAAAGTATCTTTAATAATGTTAGTGTTGGATTTTATTATCTATTATTTATAGCCATTGTGTAACCTGTTATTGCTTATTGCCTTTCATTTTGTCGTTTGTGAATTTTCAGCACTTTGGGTTCGGTATTTGGATGTGATGTCAACAGACAATGCCAATCGAAAATATATATAAAAATAATAAAAATTGAATGAGAGACTTCGTGTGATAAAAATATAGATTTTTTTTGAACAATGCAAAATAAGTTCGGTAGAATCTGTTAGTTGGCTTCCTTGTTCGTGTTTGATTTGTCTCGTTATTTCACTGCAAATTTAATAATACACGTCATCACTCTTTAATGACGTCATTATTTTGTAGGTGTACGTCACTACGCAATATCCGGGATAACGACGAGAAAGATTCGGCGTTTCGTGGTATATGTAACATGATTAATGTCAACCCGGCTGGTGTTGCTCAGGTAAAAATTGATATGTAACATTGTCAATGTTATGTTACCCAGTTGATGTTAAAAATATAGGGAGTTGTTCGCTGTGTTTTGTCGTACGCAATTTTTCACTTCATGCGTAATGAACAATAAAGTAATTTTATCTTGAGCATTATTTCAAATAAGAGAAAATTATTTACTCGCCCATCGATTCTTAATTTTTGTTTTTAGGATTTCATTTTCTTCTGTGACGCAGTTGCATCTTGGGCAAATCCAAAACCTGATTTGAAGGAAACGTTTCACAAGGTTCTTACTATAGTGTTGAATGTGTGTTATAGAAGGGTGTGAACTTCCACCTTGTAAATCCATGATTTCATAAACTACTTATCTATCTATCATGCCTTGTGGATAATCGAAAAATATTATTTCTAGGTCGTAAATATAATTTTAATTTTAACGTCGTATACTTAAACATGTCAGCTAAAAAAGATTAAATTGATATATTTAAAGCGTGGGTCAATGTCAGCTAAAAAAGATTAAATTGATATACTTATAGCGTGAGTCATTGTTATTAATGAAAACAAACATCACGTCATTTCCCCATAATACAGTTGGTTTTGTATTTTTGTAAAAATCGCTTCGAACATTTTTATGATGTAGATTCTTCACACCTTTAAATCAGAAGTTGGAGATGAAACCTGGAAAAAGTTCTTTACACAATTTCCACTGGCTCTTCAACAGCGATTAGCCAGTGTATACGGTATTTGATGTAACCTGAGGAGAATTGCATGCCGGGGGTAAGTGAGTACAATAGGAAACAATCAGGAGTATTGCAATATCTCTTTTTGTATATTATTTTCTTATGCGTGTGTATACACGTAGCTGATTATATATTGTAATGTTATGTCACACGGAAGTTTTTTGAATAAAGACTCAATTTATTTGTAGGGTCTAAGACTGAGGAAATAGAATATTCACCCTCTACCCATTACATGGGCTTTCGCAATGAAACCCGAATGGAACATTCATGTCCACACGTGTCCCGTAATCTGTCGTATGTCGTGTGTCATGTCACGTGGCTCAACATAGCTTGATAGACGCGTAAACCTATGAGATTAGACTAAATTATAATCGAGCTACAAAGTATGATGTGGATGTCAATTGTTCGGCCATATTTCCCATCGCATTTGTGAAGAATTTTTTCGCCTGTACAAGTAAACATACCATCATTAAACTACTCTATACAAGATGCATAGTCAAATATACCCTATGATTATCTACTAAGATTATAGTGATTTGTATTGTATGTGGACACGTTTTGTATAATTACGTACAATTATTCTTGATAGCTCTCAATTCGTTTTTGTATTTGGTAATAATTTTACTAAACAATGTAATCTAGATTATTGTCAGTCTTACACCTTGTAAATTTTATCACAACAATATCCTATCAATAAAGTCTTAATCCTAATAGTTCTGCTTATTGTATTGTCATTATATGCCCGTAAAATTGTTTCAATTATTAAAGTTTGTCGTCGCTCCAAGCTAGTACTTCAACTACTAGCTCCATGATATATATATTTATCAAAATAAACTTCAAGTAATTTTTTGACATATATCAAATTATACCCTGCATTGAAAGATATAAAGAAAAAATATCTCTTTGACTCTTTGAGACGATTATTCTAGTGGGTGCAATGATTCTCTGTTATAGCACGTGTAACTTTTCGAATTGATGTAACGTCACTTCGTCAACACAGCTCAGCTTTTTTTCTAAGTAGTATTAGTCACGAACTGATGATACCTGTCATTTAGCATTTCATTATGTCAGTATTCCAGAGACTGCAGGCCATGTGGTCATGACCACACCACAAAACTTTATTGAAATGTCATATGTGATTTCTTTACATTAAAACAACGAGAAACTGTTTGTAGAACGTATAAATTCATTGCCCCAAACGAATTCCTAAATAACTGTGCCAGTACTTCTTATGAGCATTACGTGTCAAATGTGAGCATTACACAAATATATGGAATGCCATCTTTTTACCTGTTTTCTGTAATTAAATTTTACAAAAGTGGAAACGAATAGATGAATGATTTACTTTCAGCAAATGAGAATGTAATAGCTATATATTATCGAGTATTATACTACGTAAATTTTTGCACATGTTTTTAGAAAAAAGTTTTTAGAAAGCAAACAATTCAAATTCATTTATTTTGTAAGCAGTTTTATTCATTTACGTACATCTACACAGGACAGTACAAAAGAGTAATTAAGTAAAAGGTAATCATATTGAGTTAATCACAAGCAATCCATGAAGCCGAGTAGCCCCAGAATATTGTATCGTACCAAGTGTTTACTTTGAGAGTAAATCCTTTGCGCGATACTCCTTGAGCCTGTGTATTCAAACGGGTGTTTTTCCTATTACCAATGTCCAGTTTACTGATGCTAACGATAACCGATGGGATCTTTGTGAATGGTTTCTTGAACGTAATATGGTGGTAGTTGTTTTGTGCGCATCGAACTGGGTGGCATCCTTTCGAAACCTTTCCCATCTCGCCTATAAAGAGATATAGATTTAGGGATTAATTTGAAGAAATTTAATTATGTTAGCTTTCAATATACAGAACATTTTAGGTAATAATGTAGTGTCTATAACTACATGTAGAGCTAGTGATTATTTGAAGCACCGCGGTATTTTAAAATGCAAATGCACCCAAACATGCAGACAATAAATAAAAGAGTTATTAATATCAATTTCTACTGAACACAGGGAGCTTTTATTTTTTGTATTTAGTTTGTCTTAATGTTATTATTGCACCATATTTTTGAGAAAGCAAAAACTGGTTCAAATTTAATATCTGTTTGTTGATGTTGATAAATACGTCTCATGCGAATAAATATAAAGATGATTTGATGTCCGTGTGTGATGTAAACAGGATTCGGTTGATTGCTCCCAAGTTTGTTCAGAAATTCTTTTTGCGAAATTGCCTATTTTAGTGTATTTTGTCTCTTCTCACGATGCATTTTGTGCTTTGATTGCAAACGTCACTCTTAATAAATTTCATAAAACCAAATTGTTTATGACTATGCTTAAAATTATTTGTTGGGCTCTTATATTTATATTGAGAATCCGTTTCCCGCCTGGCACTTCATTGGCAACAATATTGATTGCAAACAATAAAAAATTTTTGTCTTAAAGTGAATACTTCCAGACAACAGGTTTCATAGTTATTCTACTTTGATTACTGCTTACAATAAGAAACATGAATCAATCCACGTTTTCTAATTAAAAGCTTTCCACTTTCACTTGTCTTCGCCTGCCAAAAAATATTAGTTGATATATATTGTCAATCTGCAATGGCTAATAACACACTACTCAAGCAATACTTTATGTTGCATTCCATGCAATAATTTTATATGAAAGAAAAAGTAATAAATGTTAGTAGCGTAAGATATATTTTGTTCATTCCAGCCAGAAAAGTAATTTTTGGAATTTATTACACTATTCAATTAATATTATTAGAACATGACGAATGGAAACACCTATCTTGTGATGAACATCGTAGGTTTGGTATTATATGTGCAAAAAATAATCAACCAATATTAAATGTTGAAATGATCAATTTATTATATGATTGCGTCGTTGTAAAATGAATGTTTTCATGTCGGGATGGTCGTTATATATTTGTAGAAGTTTAGATCCTCCGTGTTAGTAGAGTCCAAAGAAGGACTGTAGTGTTGGTATGTTGATGTTCACTGATATTTCGACAACTTTCTGGTAGTCATCTTCAGAGTCAAGAGATCGTATCATTGTTTGCATTCAAGCTAGTGGGAACTTTAAGCTATTGGCTTACAGTTGATGTATACACATGATGTATACTAAAATTTAACTCCACATGCAAGTAATCAACTTTTAAAGAATTAAAGAAACATAAAGCGCGCGTAAATGTATAATTAATTGTAACTTGCACTTACAACTCTTGGACGACATTGAATTACAGCAAAATTTACCACCTTAAGTAGAAAAAAAAAAAAATTTAAATATAAAACATGCAAGATTTGTAGTTGTTAATTATGAAACTTACCAAAACAACCATTACCAATCTACCCAAAAATGCCATTTTGTGTTGTATTGGGACAAGTTAAATTATATTTTCTAAACGCAAAATTGTACATAAAGATTCAATACACACGAAAAGACTTAAAGACCCAAACATCTAATTGCCTACCAACAATAAATTTACCTCAAAGAATATTCCTTCAAACACCAAAGTAAAGCGCATATGAACGGTCGCTGTAAAGAGTCACGTACTTATATAATCGCACGAAAATTAAAAATTCATCATTTGAGATGGCCATGTACGTGTCGGGCGGCTTACAATCAGTATAATTACTATTCCTGCAGTTTTTCACACGTTTAAAATAATTAAGAAACGGTTAGGGTTATCACGTCTTCGTTTAATTTTTACAATGGTGTGGAATGTAACACAAGTAAATTCAGAATAGCAATTACCATGGTGAATGGTGATAATAACAATGTAATAGTTCTTAAAAGAACTGTATTAACCAGAGCACTAACCCAACAATTCAAAGGAACCGCTATTTACAGCTAGAAAGAGACACTATGCATTTCGGCAGACTACTCGTCAGGTGTCAACGTCTGCTAACCTGTGTGCGTGCTGTGGGTCTAGCGCGTTAAACGTCATTAATGAGTCAATGACAAAGATAGCTGTAATGTAAATTTGAACAAGACGCCAGCTTTTGCGTTAACTCCGGGTACAAAGTTGTGTGTGAAAATCCATTACAATACATGTATCTCAGTATCAATTTCGTGTCTAAATTGTTATCCTACTTTAAGGGATACAGAAAGAGTTAAGGCACATTTGCAAGTTGAGTTGATAAATATAGCTTTATTATGAAATACAGTAGCCAATGGATGTCTCACGTCTGAGGGATATTCGATCATTTATACGCCTGTTCTACAGTATTAACGTCCTTTGAAGTACGAATAGACTTAAAGACCCAAGCGGTTGGAGTTATCACGTCTTCGTTTAATTGTTTACAATGGTGTGGAATGTAACACAAGTAAATTCAGAATAGCAATTACCATGGTGAATGGTGATAATAACAATGTAATAGTTCTTAAAAGAACTGTTTAACCAGAACACTAACCCAACAATTCAAAGGAACCGCTATTTACAGCTAGAAAGGGACACTATGCATTTCGGCAGACTACTCGTCAGGTGTCAACGTCTGCTAAATGAGAACCTCCAAATCATGCTATATTTATAATGTTACAAAAAGTCAATGTCATCCCGATTTTTCGAGATGACACTTAAAACAATGACAAAATAAACACGTGAACCTTTTGTCGGCAATGGACAGGATTAGTCAATTTAATTAATACCGACTCCATGACGCGTAGCTGGAATAAAGAGCGACATTTTTTAATAATTTTAAAGTGTTCATCAGAATAAGCATTGGCACAGCGAGTGTTACTTAAAATATGTTTTCCAATCGCTGAATCACATAGAATCGGATTTTCACTTTTACACCCACGTTTTGGCAGTTGTCGTAAAGGAACAGTCTTATTGTACCTGACAGAAGCTGGTACATGCCTCTGTACCAGCTTTTGTAACATTATAAATATAGCATGATTTGGAGGTTCTCATTTAGCAGACGTTGACACCTGATGAGTAGTCTGCCGAAATGCATAGTGTCTCTTTCTAGCTGTAAATAACGGTTCCTTTGAATTGTTGGGTTAGTGTTCTGGTTAAAACAGTTCTTTTAAGAACTATTACATTGTTATTATCACCATTCACCATGGTAATTGCTATTCTGAAATCCATCTTTAAGTTTGTCACCACGACAAAGTCTCTTTTTCATTATTTAAGTAAATTCAACGCTGAAAGCCTCAAACACTTTGTTTTCAGCGTACCAATTTAAGGATGCTTTGATGTATGTCATCATTTAGAAGATGTCATGCAATCATTTAGTCATAGTATTGGAATTTGTATTGGAACACATTAATGTGGCGTATCATGCATATATGAATATTGCACCACACAAAACCCAACCCCCTCCCCTATTATCGTTCTGACTACGTGCCTGTAGATTTTGTCATTTATTTAAAAAACCATAAAATTTCTTCCAAGATGATAATATGTCATTTATTTGTTGCTTATAGAGTACACTGAACTTCTTTGGTTGAATATTCAAGATCGAGTGCACACATTAAACGAAAATCACAACAAATTACATTAATAAATAAAAAAATTTTTTACTCAAAAGTATTTGCACGAAAGAGCTTTTAACAAACATGTTAATTATGTGTATTTTACGAAAATATAAACTTTGTCCTTTAATAGAAGAAAAGTAATCTACAAATTGTTTGATATTTTGGCACTGAATTCCGATTGATGAAGTTGTGTGTTTTAATTACTATTAAAATTTAATATTAAGACACAATGTTATGATTGCTTCAAATAATTATGTATGTATGTATGGACTCTCCTGTCGGGGCGACAGATGAGTAGGCATGCAGGTCTATCTGCGAGAGTGGGACCTCATGTGTGAATGGAGGCCAATTTGTGATGCACACGAACGTCCGCAAACCCTGCAGGGGTACGAGACAAGAGGGGCAGAGCGTTGCTTCCTTCGAGCCCTCTTCTCCTTAATGGCGGCTGCTCTACCGGCTTCGAAATTCCGAACGCCCTGGGAGCATAAATGCCTCCACTGCAGTCTGTCTCCCGCGAACTCCTCCCAGGTGTTTGGGTCTATATTGCAGCTCTTGATGTTGGCTTTAAGGGTGTCTTTGTATCTCTTCAGCGGTCTTCCTTGTACACGGCTCCCGTCTTGTAGTTGACCATACAGCATCTTTGGGATTCTGCTGTCATCCATCCTTATGACATGGCCTGTCCATCGGAGTTGAGCTTTGATGATCAAGCTCTCAATGCTGGAGAGTCCACACCTTTCAAGGACTACAAGGTTGGACACTTTGTCCTGCCACTTGATTCGGAGGATTTTTCTCAGGCAGCGCTGGTGGAACTGCTCCAGCTGTTGTATGTGCCTGCGATAAGTGGTCCAGGTTTCACAGCAGTACAGCAGAACACTCAGGACCACAGCCCTGTACACAGCAATTTTGGTGACGATCTTGATGCCGTGTTCCTGCCAGAGTCTTCTCTTTAGTCTGCCGAAAGCAGCACTGGCCTTTGCAATACGCAGCGTTACCTCTGCGTCCAGGGAACCATTGTTGCTGATGGTGCTGCCAAGGTAGCAGAACTTGTCAACAGTCTTGATGTTGGTGTGGTTAATGATGACAGGAGGTGGTGGTGAGGTGTCACGAGTCTGGGATGGTGGAAGCTGGACCAGGGTCTCAGTCTTGCCCAGGCTGATGGTCAGCCCAAAGCGATCACATGCAGTTGCGAAGCGGTCATTTATGCACTGGATGTCTTCATGGGAGTGGGCGGCTAGTGCACAGTCATCTGCGAAGAGAAATTCACGCAGGAGTGCCTCGTAGACTTTGGTCTTGGCATGAAGTCTTCTGAGGTTGAAGAGCTTTCCATCAGTACGGAACTGAATGTACACCTTTGTCGAAGTCACGGAAGGCGTCGAGCAGCATCGCTGCGAGCAGGATGGAGAGAGTAGGTGCAAGAACACAACCTTGCTTCACACCGTTCTTCACAGGAAATGAGTCCGATGTCTCCCCACTATCCTGGACTCTTGCCTGCATGCCATCGTGAAAGGAAGCTATCAGAGAGACTAGCTTCTTTGGACACCCAAATTTTCCCAGGATTTTCCAAAGGCCTTCCCGATTAACGGTATCGAATGCCTTAGTTAGGTCTACGAAGACCATGTGGAGTTCCTTGTTTTGCTCACGGCACTTTTCCTGCAACTGGCGAATAGCGAAACCATGTCAGTAGTTCCCTGCCTGCCCGGAAACCACACTGAGATTCAGGGACGATGGCCTCGGCAACATTTGTGATTAGCCTGTTTAAGACTACTCAGGCAAAACCTTGCCTGCGATGCAGAGGAGAGATATGCCTCGATGGTTGTCACATAAGGTCTTATCACCTTTCCTCTTATAGATGTGCACAACGGCAGCATCTTTGAAGTCCTGGGGGACCTTGACAACTTTCCAAACCTCCTGGAACAGGGATGTCAGTTTGTCCAGGAGTGCCTGGCCTCCGTTCTTGTAGACGTCAGCTGGAATGCCATCAGCCCCAGGAGCCTTTCCAGACCCTGTCTGCTTGAGGGCTTTCGCAACCTCGTCTCTGGTGGGTGGGTCGGCAATTTCCTCTTTGATTGGCAGCTGGGGGAGGGACTCAATGGCTTCTTCGTTCATCTGTGACTCTCTATTCAGCAGCTTGTTAAAGTGTTCAGCCCAGCGTGAAAGTATGTCAGCTTTGTCTGTTAGCAGTGCCGTTCGGTCTGCAGACCTGATGGGGGTAGAGCCTGACGATTTTGGACTGTACACCGCGCGAAGCCCATCGTGGAGCTTTTTGAGTCGTGAGCATCAGCTGCCACTTGGATTTCTTCGGCTTTCTTTTCCCACCAGGCGTTCTTCATTTCCCGCAGCTTGTGTTGCACATGCTGCCTCACTTGTTGGTAGTCTTGCTTCTTCTTCTCGCAAGCTTTGTCCCCTATAAGGTCGCTGTGAGCCTTATGGAGCCTGTCAATAAGCCCGTTGATCTCAGCGTCATTCTCGTCAAACCAGTCTCGATGTTTTCGCTCAACGTATCCAATGACACTCGCTGCAGAGTTGTAGACGGCTTCTTTGAAAGTGCTCCAGTCTTCCTCTATATCCTCGCCCGTGATGTTAATGTTTCCCAGGGCTACCTCTAGCTTCTCTTGCAGCTCTACTTTGTTGGGTGGAATGCGAGTTACATTCAACTTCTTCAGTGGCTTCTCTCTTGCTGATTTGTTCTTTCTGGCGAGCTGGATGTTCATCTTGCTCCGTAGCAGGCGGTGATCAGACCAACAGTCGGCACCACGCATGCAGCGTGTGATGTGCACATCTCTGCGGTCCCTCTGGCGGACGATTACGTAGTCCAGCATGTGCCACTGTTTGGAGCGAGGGTGCATCCATGTGTTCTTCAGCTTGTCAGCTTGTTGAAAGAGAGTGTTAGTAATGGTTAGCTCGTGCTGTGCGCACAGAGATAGTAGCATCAGGCCATTGTAGTTGCACTTGCCAGTTCCATGGCGACCCAAGATGTTTGGCCATATGGTGTAGTCTACTCCAACTCGTGCGTTAAAGTCTCCAAGGATGATGAGTTTGTCTTTGCGGTCAACACTGGAGAGTAACTGGTTGAGCTCTTCGTAGAAGGCTTCCTTCACTTCATCTGGGTTTGTCATTGTAGGGGCGTAGGCACTGACAATTGTTGCGTTGCAGTCTTTTTGGAGTTTCAGCCGCAGGGTCATGAGGCGATCGCTGATGCCCTGTGGCAAGCTGACTAGTCTCCTTGCGAGCTGAGTGCGTATGGCAAATCCCACGCCTGAGTGTCTTGGGGCGTTTTCCGGTTTCCCAATGCAGTAGAAGGTGTAGCCACCACCGACCTCTTCCAGTTGAGTTTCATCTGCAAGTCTGGTCTCACTCAATGCGGCTATGTCCACCTGGTATTGTCCAAGCAACCTTGCTATAAGAGCAGTGCGTCGCTCTGGTCTGTCGTCTCTGTCCAACAGCGTTCTCACGTTCCATGCCCCAATGGTTAAGCGCTTTGTTGTTTTGTTATCCTTAGTTGTACGACCGCTTAGTTGGATGCCCAGGCAGGTGCGGTTCCTGCCAGGTGCAAGTAGGGCAGGCTTTGTTTAGGGATCCTTTTATCTCCCCTTCCCCATGTGGGGAGAGCAGTGCTAACCCTAAAGAGGGCTGCTCTGACACTGCGAGAGGATACGGGCGCCGTATCTGCCCTAGGTTTACGGCGGACGACCATCAATTCGCAGCCGCCTGCGTGCAGAGTCATGGCTAAGAACTTCCAGCAGCATCCTCTGCCTGTTCCCGTCACCATTTTTCCATCGCCACAGGACTTTAGATAGCTGGCGCAAAAAAGGGATGGTTGCATCACTTGATTCCGGCAAACCTGCTTGCCTGACCAGCACAGGTGAATGTTTTAGGTGAAGAGGGGATGTGCACGCCCATCTCCACCTTCTCGCCTACTGACGCTCAATGCTCCACAGGTGCAGAAGCTGCCACGTGTAGAGCGGCCCCAGCAGGTGCAGTTTTCTTCTTCGGAGTATCCGTCTCCTAGCCTTTCCCGTGATCGAGTACACCGCAAGGCAGCGGAGGTTTGAAGTCAGGATTTTCCTTCCCCTAGGTGGGCTACCTTCCTGGGTTAACGAGCCACCACCTGCCCGAAGCATCTGGTTTTAAGGCGCCAGAGATCCGCCTTCGCCCCTTCTCCTGTTGGTAAAAGCAGTTCCGCCGGGCTTAGAAGTAAAGCCACACGAGCAGGCCAGGAGTTGGACTTGGTTGACAGAGGCTGTTTGAGACGCACGCCATAAGGAGCATTTTGTAAACACCGGGAGCTTATCCCCGGAGCCACTCCTGGCTGTGTCAACCTTCGAAACCTTCAAATAATTAAAACCTCACTAACTCCCATAAGATATCGCCAGTGATCTCTTGTTGAATTCATTCGTCGTTAACAAGTGACAGATGAGCAAGATGGCTCATGGCGCAGTTAGAGCAACCTCATTAGCGATAGCGGACCTAAAAGAATATACGTTATAAGAATGTATAACATAAACAGGAAAACGCAGCAAATTGCATTTATAAATAGAATCCTAGCACACAAAAGTCTTTGTACGAAAGGGCTTTTCACCAATTTGTTAGTGACTTGAATTTCGTGAATACACCTCTATAGCCTTTAATAGAAGAAAAGTAATCATGAAATTGTTTTTCTACGATATGATTTCTCCGCCTACGTAGAACAAAGTTATTAGAAACTGCTAGCAATGCCACTGCATGAGCCATGAGCAGCATGATATTTTGGCACTGAATTTGAGTTCTGAAGTTCTGCATAATGCCATTAAAATTTCATTTTATAACACAAATTCATGGTAGCATCGGATAGTTATCACCTTATCAACTGGCAAAGATATGTGACATTGATTTGTTATTCATACTGTCAGGAGCTTGTTTGGACGGCTTTAACAGGCTTATATAAACCTGTCAGATTTTCATTAAAATGACTTTATATACCGTTAATGATCAATGATATCAGTTAACTTCTGCATCAATAGCTGGAAAGAATACAAAAGCTTACGACTTTTAGCAGAAAGTAATACGTACGTGTGTAAGCGTTTGATATTCTGCCGTGCGTGTCCATTGCAAACATGAACGTAATGCCTGTGATCGTTATATAGGAAGGGGTGGGTCATGCTCACGAACGTGCTTCCATAACTTTACTAATTCAATATAAAAAAGTGCCCTTTTTACAAGAAAAGTAACCTTTTTTACAAAAAGTGTCCCTTTTATCAGAAAAGTGCCCTAAAAGCTTGTGCCCCTCTCCCAACTTTCACTTGCTTCCGACGCGTCTGCTTGTGATGTAATATTGCACAGAATAATATTCGTTATATTATTACATTGTCTTAATGGTCGCCTGCAATTTTCAGTAAACTAGCCAGAAACGTTGTATGAAAATGTAAGACGGTCAAAACGTTGCTTGATTGGCTACAACGTGATAGTTCGCAGAAATTAAACTTGTCGTAAACCTGTGTGCGTGCTGTGGGTCTAGCGCGTTAAACGTCATTAATGAGTCAATGACAAAGATAGCTGTAATGTAAATTTGAACAAGACGCCAGCTCTGGCGTTAACTCCGGGTACAAAGTTGTGTGTGAAAATCCATTACAATACATGTATCTCAGTATCAATTTCGTGTCTAAATTGTTATCCTACTTTAAGGGATACAGAAAGAGTTAAGGCACATTTGCAAGTTGAGTTGATAAATATAGCTTTATTATGAAAGACAGTAGCCAATGGATGTCTCATGTCTGAGGGATATTCGATCATTTATACGCCTGTTGCCCTGTTCTACAGTATTAACGTCCTTTGAAGTACGAAAAGACTTAAAGACCCAAGCGGTTGGAGTTATCACGTCTTCGTTTAATTGTTTACAATGGTGTGGAATGTAACACAAGTAAATTCAGAATAGCAATTACCATGGTGAATGGTGATAATAACAGTGTAATAGTTCTTAAAAGAACTGTTTAACCAGAACACTAACCCAACACTTCAAAGTAGCCTATATTTACAGCTAGAAAGAGACACAATGCATTTCGGCAAACTACTCATCAGATGTCAACGTCTGCTAAATAAGAACCTCCAAGTCATGCTATATTTATAATGTTACAAAAGCTGGTACAGAGGCATGTACCAGCTTCTGTCAGGTACAATAAAACTGTTCCTTTACGACAACTGCCAAAACGTGGGTGTAAAAGTGAAAATCCGATTCTATGTTATTCAGCGATTGGAAAACATATTTTAAGTAACACTCGCTGTGCCAATGCTTATTCTGATGAACACTTTAAAATTATTAAAAAATGTCGCTCGTTATTCCATCTACGCGTCATGGAGTCGGTATTAATTAAATTGACTAATCCTGTCCCTTGCCGACAAAAGATTCACGTGTTTAATTGTCTTTGTTTTAAGTGTCATCTCAAAAAATCGGGATGACATTGATATTTTGTAACATTATAAATATAGCATGATTTGGAGGTTCTCATTTAGCAGACGTTGACACCTGACGAGTAGTCTGCCGAAATGCATAGTGCCTCTTTCTAGCTGTAAATAACGGTTCCTTTGAATTGTTGGGTTAGTGTTCTGGTTAATACAGTTCTTTTAAGAACTATTACATTGTTATTATCACCATTCATCATGGTATTTGCTATTCTGAAATCCATCTTTAAGTTTGTCGCCACGACAAAGTCTCTTTTTCATTATTTAAGTAAATTCAACGCTGAAAGCCTCAAACACTTTGTTTTCAGCGTACCAATTTAAGGATGCTTTGATGTATGTCATCATTTAGAAGATGCCAAGCAATCATTTAGTCATAGTATTGGAATTTGTATTGGAACACATTAATGTGGCGTATCATGCATATAGGAATATTGCACCACACAACCCCCAACCCCCTCCCCTATTATCGTTCTGACTACGTACCTGTAGATTTTGTCATTTATTTAAAAAACCATAAAATTTCTTCCAAGATGATAATATGTCATTTATTTGTTGCTTATAGAGTACACTGAACTTCTTTGGTTGAATATTCAAGATCGAGTGCACACATTAAAAGAAAATCACAACAAATTACATTAATAAATAGAAAAATTTTTTACTCAAAAGTATTTGCACGAAAGAGCTTTTAACAAACATGTTAATTATGTGTATTTTACGAAAATATAAACTTTGTCCTTTAATAGAAGAAAAGTAATCTACAAATTGTTTGATATTTTGGCACTGAATTCCGATTGATGAAGTTCTGTGTTTTAATTACTATTAAAATTTAATATTAAGACACAATGTTATGATTGCTTCAAATAATTAAAACCTCACTAACTCCCATAAGATATCGCCAGTGATTTCTTGTTGAATTTATATGGCCGTTAACAAGTGACAGATGAGCAAGATGGTTCATGGCGCAGTTAGAGCAACCTCATTAGCGATAGCGGACCTAAAAGAATATACGTTATAAGAATGTATAACATTAACAGGAAAACGCAGCAAATTGCATTTATAAATAGAATCCTAGCACACAAAAGTCTTTGTACGAAAGGGCTTTTCACCAATTTGTTAGTGACTTGAATTTCGTGAATACATCCTCTTTAGCCTTTAATAGAAGAAAAGTAATCATGAAATTGTTTTTCTACGATATGATTTCTCCGCCTACGTATCGAACAAAGTTATTAGAAACTGCTAGCAGTGTCACTGCATGAGCCATGAGCAGCATGATATTTTGGCACTGAATTTGAGTTCTGAAGTTCTGCATAATGCCATTAAAATTTCATTTTATAACACAAATTCGTGGTAGCATCGGATAGTTATCACCTTATCAACTGGCAAAGATATTTGACATTGATTTGTTATTCATACTGTCAGGAGCTTGTTTGGACGGCTTTAACAGGCTTATATAAACCTGTCAGATTTTCATTAAAATGACTTTATATACCGTTAATGATCAATGATATCAGTTAACTTATGCATCAATAGCTGGAAAGAATACAAAAGCTTACGACTTTTAGCAGAAAGTAATACGTACGTGAGTAAGCGTTTGATATTCTGCCGTGCGTGCCATTGCAAACATGAACGTAACGCCTGTGTTCGTTTTTTAGGAAGGGGTGGGAGGGGGGTCATGCTCACGAACGTGCTTCCATAACTTTACTAATTCAATATAAAAAAGTGCCCTTTTTACAAGAAAAGTAACCTTTTTTACAAAAAGTGTCCCTTTTATCAGAAAAGTGCCCTAAAAGCTTGTGCCCCTCTCCCAACTTTCACTTGCTTCCGACGCGTCTGCTTGTGATGTAATATTGCACAGAATAATATTCGTTATATTATTACATTGTCTTAATGGTCGCCTGCAATTTTCAGTAAACTAGCCAGAAACGTTGTATGAAAATGTAAGACGGTCAAAACGTTGCTTGATTGGCTACAACGTGATAGTTCGCAGAAATTAAACTTGTCGTAAACCTGTGTGCGTGCTGTGGGTCTAGCGCGTTAAACGTCATTAATGAGTCAATGACAAAGATAGCTGTAATGTAAATTTGAACAAGACGCCAGCTCTGGCGTGAACTCCGGGTACAAAGTTGTGTGTGAAAATCCATTACAATACGTATATCTCAGTATCAATTTCGTGTCTGAATTGTTATCCTACTTTAAGGCATACAGAAAGAGTTAAGGCACATTTGCAAGTTGAGTTGATAAATATAGCTTTATTATGAAAGACAGTAGCCAATTGGATGTCTCATGTCTGGGGGGATATTCGATCATTTATACGCATGTTCTACAGTATTAACGTCCTTTAAAATAAGCTGTTTTCTACAGATAATATCATGCAAATGCTAACACCCTTCCAAGAATTATTATTAAAACTAGCTGCACTGCAACTCTGCCTTACAACCGTCATCATGGTGTATCAATAATACATTTCAGTGTTTCAAGCTATTGAGTTGAATATGAAGCAATTTGGCATTCATGTAAAAACTGGCATTGACATTCATATGGTCATTGGTAACATTTATATAACCTTTGGTGATTAGCACTGACATTCATTTAGTCATAGTATTGGAATTTGTATAGCTGTTCAGTGCTATTTTTGCATTTACGATGTATAAAGCAATCGGTATTTACATAATATAGTTGTTGGTATGAACATTAATATATAGTCATTGGTATTGAGTTTATTCCAAAGCCATCATCAGAGTATATATAAAATATTAATCCTAACACGGTTTTTAATATGCACATGAAAAACATGTGACTTGGACGAGATTTGAACTCGCACCTTCGGGAACTAGTCCGCCGCTCTACCTGTTGAGCTACCAAGCCCACAGGGATTGGAGACGAGTCAAATCTCTTTTAAACTGCGTATGGACGAGAGATTCTCGCCACTGTAGCAGTTTACTGGATTGAGTTTCATAAAGTCATTTGTGTTGACATTCATACTGTCATTGGTATTGGCTTTTGTACAGTCATTTATCATTACATTGAGTAATTAATGGACAACATAACATTATATACGAACCATATGTGTTTGGAAACAATTAGGGTTGTGACCTTAGTCTTGTCATGGCACAACACGTCAAGTCAAATATCCCATGAAAATATGTAAGAATGATAAACTGAAACAAACGTTTATAGAACTTGGGCTTTATCGTGATTGAGTATTCCTAAATAAAGTACACAATTGTGTTTTATCAAGAAGTCATTTCTGAAAATTCAAAGAAACTTCAAGTCAGTTAGAATGATAAAAAGTTCACGAGAAAATGAGCATGGCAAACACGGACAAGAGTCACAAGATAAGCTTACAGATATATTGTAAATTTCTCTTTATAATAATTTGCTTCCACAGCTCCTCACCGTCTCAGTTAACTGTATCGATTTCACAGAGCTCTGGTAATGATAGCAAATGCTTTTCTAGATATCCTTTTGTATCATGTAAAACCTTAAAGTATGTCCTACATCATATTTTGACATCAAACAGAAGCTCTGTTGATATACATTTCGTTAAAGATCCGATTTATTACTTGCAATCTCATCATGTAATACACGCATATAATCGTTCATTGACTCTCCGATTTTATTCTAAATTACCCATCTCACAGGGCATAGTTAAACTAATATGCTCAACAAAAGCTCGAAGAATCTTTGAGGTGAAAGGAAAGAACCTGATAATGGAATTTCACAATATATCTTTTTCACAATGTGGTAAAGGAAATGATAATTTCCTTCCAGCTCTTTCTGCAAGGAATACACTTAAAGTGTCTTTTTATTCCTGTTTATTTGAACACAATAGTTGTGGCGCATTATTTTTACTCAACTCAGACCTTTATATAGAGTATTCAAATTTCTTGAATAATTCTGCAGACACACTATATGACAAAAAGTTAGTCGATCCAAACACAAGAGCATTTGGTGGCGGAATAGGTATCTTATTTTATAAAGAAACGCGAAATACATTTGTGACAATTGTGCACAGTCGTTTCATTGAAAATCGTGTTTTCGTCGATGAAAGTCCATATTATGCTGCATTTAAAAATCTCAACTCGACTGTTGATGGTGGGGCTATACATGTCACCTTTGAAAGGTCTAAATTTTCGACAGTGATTAATATTGATCACTGTTATTTTCAGCAAAATAATGCAACGTTTGGGGGTGCTGTTCTTGTAGAACTGTATAAGCAATCATTCCACAAAAGCATGACTCTTTATTCATCGCAATTTTTACATAACTATGGCAGCCAAGAAGGTGGATCTTTGTTGATTTTCGATGGATTAAATCTGGCGAGATAAACCTAACCGTGGTAGACTCCTTGTTCAAAGAAAATTCTGCCAAAAGTGGAAGTGCAATCACTTTTTAAGCACCTCTCGTTATCTATCTCCACCAGGAAGTAAAAACTTACTTTTATTCAAAAATCTAAAGTTTATTGGAAACGTCGGACCTGTTGCTTCTGCGGTAAAAATGGCAGCTCTTAATTTTGGTCCCCAATCAAGTATGCAAGTTCCTATTTTTGAAGACTGTCTGTTCGCTCACAACATTAATAATGTTTTGAATGGCTATGCAACAATGCCTGCATTTGTCATTGAGAGAATCCAACTAAAATTTAGAGGCAAAAATATATTTATTGGAAACAAATCGTATGGTGCAATGTACATAAGTAATTCTATAGTTGAAGTGCATGGAAAACTTTATTTCCAGGACAATATAGGTGTAAAAGGTGGTGCAGTACAAATGTTTTATTCTCAGATCGTTGTACATCCGGGAGCTGATGTTCTCTTTCAAAACAACTACGCGACATTCAGTGGTGGAGCGATTAACGTTAAAACAAGTCCCGTCAATCGTGTTGGTGATGTCAACAATAAATTCTGCTTTCTTACTTATGCAGAGAAAAAACAATCTGTCCTGTGGAATGTAAGAACTTTTTTGTTATTCATACTGTCCAATCTGGAAATATTGCTTTTGTACACGACGGTAACAATATGAATAAGATTTTGGGATTTACATCGTTTTACATTGCAAAGAAACCATATTTAGTCTTAACCAGAGAAGTTTGAAGCAAATTACGATCGAGATTGTAGGGGAGGGTGTTGAAACTTCAAATTGTCCAGGAATCATAAATTTTTTCAACAGTTGGGAGGGAGCTGTAGCCTGCCTATTCACCCCTGTTTCTAGCGGGTTAATATACGTTAGAAGATCTGTAGAGAACAATTAAGAGCGAACAAGACATTTAATGCAATTAACTGCAGTCTTATAACAATTTTCTCTTTTTGAAGCCATTTGCATTATATTTCGTATCTTTGTATTTTCATTAGGCAACAATTCGTTTTATAAACAACACAGCCATAACGCTAGGCTCTGCTATCTTCGTTGATTCGTTGATATCATGTGCTGGAGATCCCTATTCAAAAACAATTGACTTCAGTAAAGCTTTAAGATGGAAACTGGTATTTTATTACGAAGGGAATGTATTGGAAAGCATTGAGCAATGTAGAGAAGAAGAATGTTCATTAACCCCATATCAACGTCCACTGCTAGTTTAGAAGTAACGGAAAGTCATATAATTAAGGTAAAAGATTATTCAGTATTGTACATGTTTTGATCATAACTAAAAGTAACGTAATACTTACACTCCATGTATAGTAATTGATAAATACAGCATAGATTTGCAATTCATTCATACAACTTTTAAAAATAAAAATTGGATTTTGTTTCATCGTGTTTAAAATGCCTAAAGTAAACTGTTTCTTGAACAATTCTCAACCAAATTTATGATTCTATTTCTAGACGTGCCCGGGGAAGTAACGCCCTTGCATATAGTAGCCAAAGATGAACTAAATTCGTCCGTTTTCACAGTTCTTCAAAAATTTTTTTAATGCTACATGGTTAAAACCGTCTTCTGTTATCACCACTATTGGAAAAATGTTCCACCACTAAAGTTTAAGTATAAATTGAACTGCAAAGTTAAAATTCCAGAAAACGCATCTGCAGATGTGTATTATTTGGACGCTCTAACCAATGGACGAGAATTCATAAAGTTTACTCTCTTTCCTCAGAAATGTCGACCAGGTTTTGTTCAAAAAGATGGCTTGTGTGTTTGTGATAAATCATTTTCAGCAGTTTTAGGGTGAGTTGAAAACACGTGAATCTGATATTTTTTTTAATTATAATTTTTTGGTTTGTTATTTTCCTTTCGCTTTTTGTAAGTAGCTACATTGTGTTTTGGAATATGTTATAGTATTCATCTCTAATATATAATTAGCACAAAAAATATGCTAGTTTAGTTGTGAAACTAGCCAAGTGATGTAGTCAGATCCAATTTATAAAATCTCATTTCTTACTAGATGTACATCGAATGGTCACTACGTACAATACAAAGAGGGTTATTGGGCAGGCATTATTGACGGTCGTTTGATAATTTTACCCTGTCCGTTTGGATATTGTTCATGCCACAAGTTAGAAAATGAAAGTACTAAAATCAGTGGTTGTTTCTTCAATGTTGTTAACAAAACAAGCAATGATGTATGTGCCAATTATCGTACAGGTATTCTGTGTGGCAAGTGTCAGAAAAACTACAGTGTTGGAATTAAGACTTTTGTCTGCGTTCCCCGAAATTCGACAATCTTGTGTACTGTCACCACTATCTTATCCTTTGTTTTTACTTTCTTGGCTTGCATTCTCATATTGTACTTTAATCCTGGCTTAGATAACGAGATTCGTGGTCCATTGTTCTTTTTTCAAGTTTTGCCGTTATTTTTTTCTCCTGTTCAGTATACAGCGAAGCATACATTTGGTGTTTATAATTTGGTTCATTTTTTGGCTTCCATTTTTGGTTTCACATTACCATTTTTTGGTTATTTCTTTTCTCATTGCTATATACTAGATAATTTGGATAACTTGGACATGTTATTGGCAAGTTTCACATCACCTTTGATCGCCTTTACAGTGTTTGTTGTTTTCATGCTGCTCACTAAACAACGAATAATTTTTATTCGAAGAAAAAATGCTGTGCAGAGTTTTTGGGTTTTATTGTTGCTAATGTATTCAAGTCTTATGACGACATCTTTAAACATTATCAACTGTCTAAATGTTGCAGGAAGCAGTCGTCTTTTCTTGCAAGGTTCTGTGAAATGCTTTGAAGAAAGGCATCTTCCTCTGTTCGTAATAGCGTGTATTCTACTGTTTTTTGGAATTCTTATTCCAATAGTGATTTTTGATTTAACAAAGAAGAACCGACTCAAGATAGCTCCTCATTATTTGGACACATTGACGAATAACTTGAAAAAGGAATCTACATTTTGGTGGTCAGTGGATCTTTTACGGCGCCTTCTCGTTGTTGCTGTCGGAAATCTTATTCAGAAATGGAAAATAAAGCAGGTAATTTGTATTTGTGTAAATATTGTGTTTTTTGAATGAAGAAAGCAGTGAAATAAATCAAAACATGGTAGTCTTATCACTGTTATCGTTATGAAGCAAATGGTTTGAACCCGGGAGTATCGTTACATGTTTGTGGATGAAGATCATCCAGGTTAGTAGTCCTGAGAAGGACTGTTGGTATTGATGTAGACTGACGTTTTGACAACCTTAGCGGTAGTCATCTTCAGAGTCAAATGAGGATGACTATAGCAAAGGTTGTCTAAACGTCAGTCAACATCAATACCAACAGTCCTTTTCAGGACTCTACTAACCTGGACGATCTTCATCCACAAACATGTTACATTTATCGTTGTTACTGAACTAACAGCATTATTGACATACTTTATACAATCAATTTTTGCTTTTTATGATATTTATAGGTTGTCCTCATAATTGTTTCAACGTTCATTCTCGCTGTTCATTGCTGTTGGCAACCGTACGAAGAAACACGAGCTAACGTTTTAGAAATAATCTATTTATTTATGTTATGTGCCATTGGTACATTTCAGTTGGTAGATATTGAAGAGAACGACAGAGATAAAGGGAACATGGTTTTAGTTTCTATGATGATTTTGTTGACACTCCTTTTGCTTTCCGTTAAATTCTTTGCATTCGTCAGGAAAAGAACAATTTTGTCATTTCAATTAGAAGATAAAAAGTATGAACCTTTGGAAGATGACAAAGGCTTTGTGTCATCAGCAGAAAGAGCCGAACAATCTCTGCAGGAAAGACGAAATAAACTGGAACATTTATTTTCTCGGTCTGAGTCATCAGACTAGGAAATAGACGTCTGTACTTTATAATGCTAAGAAGGAACACGCTTTTTCTCTGATGCTTATAAAACAAACTTATGCAGTTGAAAATTAAAGTGTAGAGTCCGTATTAAATCAAAAAATTTATTCAGCTCGCCGTTCGGTGTAACGTGTGCAAAATTATTAAGTAGTTCAGACCTTGTCAAACATTCAATTTCAACATGGGCATAGACGCAAGAACACCTTCGGCCAAATTAAGGAGATATTTTTGATCAACTGAGATCCTCTAGACGAGTAGAAACGGCCATTATATGATTGATTTACCGCATGTCATATGTTTTTAACAACGCTCGTAGAAAGATTAATAAGTGTGAGGAAGGGATATTAATATTTTATGTTACAATACGTAAAACACAATGGATTTTAATGAAAGTTAGTATAGTAGTGCCTGATGCATTTTTGAATATGAGCCCAGAGAACTCTTCCCCCTCCTCCCAATTATCGAGCTTCCTCTTCCTTCCAAAACTTTGAAACATGTCCACTTGTCATAAAACAGTTTTAACCTTGCAAACATATAATCAGCTTCTGTATGTCAGTTTACTTGAAAAATTCCAGAGTCACTTTTGCGTAGTTTGTTTGCGTAGTTTACATGGATCTAATGTTACTTGAAATACATCATCAAAGTCTAATATGATTGGACAACAACGAAACGTTCACACCTCTTGGATAAACTTTGGAATGAGCACTTCAACTTAAGTTTCAGAAAAAATTGGCAACATTTCACAAAATAAGTAATGCAATTTAAAACATTTTATTTCTAATAATGATGTTATAGTTGAACATGTATTATTTATATTATCTCATTCTCGTACATTTTTATCCATACGAATAATTGCTATGGAAAGTTGAACTCTCGGAACTGACGCTTCCGCTCACCTTAGCCAATTACGCACTTACGGTAATACACATGCGCACATGACACAGTTTATTGGCATTTGTTTTGAAATCTTCCAGACTATTGTGAGCCCAACATTAGATGTTCTATTATTTTCTACGGTACAAAGTTCCAAAAAAAGAGTTCAAAGTTGTACCACATCATTAATATTGGAGACATACAACATGACTGGAAAATCACCTGATATTTTTGAAAAATACATGTCCCAGACTCAGACAAGTCCAGATACGGACGAGCAGTTTTATGGATCGTCAGAGATAAGGCTTAAAATTAATGGCCATGGTAGATCCTTTTGTAACGAAGATAACATTGATCAATGCATTACTTATTTAGATCAGGTAAGTTGCTCTTCAAAGTTGAAACCATAGAAAAAATTTTTCCATAAAAAATATATTATGATTATAATTTTTTATGACACAACACAGATGTTCTTGACTGGTGGTAAACAACAAATTCTTACTAAATGAAATAATTCAAGACTGACATCGGTGACATGACAACGAACATATGTTCTTACTTTCAGTTATGAAAATTATACTGATGCTTGGATAACCGAGAAAATTTTTGTAAAACAGTTTTAATGCTGTTACCATGGCCCGAATAAACGATTTGATATCATTTTGTTTTTCCCAATTTGAATTTATTGATTTGAAGACCTACGAATATGATTATACTTAAATGTTTTTTAACATATAGAAAGTACTTTAATGTCCATCTGTAATGCATTCATTCAGCCTAACTTTTTACTCATTCTATGCAAATATTTTGTGTTCACTGGATTTTTGTAAAACATATTAGAAAAAATTAAACAAAGGCAATGATTCATTATTTACAAAGTAGAAAAAATTCGACTTTGCTGGCTATACTACTAATATCCAGAAATCTATAAACATGATGATATTGATGGATGTCTGTGTACCTTAGTATTTTTTGCCATCTTTGAATTCATGGTCAAATGTGTATAATATTACATTTAGATAGCATCTAGTTTACTTTGCAAAAACAAAGTATTTGCAGGTAGTAAATAGAACTCACTAACTACCTTCATTTACAATTCATGCATAATATAGTCATAGTATTTATACTACATTATAGGAATTGGTCATTGTTGGTTTTGCGTCACTGTATAAGAATTCTGACAAAAAGGAATACAGCATTGTTAAAATTATTAATAATTTATATGAACTTCTACTACTTCAAATCAGAAATAATAAAATTAAGGATGAAATGGAGATTAGGTAAATTGCAACTTAAACTTGTTATATTTCATTTTTTATGCTGAACTCAATCAACTAAATATTTAGCATGTTGTACGTTGCAATCAAATACGTAATTATTGTATAACATAACAATTTTTTAAATTAAATAAATTGTTCATACTTTTTCATAAGAAATTTAGTCACAGACTAGTGATGACATGTCTATATGATTTGTTTATATGTTTAAGGCAACAAAGATCTGATTCTGATAATGAATATTTGGTTCAAAATCAAACCCGACTCAAGGTAACTTTCATTTTGCTTTTTATATGAATAAAAATATGTTGATTGATTGTTTATAATTAACATATTGATGGCTTAAAAACCATTTTTGACAATATTAGTTCATTATGTGTGAGGTTAGTATCATATTAAAAAATCACGATTAGATTAAATAATGTGTTTTACAAACACAAACAAACAAACAACATTTGTATACTGGCCAGTATTAATCCCCGCCAGGGGGGTTGACCGGTCCATGAACTTTTCTACGCCAAACGTCTCTATCTCTCGCCATATCTTTCGTTATACCCATCGCCTTCATATCACTGTTCACAGCATTCATCCATCTCCTTCTCGGTCTACCTCTTTGCGGACTCCATCAACATTCATATGCAACGTTCTACGAATTTCAGCACTTTCTTCCCTCCTTTCCACATGCCCAAACCACCTCAAACGCTGGCGCCTTACCCAATTCTCGATACACTCAACACCAACTCTTTCTCTAATCTCTTCACTTCGAATCCTATCTATCAACGTTACACCACACATCATCCTAAGCATTCTCCTTTCCGTCGACGCCAATCTTCTCAGGTCCTCTGCTTTCGGCGCCCAACACTCTGCTCCATATCCCAAAACACTTTTAACACATGCCTTGTACAATTCTCCCTTCTGCTTCAACGAAGTCGACTCTCCGCACAACATTCCCGACAACTCTCTAAAACTCCACCACGCTGCTTGAACTCTGTTCCTCACCGCTTGCTCGCACCCTCCACCATCATTTAACACATCGCCCAGATATTTAAACTCCGATACACCTTCCAAACTCACGTCACCCAGTTCAAACCGTTCAATCGCGACTCGCCCACCACTTCGACACGTCCCGCACTCAAAATCAGTTACTCTTGTCAATGCACCACGGACACCTGAACATCTTCCATGAACCCACTTACTGCATTACCCATACATTATCGAATTCACTCCAACTCTTTTCCCACACACACCACATGGCCATTTATCACTGTCCTTCACCTCCACCTGCCTCGAGCATCTCATGCCACATGTTTTACTAGTATCATATTGTCTCATATAGTAGCAAGTACGTATGTGCGTATGTACTGCATGATATATTGACCATAATGCCAAATAAAATTAGTTATCAACATCAATTTTCATAATTTAAAGTAATTGTTAAGCTGTCTTTTTTATAAGAGCTATAAGAGCTTGTTTTTAGAGCCATATTTGTCACTCCTCAGTGGAGGAGAGCAAAGTATCAGTAAAAAAATGAGAAAACCATTAACGTAGTTATTGATGTTCACCAATTTTGATTGAAAATTCTGCTTTATGAGCATGTTTTCAGCTTTGAACAACTCGTACGTGTTTCAACCTTTCGTATTTATTGCTTAAAATGTTCAGTTTTTAATGACAACTTCACTTTTGAAGTGGTGTTTTGTATCAGTTGTGAAAAAATAATGGTACAACGTTTTTGGTTTGTAAAAAACAAGGATATTCAGATTTATGTAGTTGTTACAAAGTGGAAACATAGACGTTGCAAGCGTGATAATTTAGGAAAGGCGAGTATTGAACAAAGTGGAAACATAGACGTTGCAAGCGTGATAATTTAGGAAGGGCAAGTATTAACTCACGTATATGTTATTTTCATGTGATTTATAACATGTATATATGTATACATATAAGTACTTGCCCCTTCAATTATCGCACTACCGACGTCATTGGGTGGAAAACAAGTTGAAAAGAAAAAATTAATTATCTTCACTAATAGTTTTCGGGATCCCCGTTGGTCCAATCAGATCTCACTAATTATACAATGTTTTCACAATATCGTCTTGTTTGTGCGTGTTTTGACGGGAGAATACTGTCTTCACCTTAAGTTAGGCCACGTACATCGACAGTTTTGATAATGTAATAAGCGACTATCGGACATGCAATTTATCAGTCGATAATCTGTAAATATTGCTTCTTGACAATGGTAATGGGCAATTGGCTTATTTTAAACATCGCCCTCTCTACTACCCCAAACCTCAAGATAAACTTCTTTCATAAACTCTCTCCACATAAAAACCATTATCCCAATCATTGGGATTTTGCGTTGATGAAAAGTTTGTGTGATCGATTGCTTTCTTACTGCTATCGTGAGGGTTTCGTTGCTGAAGTGGGATAAACATTCATAAACCAAGATGAAAATTGTTTGATTGTGCTGTACTTTTTTAAGCTGTATGTTTTTGTGCTAGAACGAACTGGATTTGTTACAAAGAGAAATTGCACAGCTGAAATCAAAACAAATAGAGTTATCGAAAGTAAAAAAATCATTGGATGATGCTGTAAAATCACAAAAGGAAGAAATAAAGAAAATGAAAGGAAATCAACAATATTTAAGGAAACAATTTGAACACGATGTCAGGAAAAGTGAGAGAGAAATGGTTAAGTTAAAGGAAAAATTAGTGCAGGTAATGCATTTTTCCCCATTGCATTTATCAATACTTATTGCAATTTCTTTGACTTTTGAGTTCTGGTTTTGTATACCAAATTATGACGTGAAAATTTGCGAAGACTATCCTTATCGTTAAAAATGAACTTTGCTTTCCAAATAATTTTAATTGTGATCTACTGGCACGTATTTTTCTTATTCGTGGAGATGCCCTTTCCAATGACTTGAGTGAGTTTCAAAGCGAATAGTTTGAACCCGGGAGTATCTTTAATGTTTGTGAAGTAGATTGTCCAGGTAAGTACAGCTCTGAGAAAGATCGGTGGTGTTGATGTTGACTGCTTTAGCAACACTCATTTGATGACTGCCTCCAAGGCTGTCGAAATGTTAGCCAACACCAACAGTTTTTGTCACGGCTGTACTAACCTGGACAATCTATGTACAACTAAAATATGTAATGACCGAGTCCCGTTTTTTTATTAGACGCTTAACCATCGAACTAAAGATAAATCATTGGGCATGGATATGTTGAATTGCATTCAAAGAACTGATGGTAAACGCCGAACGTGGAATACCACTAACAGGTATGTGTATTGATGGTATATGTATGGGGGGGCGATTTAATCTAATGTGTGGGGTCCCAGATACCTAACTCATCGTTCTGTTTGCAATAATTGAATTTTTTTATAGCATTTAGTTCTTTTCTCGAGAGTAGTTGTTATGTCACAGTTGTAGATTTGTAGTCCTAAGCTGACTGTTAAAATACTAAATAAATTAATTTCTATCAATTTATTATTGATTAATGCGTTAATCGCCCTATTTTAGACAGGACGAAGATATGTATCGCTTAGTGGTGAGAAACTACGAAGAAAAACAAAAGGTAAAATCGTGTGCATTACGTGATTCATTTGCCTGTCCACCATTCTGTTTGTTAATGAATAAAAGATCAAGTAAAATAATTCAAATTGTACTGTGCAATGTCTTCGTTGTTTTATTTAAAAATTCATGAATATTTATGTGTGATCAAACTACAATATGAATCGACATCACTGACTGTTCTGAAACCTGCCCACAAGTTTGTTCATACTATGTAAATATTTTGGAGTTTACTTGCTGTAAAAACAAATTTACGTAGCATGACTGGTCACACAGGGAGTTTGCTCTTCCTTTCATTAAAATCATGCATAATATGTACGTATGAATGACTATAGATGATTTTAAACAATTTTTTAAAGGAACTCATGGAAGAAAATAATGACTTACGAGAGTTATTGCAACTCACTGAAAGGGAATTAGTTCTTCTACTAAATGATCATCAAGGGGATGTTCTTACAGAATCTGGGGTATGGTACCAAGTTAGGAAAAATTTTTGCTGTTAATGAAAAGATTTTAATATTGCTATTACTTGCTCATAGCAATTAATTTTCAGAAGAAAATTTTACAATCATTTATGTTAAATAAACCACGCTTAAATGGTAGACCTCGATTGAACAGAAGGATATGACGTCATTGATGCCAACTATTTATTGGTTTAAAATTTCAGCACGAAAACGACAGTGATAATGACGTAATATCGATAGGAAATCACACAGAAGGACATTACCAAATGCCCTTTGAGCTTGTACGTGAAGGTATAAAAGAACTTGAAGTAGGATAATACAATATTTTCATCGTTTTCTACGGTATTTTTGCTATACTTGACGTAGAGGTTACTTGCTATTTGACGTAGTTATATGTTATAACTCTTTGAAAATAATGAGATTTAAAATAGAAGAGTCATATTCATTTTCTTTACCAAAGTGCATCGTTGAGAAAAAATTCTGCTTTAGTGGGAGACTATCGCCTGAAGAATTTGATGGCTATATAGTTGAATTATGTGACATTTTTACCAAGATGTACTTATTTGTGAAGTCTTTATGTATTTTAGGAATCGCGAAAAGCATTCACGATAAATGGTCCAGGTTAAAAGAGGAGATGGAAAATACTAAGAAAGGTAGCTATAAAAAAATTTTCTTGTAGGTTTTCGATTGTATATTTGATTCAAGACCTTTTAGCAACAGTGCAGAACTTTTCATTGTAACAATGAAAATAGGAAAGTCATTGTGGAAAGTTTATGGCAAGTTTGAATATTTGCTGAATCTGACGTTCAAAAAAAACCCAATTGTAAAATAGACACATTAAAACAAATGTTTTGATTGGTCAATAGCCGTTGGCACCGATCTTAGCTCAACCAATGAAATCAATTAATCAATCAAAAAGAATTTGCAAATAGGTTATGAATACATTTTAGAGGACATTCGTTTGAAAGTTGTCTGTTTCGCATTATTGTTCTTTTATATAGAAATAAAAGATGTTTTTCGTTTTTAGACTAGCTTATGTAAACCTCGAAGACTTTAGTGAGAAATCTCCAGCAGGTGCAACCCTCGACCTTCGCTCTTGAGCTTGCATTGATTTGCTGTCGAGTTCTCCCAAAGGTCTCCTCGGCTTACATCAGCCTATGCAAATACAGTAAACGTTTTTTATTTATTAAAAAAGCATACAAAATGTGTAAAACTCGTCGACATCAGTCTAAACTCACTGAACTGGTCTTGTTTAGATGATGCCGAGATTAATCATGAAAAATGTGATGATGTTGATGTTCATAAACTACAAAATGAATTAGATCGGTATAAATACATTGTTATGCAACAGGAGGAGCAGATACAGGTCAGTTGTGACTTGTGAGTGGTGAATGAACATTTTTTTTAAGATGGTTCACTTTCCTCGGAAAATATCTTTCTTATTGTCTGCTTATTCTATCTATATTACTTTCAATTTGTTTATTTTCACAGAAACTCCAGGATAATCTGAGCAGTGAAGTAAAGACAGACTTTATGGTAAAAATTTTTCTTTATTTATGTTATCATTGGATGAAATACTGCAGATTCATGTTCGATCTTTGAATATTGTAGAATGACTCTGCTGTTACTGCGCAGAAAGATAAAATTGAAAAGGAAATGAAATTATTCAAGCAAGAAAAAAGTACATTTGATGAAGAAAGAAAGAGGTTCACAGAAGCCGCCATTGAGTTAAGCCAAGATGTAAGTGTTGAAAACTTTTTAGACGCAAATGTCGCTTGTATAATGTTTTCATCAATAAGCGCAACAATGATTCGCTGCAGCCAAAAGAAGACCGGAATCTAGGTTTTTAGCGAAGGCAATTCATCAGAATGGAAGGAATATTAAGAGGGCAAGATTGCGTATCCTTGGTCATACTAAAATACATTTGTATGCTTCCGATTGTAACATATTCATTCCTTGTTAAAGATATCACGTAATCAAATGTTTATTATGATTTAATAATCAATTTTAATTATTAATATTCTATTTTAATTATTAAGATTAATTCTTTGGTATTCGATTCATAGTTGGATGATTGTTTTTGCTATTATATTTTATTAGAGAGAACGCTTCAATGAAGAGAGAGCACTTTTCCTTAAGCAACAACTATTGAGTTTGAGTCCAAGAAATGACAGAATTCATGATCCAAGGAAAGGTACGGAAGAATTTATTATTTAAGAACAAAAATCACCCTATTTTACTTTTTACTTTTTTCGCATAACTTTAAGCTGGAAAGGACGAAGCAAGATTACCAAAATCTCGTACGCAGACTCCAGTGTTTTCTGTCCCTAATCGAAAGATGAACAATAGTGAACACTCCGCCTCTTTCGACAGTACATCGTGCTCCACACCAAATACAGCCGATCTCTACAGTGCTTTAAACTTGAAAACGAAAAGTGAACATCTTGCTGAAGAGTACGTACTCAACTCAATGAGTAATTTTTTATGCTCTAATAAATTTTCCAGTTTGAATAAAAAACAATAACTTTTCTTGTAAGGGCATAAGGTAATTTTCTAAAACGGTTAATGAAACATTTGCTATTGTGTTGTATCAGTTTTCACAAATGTAACTGATACAAAATAGAGAATGATAGATTTAAGGCTGTATAGATGTAGATTACTGTGAAAATTTGTCTTAAACTTTTTCCTTTCACTGTCGTTTGGTTTTCAGAACACCTAGAGGAATATGGAATCACGATTCCCTGTCGAGCAGTCAAAACTCTTGCTCCAGTGATCCCAAGAGTGAAAACCATCTTTCGACTAAAAATTTAAAAAGAATTGGTGAACATGCTAGGAAAATAAAGAAAGCCCTTTTAGAACAGCAGAATAATGTACAAAGTCCAGACGTATAATATAAAAATACATACATATTGACTGTAGGATTTACAAAAAAATTATATTATTTATAGTTTGTAAAAGTTTAGTAGAATTTGGTAATTGTATAAACAGCAATATTGTTCAGCTCTCATTTTGTGCAGAATCTTTCTTTTTCTTGTTTTTGGTGGGGTTTTTGTTGGTTTAAAATTTTTGAGGCTTTTGCATAGGCTGCGCAAAAATCACTTAAATAGTTCAAACAAACTATAACTCGCCCTAGTCCACCGTAACATACCGTACGCCGCTAACTTTGTATTGATTAATTTTATCTATATTATTTACGGTCTGTTACGATGGAATGGGGAGAGTTATCGTTTGTTTAAACTATTTAAGTGATTTTTAGGGCAGCTTATGGGCTTTGGATGTATACCAAATAACGTTTTGGCAGGCTCCTTCCCAAAAACAGTTCGGCAATCGAGTAATCACAGTGTTGTACATCTGTTACCTCTGTCTACCTTTGTCTGATTCTGTGTACCCCTGTGTACCTCAGTGACAATAGTTATGAGAATTTTGGACTCATTATCTACAATTTAGTATTGAATCAAAATTAATTATTTTCTCAGGCTCTAGCTATGATAGTTGAGATACATTGCCGTTTTTATAAAATAAAAACCAGATATATAAAACTTGTTCGTTGTCTGTTCATTTTGTGTGCGGGTTAGAAGAGCAATGCATGATGGGAGCATTAAAAAAGCTCGCATTTATCTTCTGCTATGAACTTTCAAAATGGCGGTCTATATCGCAGATAGTGAAACAGCGATGTAACAGCATCAGTTATTAGAATAGAACCTATTTATTGCCTTTCAACACAGCTTAACATTAGCTATTTTCCTAAAGATAAGGAGCTGCACGATCTCAACACTTGCATATTAGCTATGGCAGCTCATATTCGAAGTAAGCGCAAGAAAAATTTCACGGCAAATGAAACTCCGCAAATCAATGAGCGTGTGACTCCTTCGCCCAATGCTAATATTGGATTTGCGGATGAAAAGACATCAGGTTTAAATATTCGCAGATCGTCTCGGAAACCTAAACCAAAAAAACTTCACGATGAGTTTGAGCCAGGGGGTATTTCAAGGCAGAAGACGACTAAGGGGATGAACGTCAAAGAAGAACCACCAGAAGATGATGATGAATTACCGCCGACCGTATTTACGACAGAAACTCCAGTTTTTGAAACGAAACAATGTGAGGAAGCGACGCCATTTGTTCCTGCTGGGTTGCGACGTGAAACTAGGAAATCGTTTCAATCGTATCTTGAGAAACTTGGTTATAATACTGATTTCTCGAAAATCAACGAACATAAAGAACTTATTGCAGAAAAGAGACGAAGATCGAAAAATTCAAGTAATGACAGAGTGAAAATTAGCACAGATGATGACAAGTTACAGTCGCAGTCTGTTTCAACCAAAGATTTGTTGTTTCCAGAGGAAGATAAGACAACAACAAAAGTTCGAACTTCATCAAGACCTTCTAAACCCAGAAAGACATTTGATTTATTGTATAAAAAAGACACAAAATCATCTGGTGATAAGGCAGCTGATGTGAACATTGAGTCAACATCAAGAAATTCAAAGAAAAACAAGTTGAAAACAAATTTACCTAATAATACAAAAAATAATTTACAAAAAAATTCCATGTCTGAAAAACAATCAATTGTACTTCCATCAAAAGACTCTGAAAAATTGTCAGATGAAAATGGCACGGTAACTACACGAGTGTCAGGTAGGGTAAGAGTTCCAAAGCGTAAATTTTCCCTTCTTGAAGACAAGTCACAAGTGGAATTCAAACAGCAGAAAGTAGGTTCTGCTGTATCAGAATTAAAAGAGCATAAATCAAAAGAAAATGTTGATTCAACTCTGGATAATAAGAATAGGTCTTCTGTTTTTGCTGAACAATCGAATGCCAAGAAAGGTAAAAAGATTATAGACTCAAGTGATAAAATGCCATTCAATTCTTGTCCTCGTAAGGTGAAAAAAATAATTGATGATATTAACATTAAGAGAAAAGTAGACACACCTAAATCAGTTAATGAATCAGAGAAGAAAACAGGCTCTAAAAAAGGACGGGAAAGAATTGAAAAGATTGTGGAGTCATTGTTACTTGCAAAGCAAACTGATTCTGAATCTACACAGGATGATACGGCAGTCGTAGATAAACCTAAGGGAACAAAAAAAAGAAAAAGAGAAAGTTCTCAAGAACAAAAGATAAATGAAGGCGGAGGAAAGAAATTAAAAACTGATAAAGAAGATCATATTGTTGTAAAACTTCATATCCCTCAAGGAAAAAATCAAAGTCACAAACATCATAAACATCACCACAAGCACAAAAAAAATAAAGAAACAAGGTTAGTCTAGATTGATTGGTATCCTAAATGATTGCAATATCTTTAAAGTAAGCTTTTAACTGCACATAATGAACAGTGGAAAAATATCCTCTACAAGACTTGTGCAATTGAGTAACTCTTCTGTCGTGTGCGTGTGCGTGTGCGTGCGTGTGCGTGTGTGTGTGTGCGTGTGTGTGTGTGCGTGTGCGTGTGTGTGTGCGTGTGTGTGTGTGTGTGTGTGTGCGTGTGTGTGCGTGTGTGCGTGTGCGTGTGTGTGTGCGTGTGTGTGACGTTTACACTGTAATTCCAATGTTATTTCTGGCTCTTAGCATAGACAACAACTAAGACCTAACAAAGTATAGGATATTATTGTTATTAGAACTTTATCTAATAACATATTATTTTCTGCTTTTTCGCTATCCTCTTAAATTCAAAGGCGAATGTACTGCATTATATGTGTGACCCACAAAAGCGGACATTTTCAAAGTCCTAAGAAAAGATATCCACCAACTTTTTTTTACCAAAAGTGAACAACAAATATTTTGCTTTCTTTATCATTTCACCTTCCAGCGAGAAAAGTATTGGGAATAAATCAAAAGATATACCAGTGAAAAAGCATAAAAAACAGGTTGCAGTTATGAATGATGAAAATCAGACGGAAAAAACGAAAATAAAACAAGAGCCACAAGATAATGAAACACATCCTCATGTGAAGCTTATCATAAAGAAAAATCCAACAAAATCCACACGAATTGCTGAGGTGATGATGAAAAATTCTACTGAGAATGATTCACCCGTAGCAAAGGACGCTGAGATATGCGAAAGTTCAGAAAAGGACGATAGTGCGAAGGAAACAAAGTCTAAATCACCTGTAAAGAAACATATAAAAGTGAAAAAACAAGAAACAAAGGGAAAATCTGCAGCAAGTTTATTGGCATGTGCAAAAATGAAGAAAACTGGGGTAAAAAAGAAAATCGAACTGAAAAAGAGACAAGTGATGGAAAAAAAATTTGAACAGCGAAAGAAAACTGTGATGAAGAAATCTCATGATGTTAAACCACCAAAAATTACTCCATTGAAAAAGGTTTGTGTATTTGTACCAGTTGCATGCAATGGCTGACGTAATTTTTTATCGCGATAGGTTGTCTGTAAAATGTTTGTCACACTGTTAGCTATGTGTTTGTGGATGTAGATCGTCCAGGTTATTAGAGTCCTGAGGAGGACTGTTATTGTTGATGTTGACTGACGTTTCGACAACCTTAGCGGTAGTAATCTTCAGAGTCAAATGATGAGTAAACGTCAGGTTAGCCGTATTTGTTATATATCCATAAACATGTAACGTTTACTCCTCTGAAGATGACTACCGCTAAGGTTGTCAAAACGTCAGTCTACATCAATACCATCAGTCCTTTTCAGGACTATACTAACCTGGACAATCTTCATCCACAAACATGTTACGATACTCCCGGGTTCAAACCATTTACTTTATTACTGTTAGCTATGTTGTTCTTGAAGGCGGTGTTTTATCTTTCACGTAATTTATTTTTAATATTTTATGTTGTTGAATTTTAAATAATTACGCTCTTTGTTGTCAGACGACGACGACTAAAGCGAAGTCTAATTATTGTCAAAATGTTTGAAAAAAATATTTAGGCAATTTAAGCATTCGATTCGATGATATTTGTGTAGCTAAGTCTGACTGTACAGTGATTTTTGGTCACCATCTGATGACTGCATTTTAATGGAAAATTAATGAAATTAAGACTCTTTTGAATGAACCTGTGGTTTTCGTTTACAGAAAGAAGAAGAACCTGTGAAATCTAAGACTGTTTCTGCCTACTCTTTGTTTACTAAAAATAAAAGAAAGGCTTTACTGGATAAGGAGCCAAATTTAGGTAAGTTTATTTCTCATTGTTTCTCCCTTTATTTCATTCAAGAATTCATTTTTCGGCTTGTTGCTGTTAAGACTTTGCTTCCACGAGTCGTCGCCTTGCTGAAATGTGGAGGAATTTATCTCTTTCAGATCAAGAAGTACGTAATGACGCAATCTTATGTAATACGAAAAGTTTCCATGGTTATGAAAATAGTTAATTAATCTAATACATTATGCGTATATGTGTTTTTAGAAAATGAACAAGACAATTTAGAAACGAATAAAAGCGATATAAATTATGTTTTACGACGCTTTGATGCTTTATGTGAACATTGCTTGTATTTGTTTCTAAATTGTTTACATTACGCATAAGTTTGAAGAATATTTGAGGCTTGCCTTTTACTTGTTGCACAAAATGTATCGTCTCTTGCTAGTACTGGAAGGCAAAAGCAAAAGCAATGAGGATTCCCATCAATAAAGATACCAACGATTCAAACAAAGGAAGAAGAGGAAGTTATGATTCATACAACTGGTCTCAATTAAATGATATACCACAGTCATCTAGTACTGGTATTGAGGCTATCGATATGGCTGCTCATTTAAAACTTCTAGGGGAGTCTCTGTGTTCCATTGGAATGTGTCTAAAAAGACAGGTATTAAAGTATACCTTACATGAAGTAGTTATGAAACGATTTAGCAAAGTTTGGTGAAAGGGGAATTATGTGTCGAGAAATTTATCTTTATGCCTAAATTGTGATTTTCACAGGATCAGATGGAAGTTCATGGAAGTTTATCTGTGTTACTCGATACAGCTTTATGTTCTATTGCTCCTATATTCTGTTTGACATCACAGTTAACAGAAATGGCTGGATGTCCAAATGAAACACAGGTATAATTTATTTCTTTCGTTTATGACTCCAAATTTTATCACTAATTTGTTTGATTGTGCTGCAAAGAACATATAAAATGACTTTATAATCGTTTTAGTAGAATTGACTTTTTTACTTTTTCTGGAGGTATTTAGCTTTTCTTCAATATGGAAATAACTTCGTTATGACTTAGCATAAAAATATTTTAAGGATCATCAATTTTCTACATTGTTGGGAAAGTTTTATGCACAAATGCAACAGTTTGATGAACACATGTGTTGATGAATATTTGTAAAGATGCCAAAGTTAGTTAATTTAATCCTAACTTGTTTTTAAATGTAGATCGTCCAGGTTGGTATAGTCCTGAGAAGGACTGTTTTTCTTGTTGTTGACTGACGTTTCGACAACCTTAGCGGTAGTCATCTTCAGAGTCAAATGAGGAGTAAACGTCAGGTTAGCCGTATTTGTTATCTGGTATCCAGATTACTCCTCATTTAACTCTGAAGATGACTACCGCTAAGGTTGTCGAAACGTCAGTCAACAACAACAAAAACAGTCCTTCTCAGGACTATACCAACCTGGACGGTCTACATTTAAAAACATGTAACGATACTCCCGGGTTCAAACCATTTACTTTATTAATCCTAACTGTCACCAAAAACTACTATTTCCCAATGTTAATTACCTCAATGTGATGTCATAACGATGTCATTTGCCTATTGAAGAAAAGTGACTTATCTCCAAAAAAACCAATTCTATTAGACTGCAATCGTATAGTTTGGTGTCATAAACACTTAAATTGAACATGTAACACTAACAATTTTTCTTCTTCATACACAGGCTCAAATTTTGAATAATCTGGCCTACATAATACCTGGACTGTGACATATCTCATTTATGGTACCTGTATGCTGTATGGTATTAAGACTTACGTATGCAAATTTCCTCTATCTTGTTGGAACGCAGTACATTTGTTGTAAATATTCTTTAACGAATGACGAAAGGATTTTTAGCAGGCGTATTGAAATTTAATGGCTAATAGAGTTCGTCATTTATGACACTTTTCTTTTCATTTTTATTTGTTGAAGAAATTCTGGCGAAAATCTATTTCTGTTATCACTCTTTGCATGGCAGATCAAGACGAATGACTGCATCTTTTTTTATTTTAATTATTGTACATATTTTACAAATTTGTTTTGACAACTTATTTACTTATTGTGTTCACAGTCATTCATTTGTCATAAAGAAACAACTCAAAGAATATTGCCACGATAAACGTGACTTCGGAGGAAATACAAGGTACACTGCCCCACTGCCTTCTTTATACATTAACTTCATGTGGCCACGAAGTGGATGTCTCATAGTCAACCTTTCATTAAGCACACCCTGCTGTGATATGGCATTTTTATTCTAAGCTGAAAAAAATTGACTGCCAATGAAGTGCGTATCTGTATGGAATCGCCTGATCACTAATGAGTATAACACAGTATAGCAAAACTTTTGCAATATTGTATTGTTATAATGTTATTCATACATATCATCATACGTGTCGATGCAAAATTATGTACTTGTATATTGAAATGGAGAAATGGTTGATCTCCCCAACAGTGTTATATTCACGTTTTTTTCATTATCAATCATCAGTCGCTGTTTCATGCTTCTTGCTTTGTACAAACGAAGGGTTGTGTTGTCCATGAAAATCAAGGCATGACAATTCAGGTAAATTCAATGTGGCTTGATCCTAGGTTGCCTGATTCATCCAGTTTTTATTGCGGTCTATGAATTATACCACATGCACACCGTGTATGATTATTGTAGATTGTGGATGATTAACATGTAAATATAAAATGTCCTATATTTTTTGATTAGTCTTTATCATATGTGACTCTGATCATAACTGTGCGTGCGTGCTTGGTGCGTGCCTGGTGCGTGCTAGTTTACTTGATAACATCATCACATTGATTGAAATGTACCATCACTACTATTTGGTATATTCACAGACTGCAATAGAAAACTGGATGTATATTTAGCTGCCATTAGCCTATTACCCTTACTTGTCCAAGGTAGTTTATTAGTGGGTACTAAAAGTTTATGGTTTACCTTTTTTGAAAATTTGCAGCTTTTTTAATTTTTCTGGGGAACTTGAGATTTTTTCGTTGATGTTTATACAAGTGTGCATAGTAAGGTGGCAGTCTGGCTGATGGAAACTAACACATCGAACGTTAAATGTCTGCCATAAATTCCAAATCATGGGTTCAAAAATTGAACTTTTACGAGTAAGTATCAATTGAATTAATGCATGCAGCAAGGAAAAAATATTTGTGTTGCAAAATTTGTCTTTGACAGTTGTACATTTATTTATGGACTGTTATTTAACTGAGTGAGTGATATAATGTATTTTCACAGATGACGATATATGTTTTCTTTCCTGTGGCAGTTTTTTATTACTTCAACATGCCAGATTTTTATGAAGAATATGTTCAATCTCGAATGGTAAGGAATATATCTCTAGGAATGAAATGTTCGTAAAAGATTGTTTGTGTCCTATATTGGTAAATATTAATTTGCGATACTCTGACATTTAAATTGAAGACTTGAAGTTCCCAATAACATTGTAATAGTTTTGCTCTTTCATTTAGAAGAAACTCTATCCTCCAAGTGCCAACACAAAAGTAAGGAATTCTTACCTAAATTTAAAATTCTGAAGTTTTGGATGTTACAAAAACAAATGCATTAATCCCATTCTTGATAGAAACTTGTTAGGTTCTGTTTAGCTATACAACCAATTATTTTTTTACTCTATTTTTTTAGAAACCTCCAGCATCAATAGAAGAATTAAAAGCCTATGAGAAAAATAGAAAAGAACAAGCTTTTGTGAATGACAGCTTCAACAAAAGATGAGTGACACTTGTTTCAATATGTCAGATATAAATAGGTGAGGATGGAGTTGATACTCTGCCAATATAATGTATAAGTTGGGTGACTGCTTTTTCACATGTGTAACCCAAATGTAGTAGGGTAGGCATCCTTTTTTGATGGTGGGTGGTATACATTATTAAAGAAATAAGAGATGTTTACCACATTTGCATATGCTTATGCAAATTTAAATGTTTTGGAGAACTTAAGAGTAGATCAATAAAAAAGACAGAAATGTAGAGGGTTTGAAAGTGCTTAAGAATTTTCACAAACATCTTCAAGGTTTGCATAAGACAGTACAAATACAAAAAAATTCTTTTATTTTCATGATTGATTTGCAAATTTTCTTTAATTGATGTAATTGATTGAGCTCAATGTGCGAATTAGTTCAGAAAAAACGATGTGCAATTTTTTAGACCATAATCAAATCGATATTACGTTAATTATTATATAGCGCTAATTGCTAAATTAATATTTTTAAAGTGAACAAATTCATATGATTTACGACAGTCTTTTTCGTTAAAACCGCTGATTTTTGCACATCGTTTGAAAAAGTGATGTGCAATTGTTTTCATTTTAGCTAAAATGATGTACAAATTGCACAATGCACACCGTTAATAATCCGCACACCGTTAATAATCCGCACACCGTTAATAATTCGCACACTGATTGAGCTCATATCAGTTTGCACAGGCTAGTGCGAGCTCTGTGATTAACCTATCTGCACCTTATTTTATAAATGATATGGGCATGAGTTTCATTGTGACAAAAGTTGTAGGATTGTACTTTTTATTTACTCATTATCTTAGTTAAAAATCTCAATTCCTCAAGCTTCCTTTATTGGAAGGAAGGTTTTATTTAAATGAAATTTCTTATCATTAACCTTGGGCAACAATGAAATTGTTTGCTTGAGATTATTGACAAGTATGTTTATGTCATGTGTCTATTAGTAGAACACTATGTAGGAACAGTAAAAACATTCTTCAACACACAGTTAATCAATTTATTCTCATGAGCAGAATTTACAATTGATTTTACAATCAACTATTTAGACAATTCACCATTCAGCAAATGTTTTGTTAAGAGGATGTAGATATTTAATCATTGACATATAATTATTGCAAAACAAATACTACAAATGAAAATTGTTCTGCGAAAACTTTAGAAAAACTCAGTTGGCAGAAAATCTTCTGCAATTAAAAAGGATTTACAACAATCTCATGGGAAGTATTTTAAAATTCATATAGGTTTATCTGGCAGGGTTGCTGGGAGTTTCTCTGCATTATAAATATGTTCTTTGTTTGTTTCTTCCTGGATGTCTGTCAACGTTACGTCGCCAGTTATAAATTTGTTTTTTATCTCTTTGTTTTCATCTTCCGAATTAGCACATATGGTTTCTTGCTCACCTGATGCTGTCAAATCATCGCTTGTGCTTTTTATTGTTGACTTCTGGCTTTTTAATGTTGCTATCCTGCGATCAATGGCAGTGTATAGTTGAGTTGCTTCTCTTGGAGCAACCTGAAAATATTTTCGAATGGTTACTAGGGATGGGCTTATACCATTGACCGAATAAATACCAAATACTTGATACTATGGATAACAAGGTTTTGAAGAAAGTTGTAGTTATGAAGCAGTTTGTTCATCTTTATCTCTCAACATGATCCTTAAAGTTAAAACTTACCATTATCAAATACAAGTTGACGTTTCCGTCTTCCATGGCGGAAACACGTAATGCTTTATCTGATGCTTTTTCCAAAACCATTTCTGACCATAATTTCGTATTTAAAACCAGCCTCAAATTTCCCTGAGTTCTGGCAACTATATTGAAAAAAAATATCACAAGAACATTTTACTTTTGTAACACGTCAAATATTCTCATTTAAATTTTCATCATCGTTCATTGATATGTATTATAACTCTGCTATACCGGTCACAAGCCCGGGACTTGTAGCGTATAAGCCTCTTTGCTTTTGAGTAGACTTGTCTCGTTTACAAGAAAGAGGAGAGGAACGTGAATTTCTTAAATGTTAGATAAGGTCGTTTAGTTTGTAGTTGTTGGTTAAAGCATTATGCTATCATTCTTTTCGTTTAATAGCATTCCAACTATTTACGGTACCGCTCGCGTACTTGTTAACATACGGTACGCGAGCGGTACTGTAACCTTATTATTATAAGGGCATTACCACTACATTAACCTGTTGGAAAACAGAGCTCTATCCAAACCAATAACTGTGGTGGGAAACTTCACGAGCCAGATGGGAACTTGCATGAGCGATGTGTTGTCCCCGTTACAAATAAACGATGTCAAGGCAAGTAAAATTTCAGCATACCTAATCTGGAGTGAATTGTTCCGTCTTCATTTATCTTGCATTGGTCGTTTAGTTTTAATAGGACTCTCCCTCTACCCAACCAAGAGTGTTTTTCTTTGCAAAACACAAACAGACGACAACTCACCTGGAAAATAAATAGTAATATCACCTAAGTAACGCTGGTCAATGTTCACATTAAATGAACTACACAATATAACTCAGACCTGCACGACACTTCTTTCATCTTCTTCGCCCGTCATCACTTGAATTTCAGCGAGATTTTTCTTCGACGAAGAATGTTCACTTTCGTATTTCTGGGCTGCAAGTGCAATGGATGAGCAAGCATCTCCAGAGTTCGTATTGGTGTCTTTGCCTGCACTGTCGGCGACGTCCGACAAAGATTTTGGACTTGCGACTAAATATTGAAAAAGATTATGGTCGTTTTAAAATTTTTCGTACTGGTGAAAACTTATTTAAAAAAAAACGAAATGTGTTTAACCAAATATTTATAAGACTAGTCAGAGGTGAAGATGAAACCCACCGCCTTCTTCAGCACGATTCGCGAGACTTGCACATGAATCTTCATTTGATGCATTAACCTTAAGCATATAAGGGGAAACGTAAAACTCTTCTCTTCCATACAAACTGAAATCATTGTTTCTTATGTGAAAGTAAGATTGATGTCTAGCAATAATTCAACACATGTGCAATTAGTATATCATGAGCTATGGGCAGAAAAATGAAGGTATGCCATTAAAAAAAACGAACAAAGAAGCAGAAATGACATGCCAAATAAAGGTGGAAAAACTCACGTTAACACGGTCACTGATGTTTTGACCAAATACAAAACTGTCTTTTGATTCTGATGTTGAGGAACTAATAAGATTATAACAATCATTTTGTCATTGACAAGGAAGATTTCCATTTTTGCAAATGCACCAAGAAAAATATTAGCGCAACTTGCTGCAGCCAGGGGAGACAAAAACTGTCAATCATAACTGATGACAATGTGAAGGGAATAATGAGTGCATAAACTGTGATATTTATAATCAAATGACAAGCATTTGTAAAATTTGTTCTTCTTGTTGTGTAAATAGAGAACTTGTTTTACCTAAGTCCAGAGAGGAATTGTTGGAAATAATTTGGTGGTTGAGATTCTATATTTATTGATGCTGGTGTATCAATAAGGGTTGGTCGGGATAGAGAAGTAGAAACTTCTAAATTGCTGTTACTGTTGGAGGATTCACCACAGGTCTATAGGAATGTGAAATCAGATGTAATTTGCAATAGATAAAAAACGAAACCATTAAGATTGAGCAATGAAGGTGAAATGCACCTTTGCTGGTATGTCGGACTCTTGGACTTTTTCACAAACTTTTTCACCTTTATTAAAATCACACATTCATGTAGTAGCCATTAGCAACTTACAATTATTTCATGCACAGTCCCAGGCAATGATGGACTTTAAAAAAATAAACTTCAGTATGTACGTACATTGTTGTTTTGGATGTGACAGTTTGTCAGCTATGGCAGATAAGGCTGATGGACGTAGCACACTTGAAGTTGTTTGTTCTAAAGGTTAATGGCAATATTTTGCTTACTAAAGATAATCTATTAGCATTTTTGTTTGTCATCACTGTACACACTGGTTCTGGTTCATTGTACACCATTGATGTGTCATTCAAATTAATGTATGCTACCTGTTGCTTCTGTTTTCATGATTTTCTTTGGAAGAAAATTGAGATCTAAACTCAAAAGGATGTGTTAGCCATTCAAGGATAGCTCAATGCTAGCAACAGAATGAACAAATTTGTATTCATGTTGACAACAAAATGGTTCTGATTAATTTGCATTTTACCAGAACAGCTGAATTCATCATCTTCATCATCAGATTCAGCAAACCTCTAAAAATTATGAAGATTTCAAAAATCATTTCTTTTTATTGGGAATTTTCAATACAGTTTGAAAAAATAGACTTTTTTACACAGAGTTAAAGCAAGTGAAGATATAATTAAAAAACAAATTTTTCTTCAATTTGTTTACAATACATCAAGTCAACAATTTAGAGATGTTTGATTCAAGAGGAAAGTAAGTTTCAATGAGAACTTAACACTTTTTTAAAAAAAACACCTACCTTAATAGCTGCCAATGGATGTTCAAAAACATTAGCAACACCAGTTGACTGTTCATCTATAGAATAACATCAGTTGTTAAGTAAAGACCTTTTTGTGCAGGACCTTTATTTGAAATTTAGTTATTAGTAAGCTATGTATGATCAAGATTAGAAAATTTGTAATTCGCACACTTGAGAAAATCAGGCCCTTGTGCGAGCAAATTCCAAATATTGGGTACACAGTATACAAGCCTTTCAATTTGGAATATGATTTAAAAACATTGAAAGCTACGGATATTCAAGCAACATCTAGTTTTTAATTTTTGCGTATGTATGTTGACTATTTTATAAATTAATATTTTGCCATCTTTGTGACGGCGATCGTGTAGCCTAGTGGTAAGTACAGGAAATATGAAGCCAACATGCTGGATACAAGTTTGAAATCCACCCCCGGAAGTCAAATTTTGTTGAAATATGAAGATGTTTTGTCATCCTTAAAATCCACTTCATCTTTCATTTTATATTAACCAAAACATATAACAATAACCTTGGTAGGGTTAACATCAGGGTTGAGATTTGGGTTAAGTTTATTTAAGTTTTTAAAACATAAATAGTTATGTCAGAGGAATAGCATTTGAGCATTAAGTTCCGATGTCGGATTAATATCCACAGCAAACATTCAAAGCATTTATGTACCTTCTTTTTCTGATGTATCACTGTCGTCATTGTCATTTTGCTTAAAACAGATATGGTCTAGTTATTTATCAAATTATAGAAACAGTTTATAAATTGCATTCGATGTTTTACTGCTCCCCTTCCATAAAAATTACATTCTAAATTTTCTTGATGTATAAAATACCTTCACACGATTTGACATGTCTTTACCAAACACAAACTTAGGAGGGGCAACGACAGGTACGGAACAACTCGTCGAAACTGTTAAAACTGTAACATGTTACATGTTTTGCAGGCTCTAATGTATAAATTTATTTCATACGCATTGTTTATGGCGCGCGAAAACGTCTGCTTGGAGAAATGAGACTCATCCGTGACTGCAAAGTTGCATGATAGAATATCACGGAAAATGAGAACATTTCTCTAAACATTCGCCATATAAATATACTAACCAGTTGAAAAGCCTTCTTTCGCCGATGAAGAAGTAACTATAAAACCCAGAAATCAAACATAATTAAAATGATCCCAGATGATAAAGACAAAACAAAAAACAGTGATACCTTCCGCCATGTTTATTTTAAAAACATTAAAAATTCAACGCAATGTTACCAGCCTGCGATCGGGAGAGACATTAAAATTATTAAAATACAAATATGAAATTTCTATATGCTTTATCTTTTGTGTTTTTCTTCTTACTGCTAGGCTACTGTTAAACAAATGCTTAGTTGCCTTTCAAATGTTTTTTGTAGGCATAATTTTGGGTTAGACTGCAGTTTAACGGACATATGAAGCACTTATATGCGGAGCGCGGGCTTGTTTTTGCTTAGGATGATCCGAATTGTTGAGGATGTGAGGATAGAAACTTGGATAATGACCAGGTGATTACGACCGTACGACGTTTGATAACCTGGCTGCGTATCGCCTGTAGTCCTGCAGCAGAGTACAAAGGAACTGAGTAGACCAGAGTAGAGGAAATGAAGAAGTCAACGCACTTTATGTAACCGTTCATAGTTTTTGAAATAGAAATGTAAGTATGAATTAGGAAGATAACAAATTGCAAAGAAAATTTATGTTATAATGATTAATCACTATATTAAAATATGCCAGTTACTAATATTAAATTGGTCTTCTCTGCAAATAATTGTTCGGCCATCTCTTGTGTTTGCCAGTGACAGGCTCTGATGTCTAAAAATACAAGATTTTCCAAACATGCTTTTAAAGCACTTATACCGAGCTCTGTTACAGCTGTCCTACAGATGGAAAGAGATTTGATGTTCTTTCCATAACATGTAATATACTGCATTGAAACATCACTCAACCTGCAGTTGTTGACCTCCAACTTAGTTAATTTGTCTAAATTTTTAGCAATTACTTCAATATCTTTATCGATAACACGATAACAGCCATTTAATTTCAATGTCTTGAGAGTTTTTATGAAACAAATACTTAAAACATCATCTTTGGCAATTCGCGTACAACGAGAAAGATCCAGATATTCTAATGCAGGAAACAAATTTGATTGACGTAATTCGTAGAACCAATCCAAAGGCACGACACAGTGCACTAGAGATAAGTTATTTATGCAACCTGGAAACCATTTAATTTTGATATTCCTTAAGTAAGAGTCATACAAACAAAATTTTTCCAAACGACCTGCTTTTGATTTGATACTCTGCAAAAGAGTTTGGGAAAGGTTATCAAACTTTTTTTTTTCCATGACTGTTCCTTTAATATAGATTTCTTTTGTATTTTTTGACACTCTTCTTGAAAATATCTTTTTTATTAACCTCAGGTTTATCTGATATGATCGAAGATCAATTATTCTCCACAAACTGGAATCGTTGCAGTAATTATACCAAAAACGACACACTCTTGAGCATGTACATAATGATTTAAGGTCCAAAAAATGAAATATTCTTAGTAATACACAAGGAGGAAGACGATACACTAGATTGTTGTATTTAATTTTATTTCGTTGTCCGCCATTGATATGGGAATAGCGAAAGCAAAATGTTTGAAACTCGCGATATATGTCGGCGAAATATTTCTCTCGATTTCTCACCGCCAATTTTGTCGCAAAAATCATTTAACGTTGCAGTGAAAATTGACAACAAAAATGATCAGTTAAGTTGATTTTGAGCTTTGATTTTGAAGAAATTTCAGATAAATAAGTGATTGTTGTGTCATGTAAATTCAGTGCATGTCAGTGAAATAAAATGACGGTGGTGTTTAAATGTGCGTCAGGCCTTCTTGTTGACCACAAGCGATCATTAACTATTAGTTGTGGTGAATTATCTTACAAGTGCGTGGAAAATTTATTCGATATTCGAACACCATATCAAGAAAAATTTCATCAGAATATAAAATGCTTAGACAGCTTGAATTCAGATAAAAACATTACATTGTCTAAGGTTTGTGTGCAAACAACATTGGTAAAGAAGTAAAATATGTGGACAATGGAGTGCCTGGGGTGGTAGCTGATAGGGTTAGTGCTGGTAGGCTGGTAGCATTTCCTTCAACAATTTTGACACTGATATTTCATACTTCTTTGGAAGTAAAGCTTGCAAATTGTATAAGTCCTCAAATATTCAAAAACATTTGCTACCTCTACATTCAACTTTTCCTCATATTTTGCCCCTTAAACAGTGCTGTATAAATAGAGGGGCGCTTGGGGGAGGAGCCCCCTTCTACCTTTGAAATGGGTAATTTTTCATAATTTCATGGCTTCAGCTTCATCAAGAGAGCCCCCCCCATCTGATAAATTTAGTTCTACAGCACTACTCTTAAACGATAGAAATATCACCTTTTCTCACCAAAATCTTGTAGGCTATTAGAAAGTACTTTTATAAATGAACTTTTGTACTGTTGAGTATTTTTATTTTATTCTTATTTTCTTTTTCTGTTATATTGCTTTAGCTATAAAGTTTTTTTTTCAGAAACGTCGTAAAAGAAAACTACCTGAGAATTCAGGAGAACTAGCTGCTTTAGCACATCATTCAATGGTAAATTTGTGTTTACTCTGCTATAATTCATATTGCACTTTTTCTATAATAATGATCAAGTTCTTTTAGGTACGAGACAGAATTATTTCTGCAGTGAAAAATTTATCAGAGTTTAATGAATGGAGCTTATTCTTCAGTTTAAATCTCTCCAAAAATAATGGTAATGTATGCTTTGTGTTGCAGCTTTGCTTTCAAATGGCATCAGCTTTACTTTTAGTTTTTATTTCTTGCAAGTTGGCATTAGCCGTTAATTCTTTGACTTAACTTTGCCTCAGTGTTTTGTTTATTTAGACAGTGAGCTTAATCAGTGCTTAGATATTGAAATACAGAATAAATGGTTACAGGCATCACAACATAACAATGACCTGCTGGAGCTTGTCAGTGGAAAAGTTATACATGTTGAAAAAACTATTTTGTACCCAGGTGTGTTTTGATGATTATATAGTTTTGGTGATTATATAGAAATGAAGTTATTTCACACATTGTGATACTCATTATTTATAGTGTGTTTGACATTCTTTTATAGCCAATAACGTTTCATATGAATCAACTGCAATAGTAAATAGAATGGTGGAAAATAAAGAAGATGATGGATTAGTAATATCTGTGGATGAAACATCTTATTTAATACCTCCAGGGAGCAAATTCATGTTATCTGATTTCACATATTTTTGCAAAAGCTTTTTAAATTCAGGTTTGCTAAAATTTTTGTTGTGCTTGCTTTAGAAGCACGAGATAGCTCAATGTGATTGAAATCGACCCCAAACTCCCTCCCCCTCCTGTTTTTTGGCCTAAAATGTTGAAATAATTCCACAGTAGGAACGAAAAAGTTCAATATGATTGTAATTGACCCCCCCTGGGAAAACAAGTCAGTGAAACGAGGAGCAAAGTAAGTTGACAATATAGTCCTAAATTGCAACATTTTGTTTTTTTAAATATAGCACATATTTTGAAGATGCTTTAATTTCAGATAATTGATATACATACAGCTTAACAAGAGTATGTTTTCAACTAATCAAAGAAACTAAACTGTGTTATATTTGGATATTTGCCTATTTTCACTTAAGATATTAAAGCCTGGTTTTCATCTTGGTTGCTAATTGTCAATAGCTTAAAATTCTGTGAAAACACATGCAGTATCATCAGCAAAGTCTTTTGCCACTATAATTATTTAGATATTGCTCTCTTCCTCATTGGGAAATTAAAAAAATTCCAGTTCCTGAGTTGGCTTGTGATCAGGCATTAGTAGCAGTTTGGGTGACAAATAAACAGAAATATCGAAAATTTATTATTGAAGATGTTTTTGCCAATTGGTCATGCAATCTGATAGGAGAATGGCACTGGATAAAGGTATGTTTTGGAATGTGCAACTAAATTTTTCTCTATAAGTATGTAATGTGGTGGGAAGGTGTGTATTCTCATTATTTTGTTATGGAAATTCCCCGTTTTGGGCTACACATATAAGTTTCAAAGAGACTTAAATGAGAATTTAAGAAACCATTTAACCTTTAATTTTTTTTACGAATTTAAGAAGCTGAAATAAGTTGACATTGTGCCTTTGTTTATAAAAAGTGCTACATAAGCATTTATGAACAAAAACTTTTTTTTCAGTTAACCAATCAAGGAAAAATGGTGATGAATATCGATTCTTTACACAAAAAACCTTATGAGCCGTTGATTCTTGGAAAGTTTCAAGCTCCTCACTCTTGTCATGTTGCACATAATAGCAGTGATGATGTATGCACTGATTCAGTTAGTTTGCCATTTGAAAATGTGACTAAACAAAAAAGGGAAATACCAGAAAGTCATGTGATCTGTAGTATACCTTGCTCGTTACATTCAAGAAAACCACCTCTTAATGGTTAGTGTTAAACAGCGGTGTATTTAAGGAAGTGGATGGCTGACTGGCCATATTCATAAGTGCATGTTCAGGCATATTATTTTCAGAATGAAATGCCTTTTTATTACAGACCATAGTATGAATACATGAAGATGCCCTCGTCCCCCACCCAATTATTGTGTATGGCTACAGGCTATGCCAATGGATTGATGAATCTTTTAAAAGATTCACTAATGGATTTGTTTTTATATTACTTATTAATATCTGTGACATTGAATGGTGGATGTGCTAGGTATTTGTCATATAAAATGTGGAAAGTATTTTTTTAAAATTTGTGACTTGTTTATAAGGGTTGTAATGTGGGAACATTTTCCAAAGATTTGAAAATTTGTATGTCAACTGATGTTGCTTTATCCTTGATTATCTACTCCTCAGGTCACCCTACATCACATTGTTGATAAAAATGTCTATTTCCAGATATATTTGACGAGTATTTACCGCAAGATGCAGCTTGTATTGAGCTCTTTGCTCGAAATCTTATTCCGAACTGGACTAGTTGGGGTAATGAGGTAATTTTTGGACATAAATTTTATTGAATTGTTAAAAAGAGCTACACGCTGTATGTTGTGAGATGTACTTAAGCGTGAGGAGTCATTACCATAAATTGCGTCTCATGTATAACGCATTGCGTCATAAAAAGTGCGACCTTAACAACACATCTGTTTGTCGGAATTGTCGATTTGAATTTCAGCTGAAAGCTATTTTTGCCTTGTGACAACTTTCAAAAGAGCGCTGATATAGATCTTCTGTTTTCCCAGGTTTTAAAGTATCAACATGTGGATTTTTTTCGATCCCAAAAGAGATAGAATCGAGTGTAAATTTCCGATGTGTTAGAAACTGAAACTATTCAAATCTTCGTCGGATGTCATTTTGTTGACTATTCTTTCTAAAGAAATGATTCCCAAATCCCAAGTTGAATTTGATGAAAATTTTGAGAGTTAACATAAGCAACGAGCAATAAATATCATACTAAAGTCTTCGTACAACATACTTCTGAAATACCTCTGTGTGGGGAGGGAACTCTGGCTCAACTTATCCAAGTGTAAGGAATTTGTTTACCTATACACTTTGCTATTTTAACTCAATCAAAAGCATATGGCTTGGATCATTTAAAAGTGACATTAATCAATCATGTACTTAGTTTTCCTGTATATAAGGTGGTCTACAAACAAATAAGATTGTATGTCGTCTTTATGTTTCATAAAGATTCATGTCAACTTACTTATGATGAGAAGCCACGGCTACACACTGGTTTTTGTGAAATTTAAACGAAAAGTGCACTTGCGCATGCGTCTCCAATCGGAAACACTTTCTATATTTTTCTACGATGTAAAAGCTCTATGTAATTAAGTGTACAAATAATCTTACCCAAATATACCCAATGGCAATATCCATAGTTATAATAATCATAAATAGCCTTACTGTATACCTCTTGGTGTTCTGTCGAGTGTTTTTCTCTTTACTCTTTCATTACCAATTAAACTTTAATATATTGTCATGCATTATTTGAAAGATTGCTTGTTTAAATGATACAACTTTTGTTAAATGGTATTTTACAACCTGCTGTGCGCCCATACCGTCATGTCATTTTACCACTCTATTCCTTAATTACTTCTTATTTACCGCGAAGAAGCCATTAGACCACACAAATTGCTGCGAAACTCAATTTATGTGGCATAAGAATAGACTGGAAGTCTGTGAATAAGTATATATACGTAGTAACGAGAAATTTCACTGATATTTAGCTAATTCTTTAACGACTGGCGCGACAACGTATTACTTGAAGGAGACCATTGAAAGTATGGTGTTAGCAGTTCCCCCAACTTAAGTTTTTTTTATCAAATGCTCATTCTCTTTTGCTCAATTACATGATGAAATAAGCGAAGGACATATTTTGTGTTCTACTTGCATTAGTGAGAGAAATTCACACCATTTTACACTTATTACCATTAACAAACACCATCAACATGGCGAATGTTAATCGATCTTCGTACTGTTTTGAATTCTATCATTTTTGCGGAAATTTTTTGTTGTGAAACATATGGGCAAATCGTGGGTCCTTATTTTTTTGCCATGAAATGTTGCCAAAACGATAGGAATCATAAATTTTAAAAAAACCATTTTGAACCAATGAAAATGGCTACGTTACGCTATGGGCGGTGATCTTGAATTAAAAGAATTTGTCGTATGACATTAAGTAAAGAAGTTAATCATCGTCAAAACAATAATAAACTAAATTGTATGTTTAATAAGTTTATTTATTGGTATTTTTGCGCAATAATGTCAACGAAGCCTTATTAAAGCTTTTCATTTCTCGGAGTGCGTACATTGCTAGCATTACTAGCTGAGATACGTAACTTGCAGCTCGCACCGAAATTCCAATAATGGTAGTCTGAATTTAAGACTACGGTTGGAATTTGATATTATAATGTGGTTGTAGCATGTGTTTACTAATATTTTTCAATAATGTTAGTGGATAGTTTCATTGTCAGTGTCAGCAAATTCAACTTCTAAGTCAGTATGTAAAAGCAATCGAACATTCTTCAATTATCTGTACATTAGGTTGTAATTTCGTGTTACGTTTAAGATATTATAAAATGCATCGTGGTTATTTGACGGAATTCATGTTAAGAATTGAGTTGTGTCCGAAAGTGGTGCCAATCTGCATGTACGCGTTGTTAAAACGGTTGAGAAGAACTGAACAACGAAAAAGTTGCGACACGTAGTCTCCTAAAGTGTGAATTTTTCAGTGTTAAAAAAAGCTGTTTTTCTTGCATTCCGTGAACGTAACAGTCAAAAAAGGATAGAAACATCTAATTGTTTCAATTTAATTTGATCTTTTTAATTTCATAAATGTGCTAAATGTTTAACATTACTTCGTGATTCATTCTACACATGAACAGTAATTAAAATCATGTCCGTCTGGTGGTTGCTCATTTTATACTTAATCATTAGCTGGTCTTGTAATGTTAATGACAGAAAATATATGTACATTGCGTAAATACCAAATTAGCAAATCTAACATAGAACTATAAAGAAGATAAGATTGTTTGCGTTTAGACCTCCCAAGTAAGGTAGTTTAAAGAGAGTTTGAAGGAAAACATTTAACTATGTAATTGTTCTTTAAAACAACCTGACATCAATTTGCGATAATAATAAAAGCAATGTTGTGATTGGTAGTGAAGGACGCAATGTAAACATTGCCAGCTTTCCGTCGACATTATCTTGATGCCTGATCTAATATCATGCATTTTTTGGCATTTACTGACGCAAATGGCGCCAGCCGGGACTTTAAAAGCCTGTGAACAATTCTTCAAACTTTATTAGATCTTCATGATAGAGAACAGATCCAATATCAAAAAATTCGTTAAGTAATTTATTAGTCAGGCATATCTATATCGGTTGATAATAGTTAAACACCTTATACATCCTCGATCATACAATTCACACAAATCACCCAAGATGGTAAGCGCATGTAATGTTCATGGAAAAATATATGGTAAAACTAACTATGAGCAATCTGTATATGTCTCTCCGTGTTTACAAGAAAGTGTATCGGATTATTATCCATTGAGAGAGATGAAAAGGGTACCTTCATTTATTAGCCTGACTTATGATGAACATAAAGAAAATAAAGTTGTGAAAAGAATGTTCACAAATACTCGAGAGCGATGGAGACAAAAAAACGTTAACCACGCTTTTGGTGAATTAAGGAAACTCTTGCCTACCTATCCATACGATAAGAAACTGTCGAAAAACGAGATACTAAGACTTGCAATGAGATACATTCAGTTTCTGGACAAGCTGCTTCGTGACATGGACACAATGGACAGTAAATATTTGAGTAGCAGATGGGATAATCAATTTCCATACAGTGCGCATTATGGTGTTGAATATACGCACTGTTCTCGTTTGGAAAATGTATTTAGTAGTTAGTAGTAAATAGGCTGTCGATCTGATAAAGATAATCGTGACAAGACAATTGTACTGCTAAAATACAAACAAGTTGTTTATATCAACTGCTACATTTTAGGTAACTGATGAAATCAACAACAGCTTGGGTTTGTTTAAAATCACGATTGATCAAATGTTGATAAAAATTTATGAAGCCGTCATTCAGAACCTTTTCCACATTATTGGTGGCTTGAGTTTATCATGTACATCCGTCATGGGTTAATAAAACAGAATTTGCACGTCCAATGATCTGCAGTAAATCATGATGCTGTCGGTTATCGATGATCATCTTATTGCGCCAACACGCAATAACGTCGTCAGATGTGCATGCTTGACTTATTTTAATCTTGGTTTGAGTATAGATTGTTGCTGTTAACCAGCTTTCACTTTACATGATGCGTTGACGGATTTAGCACTGTTTTTCTGCTGTCTTTCTTAATTCTTATCTATGCCTGTTTAGCAATTAATCGCGCTACATGTAATGTTTTGGGTTTGCAGAATTGATAGAGCAACTCTAAATTTGTTAAATTTATTCTTGCTGTTAAATACCTATTTTTGTTTATTGCTTTTTCACCGGTGAGGTGGTTATTAATAACTGGTTATGAAAACATTTCTGGCAAAAATGATCGCAATTATTGCATTAAAACGAAGCTCATTTAATTTCAAAGTTATTTTTGATTTCATGTTTGTTGCCTGCCTCTCATCCCTGGTCAACGTCTTTTCGTTTAAGACATGCAGTGACTTTTTGTCGTTTCTTTTTGATACACGCAATTCTCTTTTGTTTTCCATTGACGTATGTCGTGCGTAAATTGTGCGTTGTTAGTCTTGGTCTGGTAGAGCCCTGAGTTACGGTACGGTGATATGTGGTGTAAACTAGTCTGGTGTAAACCATTGATGGTACAAACCATTGAAGGTGTAAACAATTGATGGTACAAACCATTGAAAGTGTAAACCATTGATACAACGCAAACCAGTGCCAACCATGATGCAACTGCAAACACAAACGAAAGCAAAAGATAAAATGACAAAAATAAATTAGCCAGTTATTTATTTTACTCAACCACTAAAGATTGACTAAACGTTAAGATGTTTTTAATGCAGGTAGGATAATTTAAGTCTATATAACGTCAGTGATGACAGGTTTTTCATCTGCAGCTCCTGGTAGCGATGTATTTATAAAATCCTCAACATCTACAAAAGAGAAAATGGAATTGAGTGATGCGTGGTTTTTCGACTCTCTCAGAAAATCTATATTATCAGTTAAAAATACATTCGAATGTCTTTAATCAAATAGCAAACTCAATCAGAACGAACCTGAATCGTCTTGTTGGACAATCAATATTTGCGGGCCTTCATCACGATTGGTGTTTGTTACAAAATCTGCCTGTTCCAGTAATTCATCAATACTATTTGTCAACTTGTCAAAAGTTCCAGCTGTATTTGGTAGCGATGTACTTTCACTGTTTGAATACACTGGTAAAATAACATTACTTTCCTTTAAGTCATTACTACTATGGTTAACTAATGTTGTAACAAATCTTAACTTTTTTGTCACATTTTCTTGGACTTTAGTACTTCGTCCATTAAGGAACAGACCTAGTGCATACAACTTTAACAGAATACGTCTTTTAACGGGATTCATGAGAATGAAGTCATATTCACGCTTATCCATTCTTTTTCGAAATGCAGGCATTATTTTCATCAATTCATTTGCAGTGTCTTGCACACTTTTCTTATTTGACAGAGAAAATAGTGACTTTGAATAAAATGTGTTATGGGCTTGTATCAGTTCATCTAAAAGATCCCAAAGAGTGTCAAATGTTTGATTTCCAGTGACTTCAGCTTCACGACAATAAGCATTGATTATCATCAACTGTCTTTCTAACTCTTGAACTGGTGCAAATATTGGTGGCAAGGAAAGTGCTCTTTCAAGGACACGTCTGCCTTGCAAGACAGCACTGAGATATCGTTTTGTGTCAAAGTCCAATTTGTGGGACCTTTCACCCTTTGACAATGCAGGCCATAGTGGTTGCTTCTTATTAATCACACCATAGTGATATAATATTAAAAAGGAGAAAAATACAACAAATGCAAGTATGGCAAAGCTGTTTATCACAATCAGAGCATAGTCAATGTTGGGATTAATAAGAATTGCATTTTCAACCTCTAATTCTAAAAGAAATCCTAACAAAGCATTCAATGAGTTACACAACAAAGATACAATCTTAATAGAGTTAAAAGCATTCACTCTATATGGCTTAACTACCATCATGAGCAAAGCCAATAGGAACAATGCAATGGCTACTGTTGCTATTGGGTATACTTTGTATTTGAAGGACAAAGCATAAGCAATCACAACAATAAAGCGTAGAAAGAGCATTACTATCTGATAATACACCCAAGGTCTACGATAAGATGAGAATAGAAAGAATTGCTCAACTGCCCAAACTATGTCTAAACCTTTTAAATACTCTGCTTCTTTGAGCTGCAGGTATCCCTCATGTTGCATACTTGAATGAGTGAAGACTTCGCCCTTTATTACACGCCATAAATATATGGGATACACCAGAAAGAGAAAAAGAGCTATAATAAGCAAAAACCAACCCAGTGTTTTCAAACCAAACACAAAATGTGACCTACTCCAGCATAAGACATCATTATCAATATCTAAAACGTCTCGTGAATTTTCGAAGCTTGCTAAAGATGAAGAAAGAGTCTTGTGATGGCACTGTAACAGCCTGACTGCAACTAACCCAATAGGAATACACATTATATTAGCAAATGCAGAAAACAAATGTTTGAGTTTCGTGATGTATAGCAAAAGGTAAAGGGGACGTTTATAATTTAAGTATTTATAGTATCCGATGAACCCAACGAGAAGTGCACAAATCAGAACAGTCCAAGCCAAAAGATATGCTTCATAACTGAACATAGCTGAGGATGGTACGTAACTGTTGTTTGCACCGTCGTAAATATCTTTGTTTATTTTCCAGAATTCCCATACATCTAAATTGATCAAAAGAACAAAAGATGTTCCTTTTATCCAACTCAAAGGCCAGCTCCATTGTTCAGACATAACCAGGAATACAGCGTAAATCTGTACGTGTTCAATAAACAACAGAAGTGAATCTGAAAGCCACAATAAAATGCCGTGTTGAAACTGTTTGTTTGTGTCGATTTCCTTGTCAGACTGGTCATCATGTTTATCATTCTCTTCAATAAATGAAAATGTTTCAATGTCATGATCTTTAAGCCTTCGATTAAGCAGAGCCATCGTGCGAAATTACTCAGCATTGACTTAGTTACACAGAAATGTTACATCAAAGTTCGAACAAAACATATTTACTTCTTACTGTTGTCATGGTTCTCGAGTAAGCCACGCAAAAATCACGAGGCTCACGAACGTACACGAATTTGCATCACCAATTGGGCGTTTTTGGTTGGTTTTTGGTTTACTTGGTTGTCATTTTTTAAAGTTGAGTTGGGTTGAGCTAAATACTCTATGGTTGCATTGTTTAATCTGTTCATTCAATGTAGACCATAGATATGGACAATGGAAAACGATTGTATGGGCTTAGAGTAGATGCAAATATCAGTTTCATGTTTACAGAGTGGGAAAATTTTATTGACAGATACAGTGCAGCATCAAATGCAGGTAAAATATTTGATTTTTCTTTCTTTGTAATATTTGTAAATTCTCAGTGGTTTTTGATCAAAATTAGTTCATTAAAATTTATCAAGTCTTGGCCTTAAACAAGCAAATATTTTTGGTAAATTGACATACCCTTATTGTTGACTTGCAATCATTTTCTTGAGATTTACCAAACAATGTTGCTTACCCACATCTGCTGGTGCCAACAATAGCACAGATAAAATATTCTTTTGTAACAACATGGCTGAATTGCAAGTCAAGAATAGAAGAACAGAAAACAAAAATGGTATTTTAGGTTTTAAAGGTGTTGAATCTGGAGATGAAATTTACCAGTATTCAATAGAAGAAATTGCAAAAGCAAAATCTGAAGCTAATGTTCGACAGATTGTAATTGTAAGTTTTGGAGGTAATTTTTTCATATTTATGTTGATGGTATATGAGTTGGAGATCCATTGTTCCTGGCCCTCCCTTTAATATAATATTTTATTAAATATTACAGTCAGAATCAGAGTTTCGACTAACACTTTTTACCTATAGGTCCAATCAAGGCATTAACAGCCATTCCAGGAAGAGAAAATGAATTTTATCAAACATTTCAGAAAACTTTGAAATATGCTCTTGCATTAAATTGTGATAGGTATGTAACATACAAATATTAGTATCCTATACATTATTCATTACTTGAAATTCAAGAGTTGTTTTAAACTTGGAATATTGAGTTTTCAAGATTATAGAAAGCTACCAAATTATGTTAATGCAACATACTATAAGTTTACTTTCTTGTATTTTGAGAACTAACATTTTATATCGTAAATTTTTGAATAATTTTGTGTATATACGTAGGATAATTTTGAAGAAATAGACTGTGCAAATTGAATAATTTAAAGTTGAACAATTTTGCGCACACTATGTGGTTATGGTTCTTGATCAATTTAAATTTTCTGTTTAATTATTAGGGTTCATGTTTGCTCCGGATTGATGGCAAACTTAAACGATTATTCGAAGTACGAGGAAATATATCTAAAGAATTTACGTTATTGCTCTGGAGAAGCAAAAAAGGTTTGTCTATGTTAATGTCTCAAAAATTACCCATGAAAACCCACTCAGTGCGCCAACCCCACAACCTTACGTATAAATGCGATAAGAATATTTTAATTTTTAATACAAGGAAAATTTAATAATGCGATGATCATTGTGTGTAGAATCTTACAATATTACAATATTCACACTTACGAACATATTTTTCTTGTCATAATCTTTTTATTACACTATACTCGTGATAACTTTACATGATTTTCATGATATTTACACGATATTTGTGATACTTTTACACGTTTCTCATGAAAACAATGCCGCAATGAGTGGCATAGCCAGCCCGCATGTTTGTGATTTTAACAGGCTGTAAAACTCAAAAAATCTCTAAAAAATGTGAACCTACTAAAAAGATAAAAAGATTCTAACTATAACAATGCTGTAACTACGTCAGCAATATAAAACTTGGCAAACCAAAACAGCATTTGTAATGCAGTTTCAAAATAAGTTTCTGAAGCTTTAGATTTTGAAATTACTCAATAGAATAAGGGGAAACACTGTAACAGTAAACACTAGCAAAAACAGTAATAAATTTCTTGTGATCATTAAATGCAGACACTTGTCAATATCATACATTGTAATTTTCAGGTAGGAATTCATATTTTAATTGAGCCAATATCAACAATACCTGGATATTTTTTAAACAACACAAATCAAGGTGGGTATCTTAAATTTACGTTTTTCTTTGAAACTACGTTTTTTCTTTGCCAAATTATAAATTAATCGCATCTTGTCTTTTATGATGTAATATAGCCATCGAGATTTTGAAAAAGTTAAATTGCAGCAATGTTAAACTGGAGTTTGTAAGTTATTTCATTCACTCAATTTTAAGTTATGAATTTCCATGTTTATTGATTAGAAAACTTTGTAAAAATAAAACCCTACAGGATTTTTTTCATGCCCAAAGGACGCATGGTAACATGACCAAAACACTTAGAGAAAACATTCATCATATAGGTATTAAATTTCTTTTTTTATTATTTATTTTAATTTCATGCATCTTCTATGGCTAGTGATATTAATAGATGTTTCATCATGTTTCCTTTTGATTTATTGTTTAAGTATATGGGTTTGTTTACTAGTAGGTTTCACTTGTTCCGTTTTATTTGAAAAGAAACCATCCTATTGGAAAATTGTCTAAGCACTATTGGCGTCAATCGTACGTTCATCCTTTTTTCGCTAGGTCAGGTCTATATCTTTCAAAAGAGAAATCATTTTAAATTTGAAGCTAGTCAGGCTTATCAGAATATATGACTATGATTTCCTTTATAAACGTTGGATGGACACATGTGCTAAATGCGTACAGATGTGTGGAAGACCTTCTTTCTTGAACGTAATATTCTAATGTAATAAAATGCTGATTAAAATTTCCCTATGGCTTTGCATTATAAACTGATTATTATATAAACATGTATGTTTTACTCCTGATATAAAGCACTATTAAATTTTGCTCGTTCACTGGAAAAACAAGGAATGAAATCTAACTTCAAAAAATTGTATCTCCATAAAAAACTGCGTACAGCAGGGGTAGAAGTAAAATGTGTTGTCTATGGTATTTTTATGGTGTCTATAGAATTTTTTAATGGATTATCAATTCAACTCACTTGTTTTTGATGTTTATTTTTGAAATTACGTTTTTTTTTAGGTCATATTCAGGTGAGCCAAGTACCAAAAAGGGATGAACCAAGTAACTCTGGCGAAATAAATTACAATTACATATTCCGTTTATTACTTGACTTAAAATATGATCAATGGATTGGTTGTGAATACAATCCTCAAGGTATCTTTATACATAAAATAATCGGTATATTTGTTAAAGAAAAAAGTAAGAACAACTATAATTCCATCCCGACAAGCTAGTTTCGTGATTGCTCACTCATCAGGAGATATTATAAATTACAGTTGTTCTTGCTTTTTTCTTTAACAAATATATTTAGCTCTACTTATATGTATTGAGCTCTTTATAACGGAAAAAATAATCGGTATATATTTACTGATCACGTGATTAGTGGGTTAATTTTTTTATTTCATAGGTGACACAATTCATGGCCTTCAATGGATAACAGATTACGGGTTGACGTTTTAGGACTGTCCATCATAAAGTTTTACAAAAAAACACAGAGGAAAGCTTAAAATAAACAGGTGAATTTTTTGTCATATGTATACTGGTTAAAGAAAAACGCGGCTGCAAAATTAATGTAACTTCAGTGGTTAGGCTCGAATTGGCCATAAAATTAAGAAGCAATTTTTTCCAATGTCAATGCAGTTTACAAAAAATAAATTTTTTCCAAAAATGATACTTTCGATTCCTTTAAATTCACGACTAATGCGATATACGTGTATGGTCAGTTACGATGGAGGCCCAGTCGTTTTCAAATTTGCGGATCTCGCAACTTCCAATAGGATATTGGGGGGACTCTGTGGCAAGGGGCATTAATAAACAATACATAAAGTTAAATATCAAACTCTAGCCACGCAAGTCCTTTTATCCATAAAACTCATCAATTTTTTGTGTTTACGTTCGAGGTTTGTAATAAAATGTTTTCATTTGAGGGACGAAACACATATGCAAACACATATTTGTACATTATTTACATTTCACCACGCATACATAGTACAGAAGAAAGACGGAAAATTCTACTTATTTTACTGAAAATAAGTAATATAATATACTGTAATTAAATATAGAAGGTTTACTGCGTAACCTGATCATCTCTTAAATATTCTATGCAGATTGCGAAAATTATTTTTCATAGAGTTTTTAGGCGCTTTCTAGGCGGTCCATTCAATAACGGTCCCTGGTGTGCAGCAAGGACTTTAAATGCTTCAGCCAGTAAGTGGGAATGATTGGTAACAAGTGTTTTCCAACCATTGCTCTCCGTAACAGCACTTGCACTGCTGTAATAAACAAAGAAAAACCTTCAGTTAATAGTCTTCTTAACAATACTACCACAAAGATTTTATTGATTATAAAGATGAATGATTAAAAAAATGGAAGTTGTTTAACGCTTTATTTAGGCCTGTACTGTACACGCTCAATTTAGAAGTGGTTTCTAAATTCTTTCTTGAATTATGTTGTGTATCATCTTTGAACATGGGTATTTTTCATGATCAATTTTTATACATACCAATTTATAAATTCAACAGCATAATCTTTCAAGTTATTAGCACTGTGAAGATCAGCAAGAATAAGAATACTGCAAACATTATCTATAGTTAAGCTGTTACATAATGATTCTTCGCACATCACTTTTAGACGGTCAATCGCATACTATAGTGATAGACAAAAAATTAAATGCTGTTAGATTCTTCATCAAACATTGCATATTTCATTTGGTCAGTACACTATGGAATGATTTTTGAATGAAATTAACTACATACTTTATCAGCTGCGGCCAATAATTCTGGTGCCATTTCATTCAATTTACTCGTTTTTCCAGTATATATAAACTGCAACACTTCTCTAAAAACATCTGATTCTACATCCAGTATTTGAACTCTGCCATTTTTACGTTCTTCCATTTCATGTTCAAACATGGCACCAAATACTGGAGACCTTGCTGCTAATATAACTTTGTGTGCTTTAAAGGTTTTACCATCTGCTAGCATTAATGAGACGTCTGATAACAGTCCAGTTTCAAGTAAATTACCTAATTGTGAAGCTAAATTACAGTCTTGTACTTTAACTGTGGTTTGGCTTGATGATCCGGAGACATTCACTGAGTCAGCAATCACACTAACCTGGATAAAATGTTACATTATAAAAAAATCATGTAAACACTGGAAGATTTTAAAACTGTTGGATGGTTAAACATGATTTGAAGCCATTAATTCAGATTTTATCTAAATTAAGAAAAATATTCAATATAAACAAACCTCACAAAACAAAGTTAAAGTATCTTCAGGAAGAAGCCCATTAATGTCATCAAGTAGAAAATCTCTCCTGATAAACTTTTTGAATCCCCAATCCTTTCCCTGGACAAATCTATAAGCTCTCTGACTTTCTATAATATGTACAATATAAACAATTCGTCACGATCAAAAAAGAGATAACACATATAGACATGGATCACAATAAATCTCACCCATTGCTTTAGTTTCCTCTCTGTGTGCATTTAAAATAGAAAATTTAAATTTCGCACGAACTTCATTTTTGTTTGTTGAAAGAAGAAGTAAATAAAGAGATAAATAATCTTTGCTTTCTTCATCTAAACCTTTTGGATTGACTCTTAGGCACCTACACAGATAAAAAAATTTTCAATTTACTTTGTGACAATTGCACCAACCTAAAAATGTTCACTTGAATAGTTGGTCCCAAGTACAAAACAATATTGATACAAAATACAGAAATAAATGGACATACCATTTCATTTTATCATTTTCGCCAGCTGAAAACATAGAACTTTTTAAAGTCTCTCCCATTTCTTCTCTACAATAGCTAAAATTATTGATTGTCCACATGTATGAGAACTTTATTACTTTAACTTGAGTGTAACACCAGTTTTCTGCAACTGGGCCCCCGTTACTTCCATGAGGATCCTTGCTAGTGCTTGAAGCCTGTTTCATATCCCTACATTAACAATGAACGATTTGAATAATATCAGTTCATCTTATTCATTACAGAACTGGTATCTCAAAAGGAATTTTAATACTTACATTTTATGTGAGATTATAAGTCTAATCTATCTTGCTTATACTTCAGAACCAAATTCTATAAATAAAGGCTCATTAGATCAAATCAAAGGAATTCATCACAAAAAAATATTGGTCAAGTTTTATAATGGTTAACCAGTTGACTGATTATTGGTCAAATACACCACCTGACTGTCTTGACAAAATATAAACAATTCATGCATATTTTCAACGATAACGTTTTATTTGAAAGTATAGTTTAATCACAGATTACGGAATATGATATTCCTATTGAAAGTATTTGCCTACGTTGATTTTCAACCGATTACAACTAAACGCGAACTTACATGCCCATGTAGCGAACAATGCCATTCAAAATCTGCCCAGTCAGAAGTTTTAGATAAAAAAAAACACAGTTGTGAACGATAAAGTAGATGGATCGGGTCAAAATTATGAACAACTATTTTTTGGTACATTATATTCAGCAATATGCCTGATAAGATGTATATAATGATAATGAAATCCGAGTAGACGTAGACTGGGTTAACTCGGACTGTGTCACTGGGAACAATAACTGAATAATTTATAAAGATTTCGCTCGAGTCAAAATATGTACATGCACATTCTCTTACCTTTTAGAACAAACGTTACACTGAAACATTTCAACAAAAACAATATTTATCTTGCGAAGACTTGCCGTTTTGAAGAATTCATTTAAAATTGATTATGATATAAACACTTGCTAGGTACACTAGCGACTAGGCGGACAAGCGTTAGTTAACCGAACAATCAGATCGACACGAATGATCACGGATTACGAGCTTTGACGACGAGTAACGAGTTGTGTCGTGTTGAATTGCAACTTCTCCATAACAAGCTTACAGCCCATAGTTGTGCAGTTGTTCCCACTGGGTTATGACAATAACTTTATATCAAGACTTCGGATGATTAACTTTCAGTATTTTTTATTTTGTTTGACTTTCCACGTCAGTGGGCTTTATTTATTTTTTTCTATTTGGAAATACAAAAATGTCGAAATTTAACAACATGCTGCCTTTATTTACATGCCTATACTGGCCTGAAAGTGAAAAATCTTGATTTTGCTTTGAACTGACTGGCAATTCAATTTCAGCTTAAAAAAATTTTTGACTTTGATAACTGACTTGACGAATTGATTATATTTTACGTAGTACGTGACTCGATTGGTGAGAACAGGTAGGCTAAGATTTCACCAGATGCTGACTCTGGTTGATGGAAAAACGTGATTACAGAGTCACATAAACAGCAGACAATAACATCGATCATGTTGAAAGTCGCCTAGATATTTATTGCAAAGATTTCAGTGAAAATGAAGCTATGGGGATTTGGATGTACCAAGCAAACATTAATTACTTTGAATGCCATGTATATAGTAAGTGCAATTGAAATCATGTTTCTAAAAACCGAAAGACCTTAAAGTCCAAGGTCCTCCGTCCTCGCCACTTTCGCCATCGTCATAACAAATTTTGTGCAACATCTTTATGATCTTTTTCCAATAATCATCGGATTTAAAACTACTATTTACTTTCCTCTTATGCTTAAATTATGATATATTTTTTTCACATTTCCTGATTTGAAATTGGTTCCTTGAGTGAGGTTTCAGTAAACGTTCCTATAATGTGCGACAGTGAAAGCAAACTCGATGAGTTAATACTTTTTGAATTACAGTTCTTTTGAATTAGGGTTAGGGTTAGGGTTTTTATGCACAATGTACCTACATTGTGCATAAAAAGTTTTTGGTTTTCTTGAACTTGCCTCAAAAGGAAGTCAAAACGCCACTTATTCTCAATGTCATAAGACAAAAATGGCAAAAAACCACCTTCTCTTCCTAATACATATTTTATATTGTAAAGTCATCAAAATATGTAATTGATCTACAATGTAATACCCTGTAACATTTTATATTTAGTAATTATACTTTGCTATGTTTAGATTGTTGGCTTAATCTTGATTATATTGCCCGTGTACTCAAAATTTAGTGAATTTATAACAAGTTGGCCAATTACTGGTGGAGCAATAGCTAGTGGTGTTTTTCTCATGCTCATTGCTATTGTTGGAATATATGGGACAGTACGTCATAATCAAATTTTGCTGTTTTTTGTATCCTTTTGGATATTACTGAGAGTTATTGTTTGCTTCTGGTTGAGAAACCTTTTTGTTTAAGTATAATAACTGGAGTGAAATACATATTTAAAAAATGTTGATTTAGCTAAAAGTATACTTATTTTTTTTCTTTCAGTTTTGCTTAACCTCTTACATAGTATATGGTGATAATGATTATTGTATTCATATTGCTTTTTGCATTCTCATGTGCTGCCCTTGCAGTAACTCGTCAATATGAGCACAGGTTATTAAGCCACGGTTGGAATAACTTGAACAATAAGACAAAAGCAAGTTGGGAAAAATTTGGTAATTGCTGTGGCTTTGATAACGACAACAAAACTCGCCCATGTCATGGGAAAAGTAAAGCACAGGTGCTTCAATTTCTATTGTTCCATTATACGTAGTTAATTCTTTCTTTGCTAGGTCATTGAGAAGCATTTTTATAGTGATTTAGTCCTTACAAGGAAAGTAATTTATATTTTAGGAATTTTGAGAATTGCGTAGTCGTGAATTTACCTTGTCTGAAATATTGTACTATTTATTTGTATTTTTTACAGCGTCCCAAATGTTGCAATAAAACAAGTTGTGAGAAGTGCCCACCTTGCTATTCTTATCTTCTTTCTCATGGACTTAACGTTATCAAAAATGGCATTGGTGGAGTGGGATTATTCTTTAGTTTTACCTTGGTATGCAACAAGTTTATACTAAACCTGTATAAATTTATGACTATCAATTTTTTCAGATTACTATATTCTCATTCAATATGCACGTGTGATTAAGTGGCAACCATTTGCGTAGCCAGCCTGCAAATTTACTCGTGCTATGTAAATTCTGAAGGCTTACCATTATTAATTTCAGTGAACACAAAATATTTACAGAGCAAGAGTAAAAAGTCGTTGCTGATGGCTACTGAAAATAATTCGACATTCATGTCATTACATTGTAATAAAATATTGTGTTATATTTGTTATTTGTTGTTCAGTTCATAGGTGTAGTGATGGCTTTCAGATACAGAAATTTAAAAGATCCTCGCGCTAATCCAAGCGCTTTCTTGTAACCCATGATCAACCGCCATACGTTGAACTTCCTTGTCACAAGGTGCGAATGTCAGTCATACAGAATCGTTACATAAAGACATGATTTTTCTTTTAGAGTCTGTGCGAACTATTTAAAAATAATACGAAATTTACTCAATTTTAATTTAATTATGACGCTATATGTATGATGTAATGAAACATTGCAAAGGTATTTCTTTGTTGTATTAATTTGGATGTCGAAATGGTTTTAGTTTTAGTCATATGAATCAATAATACCGATATATTTTATAAATATCCAAAATTAAATTGCATTGATAACTTTGCCAAATATACGTATACATAAATTCATTGAATGTGTATGTATTTTGCACGGATTAATTTAATAATTTACGTATTTATTCGCAATGAATGTGACTAACATCTTTTGAGGAAATTGGTAGTTTGAGTTCCTATGGTTCGCCTGACAGTAAAATTATCGAATATAATAACCATTTTTAGATTGAGAATCATGCAACCGAAAACAAGGTAATAAAGTTTCGGGAAATTTGACCAGTGCCTATCATGCTATGACGCATCTTCCCATCTTTCCTTTCGTTTTTAGATGCCATTGTAGGCCCTCATCATTTATCCATTTTTTTCTTTATTTTAAGTTTTTGCACGCTAAAAGATTTGCAATTGCATCCATTTACAATACGGGAAGGAATGCTCAAAACAACAAAACTTTATTAGCTTCAACGACATCTGCCACGTATTAATCATATATGTTCTTGGTAGTAAAACAAAAATGGTTATTAATGGTTAAAAGTGTTGCGACAAATTTATTGTTAGATGAACCCTAAGAAGTCCTTTTTCTACTGAACGTTTTCGCAAAACTTGCGAATTAATTTGGCGACATTTCACCAGTAGTAACCGTTTTTGATACTCCCTGTATAATAACAATTTGGAGAATACTGCACTTGAATACCAGAAAGGTCGTCTTTCTTGTTTCGTTTGAGTGTAAACAGTGAAGCGATAAACTGTCTCCAACCATGATGGTGGAACTGTCTTGAAGTGGATTTGATGTTTGCCCCCTGAACGAGGGAGGACGAGTTTCTTGGTGGAGAGCAACTTTCTCTGACAATGGACGGTGGACCTTTGGTGGGCCACTGCGGTGGACCGACTTTTTATGCGTTACCCCCATCCACACTGATGTGCGCCCCTGTAAATTGGTATACCTACAATCAGGTGGTATTACACTGTATGCATGATTGAGGCATTTTGAAATAGAGACCAAACACCTGGACTAGATATTGCGAACACAGATCCTAGTGCAAAAGACAGACTACAAAAATCTCCGATGGACGCCGAACTGACTGAAGGTGATAATGAACTATATTGTCATAAAACTCACACCATGAAACTAGACACTTGTGTAACAAAATCAATTTTTTACCGGCGACATTCCAAAGAAACTATGTAACACCCAACAAACTATTGAACAAAGAATAATAAGTTCGTATCAGTTAGCACAACTAACGTTGTTTAAATTATGTGATGTATGTGAGATATGATGATAGCGTGTTTCATAAACCAAATTTGGTATCATGTCCATATTATCCGGTTAGCATATCAACTTACATGTTTAAATAACCAGTGAGCGTTATTCACGAATTGTTGCTGGGTCACTGTGTCAGTGTTATCATTTTACAACGTTTATCATATAGTGATACAAGCAAAATATCCGTGAAAATGGTTTGTATTTCTGTTGGCCATTATGAATATGGGAATGCAATAAACGCGCAGCTAAACATTTCTTTCGCTTTTACAGAGTGTATTCTCCGAACTTAAGATTGAGGGTAATTGAAACGTATTCTTTTTCTTTAAATAATGCACAGATTTTCTATTCGATAGCGTAAAGTAAGTAATCTTTCGGATGGGGAAATGTGTAGCACTAACAAAACGGTTTGCTGATAGCCAAACCCCGTCCGCCAAGTAATATCATTTTGTTTTATCAACTGCAGAGTACAAAGAAGCGTTTCTAATGTTTGATACGGTTGGAGATGGTAAAATCGAGTGCACTGAATCTGGTGACGTGATCAGATCGTTAGAATTCAATCCGGCATCAGAAGACATAAAGAAAGTTGTCCAAGATGTTGATCCTAGAGGTGAGTGTTCTCACACGACAGAAAGTATAAGAATTACGGCATATAATTTCTTGCTAATGATCACTTTTAATTATCACAAGCAATAATTGTGTTGGCTGATTGATCATTTCCTCTGAATAATAATAATAACGCATTTGTGTCCGTTTGATATTTGGTTTATAAATTTAACTTATTTTTTCATTTTACTAATACGTATGGTTCTCATCGTACTGAGTTCAACTGCTGTCATTGCTGGTTTCAGGAATCAAGAGGATAACGTTCGAAGAATTTTTACCCATTCTTCACGAAGTTGCTCAAAAATGTCCAAAGAAACCTAGGACCGAGGACTTTTTGGAAGGATTGAAAGTTTTTGATAAAGATGGCTACGGCGTTGTTTTGTCAGGCGAACTACGACATGTTCTGACATCTCTAGGTATTTTAAAAAGTGTTTTTTAAACTATCAGTTTTTGTTAAAATTCTAAAAAATTCATGTGAATTTGACATTAAATCTCTAGGTGATAAACTTACTGACGAAGAATGTGATGTCCTGTTCAAAGACGTTGAAGATAAAAAAGGAAGGGTAAATATCGAAGGTAATTCTTCAACTGTTGTTTATAGAAATTCAACAAGAAAACTACCAGCACACGATATGTTCATTAAAAATCAATTCATATTTCTCATAACATTAATTATATTTTTAGAGTTTGTAAAAATGGTTATTTCTGGTTAAATCAACTTCCACTTCGTCATATCCTACTGAATATAAGCAATACAAACTGTCTTCTGATAACGTACATTTCAACATGTCCATCGATTCCTTTATGCTAATCTTGTTGTCGCTTTTCAATAAAAAAAAATTTTGTAAAAAGCTGTTCTTAACCTTGTTGTGAACACTGTGTAAAGTGTAGAGATCTGGCGAGCTTGTAAGACAAAATCAATTTTGCCTCCGCCCCAAAACTCAACATCTACTACTCTAAACTACATGGTTAACAAAGACAAGCTTCAAAAGACATTAACATACGTTGACTAGTTCAAAATACAATAAAAATAATACTTTGCAGTATAAATTACATTACATTTTTACCGTGCTCCCCCCGTTCCACCATTATTTTCATTTTCAAGATTTCAGTGATAGTTTACAGTTGTTGAAAAATTATATATAATTAAATATGAATATCCTGGTTGGGAATAACCGAAACAAGAAATTAAACAAAAAAATGAACTGGCTACTTGTTCTTTCGAAGTTCGTCAATTTTTTGAATGGTAGGTAAACCGTTGGGTAGATTTAGAATGCTTCCCTCGTTCTTCATGATATTTTCAGCCTCCGCTGAAAACAAAAAATGACAACATTTGAATTTCATTTCATTTAGACGCATGCTATTTCAAAAAAACACTTATACACCAGATTCCATCTTCAATCACGTTCAACATAACTAACCCCTAACACGAGTTATTTTGTCGCCATATGCAAGATCTGCTTGGTAGCCAACGATAAACGTCAAGGGTAAAATTGGGACAAGTGAAGCAGATTTTTTCGTCTTTAAAAACCTACGACAAAAATTCAATTCGTGTAACATATTTTCATTGTCTCAAATTAAGTAATTAGAACACGAGTGATATTCTGTATAGTTTGATTATAAAAAACTGGGTAATATAAGGTAGATATACATGTACAGAAGACATTTGTAAGCCTACATTACAGTGAAAAGGGTGAGGGCATTGATCCAGCAAGAAAATTAGTTTACATTTTGTTTTGATAAGTTTTTCCTTCTTGACTAATGAAGTTAATCTACTTGCCCCAAAATTGCACCAGTTGTTGCAATTACATAGAATGACCCCAACCACATAAACATCTCTCGAGTGAATGCTATTTGTGTAGCTACTCCACGTTGACGCATTTCATTTTGCAGAAGTATCTGCCTTTCCATCTTTACAAAAACAAAAAAAATAACTGCATGAGAGGTTCAAGTGCATTAAACTATCTTGTTAAGCTAACCTATAAACTTGGGCTAATTAGTGAAGATTTCTTGAGGTTGTTTGCCCCCCTCTTGATTTTCCCATTCTGATTAAAAATTTATAAATCAAAGTTTGCTGCTGATATATAGATGCATTATAAGCTACCATATTACTTCTGCTTGAAAATGTAATCACCTATCATATATTTTACCATTGTTTGTTGCTGCTCTTGCATTTTTTCCATGGCTCCAGACATTCCTTTTGAAATAAATGATCCCATTCTTGCATCAAACAAAAAGTCAAAACTTCTGTCAAGTAATAACTTACTGTTAAACTTTTAAGGTTAAGCAAGAGCAGTAGCTCTGCTTCATCAGCTCTAACTTCAATTACAGTTGACTTTGCTGTTTTCTCTTTGTCTTGCATTCTCTACATGGTTTCACATTAGTTCATCAACACAGATCATTAAATATTGCTCAGATGAAAAAAACTGTAAAATGATCAAGAACTGGGCAACTATCATGTTACAGGTTCGAGGTAAATTATAAAATTTGTACACCAATAATTGAAGTGCCACTAAATTTACAGTCCATAATCTTTTTCTTTTAGACATATTCAGAACAGGCACCAAGGAATGTACAAGTACAACTGACGCCTTAAGTGACATAATTTTGGATAAACATACATATAATGGAAAAAATCAAAAATAAGGACGGGAAAGTGAAAGTTAAACAATTAATGCATTAAGCAACTGAGTGGGGTTTTCACCCCTAACGAGGTTAAGTCTCTAAACCATGATCTACATGAACTACAGCATGGAGCTTGAAGCGTTTGGGTGTTTAGGAACAAAGTACATTTTTCATATTTAGATTTATCTTTACAAAACGTTCTCAGCATTATTTATTTTTGATACATTAGCTCACCTAAATCTTTCAATGTTTCAATCTTCTTGTCCTAATTTCAAAATTTGCTAAATTATGAATAAAATGAACAATAGTATCTGCTGATACAATCATTAACGTTATGCGTTGTATTTAAAATAATGTATTCTCCCCTCAAAGAATGTGAGCGCTAGTAGTGTAGGGGTATCATGTCAGATTCCCATTCTGACGACCCGGGTTCGATTCCCGGCTGGCGCATAATGTGCATGGCTTTCTGGTCTCAACAGTGAAAGAGCATTTGTTATTTTAATCATAATATTTTGAAATTATTAGAAGTCAATTATTACAAACTTTTCCTTTTGCGTAATGAAAACTTTATTGAGAATTTGGTGACTATAAGACAAACAGCTTTTCCATTCCGTCCTCCATCATTTACCCACGTTTATCCATAGATATACCAGATGCTATCCCAGCGTAACCTGTTTACCCATCCGTTTTTTTACCACAAAGATCAACATGGCGAAATCATCAAAGAAAGTAAAGGAAAAAAAGACGACTCTCGATGGAAGAGATTCCGTACCAAGGGTATGCAGTTGATTTACTTTAATCGTTCCACAGATAAATACCATATTTTCTTTCATTTTATAGAAGACAACGGCGAAAAAAGCAAAGTATATGAATAAGCAGCGTGTACTTGTCTTCTGTGCACGTGGAATCACCTTCAGGTTTGCTGAGGGTATAATTTTTTAATGGAGCATAGGATGGGTAATTTCGTAATGAAGCTCAGGCTTCTCAGCTCACAAAAAAGAATTGGCAGCAAGGTTGATCTCTTCTTCAATCACCAACATAACCATCTGTCAGTGTTACAGTGTTTATTCCAGAAACCTTTAACCTACCTTTCGTTTGTTAAATTTAAACCTTATTTCATATTGCATGCCAATAGTTCAACATGGTTACCATACCTCAAATGTTGTGTTTGCTAAGCTACTGACTGTACCTACCCCAAAATGTCAACTGTAGTTAATATTTGAATAATTATTGCTTCATATATCTATTTTAGAGCACGTCATTTGATGAATGATCTTCAAACATTAATGCCTCATTCCAAATCAGGTACGAAAGGTCCAAAAAAATTGAAGTTTTTTATACTTTTGAGAAAGTTTATCAGTTATAAGACAATTACCAGCTAATAATTAATCAAATGCTGTTTTGTGATACCTTGCTTACCTTGCATTTTATTCAAAACAAAGGAATATTAATCAGTGTATTTGTTAGCATAATTTCATAAGTAACTGTGTATGATATAAATTAGTTGATTTATTGAAAATATAATGATTGCAATTCAAGAATATTACATTGTAATTGAATTCTAAGTATGAATATAATTGCCAAACATAAAACTTTTAATATGGCCGTGGATAATCAAATTTATTAATGATAATGTTTCATCTTTAGCTTAAGATATCTTCAGATTTAGATTGGAATATATACATATAGGAAGTTAGAAAGCATATATACTAATTATAAAATATTTGCTTTGTGAAATTGGCACTAAGCTTAGATAATGTTTTCAAGTTTTGTGCAAGTATATCTTATTACTAAAGAGAGATTTTATCATTGCTTACACAAAGTTCATTCCTCTAAATGCTAGATTCAAAACTGGATAGAAAAGACAAATTGTTTGTGATAAATGAGGTATGTATATTAATAGCATAAAAAGTAGCTGATATTGTTTTGTCAAGTTGAAATAATTGTTTTTGAAACAATAGGTGTGTGAAATGAAGAACTGTAATAAATGTATATTTTTTGAAATGCGAAAGAAATCAGATTTATTTATGTGGTATGTGTTATTTTTCCTAGTTTTCACAATTCTTACTTCTAAAAGTGACAGATGTTTTATTTTTATTGCATCCCAATGTAGGATTTCATGCACTCCTCATGGTCCATCTGCTAAATTTCTTGTTGAAAATGGTGAAGTCAGACATTTTAAGTTGTGGATATATTTTATTATTCAAAGGAAACATTGACAATATCAATTGTAAAATTTGTGTTTTTATAGTTCATACAATGGATGAATTGAAACTAACGGAAATTGTTTGAAAGGGTCAAGGCCAATATTATCATTTGATAAGGTCATCAAATTTTTAAAAGCTTTGTGCATACTTTTATGTTCCACTTTATGCTATTTTTCATTTATGTCATGATAACTCAGTAGGTATTTGTTCTTTATTCAATCTGTTCTTTTTCTGAATTTGGAGGAGAGTAAAATGTTCTTTGAGACGTTTAAAAATATGTAAGTGCTTTGTTTGTAGATGTTTGATGACAGTCCACATCATTTACTTTTAAAAGAAATGTTTGTGCAGGTAAATAGAAGCATTTTGTTTCATATGTAGAATATACAACTTCATTCTTTTAAGGTATGGTATTATTAGAAAGACCTCGATTGATAAAAACAATTCTTTTTATAGAACAAAATCCTTGAAAATGTCAAAAATTTATTTTTCACTGTATTGTTTTCAAAATAACTTAAGACCGACATGTTTGTTTTATTTACTGTATATAAGTGGTAACCTGTGACAACCAGTTCCAAGTATTTGCTGTACCAAATGCTGGGAACTGGTAGTTACTGGTTATTCCTTATGAGAGATGAATCACCCTACCACTTCTTCATAAATACAAATCATGAAACATGTTCCTTCTATGATCCTAGATATTTGGAACGCCAAATCTCCATCCAAAGAGCAAACCATTTTTTGATCATGTGATGTGCTTTGCCATTGATGATAACAGAATTTGGTTTCGTCATTATCAGGTATATAAAAGTTATGAGAATAATTTGCTGAAATTGAGATGAAGACTGACAGTGTATATAATTCTGGAGCTGGTTGCACGAAGCCTGGATAGCGTTATCCACTGGATAGCAAATTTTTCTGAACGTTCATAAAATATCTTATAGGAGAAAAGTATACGACTTGAACTGTGCAATCACTGAAATAAAATATTGTTTCGAAGATTACAAAATTTCTTTGTCGTAAGAAAAATATAAACACGTTTTTTAGAAGTTTGAAATTTTCGCTATCCAATGGATAACGCTCTCCAGGCTTCGTGCAACTGGCTCCTGAAGAGTACATAAATGAGACATGTACTATTAATTCATTTTCAATCTCTTTCAGATTATTCAAGATGGATCTCTTCTAGAAATAGGTTTGTATAGTTGTTGTTCTCTATCATAATTTGTGGTAAAAATTATCGCTTGGAACAAGAAATTTTTCTGTCATTCTGTTGCTATAGAATAAAGAAATTTTCCTTCAAAAAAAGCCAGAGCCAACTGCTAAACTGCGCATTAAAATAAACATATTCCGATTTATTTAAATTGCCGCCGTGGTTATTTTATATTCATGTTCAAATAAGGAAATTTCAGTTTTATTTTTCAGTTTTCATTTTTTGCTTTCAGATTCATTCGACTTCCTAAATACTTACTTCATTTTAATATTGTACATTTGATATTTTATTTTGTAATTTTATTTATATTGAAGTTGACTTTTTCGCCAACATCCGCATCATCATTGAAATTATATTTGAACAAAAAATTCCGAGTTTACCACGACAAACTTTGATGTGATGTCATCAAGGCCTCATACGTAAATACGTCATTTCACACATAAAACAAATTGAACAGTTACGTAAGCAGAAAGTGTTCTCTGTATCATCTGTAGTTCTACTATTATTCTAGTGACAAAGTATGTGTGAAGTATCGTTTTCAACGAAAACTGCCTAACTTAAGCAAAGGCCTTTGTTGAAACGAGAATGTTTTTGCTTTACGTGTTCCAGTCTGTTTTCTTGTGGTGATTTCACATGTCTTTTCAAACAAAAGGCTCAAATTAGTATTTTGTAAAAGACAAAAAAGAATTCAAAATGCCACCAACAGAAGTTTTGATGAACTCTTTGCACCACAATATACCACACGTAATATATTCACACGTTTCTGGTACGTTTTACAGTCTTGTTGCCACGTGAGAAGGAAATTGTTTAAGTGATATTAAACATGACAAGAATGCATGTGACCAACCGGTTGTTTATTCACATGATACCATAGCACTTACATTACTTTTAATGTATGCAAAGTTACGCATGATAAATATATTGATGTTAACCATGCATGTTGGACTTCAACAGCTTCACTGACCTGAAAAATATTTGTAATCCATTCCATTCCTAAGTATTGAAAAATTTATTATGCGTCGATATGATTTCTGTTTAAACATAAAAATTTTAAAAGAATATTGCTGCTAACGTGTTCAGCGTAATTAGTTAGGCGTAGTTGTGCACTTTTAGGATAACAATTTTATTTAATGACAGTAAAAAGTGTTTGTAAGAATTTTTTGCAATGCTCATGGACGTTAAAGTTCTGTTGAACTGCATCATGTATGTCATTCAAAAATTGAATATTGTTTTAGGCTGCTGGTAATGATTATTTGACATTTTCACCTCAACTAATTATAACATGCAGGAGAGCCGGTGCAATAATCTATATGTATTAATAAATTTAATTGATACACGTATTTCTTTTTTTAATTAAGGTCCCAGGTTTGTGATGAATCTTGTTCGTATATTCGGAGGCAGTTTCGGTGGTGCAACTCTTTACGAAAATCCTCATTACGTTTCTCCAAATGAAGTAAGTTTTAGAATTCATGTAAAAGTTTACAATTATTTCAAAAGAAGAAGGTTTATAATGTAGGAATAAGGTGGACTGACTATATTGAAAAACTTTCTAATATAGTTTGCTATTTCATTGATGTAGCATCGTCGTAAGTTACGCATCGACGCCGGTCAGCGTTATCGTATGAAAACTATGGCAAAAAATGCATTAAGTGAAAAACGGAAATTAATGAAGGATGTACCTCAAGACGATGTGGAAGATGTTTTTAATACGGTTACACAACAAGAGCTTGATTTGACTAAAAACATCACCTGAGATTATTGAGTGAAAACATCGTACACCCATGCTTCACTAATGCTGTGCTAATGTGTCAACGAATCTTGGTGATTAATTTTAATATAATGCAAACGATACATCTAATTATGAAAACACCGGGCTAAACTTATGATGCTGTATCCAGCTGCGTTACTACAGCCGCTTGAAGAAAAAAGGACAGAGCATTTATCATATCACTAGCTATATTTGTATCATACGGTCTAAAATATGTTTAATACCGTCGAGGTTCATCGAAAACTTTCGAATTTAACATTTTGTACTAAGCCTAAATGTTCAATTGATTCTTTTTTGACTTTTACGGTCGATTTCTTGTCCCAAAAATTTTTTCCAAACGGATGATGTTATTTTAAAAAATATGTATAATCTTCGTGTAGTTTTTTAATCCATCAGTCATAAGGTTGTTTACTTTATGCTAAGGGAAACTCATGCCATACATCTGACTTTTAGTGAGGCAATAGAAATATCATCATGTGAGAAAAATAGTTTCAAAATGTTATTACGAAATTTATTTTGCTTTTGGGCTGTTGACGATCTATGGAAACTTAGCGTGCAAATGATGCTTAGAATCCGATTATTAAAATCCTCTTGAAAGGATAAAATGAGGACAGAGGATGCACGTGTTTTTCGTTTTGACACGTACTTGAAAGTTTAGATGTTCTACAATGTAAAATAAACATGTAACATGTTTTGTACAATATTAAATGTATAAACCTAAAAGTTAAATGTGAAGTTGAGCCTTTTGAGGAAGAAGAACGACGATAGTGTACAAGAAAGAATAGCATAATCAACGCTATTCCTGCGCCCTTCTTGAATTATGTAACACCATTTTTGTGTATTCATGTGTTCAAATACAATTGTATGACAAAATTATATTTATTTTATAAGGAACTGCAAATTTTCTCAATAGATAAACTTTGTTGAAATTAGTTCGTGTTTTCAAGTGAATTTTCCCAAATATTCCAATGAAGCTCTCAAAAATCTCAAGATTTACGATCTCTTATGTGTTCATAGGACTTCTAGCCAATGGGAATTGATGATTACGATAACAAAAAATTACCTCAAACTTCTTTAATACGAAATGTTTTTAAACTTTATGAAGTTACTTTGATTCTAGAATCTTGATTGCTCTAATCTTAAAAAGTTGGGAAGTGGTATTATAAATTATATAATTTAGTTCTTCGGAGCTCGCCCAAGTTTAGCACTCAAAAATATTAATTATTCATACTTCATCGTTCGACTTATAAACTATTATGATTGGATAAGAGCCGTTTTGACGACATCGCGCCACTCTACCCACGCGTTATACAAAGAAAACTCATTACAACTTAGAAAGTTATAGGAGTTTGTATCCCGCCTTGGGAAGAAAGGCTACAGTGTACGAAGAATTTAGTTTTTCGTGATAGAAAGGATGATCAAGAATTTCAAGAATCTATGGTTATTCTGTAAAGCCATTGTCTTTAGTTTAATGCTTCTAAAATGTTCAGGTAAATCTAGGTTAAAGAATGCTATAGTGGACTGAGCAAGACAATACTGAAGAATGTACAGGAACTATAACTGCGTTTAACGTTAAAATCATTTTTGGTGTCCAATTACAAACGAAGAAATTTTGCTAAGTTCTTGAAAGAAGCAGTTCATCCAAACCGTTACAGTTTCGCGAGAGTGAAGTGAACATGAAATAATTAAGGGTAGAATTTGTGAAGTAGATAGATAAATATTAATTGTGGAACTGAAACTACAAGCAACTTGCCAAAAATCGAAAAAACTTAGTGTGAACGACTTTATGACACTTAACAATTATTTAATTTCGAATTCTAGCTTTGACTTGTGATAATAAAGGCGACTGCAAATGTAATGCGGCTAGCGTCGATGGAAAATATAAAACCATACTCGAGAAATTCATCTGCGATGGCGATCCAGATTGTGACGACAATAGTGATGAGTTGAATTGTGGTAAGTGAAACGTTTCCTTATCAAATATTGTTAAAATTTTTAAAAGAAATGGCTTCGTATTTGAATTTCGTTTTGATTTTAACCTATTTGTATTCGTTGTGCTTCGTTACTTACGAACAATGATCCTAGTTTTAACATATCGCATAAGTTATGACAAGATTGTCGGAATGACTGTTTTAGTAGTTTATACTATTTTGGCATTCACCTAATTTAAATCTTAAATATAGTCCTGTCGACGTTTGCAACACATTCAAAATTGAAAAAAACAGTGTGCCATTAAAAATGATCGACACGTCGCAAGAATGTGCTGATCTTATAAAGTTTGTTTGAATTTCAAAAGTATTTTAGAATTATACCACGTTAAGGTATAGTAAATATCGAAAAAAGACGTCATGATGATGGTCATGACTTCTTAGTTTAGAGTTATCACAATTTGTTTATCGCGTAATAATTTAAAAATAGTTGTCCTTTTTTGAACTAAAAAACGTCGTTATAAACGTGGCTGGCGAAGGCGTAGCGAAGGTTTATTCGGCGGAGAATTGGGGCTGGTAGGGGGCGTGGGGAATTGTTTGTATTTCGTAATTTTATTTAATTGTTGAAGCGATGTTTCATGAAATATAACATACTTGAGAAATTCTTACTTCTGTCTGGGCTATGTTTTTATTTCAAAAGTAACATTGAATACAGAATGCTCAGAAAATTTAAATTCGTCCATAGAAAGAGGTCTTTACTGAAACAGACAAACGTTTGCGCAATGTCATTTTTGAATTTTTCTGTTATGTAACATCAATTTCGATGATAAAAAATGCTTTGTATAAAGATTTATAAACTGTTTTCATGTTTCTTAGTGATTAAGTTTATTCTACCATTTTCCAGCAATGTGAAGTATGTACAAATAGTTCCCATGAAAAATTAACGTATTTTACGTAGAATACAGTTCTATCAAAGTGTGGATGAATTTGATAAAATATTAAGCAAAAATTTGAAATATGTGCAGTCCTATATATTGTTTGCATGAAATTTTGTGACTAGAAATCATGAGAAAAGTGTAACTTCAACTATGTACAAAACGTTTTTCACACAATCTAGTTTTTGGGTCCTAACCATGAAAATACAGAGTCTGAAAAAAGTTTCTACAAACAATTTTATTTAGCAACAGAAACTAGCTGCTCCTACATAAAAAAATTCTATTGTGAATGGCATTATATTGATGTTCTGACCAAAAATGAAAGTATTGTTTAAGTAGGTGTGTCGTGTAGATATTATAAGAATGCATAAACAGGCAAAAAATAAAGGAAAAAAGAACAGGCATAGAAATGAACAGATAAGGAAATGGAAACAGTTTATTCTGGGAGACCCACGCACAGGCTCTTTAATATCCTAAAGGATTAAATTTGTTTGATTATCTGTCTACAGACATTTATTTGTGTGAATAGATTAAACAGACTCTTAATTGATGTCTAACATAAATGCATGTATAAAAATATCAAGAGTATTTAGATAGCAGAGAAATTGTTGGCGTACTTGGAACTATAAGTGTCGAAACTTGTTTTTTATATTGTTTTTGGAAATACATTTTTGACTCGCGAGTAATTATTTTTGATGTTTCTGTCAATAATATGTGTAATAATAATTTAGCCACTAGGAACTGCAAAGATGATGAGCATAAATGTGGTAATGGTCGCTGTATTAAAAAGAATTGGTTTTGTGACAATTATGCAGATTGTAAAGATGAGAGTGATGAGTCACCACTTCGATGCAGTAAGTGCAATTTTATATGCATAAATAACATAGTTCTGAAACACGTTTAGTGTAGGGTAAAGTTACTCAACATGTGAAGTATTTTAATTGTGCTGTTATAGTCATTACCATATGTTTTAATTTATATGACATTTATTTCTTTTATATCCTCAGACTTCACAACCTGTAAATCTGATCAGATTCGATGCAACAATGGTGTCTGTTTGCCCAACTCTTTTAAATGTGATAGGACTACAGATTGCTTACATGGTGAAGATGAGCGCAATTGTAAGTAATTTGTTTGTTTTGTAGTCAGCATAAAGTTATGTAAGCTTAGACCTAAGGTATGTAGTCCTAGATCTAAGTTATGTATGTAACTCTTGACCTAAGATATCTAACCCTAGACCTTCTAAAATGAAGAGTACTAGATGTTACTACTTGTGATAAAGTATAAAATCATTTTCATGAAAGAGTTGTTTTGTGAATGTATAAATTTGTATTTTTAGGTGATTTTTACCGAAATTGTTCCACCAGTGAATTTCAATGTAATAACAAAAAATGTGTCAGTAAGAAATATGTTTGTGATGGTGGTGATGATTGTGATGATAACTCTGATGAAGCTAATTGTAATGATGATTTTTTTATAATAACTGATGTTTTAGATTCAAACTCTTACAATCATATCATTTTTTCAAGGCAAAACATGCAGTTCAAACTCATTCTCATGTTCGTCTGGAGATCAGTGTATTCCAAAGAATCTTAAATGTAATGGGAAAAATGACTGTAAAGATGGTTCTGATGAGCAATCCTGTCCAACTGGTAATCATTTATTTTACAGTATTTGCATCATGCTATTTGACAGTCATGGCATTCCTTTGTATAGTTACATATGTGAACATGATGAGAGGTTTCTTTTATTTGAGAAACATGGTGAATGCAGTTTTTAGTTGTGATAGGAATTAAGAACTGAACAAGGGATTTGGGTGCTCTTTTCAAGTTAAATAAAATATCTATCAGGGTTGTGTAAGATTGACCATGTTATATATTGAATTAAGACTAATAGTCAACAGGAGAATCAGATTGACAATATATTTAAGGCAATGTGGAGTATGTGAGTTGAATGTATGGCAACAAACTGAGGTTAATGCAGCTATACCTGTTTATGGGTTTAAAACCCATATGAACTTAAATCGTGTTGCTTAATGTGAGTGTATTGGATAATGTGGGCTACATTAAAGTCATGTCATGTAACATATGTAACTTAATTGTCCATGTATTGATCAAAGAAATACTATCATTCTTCAGTGAGTAAACCCCACTTGTTTCAAAAGTGAATTATTCTGTGATGGTGAATGCAAGCTTGTCTTCAAATGTGATGGTGAAAATGATTGCGATGATGGTGCTGATGAGAAGAACTGTGGTATGTTATATCTCACTTGTGTCTGATTGTTTGTAGGTGTTAATGTTTTCATTGCAAATATCAATTTTCCATTTTGTTAGATGCCATTAAATGTGCAATAAGCACGGAAGTTTTATGTGATGATGGCAAATCTTGTGTTATGAATTACAAATTTTGTGATGGTAAAAATGATTGTCTTGATGGAAGTGACGAGAAGTCTTCAAGATGTGATAAAACAGGTTATTATCAATGTTATAAGCGATGTATCAACACTGTTACATTAATGTCTAATGTCAAACCTTGATGTATACATATACAAGTTGAAACAAACAGAACATTGTGAGAAAAGAAAATCCCAGCAATACAGTCTTCTAACTTTACAACCTATAGCTTGGGATATTTTTCCATTGAACATAACGCAATGACATTACTAGAGGGGTGGAAGAGGTTAAGCCCTTCTGCTAAAATCCTTAGCCCACATAAAATATTACGTTTCATTTACAGTCAAATGTTAAACGACAATCATTACCCCTACCTTTTTAACAGACCCCCCTTCAAGGAAAATCGTTGCTAAGTCTCCGCCATAACGGGCATTGCTCTTTACGGACACCAGATCGTTAGGTTTTGGTTTAAGTGTAACTACCCCGTTCATGTATATACGTACAGGTTGTATCGTAAAAACCGAACGTTTTGGAAAACGATAGATTTGCAGGATTTTCAAAAATCTCTGGTGGAAATAGTTCAACATCCAATGGTTTATCTGAGAGTAAAATTGTGGCAAATAATAAACATTTTCATAATAAAAATTGTGTTCCCATGAGCTCTTTTGAAATATAGGTTGCGCACGTAAGTAACAGGAAGCAAGTGGAACATGTAGGGTTAAAATATGACACATAATGTTCTAGAAATAAAGTTTTGGAAATTTTGGCTTATATGCAAACGCATAGCTTTTCAGTCTCATGTTTTTTTGAAATTTTGGTTTTTAAATGCCTTTTCTATGAGTAATTGGTGAAAAATGGCGAAAAATAAATTTTGCATTTTTCCGATTTGGATTCCTGTTGCGGTCGCGTACGTTTGGACCAATGTTTCAGCCAACGTGTTCCAATTGTTAGCTTTGTCTTTTTTGTTCTCAAGTTATTTCAAAAGTGCTTTTCGATAACATAAGTCGCACTCTAAAAATGGTGAAATTTCCGACCATTTTACTATTTATTCACCTTGAATTCATTTTCACAACTGCCAGATGAACCATAACTATTCCATCAAAGGCTTCTACAGCGACATTTTCCTAATAGATCAGTTTTTATGGTCCCTGTATTTGTACTATAGTGCGTACAAATATGAGGCTAGTTGTCATGACCTAATGTAAAGTTTCATTCGTTTTGTTTAGATATAATAAAGACTGTTTCTTGTGATGCCGACGATTATCAATGTATGAATTCTTCATCATGCATTAATAGCAGTCAGTTATGTGATAAGAAGAAGGATTGTCCATTAGGAGACGATGAGCACTCTTGCTGTTAGTACTGTCTTACTTTAATAGTAAATAGTCATGATATAATGTTAAAGGTCTTTACCCATCTTTCATATAGTAAGGAGTGTTTCTTGTGCTGCTGATGAATACCTATGTAGGAATTCTTCATCGTGTATTAACAACAGTCAGTTATGTGATAAGAAGAAGGATTGTCCTTTAGGAGAAGATGAACAGTCTTGCTGTTAGTACAATTGTTATTTTATTTCCTAGTTTATTTTTTCAACTAATCATGTCGTTTTTGTTTCAGTAATAAACGAATGTGACTACAACAACGGAAACTGTACTCACAATTGTCATGATACTAAAACAAGCTATTATTGCTCTTGCAAGAACGGATTCAAATTGTCAAAAGATAATAGAAGCTGTATAGGTAGGTGTACATTCCTTTATATCTCATGCTTTATGTTTTTACATCCGCGTTGTAGGATTAAGTTTTAAAGGCTTAAGTAAATCTGGAAGTCTTTCGTACTTTTATCTCTTGTAGACATTAACGAATGTGAAATTATTGGCGAATGCAGTCAGACTTGTTTAAACGCTGCTGGCTCTTTTAAATGTTTATGCACGAAAGGTTATATTCTTTCGGGTGATGAACGAGACTGCATTCCGGGGACAGGTAAATAAGTTTGTATAGTTTATTGTGTCATTTTCATAACACGTGTCAACCATGTTTATTTTGGTAAATTTACAGGAAAAAGAGCAGAGTTAGTTGTTGCAGCTGGGTTGGATATACGAAGTATAACGACTGATGGCTCACACTTGAAACGTTTTGTAGAAGAAAGCACTAAAAATGCAGTTGCAGTTGATTTATTTCTTGCAAAACGTTTCATGTTTTGGGCTGATGCCTTCTTAAACAAGATATTCCGTTCCAATTTTGATACAAGCATTGCAAAGCCACTCGTTGTTGCGACAATCAATGGATTGAAGGATCTGGCCGTTGATTGGATAACAGGAAAACTTTACTGGTTATCAACATATCTGCAAAGTACGGTACAATGTTTTTTTGCAGGCATAGTTTATCTGGAGCAGTTTTATTAACAAATTGTGAAGAATATATGTGTACAGTAAAGCAACGTTATATATTATTGCACAATTAGGCTCATACTTCGATGTAGCTGAATTAGATGGATCCAACAGGAAAACAATTTTGATTTTAAAAATCGATATTCACAGTATTGTTCTCAATCCACTCAAAGGGTAAGCGTGCATTGAGTTGGCTCAATGGATTTGAGGCACTGTTTATAAATGTAAGATCAATATGTCATCACTAACAAGACGCATTAATGATTTAGATACATTTACTGGAGTTGTATCACTACCCCAAAGATATCCAGAGCTAACATGAATGGGAAGAATATAGAGGACATTGTAACAAATTCAATTAGAGCCCCCACTGGTTTGACCATTGATTATGCTATTGAGAAATTATTTTGGTTGGATACGAAAAAACACGAAATTGAATCAAGTGATTTGGACGGCCGAAATCGTCGACCTCTCAACATTGGGAATCTTCAAGATTTGTTTGATATTGCTGTGTTTGGTAAATATATTTACTGGACAGATCACATCAAGAAAACTCTCTCCGCCGCGAATAAATTTACCGGACAAAATAAATCAATATTAATCTACAATGAGAAAATTCCTAGTTTTGTGCCCAAAAGGCTTTCAGTTCGTCATTCTCTCTCTCAACCATCAGGTACAAACAAAACTATTTGATTTTTTCAAACATTTTTCTTTGCCAAATGTTTCTTACTTTTTTGCTCTTTGCAAATATGTGTTTCAATAACAATTTCTTTTGTTTAGGCTTTAATCCATGTAACAAAGATAACGGTGGATGTAGCCATTTATGTTTGATTGTTCCCAATGGCTTCAACTGTACATGTCCTAATAATGGCTCGTTATTGAATGACGGAAAGAGTTGCAAAATGGCTATGTCAGTCAAATCCACAGAATTTGCATCAACATCAACTCCAACGTCTGAAGAGTATTCGCAAAGTTCAGAAACAACAGCAGTGCATTTGTTAGTTACACTTGGTAAATATATGCTTCATCCTTTACGTACGTTGCGCTCTCTGCATTGTAGTTAAATGTAACGAACAGTTTGGATTCTGTATTCACTCTGTCTGTTTACATGTTGATGTTTTCCATATCGATGTACCTCGTTAAAATGTATATGTACGTTTCAGAAATTTGCTTGATATTATAACCTTACGCTTGATGTTATGACTGTTTATGTGTTCAATTGTACTTTTTGCAGGCGCTACTGCTGCACAGCGGAAATCACATAAAAATGATTCAACTATTCAAATTATTTTCATTACAACGGCTTGTGTTGTAGCCTGTCTTGTGATCATCATTGTTGCTATGATTTGTTATCGTAAGAAGAAAAATGCTAATAAAATGGAGTAAGTAGAACTTGCATTGTAACTTTTCAATATACAATAAACACTATTTATTTTATTGCTCGGTTTGATTTTAAATTTGGACTATGAATATATTGTAGTTAATGTCATTTCATTGTTCCATAGGATACATTACATCTCGGGCGCTGGCGATGTTAAGATATTTGCACCCGAAGACCGAAATCCAACTAATAGTAAGAAAGATGCATATATGAAATTTGAAAGTAAAAATTTTGAAGATTGGACTGAAGATGAGGACGGCGATCATTTTGATGACCAACAAGAAAGTCAAAGAGAATACAAAACATTTTTCCGAATAGGTGATAAGGAGCGGCTAGTTGCTGAGGCCGTGTAGATATTTTAGACAACACACCTATAATTCTTCGGCTTCTAAGTCTGTATATGGCTTGATTTTTTAAAATATTTATGATTAAACACTAGCTATTTCGTATTTTCGTCGAAGAAGTTTTACATCTTCAGAAATACAAAATCTCGATGAACTCTTGTAGTATTTCAAACTGCCATTCATCATGCTTTTTAAGGCAACTGTTGTATATTCAATGTAAATAAAAATGTAGTGTGTAAAGTGTTAAAAATAAGTTCGCAGTTGCATTTGAAATGTAAATACGTATAATACTTAAACTTGTGTAATATAGTTTATTTATCGTCCAATATATACTGGATGGTATTTGCGTTGAAGTTGGAGATCAGAAGTATGCCCCGATCGGATTCAATTCGTGGTCGTTTTGTCAAATAGACATATGTTTTTTTGCGTTAATATGTATATCATTAAATTGAATGTATATTTATCTGAAAATAGTTGAATAGCAACTATACGAATATTTTGTTAAAATTATGTGTGCGCTTGATGATGGTTGAAAATATTCTATGTATTTATTTAATAATTAAAAACATTTTCTATATTTATTTCTCTTGTACAAAATGAAGAGATCTTTCTCTTTTGCAGTTGTTGTAAACGTTTCTGCCAAGAAATTTAAAGCATACAGCTGGATAAGATTTTTCAAGCAACGTAATAAAAATTTTTACGTTTTAAAATTTGCGTTTTGTCACAATGCTCATAGACTAAAGTCGTCAGTCAAAAATTGGGTGAAAGGCGGGTTTTAAGCCATTGTCATATTCTACGATCTTTCTTATATACTTAGCATTTTTTTGTAGCTAATTACTTACGTCTGAATTTAGACGTGATCGTCGTAGTTCTTATTGCTAATGCTTTCTAATTGGTGAAAGTTGGTTACTGTAACAAATATCAAAGTTTTTAATGGTCTATATGTTCTTAATTTAATGTATAAGTTAGAAGAGTAAAGTAAAGAAGCATTTTTCGGCTTTTTAGTGAAGACTTCTTTTGCCACCTGTTCATGTTTACAATATTTATAGAAAATTCCATTTCCAACGCCGGTTATTCATTTTGGCTTTCATCTTCAATTTACTATTATTTCCAAAAAATTTTTAAATATTCTATAATTTCTTTAATTGATTGGTTTTTGGTAAGCTAATCAATTGCCATAGTTACACGATACATGCCTTTAGCAAATGTTAAGAAATTGCCCAGTTAAATTCTAATAACAACAAAAATCTTATTAAGTATTTATCTCAAAAGCTTATAACTGAGAAATGGTAATACCAGCCTGTATTTTGTTTGCTTGTGAAATGTGCTGTTTTTCTTCTGCCTTCGGTTTTAGATGGAGTTTATTTAAAGTTTGAACGTGTATTTGAACTAAAGATGACACTGCTCTGCCGGTGAAAGCGTTTTTGCCGCTTTTTTCGCGTTGACCTGTCGCAAAATCCGTTGTATGCTTTTGTCTTAAAGTTTGTTTTCTGAACTTTGTTTCGGTCGGTTTTATGTCATTTGAGAGTGAAACGCATAATGATTTTGAACAACGTTGTTGGACATTTACACCGCTCGATCGCGCATCTTCAGAAAAAGATGTTATGTCAGTCAGACTTTTGCTTTTACGCATAAACTTTCCCTTCAATGAGTGACGGTATATCTCTTTTTCTTTCACTGTGTTGGTTGACACATTTGACTGCTCAGCAATTGTAAACAATCGTAGATCTGTATGAATAGTATGATGTCTTCTTCTAAATCGTTTACTTTTTGACCATTTTGTGTTCCGTTTAATTTCTGTGTAAATGTTGCGATTTTGTGTCCCTATATCTTGCTCTTGTAAGGAAACTGATAAAGGTTTGCTTGATAACTGTTTTCCATAATACCCATTCATATCTTCCAGACTGTTTTCAGCTTCTTTGCTTCTTTCGTTGCATTCATTTCGTTTTAAATAAGAAGATATAAATGCACTTTCAACTGAGTAATTTATTAAACTTTTTTCATAAGATGCATCGTTTTTATCATCAGACCATATCCGCATCGGAGCAGGTGTTTGACAATTCTTTGATAGCATTTGTTCCTCACAAATCTTATCTTCAGCATCGAGATAATCGTTTTGTAAATGCTCTTGTAATCCAGTCTCTCTTTCAATTTTTTTATGAGGCGACGAGACAACAGAAAAGCAATGGTGAAATGGTTTGGCATTTGTTACCGAGGCTCTCGTCCACCTATGGCTGTCTTTGAAGTCATTTGAGGCTGTTTTGCTTTTAAAAGACATAGGCAGACTTTTCTGTCGCAGCTTCTTCTGCTCACTTGAATTTTGGTTCAGTGTAGATAAACACGACAAATAATTTTCCGAATAAGATGACCACGAATGGGAAAATCTTGTTGATTTTCCCATTGTAGATTGCCGCCTTATTTTTCGTCTCGTAGTGGTAGCGCTATCTTGATTGAAATCATCGTCAACTGATATCCATACCTTTTGACTAGTTTCTTTAAGCTTCTTCTTTTGTAATGATGACATCTTACAAACATATCGTTACTAATACAAGAGTAGAAAAAAACAATTCCTGGTTTAGGTGATTATACAATGGTTTGAACGAAATACATTTGCAATTTAAGACAACTTTATATGATACAAACCACAAGTTTTTGGTTAGCGTCAGCTTCCAATATCAATATAGAATTATACGTTACTCAGGTGTTACTTGAATATGAATGCAGATGGTTTTATGCAAAGCATGAACACAAGAAATATAAAGTTTTTGTATGTGTTGTGCATAAATATTGTATCATGCATCATAATTACTGTGAAACCACGAGCGCGGTCTAGTGGTTTATAGCATGTTGTCAATTAGCCTTTGTCAATAATCAAAGTGGCGACTACTTTTTGAAGAAGTCCTTGAAGTATAGTACTGCATTATTTAGCAAAAATTGAAACTGAATTTTCTCAATTGTTATAATGAGTAAACTTGTTTGAAGCCAGTTGCCGTGGCCGGGCACAGTTGTACTAAGACACACACACATCTTTTTCGTGTATCAGTTTCTGAGCATCAAACATTTGTTCGTAAGACATATAGCAAGGAGCTCGTCAAAGAAGTATTGTTTTACTACATTTAATTTTTCTAGTTTTCGTATCGTTACAGTTGAGCACGTGTTGTTACATTTACTTTACTGTTCCTTTCATGCAAGTAGGCTATGTCCATTTTTTAACACTATATGTTTACATGATTTGATTATCTTTGAAACAAACTTTCTTGTCTTGTGAATACTTTCTATACTTGTTGGCAAACAATTTAGTATCAGACATTCGTCAGTTTTTTTTAATTGAATATTTTACAGAACTCATTTAGTTTTCTTCATTGGGTGTCCTCACGATCGCAGATGGGCGAATGTTCAAATTTTAAAATGCATTTTCATCCACTTAATTCGTCCATGATAGCGTAGCACAGAGATTGCGAAAAAATAGCCACACCAAAAAAGACATAGAAGGCGCCAATGGTAAGAAATGCAAATTTTTTGAACGTTGTTTGTGATTGTTCAAAATACAAGATGCCTTGAATCAGAAACAAACCTAAAAAATGAATTTGTTGAAAAGTTATTTATAATTGCTGAAAGAACCAGAACGGAATGGAATAATTAAGTTAAAATATTCCTGAAGTCATCTTTATTATATTTATCATTAATAGTACTTTAATTCAGTCAACACTCCATGCAGTCAAAGCAAAGAACGCCTGTGTGGACTCCTCTCAAAAAGTATATGATTTCATCCGGTAGAAATGAATTTTGTGGATTATATCTCTCTATATTGTGTTTATTAAATGGTGGTTACCCATATTTTGTCGAAGGTAGACCATTCACTAAAATATTTAAAATCTAAGTTTACCATGCTTCCAGATTGATATAAAAAAAAACACTACTGTGGGGTAATGTATTGATTCACCACTCACAGAACAGGCTTTATATAAGAAAACATTAAACTTGTCTGTGAATTTAAAGCAAGATTCTATACTGACATATACATATACTACCTTTCAAAAATCTTTCAAAATCTCGCATTTTCATATACTACCTGGAAAAGATATCACAATTCTACCTGGAAAAGTGAACATAAAATGGGCGGCAACTCCACCAAAAAACTGAAGAGCCTTTCCAATATTTGGAAATAACAACGCCAAGCCAAGTGAGGAAAAAAACCAAAACACAGAAACGACAACACGTCGCCGAGGTTTATGATTTTCAGCTGGTGTCAGTCGACGAAATCTGCCCCAAAGACCCATCAAGGCATACCTTAACAATGTAAGGTGGTTGTAAATATCCTATACGGACAAGTTTTAAATATAGGGCTGTTACATTCAGATTGCTACATGCATACTTTTCTCGTGATCTTTAAACATCCTTTCCACAAAGCTTTGTTAGTAAATTTGATGTAGTCATGATACTTAATCTCGGCCAGTTGAAGAAAGTTTAGCTTCATTTTAAATAATATAACCTTAACATTTTTAATGCAATTTAATAGAGGCCACGAAAAAGACAGCGGTATAAGCCTACCTTCCAACAAATAGATAAATGGCAAAGCTTGTAATCATTATAAGCACAATGAACGCACGTGCCAATGTTGCAAAAACATCACGCGGATCGTAGTTTAACAAAATATCACTTTTGACTGAGTAGCCAAATGTCATGAAACCGTAATAGCCCGCTACAGCATAGACTGTAAAAGATATCATTGATGATAATAAGTTGACCATTGAACAACGTTTTAGATTCGACTGGCGCACCTCGCCATACACAGAGGCTGACGGTATGTGGCACTATAATGTAAATGTTTAAAAGAAAAATATTATCTTAAAATAACATGTAAGATTCAATGTTTTCACACGCACGTACTTACCTGTAAGCCAAAGCAGATGATTGGTAAAGCTCCTTGGATATTAGACCAATTGTACGGTGACGACGATCTATAAAACAAATTTTTTCATAAATCGCAGTTATGCTAAATAAAATTTTAATGGCAATTTTTCAAATACAGAGTGTTTAGCAAATCAAACGCAGCAATAATATCTAGCTTACCCGATGAACGTGTATTTTTCCGAGTAAAATTTTGACGAGATTGTCACCGAAATAAAAACGGCAGCAAAGCCACCTAAGATGCTGAAAAATTTGAAGTCTCCATCATTTCAATGATATCATATGACCAAATAATTAGCCATTACCTGGAGTAACTGAGAATTTTCAATTGTTTTGGAATGCATAAAGGCAATATACAAACACATGCAATGAGAGTCATCAAGATTTTTCTGTCGATGTACCAATCTGAGGTGTTTGTGACTAAAAAATAAAACAACAAATCTCACAGTGATTTTACATTAAAGATCTAGTTAGGGAAAGTAAAATAGAATTCAATTTATTGAAAAACAAAGCTACTTTGTTATATAGTATTTATAAGTTTCACGTTGTGATTGGTCGTTATACACCTTTCAAAAGGACGTTGGTCGAAAAGCGAAGATTACATGAATCAACACAACGTTCTTCTCGCTTTATTTAAAACATGATTTTAGGAAGTTGAAAATTGGAAGAAGAGATTAAGATAGTTGAATCAGCAAAATGTTCCAGAAAATGTTGCATAATTTAAGCTTAACCATAGCATAAACTCTTTTCAATTTTGTATTGCGCAAATTGTTCACGTACGGGCAAATATTTTGGCACATTTTAATTGATTTGTTAAATGAAAAACCTACAAGCAACAATTTTGGTCAATTGATCACCAATAATCACCAAGTACGTCACATCCGAACCAAAAGAGTGTATAATCAAAAATATTTGACTTATGATCCACATGACTGGTCCACAGAAAACATGAACAGTCTCGTCATAGCTCTTGGTGTCATTCAATTGTCGGCAATAAGCAATTATCGTCAATGAGCCACACGAGATTAAGGAAAACACCTGTCAAGTCAAAACAGATTCAAGGTTCATGATACAAGCATTAATGTTGAAATTTCTATATCGGTATTTTTTTAACTCACTGCGTGAGGTAAGCTTGAAAACAAATACAAGCCATTCCGGAAAAAGGTTTTGGTGCCTGCTTTTATTAAGTCATTAAATTCATGTTTATTTTTTTCACTTTTAATTTACTACAAAAATAAACTGGTGCCTTCCAAATAGCAGCTAGAACAGTGTTAATAAAACGGAGTTGGTGGTTGTTATTGCGCTTGTTGAGAAAACGATTGTCTTAAATTTTTTTGGCAAGAAAATGACCTGTCTTCTTTTTCATTTTTTTGTTACAATTCTACCACAATTAAATAAACGCTTTTTGTTACAAACTCAAGTGTTTCTCGTAAAGCAAATGTTGCAAACAACGTTGCTAGTCTTGACTAAGTATTAAATTAAAACTTGCCAACAAAAGATATCACTTCACTGTCTTTAAAGTTTTACCAAACGCCTTTTAAAAAATCAAATTTCAGGTTAAAATATTTGCTCGACCCTCACATTTGAAAATCAAAAAAACTGCTGTTATTTTGTTTGTTTACTAAAAACATCTCAAGCAACTTGCTGGCCCTGTGACAAATTAGTTCAAGTTTTCACACATTTATACGTAAAACACGCAGTATTATGTAATAAATATGGACTTTGATCCTGCAACGGAGCCCGCAACTAAATTAACTCTTTGCCATAAGGAGATCACCTTGTGAACACGAACTACGTTGATTTTGACTTTGATCTCTTATACGTAATTAAGCTACGTTTTAATTTCATTACATCCATCGCAATAATCGCATGACTATAAACTTGTTGCAACATTAGGCATTTTATGGCGCAAAAACACGTTTTGTATTACAAGTAAAATGTTTTAATTTTGAGAAACACAAAAAAAATAATTTGCGACCACACGCCTAATTTCCAGGTAGTCGCTTTTCCAGTTATCATTTTTGTTTATATTAAATCCTCTTTGCCTTTGCTTGTCATTGTTGTCAAAATTACTTTTCAAACTATAAATGCAAGGAATTTTATATATAGATACCATTAACTATTAAATTTATGCAATGAACACTACGCAGATAAATAGATACCAACTGTACATACACAAAAGTACATTGTTTACTTGGTTCCATACTGTTCAATATATTAATATTTACCACATTATACGTTAATTGTGGCTAAATGAAAATGTTTGAAAGAGAACTGAATAAAGGCATGAAAATATGCGTTTAAAGGCAAGAGATGTTATAGGCTTTTCTATACCTACCGCTTGTAGTAGAAGTCCTTGTACAGCACCTCCAGCATAGCTATAAGCTATAGGAAAACTTAACAAGCCTGCACCTAAAGTTGAATTCACCATTAAAAACATCGCCTGCGGTATTGAAAGAAGTTGCGCGTTTTTGCTCTCCTCAGAATCACTCAAATTAATCTCATACGCTTTTTCATTGACGAAAAGACTATTTCCACCACTTTGATACGAGCGATTTTTCTTTGCTTCATTGGAAACATCATTAAGATAGGATATACTTTGCGATGCAATCGTCATTATCGAGTCTTGAGTCGCGCTACTGATGCAAAATGTATAACAGGAAAATGAAACAAGCAGTTTTTATTCATCTGTGACGCAGGAAAATACATTCCGATAAGAAGTCTATCAAACTCGTTAAAACGTGGCAGGCGATCTAAATTTAGGACAATGCTCTTTGGCCAATTAATAATTGTCAAGAACTCACGAGAGTGGATGAACGTTGTTTTGTCGTAATTTATGTATCATGATTTGTTCATGCGTTTTTACAAAATTTCTTTATCAAAGGTTCAAAAGACACAACAACAGGTCAAAAGTGCCTCAAAAAACTTTTAACACCTGCTCTTTGTTGATAAATTTACCTTCAAATAGGTGAAAAGCCATTCAATTGTTAAGATTATATACATTCAAAATCGTGGTGATTTGCGCAGTTGTTTACACTGTTGCGCAGCTGTTTTGAATTAAACATTGTGTAGCACTTAATTAACTGCCAAAAAAGATGCGATCAAGTCATCCCACAGTTAGTTAAGGCTACAAACATCAGTAATGGCATCAGTAATGGCTGATGCCAAGACATCAATAATGGCTGTTGTCAAGAACTAGGAAAGATTTGAGAGACCATTGGCATTTTGTTTTTATTGTTTGCTACTGATCAAGCCTATTTTATCGACACAGATTACACGAAAAAAGAATTCATAATTAAGGATTCTTTTGTTATTACTTATTTATTATTAAATAGAGACCATACATTATACAAGCACACAGCAGAATGAAAGCGAAAAAACAGATTACATGGATATGTCAAAAACGAAATTATATTCCAAGATGCTTTGCTGTAAAACTTATCTTGCACCAATGAAAGGAATGGCGTTTGCAGAAATAAAAATGATCGCTGTAACCAAAGAATGATGTTACAAAACATCAAAAAGAGCGAGGCCTCGCGTACCAATCCACCTTGATAGCCATTACGAAAACGCAAAGCTCTAGCAACCGTAGATGTCTGAAGAAGACATTGTATTATGTCTACGAATGACAGAGTAAACACATACTTTGGCAATATTGATATGTGTATTTGAGCTATAGATGCCATTAATGTAAATCCTTCATAGAACAGTACAGCTGTAACGGAAAAGAACAACATAAAATCTGGAGCACTGAAGTCAAACCATACATTTTTTTGACTCAATAAACCTTTGAGGATCAACCAACAAGAAATACATGCAGACAGTAAATATACGATTTTGGCAATATAAAATATGCTCACAGTAAACGGTGATATTTGTACGGACGTTATGATGATCACAGCAAGAAAAAACGAAGACAATATCAGGCAAAGTAAAAATCCCAAACCTAGACATCTTTTCATGGTGTCAAACCTGCTCTGTTGTATTAAAACGCCACCGTGTATTGTTCTGGGTGATTCGAGTACGTTCAACGGACTAGCAGATTTTTTTACATATTGCTCTAGTTGGAAAATGTTTTCGCCTTTCTCCAAGATAGGCGAGTTGACTGTGTTGATATCTGTAAGTTCGTCGTCTATGTAGATATCATCTGGTTTTGGATCCAGTTCTTTGAGATCACATAACAGTCTAAATATAGCGCCCAATGAAGATAATGGAAACTGCACAAGAAATGGGTACAAATATGGATAGCAATGGTTTAGCATGTTAGCAATACTTGACAAAGATGCAACTCGATTTTTTGGAATATCATGGAATGGTAATCTGTGGCATAAAAACATTACATTTGTTGACAAAAGATGAAATAGTGCCGTTCGAATGAATGAATCGTCTTGAAAACTTGCTTTTGAATATTTACGCAGAAAAATCATCTGCACAATTATAAACAAAACGCAAAGTATCGCTAAAATCAAGCTGATGATTTCAGTTCTTGTCTGGCAGAAGAAACTAATTTGTAGTACGCAGAGAAGAATGCTGCCTCCACCAAATATGTAAACGCCACAGATAAAAAATTCTTGATGGCAAACTGATGAATCTAGGAACTCAACTGTTGCCTTTGTTGGTGTTTTGACTGTGTAATACATCATCCATATCAATGATGGAACAATACAGGTCATCAAAAATCCACTTATTTGATCATTTGTAACCATATTCATCCTTGACTGACTCTCGCTTTGGATCCATCTTGAAAGATTTAAAACCACTCCTATCGTTGTCAAGCTGATTAGGTATAAAAGACTAAAGGTTCTCCCATCGCGGCGGGAGCTATTTGGGGAGAACGGGTGAAAAATTGAATAAAAACATAACGAACAAAAACTCAGAAAAAATGTTTTGCCTGTTTGTTTTCTTTTTGTTGTCATTCTTTGCTTCATTGGTTGAACATAAAAACATTTCACATTCAATAAATCGCTTGTTTATTAAGCTTGAAATAATAAACAAGCATTAAATATACGTTCGACAAATGCTTTTGTTGACACGGTTCTTGATGAAAACAGGTGGAATTTTGGTGTAGACTGGTGCTGAACTCATTCTTTTCACTAGCGTAACTTCACTGGCGGATGGCGAGTAGTGACATGTTATGTGACAAATAAACATGTCCGGTCCGTTAACTCTTAAATTTTTCCAACTTGTGAGTTTGAAAATTTAATTGTTTGAAATGAAAATCGGGACCCAGTGAGGGTCACGACAAAAGATTTATTATTATACAAACACTTATATTTCAAAAAGAAAGCGTATTTAGCATAGATTCCTATAATGTAACAAAGTGGCTTAATGTGCTAACTGTACGTATGTATAAGTAACCATGAAAAAAGTGTGAACAATTTCAATATGTGTCTATAAAGACTTACTATTTGCTACTTTTCTTTATTCTTTGCCCATAAGGTATGAGTCAAACAAACGCTTTTCGACATTTTTTGTTTTCTATTGTTAGATTTATTAGATGTTTTCTTTGAAAAGTCAACTAACGTGAAGGAAAAAGAGTTTGGTCTTTGGATGAATTGAAAAGCTCGTTTTAGACTTCTAAGTTTCTTTTCATTGAGTCGCAGTGTCATAAAGATAAACTTGACGCTGAAAAAGATCAAAGGAAGAAATCAAAATGTCTGTGATGATGGAGATGAGTCTCCTGATTTGATGCATATTCCTTTCAGAAACACTGCAAGAAATTCAAGAGTTCGGAATGAATCTGAGGTGTTGCAAATGCTTGGGAAAAGGAGGGTTTGTTTCAGTTGTTGAAGTAACTTTTTATTACATACATCGTTTAAATAAACGGTAATTTGGTTTTGTGAAAGAAATTTTGTACTTGATTTGGAAATGCAATATAAACGCTTGAGTACGTAATAAATTGGAAGGCTGTCTCTATGCGATTAAAAGAGTTCCTTTGAATTCGAAAAGTGTGCTGTTTAATCGCAAAATTAATCGAGAAGAGAAGTTACACAGTTTGAGAAGAATTTAATTGAAGCATTGCTTGGTTTATTTATTTTAAAAAGATAAAAATCGAAAGCAAAAAACCACGTTTTCGGTCCATGCTTCCAGATACCTTTTAAGCGCAAGGCACTAGAACGCTGCATGTTAACGTTTCGGTAGGAGATTTCTGCCCCTCCACGGTATCCTACTTGGGAGATGCAATAGCAAGCTTCCGCCCATCAGACCACGAGATCACCTGCAATAGGCTTTGCTCGGGTGCGCAGGGAGAGTGCGGTTGCGACCGAAGTCTGGGCCCCTAAGCCACTGCATACTATATCGCACCCAGCTTCCACTGCTAGTTGACATCTACTATATAATCTTTTAGCTTTATATATATATATACATAAACTCAGCAAATTTTTAATCGTATATTTTTGGCATGCTCTTTGTCCTCTTAATGTTTTGACAAATGCATATCAAACTCGTCAACACTTTGTTACGCCCCTCGTAATATCCGTGACATTGTTAGAGATGTTTTTATTTCCCTCCATAACTTTGTGTCTGCATATTTTGTGCATAAGCAATGCTCTAATATTTATGAAAGATATTATAATTCTTGAATTTAGGTAGAAGAAATTCTTGAAAATGAAACTTCCAACAGTGAAATAAAATCAAGCATGACAGAGGAAAAACAACGACGCCAGGTTGAAGATAGCTTGATGAAATTGACGAAGTTGAAGGCTTGAAGCACCTAGCGTACGCTCGAGAGTTTTAAATGAGGACTCGTGGACCAATGAAAACACGAATGATTGCAAGCATGTTGAAAACGATAAAACCTCTAGCGAGGACGAGGCTCAAATACAAAAAAATAACACCGAGTCTACTGAAGATATGTTCAAAAGAAATATCGATGAATAACATATACAGTTTGGAAGCTAGTTAGCTCACGTGGTCAACCTAAAAATACTCCTAATTTTTAAATATCTTTTACAATTCATTCTAAATCAAGCTGTTCAACATCAGAACGTCTACACGAATTTGTGTGTTGGTTATTGTTTTGAATACATGAACTTATAAAGACGCGAGATTCTGAGCTTATTCACAATAACAAATATTAAATTATAATTTCTCATTATTAAAAACATTAATGTGCACATATATTTGTAACTGTAAAGTGAAAATTATCCAAACTTGCAAACGTATCTATTATATACCAGAAATATTTTGACTTGTCACATGTCCAGCTGCCAGATTGAATTGAAAAAGATATGTATTTATATAGTGTTAACGTAAGAGGTAACACATAAAACCAATATAAAATTAAATGCTTTCAGAAATTTGCAAAAATTCTGTCCTCTAGTACGAACTAGGCTGCTTTGGTCGTTCGTTCCACTGGGTAGCTCCCATTGGTCGTTCTGGTGTTCTGGTCGTTCCCGATTCCCAACGTTGCTCTTTTTAGGGAAACTGGAAACTAGTCATTGAAGCAAAACTGCAAAAGAAGACAAAAGTAAGAACGAGGGAAGTTTGTATTTAGATTTGGTTGTACTTTAAGATGAAAAAAGACAATAATTAGTTGACCAAGGAGAAGTATTTAGAGTTTTATTGGTATGTTTCATTATTTTGTTTTACGACGAATGATATATTACATTCCTCTGTAAACTTGCGATCAAAAATACGTAATTTTCTCTGTTTATCAAGACATACATATCCTATCCGTATTGCTGTGTTAGAAATTTTGTTTCAATAAAGCATGTTCCTGTTCCCTATATCTATTGCTATTTCATATAATCTTTAAGGTAATAAAAATACTTGCTTTTATGAAGAAAGTCGTCAGTGGAAAACTGTCATCCAGCCATATTGTAGCTGGACAACTGTTTTGTGTTAGGGTGCATGATCATATCCAGAAACTTTGCACTAATTATAGTTAAAACAACAGTATGTATTTGCTTTTATTAATGTTATTGATACATTTGTATGTTATATAGGATAAACAAGTGTGTAAAAATGATGCCATCAAGAGATCCAGGCTTACAAAGACCTCCTCAATTTACTTATACTCCTGAGAATATGCAACGTCTGGGAAAGGTATGTAGTTTACTTTACAAACCTGAAATTTTCTGTAGATCATTGTGCTCATAAAACGATCTTGCAAACTATGCCTTTTTCTATAAGAAAATTTCAAAGTTGTGAATCATCGAAATTAATATATATATTAATGCACGACTTTACAATACAAATCATATATCAAAATGAAAAAACATGCATGTATGTATGGCATGTTTAAGGGAAATATCAAATGTAAAAAGGTTTTGTTTTTTATTACATTTCTAAGACAAATTATTTTCAAAATTTTTGTACCATCTAGAACAGTGGAAGCCAAGGGGGATCACGGTTCTCCGAGCTATCAATTTTTAGGGGTGTAGAAATCAATATAAGGCTTCCAATTTTGACATTGGTTGATAGAAATGCATTTAAAAGACTGAGTAAAAAGTGGGACTTATCATTTTAAAGGCTGTTACATATTTTGCTCTATCACCGTTTCCAATTGAATTACTACCACACACGTTTTCATTGAAACATTAAAATTGAAACAATTTATCAAACACAAAGTAAGTTGTTACTTTATCATGTCATCTTCATTTGCCTTGTATTTTCTTGTCTCTGGTTTGTCATGTATCAATGCAACTATTGTATTCATGTTTTACTTACCATAGGCAATATTGTATGCATAAATTATGAAGCTTTGTTGATTATTTAAAGAATTACTGTACAGCTTGTTGAGTTCGAGTTACTCGCCATATCTCTTTTCATAATATACTCTATACCTTCAGTAACAACCACGAGTGAACTTAATGATCGAACTGATTTTTATTATTTTACAGAGCAGTATTTATACTCTTTATTACAAATAGCAATTATTATTATTGGTCGGAATAGTTCCTCTATTTAAGCTATATGTGGTACATAAGGAAATTTAACTAACATCAATAACTGTTCCTTGGCTGTTAGCCGTGTGGGAACTGATACATTGATAAACTAAACTACACACATACTATTTCCTTAACATGTTTTTGTGGTTTATGAGCATGACTCAACACAGCTATACAACTAGGATGCATAATTTATTGAACTTTATAATGCAAAGTGTACTGATCTGTAAGTCTATAAATCTACAATAGCTCAAGGTCCCTGCCCCTTAAGCTAGGACAATGATGTATCCTCTTGGAAAATCTGCACCCTTCCTATCAAATGAGCATAGATTCACCTTTGTATTTGGCTATTGCTGTGACAACTAATGGTTGAAAAATGAAGACCTAGTGTTTTCTTGCATATTACATATTCAATGTGCAATATAGAATAAGTCATCTCCATTGCTTACAATAATTGGCATCTTGTATTTTTCTAAATCAGGCAATTCAATCTATGCAGGAGAAAGGAATGGAATCAGATCCTCGCTATAGTACTCTATTATCACTTGCACGTAATGCCCAGCAAATGCAGCATTTACCAGGATTCCCTAGTGACTCTAGTGGCAGCTCAAATATTAGCAATATGATGCCAGCATCTGGACAGATGGGACTAACTTCAACAAATGAAGGTTTCCTTGATGATGATGGTTCTTCTCTTCAAGGAAAGACCAATGGAGGACTTACTGCTGATCAAATTAATCAATTGCGCAGTCAAATTGTGGCGTACAAAATGCTCTCACATAATCAGCCTCTCACAGATCAAATCAAAATGGCAATTCAAAGTAAAGGTGGTACGCCATCACAGTTAGCCAGTGCTCAACCAACACAAGCAGAAATTTCAGGTACATAAATTGTTGGAATGATGTATTCTGATGCTAGTTTGAGTCAGGTGTAATGGAAACTACAGGTTTTACTAGGGCAAAAATGATGGTATTGTTGGAATGTCCAAATATATTAATTTTCACCAACTTCTTAAAGTTTCATCCAATCATAATACATACAATGTGTCTCACTTAGCTGTGTCTGAAAGCACAACCAAAGAATCTGGTATTTGGTGTGCATCATCAGGTAATGCAAGTACAAGCAGTTCTATTCCAACATCTCAACCACAAGGCAAAGAAGATGAACAGAAACCTCAGGTTTCTCAAGCTAGTCAGTCATCTGCAACTCAAAGCTCAACTAGACCTGCTACAGCTTCACAAATCTTAGCAACTATTCAAAATCCTGCTCGGTCTCGATTGGCTCCCGTTGCTAAACCAACAGGATTGGATCCAGTTGCCATACTGCGTGAAAGGAAAGCAGGTATTTGACATTCAAAGAAATTTATTAAATTTTTTTAAAAAACTGATCATCATGCTTCGTTTATATTCATTCAATTTCTTACAATTGATGGGAGGGAAAAACTTCACTCAGAAAGATACGTATAAATTTCTTTGAAGCATCCCTTAAAGATACGAAGAAATTTTGTTCCGTTTAAAAATACACCGTGTGTAGCAGTAACTAGTTATTTTATGTCTGGATATCAAATGTGCCATTTTTATGTCATTAACTTCACGTAAATTATCAAATTGGAAATATTGATGTTATTATGGTTATGCATACGTGAAAATTGTTATAGTATCGATATTTTTGTTTCTTTGGTTAATATTGGTACGTATCAACAATGTTGAGAAGTTATTGGTAGTAAAATAAAGACTTTTATTGTATATAATAAATAGAAACAGGAAAACAAGACTTTATAAACTTGTCTGTGACGTTTTTCTGGACAAAGATGTATCTGGATACATCTTTGTCCAGCTGCAACTTTTAAAGACTGCACCTTTGATAGATGGCGACTTTGCCAGGCTGCAAATTTGACAGACTGAATCTTTGACAGACTGAAGTTTTGACTGACTGAAGTTTTGACAGACTGAAGTTTTGACTGACTGAAGTTTTGACAGACTGAAGTTTTGACAGACTGCAAGTTTGAAAGACTGCAACCTTGCTAGAGTGCAACTTTTCCAGTCTGAAACTTTGACAGACTTCGACTTTGCAAAGCTGCAACTTATGATTTCAGCGCTTGCTATGGGCTAATTCTAAATTTGTAATTCCTTCTTCTTTTGTAGAATTCAAGCTCGTATAACTATGCGCATTCGTGAGTTGGAAGGTATTCCATTAAAGGCTTTGGCAGAGGATCTAAGACTGCAAGCAACCATCGAATTAAAAGCATTACGACTTTTAAACTTTCAAAAACAGGTTTGAGTCCATCTTATTGCAAAAAGATTGATTTAATGAACTTATTAGGATTAATTTGTTAAATGATGAAAACGTAGGTAGCTATTGGGTATATATCTGCACACACAAATGATTTGCTGAATTTTGATGATTTTGACAACAATGTACAATATTGTTGCTGTATATTTTAGTTACGTGCTGACGTTGTATCATCAACACGCCAAGACACGACTTTAGAAACTGCTCTAAACTCGAAGGCCTACAAACGAAACAAAAAACAATCTCTACGTGAAGCAAGGTATGAAAATTAAATTTCTCTCAGAGAACTGTAAAGAATGATGAACTTATGTACAAATACCTTTGTACAAATGAGCTCTGCACAGTTTAACTTTAAGCCCAAGAGATTCACTATAAATGTACATCCAAGATAAATTACTGTACCTTACCACCATATTTTTTAATAGTCCACTTTTTTTGCTTCCTCCTCCTATAACGCTCGCCATTTTTTGAGGCCTCTTTTACATTGTATAGTTTGCGAAACCTTTCCATTTTGTTCCAGCTCAGTTGTGGCACTTTTGGAACGAAATGGTTTTACAAAATAACCTCTTTATTTGGCTAAGAAAGCACTCGCTTGAAGGCGACAAAATTTGAAGAATGCGTCGAAATAATGTCGCTCCATTTTTGATAATTGTGCGCCCCAAACTAAAACTTCCTGCATTTGTATGATTACTGTAAAGTAGATGTGATAGCTTCGTTCAGCTGACTCTATCTTTGTAAATGTGCATGAGATCAATATCTTCGTAGGATAACGGAAAAACTGGAAAAGCAACAAAAGATTGAACAAGAACGTAAACGAAGATTGAAGCATCAAGATTATCTAAATTCGGTGATGGTTCATGCTCGCGAATTTCGAGAATTTCATCGAACAAATGTTTCTAAGATTGCCAAACTTAACAAAGCCGTGATGAATTATCATGCGAACAGCGACCGAGAGAGAAAGAAGGAGGAAGAGAGATTAGAAAAAGAAAGAATGAGAAGACTTATGGTACGGACTCATCATCTATCATTTTTGTTTAGAATAAGATCAGTTTTGTTGTTTGTGTATGACGTATCTGAAGATGATGATGAACTTTACGTACTTTTGGGATTAGTAGTTAGTCTTGGCTGCTTAGTAACTGTAAGGTCTGAGTACTTTCTCTTGAAAGCCTGGAAAATTATGGCTCAGAGTACTTCTCTTGATGGTATGGTAAATGTTGAGTCAGAGCTTCTTCTTATGAGGGCCTAGTAAATCGTAGGTCTGAACTCTTATGATAGCCTGGTAAATCGTGGTTCAGTACTTTTTTGATAGCCTGGCAGATCTTGGGTCAGAGCTCTTTCTTATGATAGCATGGAAAATCGTGGATCAAAGGTTTTTCTTATGATAGCCTGGGAAATTGTGGTTATTATGTCTTTGATAATCGTTTGTTTATTTTGACGATGATTTAACGTAGGAAGAAGACGAAGAAGGTTATCGCAAACTCATTGATCAAAAGAAAGACAGGCGTCTGGCATATCTTCTCGATCAGACAGATGAATACATCAGCAATTTGACTCAACTCGTAAAAAAGCACAGGAAAGATATCAAGAGAAAGAAAAGAGAGCATCGTAAAAAACGCGAGGAAGAAGTCGATGAAACAGGGGAAATTATTGAAAAAATGGATCCTGAAGATCACGTGGCCGTCGTCAATACGGAAACGGGTGAAATGTTGACCGGAAGTAATGCACCAACAGCTAGTCAGATTGAAGAATGGTTGGCGCAGAATCTTAAGTAAGTGTTCCTCAAGAAGTTCTTTCTTTTAAGTATGCCTTCCTTAAGTAGATTTTCAACTACTTCCACGGATTTCTTTGTTATCGTGGGAGAAGTAATAATCAGGGGGGGCATATTCATGTATGCATGTTATAATCCTTTTAAAACAATGGATTTCAAAGAAATTTAAATACAGCAGAACATGAATATATGAATATTCAACATTGAGTATGATTGCCAAATCATCGATATGTGCCTGCAATCATGTTACAACAATAGCACATTGTTATTATAGTTGTATAACTTCATCGCAGACTTAGAGTTTCGTACAATTGCAAAAATTACATTTTGCAGGATAATGGAACTATTCTTCAAGTAGGATTTCTCTTCATCATATTTTAGTTGTTTTCTCGAGGTTAAACAACCAGCAAATACTTATGATCTAGTAAACAGGCATTACTCCTCCTATGATGCATCGTCTTTGCTATTTATGGTATGGTAGATACATTGAACTGAGTATATAACTGGAATGCTGCCTTTCGATAAACATCCCTGTACTTACATGAAGCGAAATTTTATCCCAGACACGTGTGTGTGGCGGTAAAGCCCAGCATTTTAGCTTACTGTTGTAAGTGAACATTCCTTGGGCCGTGCGTGGAAGGATTATGTCTATTTGAATTGCTGACTTCAAATTTCGGCGGAAAGTAGCCTTCCAGTTATATTCAGTTCAGTGGGTAGATACTTATGTGTTTATTTTTGCCTAGCTATCAAGTTGCACCACGTCAAGAAGATTCTGACAATGAAGATGATGTCGATGAAGAAGATGAGGAAGAAGAAGAAGAGGGCGGTGAAAGTGTTAAGAAAAATAATGAAGATAAAACTGAGGAAGAGAGAAGAAAAGAAGAATACGGAGCTGAAGATGATATCGAGTACGAATTTAGTTTATTTATTGTGAACACGGAAGTAAACTGTTCTCACCCGGAAGTAAACTGTTCTCACCCGGAAGTAAACTGTTCTCACCCGGAAGTAAACTGTTCTCACCGTATGAACTGTGATCGAGTAGGAATTGGAAGAGTCTTGCCTCAAATTTGAGTGAAATATTTTTTTATCTTAGGAGTACAACGGTTTATGAAAGTAAAAATTACTACAACATTGCTCATGAGCTTAAAGAAGATGTGAAACAACAACCAAGTATTTTGGTTGGAGGAACACTTAAGGAATATCAGGTAAACGTATTCTCTTTTATCCTTAACAAATGTCATTTATTATATTTGATCAATTCCAAGTACATCTTAGATTACTTTTGAAAGAATTTTTTATAAATTGAAAGTAGAAACTTTTCATTAAATTGATAAAATAAGTCAAAGTCGTGCCACAGTATAGGAATATACAGTAGGGCTACTTTGCTATGCGACTGGCTGCTGTATACCTCCGAAACTGCGTAAAAGCACTATTGATATTGCGCATTTAATAAAAACGACAAGTTTTTTTAAAATGAACATGTTTCAACATCTCATGATGCCATCTTCTGTATTATAAGGAATATTATGTATGTGATGAATATATATATATCATGTACAAAGTGTATATACAATATGCCCTCCCGGCTATCACCACAGTGCAATGGTGACTCCTGCACTTGGTTACACATTGTATGGATTGTATTGTAGAGTCACCAGAGTGCTCAAACCTATAAAGGTGAGCTTTGCATATCGCGAATATATATATCATAAGTGTATAAATTGTATCACAGTATCATATTACTCTTATATATATTCATCACATACATAATATTCCTTATAATACTGAAGATGGCATCATGAGATGTTGAAACATGTTTATTTTAAAGAAACTTGTCGTTTTTATTAAATGCTGTATATTTAATTAGTTTAATGGCTGCCGTTTGCCATATCGTCAATCCTATTGGTCACACAATGCAGTTTACTGGCTGCCAATATGGTAATCAAATGCGTAATAAGATATGCGTGGCACGAAAACATTCAATGGAGTTGCCCTGCTCTATGTTCTCTATACTGTGATTGTGTTTTAATTGCCATCCATGAATAGCCTTATGAACACCATCTTTTTATTTTGGAACTTAAACATATGCGCAAGCACGGGTGTCAATCATTTTCAAAAGAAATTAGCCAGGTATTGCTGAAAACATGAATATGGTCCCTCCCCCCCCCCATACACACACAATTAACGATAGATGGACGCCAATGTCTGCTAGACATGCACTGATGTGTTTTCATGTGACGTAAAAGCGGCTATGTTGGTAGGTTTCTTCCACAGGCTCATGCTCATCAGAGAATGAAATCAACATAAATTCTTTTTCATTATATGTGTTTTTGTATTTGGATACACTCTATATGCTCAAGTCGATGTATTTAAATACGTTTGAGATGTTTTCTTCTTCATGACGTGTATATCTCGTAATTTTTCGTATGCCATTGTATTTTCAGCTGAGTGGTTTGGAGTGGATGGTATCTTTACACAATAACAACTTAAATGGTATACTTGCTGATGAGATGGGACTGGGAAAGACCATTCAAACCATCGCTTTACTTTCTTATTTACTTGAAAAGAAGAAAATTATGGGACCATTTTTGGTCATTGTGCCTTTGTCGTACGTCCTTGCTAATTTTGCATACAATAATTTCAAACATAAAGCTGATATTGTTTTCGGTTTAGGACGTTGTCTAACTGGACGTTGGAGTTTGGAAAATGGTGTCCATCAATTATTTCCATCTGTTATAAGGTAAATATGCAATCGTTTGCACAATCGTGATTCTTCCTTTTGCTGGTAATTTTCCTGACAATTATTTCCATTTGTTAAAAGTTACTTGTATATTCATTCAATGTTTGCCATTTTGACGTTATTGTGATGACATATTTACTCATTGAAAGAATTGCTTTGGTTGCTTGATTAATTGTATTACCTTTACTTGTACATTTTAAGGGCTCACCTAATTGTCGACGATCCCTCGCCAACCAAATAAGGACTGGAAAATTTAACGTTGTTCTTACGACATATGAATACGTTATGAAAGATAAAGCCGTTCTTGCTAAGGTATATCGTAAAAATTGTATTTCTACTGTTTTGTATTCCATACAAGCATTTATATTATAATTTTAGTCGATAAAAGAAACTGTTGATGAATTCAATCAGCAGTTAGAAAGATTGCTTAAGAATGCATTCATCAAGCTATTCTTCGTTTTCTTATCAGCTCATTTAAAACGTTCAATGACTTTTATGCGGTAAAATATGCTTTATAAAATTAGTTTTTGTTTCAATAGAAACTCAGAATTTTGATCGATGGAAATGACGGACAACGCTTCTATTGTGTTCTCCAGGCATTTTAAAGATAAAATTTAGCAGTCTCCAACTTCTGCCATTAAATCAATGCGTTGAATATCATGAAATTGTTTCCTTTACTAGATTGCCGCTAAGAGCATGTTGAACTTTGCTATTTCACTACTGACTTCTGCTCACTTTTATTACGTTGCGCGAAATAAACAAAGCACAAAATCACAACAGATATTTCAACGAGCCTATAAAGTACTGGCAATAAAATTTTAAATCATCGTACTCCAAGCAGACTGTCTTGACTTTCCCAGTGAATTGTGTTCTACCACTATCATATGCATATTGTAGATATGATGCAAGATATATATTTTTTCACCCAACAGGTTCGTTGGAAATACATGATAATTGACGAAGGTCACAGAATGAAAAATCATCATTGTAAATTGACACAAATTTTAAATACGTATTACTCAGCTCCTCATCGCCTTCTTTTGACTGGAACACCTTTACAGGTTGGAATTTTTCCTCTCTTTTTTTTATTACTGTATTAAACTGTACTTTTTTTTATTTATTTTAAGAAGTCCTGCAAGAGTTACATATAGCTGTATACAATAAAAATAGTAAAACGCGTGCAGTGATTGGTCTACAGCCGTAATTTCATTAGCCTGTACAAATCATATCTGAGCTCAAGCAATCAAAACAATCAATCAGTCAAAGAGAATTTGCAAATTGATCATGAATACATTTTATAGGAAAAATTAAAATGTTTGTTTTAAATTTGTCTATTTCGCATTATTGTTATTTTATAAAAGAAATAAAAGATATTTTTCGTGCTTGCACTGGCTTATGCAGACCTCAGAGACGTTTGTGAGAACTCTAGAGCAGTTGCAACTCTGAGCACTCGACCTTCGGTTTCGGGCTTGCACTAATCTGCTCTTGAGTTCTCCCAAAGGTCTCCTCGGTTTACATAAGCTTGTGCAAACACACTAATCATCTTTTATTTCTCAAACGATGTTTTACTCATCCATTTGTTCTGTGCCTGTGCCAAAAAATACTGTGACGTTTTGTTTAGGACTGCGTACCGCGGAAGGTCGATAATTGGGGGAAGGGGGGGGGTGTGATTTATTCATATTTTGCTTTATTAGTTTCTATCAAAAGCAATCATGATTACGGATGCATGAATATGAGCCCTCCCCCCAATTGTGGATGTTCCTCAATCTCTGGAATATAAATCATATAGCATATTTTGTTGTTAAGAAAACCATATGACGTATTTTGTTGTTAAGAAAGTCATATGACGTATTTTGTTGTTAAGAAAGTCATATGACGTATTTTGTTGTTAAGAAAGTCATATGACGTATTTTGTTGTTAAGAAAGCCATTTGACGTATTTTGTTGTTAAGAAAGCCATTTGACGTATTTTGTTGTTAAGAAAGCCATTTGACGTATTTGTTGTTAAGAAAGTCATAGGACATATTTTGCTGTTAAGAAAGCCATATGACGTATTTTGTTGTGAAGAAAGTCGTATAACGTATTTTTTGTTAAGAAAGTCCTATAACGTATTTTGTTGTTAAGAAAGTCGTCGTATGACGTATTTTGTTGTTAAAAAAGTCATGTGACGTATTTTGTTGTTAAGAAAGTCCTATAACGTATTTTGTTGTTAAGAAAGTCGTATGACGTATTTTGTTGTTAAAAAAGTCATGTGACGTATTTTGTTGTTAAGAAAGTCGTATGACGTATTTGTTGTTAAAAAAATCATGTGACGTATTTTGTTGTTAGGAAAGTTTTATGACGCAAGGCTTGAGAAGCCACATTATGAGCAGGAGATAAAGAATTAGACGAATTCGTTCAAACAAGGTTTTATATAATTTCAGAACCGTCTTCCTGAGATGTGGGCTTTGCTTAACTTTTTGCTACCATCCATCTTTAAATCTTGTAACACATTTGATCAATGGTTTAATGCACCTTTTGCTATGACCGGGGAAAAGGTAGGAGAACTTTCCATCACAGTTTTCTATGATGTTGTATTTTACACAAAAGAATAATATTTTACACAAAAATCCTTTACAATGTAGACTTATTGTCTTTTTATGCATCTGTTCTATATGAAATTGTCTGATAGGTTGAGTTGAACGAGGAAGAAACATTGTTGATAATACGACGTCTGCACAAAGTAGGTTTTACTTCAAGATCTTGAGCATACAACGATGAATGATATTAATTTATCTTGCATTACCACTGTAGGTTTTACGTCCTTTCTTATTGCGTCGTTTGAAAAAAGAAGTTGAATCACAGTTGCCCGAGAAGGTTTTCTTTCATTGTCATAGTACATGCATGAATTGATGAGTTCATTCTCCCGCGATATTTACGTATATAACTTTATATTTTAGACGGAATATGTTATTAAATGCGATATGTCTGACCTACAGAAGCTTTTGTACCAACATATGTATAAGAAAGGAGTTCTTTTAACTGACGGCTCCGAGAAGGATAAAAAGGTATTTTTTATTAAACAATTTGAGTTTGTATTAAGTTGTCAATAAATTATTTTTTTGTAAAAAATCCACGTCATATGTATAATCAAATTTCTTATTAACTATCATGTTTATACTAGAAGAGTAGAACTCTTCATTTCCACATTTATGTTATCTGATATAATTCACGTTGGTTCTGCTTTTTATGATTCATACTCAATGAGTCAAGCCAATGGGCACTGTAATATTTCTACATGTGAAGTCACGTGGTTTTATCAAATCTAGATTTAACATAATGATTGTTTTTTTTGTGCGTTAGGGTCGTGGAGGTGCTAAAACATTGATGAATACTATCATGCAACTTAGGAAGATATGTAACCATCCATTTGTCTTTCAACATATTGAGGTCAGTTGTTCGTATTCTATATGTACAATAGTGTTGTGGCTATTATATTAATCTCGCTGACTAATGCTGATTTCAAGGAATTTATTTATTGTGCAACTGTAAATGTTTATTTTTATTACCTTTTTATTGCTACAGGAGTCTATGGCTGAACATTTAGGTTTCACTGGAGGACTGGTACAGGGGTAATTATGAAAGATGTGTTTGTGTAATATTCTTTTGACAAATAAACATATTGCATTGGTTTTGGTTGTGATGGAGGAGGTGGTGGGTAAGAGGAAAGGGTTATCAGTTGATTGGAGAAGGTGGTGGGCAAGAGGATGGGGTGATCAATTGATTTGAGAAGGTGTTGAATGTTAGGATGTGGTGAGGAGGGGGCTAGAGTGAGATAACAAAAGGTATAAACTAAAACACTGCGAAGAGCAATGATGATGATTGATGATTTTTCTGCATTTTTCACTAACTTTATAGACAAGAACTAGTGCGTTGTGCTGGCAAATTTGAACTTCTTGATCGTATTATGATGAAACTAATTCGCACTAAACACAAGTACGTTCGTAAAATTTTACATGTACATTTCTTTTGTTATTTTTGTTTTTTACTAGTACATAAAACTTATATGTGTTGATTACTATTATTATTGTTGTTTTTATATATTGATTGTTTATGTTATAGAGTTTTGTTATTTTGTCAAATGACATCCCTCATGACCGTAATGGAAGATTATTTCAACTATAAAGGTAGAAAATTATAGTTTCATAAAACATTTACATTGATCTACATGATATATTGTTGTCGAATGTCTCCAGCTTTTTGTAATTACTTATGATTTAGGTATCAGATACCTTCGTTTGGATGGAACAACGAAGGCAGAAGATCGTGGACATCTATTGCAATTATTCAATGCGCCCAATTCAATATATAATGTCTTTCTTCTGAGTACAAGAGCCGGAGGTCTGGGACTTAATCTACAAGTTGCTGACACTGTGGTTATTTTTGACAGTGATTGGAATCCTCACCAGGTAATTCTGTTCTATGATTCACTTATATAACTATACTTGTTGTTTATTTTACTAAATGTATGTATCAATTATATGTACAAAGTGTATATACAATGTGCCCTCCCGGCTATCACCCTATTAAAATGGTGACTCCTGCACTTGGGACACAGGATGGATTGTATTGTAGAGTCACTAGAGCGCTCAAACTTATAAAGGTGAGCTTTGCATTGCGCGAAAGCGGTGAACATCTCATAATAAGACTCTACACAATCTGAGAGCGCTCAAACTGCGCATGCGCAGCGAGCGTAATATCAATTATATGCATATATTATACAAGCCATCTAGGTGGGAACACAGTAATATATCCTCGAAAGTAAATGGTTTGAACCCGGGAGTATCGTTACATGTTTGTGGATGTAGATCGTCCAGGTAAGTAGAGTCCTGAGAAGGACTGTTTTTGTCGGTGTTGACTGACGTTTCGACAACCTTGACTATGAAGATGACTACAGCTAAGGTTGCCGAAACGTCAGTGAACACCAACAACAACAGTCCTTCTCAGGACTCTACTTACCTGGACGATCTACGTACATCCACAAACATGTAAATATATCCTCTCCTACTTATTCTTACTTGGATGCCTTTTAGATATAAGCTATATATGTATAATATATATAAGTAAGAATACAATATAATATCTTATAAGTCATAAATATAATTTCACCTTATGTAAGCATGTTCTTTATCAATAAAAACAACAGGATCAGCAAGCTCAGGATCGAGCCCATCGTATTGGTCAAACAAATGAAGTGAGAGTATTAAGATTGGTGACTGTTAACAGTGTAGAAGAAACCATCCTTGCTGCAGCTCGATATAAACTTAACATTGATGAAAAAGTAATATTAGGGGTTTTGTTGGTTTCATGTTTTTTTATCATTATGTGTTTGCTGCATGCATTCTGTCGTTGTAGGTCATCCAAGCAGGCATGTTTAATCAAAATTCAACATCAGGTGAACGGAGGGCTTTCCTTGAAGCATTGTTGGAAAACGATAAAGATGATGAAGAAGTAAGTTAAACATGGGTCCTTCATTGAGCAAATGTATACATATATATACCTTGAGTATGCGCCCTTTGTGGTTCATATGTGAACATATATATACCTTGAGGATGTGTCCTTTGTTGTGCATGTATGTACATATATATACTTTGAGGTTGTGTCCTGTGTTGTGCATATGTGTACACACATATACCTTGAGGTTGAGTCTTTAACTGCGCTTGTTTGTATTCGTTGAGACTGAGATGTATACATTAAAGTCATGTATGTAAACTTTTTTATGCTTCAGTTTTATTTTGTACTATTGGCTATCACAGAGGCATGCATTGGAAGTTGTAGTCTAAATAAAATACATAACAAATTTTGTGTTTTCATTAGGAGGAAAATGAAATCCCGGATGACGAGACTGTTAATCAGATGATTGCAAGAAATATTGAAGAATTTGATCTCTTTCAGGTGACAAACTGCGCTTTTCTATTTTAATTCATGACTACAATCCTAAGCCAGTAAAAAATGGTAGTAATTATTTAATTGTGTATCTTTAGAAAATGGACCATGAAAGGAAACTTCGGGTGAATTTATAAACATTTTTGCTCGTGTAGCTAAATCTGTTTGATTTTATGGTATAGTCGTGTGATTTAATAAATGGGAAATAATACATGTTATACTATCATCATGAGTAAGGCTTGGCATAAAAACACACTTGATGACAGATTATTGGACTTACTTACTGGTCGCTTGCCAAATTATCTTTAGCTATCCAATTTTTATACGTAGCTGCAGTTTACCTCATATTGCAAAGGTTGGCTTAATATAAAAAAATGTCTGTGGGTTTTTTATCCTTCTACAGATGGTCATAACGTACATACGTATACATCATGGGATATATGAAGACCACGTGCTATTATTCTTATGTAGTACATATTTTTGTGATTTAGGAAGTGAAGTGTGGTGGCAAGCCTCGATTGATGCGTCGTGATGAACTTCCTGGTTGGATCCTTAAAGATGACGCTGAGGTAGCTATACATCGAAAGAAATGTCGTGGTTGTTAAACTTTATTTCGTAATAATAGACACAAATTTTATGCCGCAATGATAGACACTTGATCGGGAAAATTATGAATGATTCGAGATAGTTTTATGAATATGAACCATCAAGTTTTAAAACTTTCATTCAATACAACCAGCTGGTTGAATGGCTTTCCATCGAATGCTTTTGAATGATATTATTGCACTTGAAATCACATTGTACACCATTGACTGACGAATCAAACTTTAACTCTTACTGTGAGTCCTCAATAACAATGACCCTCCCTTGGTACTGACCAATCAAACTTTAGTTTTTCTTGTCAGTCATTGTCCAATATGTAATCGTTCATGCGAAACAATCTACTTTTTAGGATGAACATTCGTTGCATTTTCACTTTTCACATAGGTTGAAAGACTAACCAATGAAGATGAAGAGGAAAAATTGTTTGGACGTGGTAGTCGTCAAAAAAAGACAGTGGATTATAGTGAACCATTAACCGAACGACAATGGCTTAAGGTTCGTGTTGTTGTTTTTTTAATGAATACAACCGTGTCACTTTCTGTTTATGAATATTTGTCCCCGAAAACACTTTAGCATGTTTAATACCTTCAGGCTATTGAAGATGGCTGTCTGGACGAAATGGAAGAAAGGAAAAAGACGAAAAAAGCCAGAAAACGTAAACGTCTAGAAGATGGTGGAGAAACTTCTGGTCAAAAGGTATAGAAAACTGTTGGTCTGAAGCTCTCCACTGAATTTTTTGTGCCACGTATGTCTTATTACGCATGTGATTACAATAGCAACAAATTAATAGTATTTTCTGACCAATGATAATGATGAGATGGTTAACTGCAGCCAGTAATCTAAGTAAATATACAGCAGCCAGTTGCACAGCGAATTATACCTACTATATATTCTTTAGGATGTGCTAAAAGCATGCTATTGGAACCTTTAAGATATATGTTTATAATAACGTGAACTTTATATGAGAATAAATAAAAGTTTTAATTTTTATTTTTATAAAGTCGTCCAAGAAAAAGCGAGGTCGACCGGCGGTTGATAGAGGTAATAGATTGAGTTTTTTTATGGACCGTGCATGAAGACGTTAAACCCTCTGTTGTTTATCTATAAGATAAAATTTTAATGATAACTATATTTATAGTTAAAATGCCGCCCATTCCTGCTGATTTAAAGAAAAAAATGAAAAAAATTGTGAAGTACATTGTTCATTATCGAGACGAGTAAGTTCTTCATTTCAAGTAGAAATCAATATGAAGTTGCATATCAACATTATTTTGTCCAAAAAATACGTCTATATACGCATTCAAAATGCTTATCCTCACATTTTATAAAATAGCATTTGGATATAACAGTTATTTAGTAGAAGAAAATATAATTCTTTAAACAATAAGTGGAATATCATCTTCAGGTTCGTAAGGTTTTGTAAAATGTTCAATGTATATTTTCTTTAGTGATGATCGCCCATTGGCTGACATCTTTACCGTACTACCTTCAAAGAAAGACCTTCCAGATTATTATCAAGTTATCAAACAACCCGTTGATATTAAAAAATTAAGGTGTGCTTACTTATTATTATAATTGAGATAAACGATTAAAACTCAGGTCTTTAAAGGACCGTCTCTAGAACTTCTTAAGTGGCAATACAGAACATATGAATTAACACCCACCCACCCTCCCTTCCTCAAATTAATGTTATAGGGACGGCCCTAGACATTCACGTTTAATCAAAACATTAAACTGCGTCTATGGGTTACCGTGTTAGTAGAAAAACTCGTTTGATGAAGTCAATTTTCATTCTTATCTGCACTGTTGAAAATAATCAGATATGGAAGTTGCTACAGCCAACACTATTTATTATTATAATCTTACGGCCAATGATAAAATGTATTTTCTATCTATTATTTTAATCACGATGATTAAATGATAACGAAATCTTTTTGTGATATTTATTATTTTGTTTTAAAAAGGAGCGAATCAACAGTCATCGCTATCGTTCCATGGATGATCTTCAAGCAGATTTTATGTTAATGTGTCGAAACGCTCAAACTTATAATATTGAAGGCTCCATCGTAAGTTCCTTATTCTATAGAAAGCTCCATTGTTAGTTGCTCAAACTTAAGATATTGAAGGCTCCATCGTAAGTTCTTTATACTATAGAAAGCTCCATTGTTATTTGCTCAAACTTCTAATATTCAAACGTTTAGTTAGTTTACAAGAGGAATTAAAAATAGACGATATTTTGATAGAAATTGTAAGAAAGTGTTGAGCGCGTGGATCATATATAATTTTGCATTTTAGCTGAAGGTTTTCCTCAGCTCGGTGAAAAGTTAAAATTGAAAATTGTAAAAATCACTTTACAGCAAAATGTTTGTTTGGTCCAGGCCGTTTCTTTTAAATGGAGTAGAATTTTGAATCATCTATGCTCGTTATTGCCCTCTCGTCCCCCATTTCCTTGTGTGATAAAACATGTTCTTACCCTCTCCTCTTCCGTTTCCTTGAATGATAAAACATGTTCTTACTCTCTCCTCTTCCGTTTCCTTGAATGATAAAACATGTTCTTACCTTACCCTACTCCGTTTCCTTGAATGATAAAACATGTTCTTACTCTCCTCCTCCGTTTCCATGTTCCTCCGTTTCTTTGAATGATAAAACATGTTCTTACTCTCCCCTCCTCCGTTTCCTTGAATGATAAAACATGTTCTTACCCTCTCCTCCTCCGTTTCCTTGTGTGATAAAACATGTCGTTACCTTACCCTCCTCCGTTTCCTTGAGTGATAAAACATGTTCTCGTGCGTTATTTTCTCACTCTATTAACATTGTTGATTTGTTGATTCGAGTTTTTTAACGTCTTTATTTTGCTTTTTTTTTGTAGATTTATGATGATTCGATCGCTTTACAGGCAAGGATGTTTTTATTCTGGAAATGCATGCAATTTTATTACGAAATTTGCTTCCAGTTTTCTATATTTTTGTACTGTCTGTGATCTTATTTGTCCGAGATTACATGAAGTATTTCCTTGCAAACGAACACTGTCCAAGTAATTGAAGTATTTTATTCACATCTTATGTTAATTATAACCTTTTTAGTCTCTATTCCTTCATGTCCGTGAGAAAGTTGAAATTGGAGAAGAACTGGTGATAAATAAATCAGTGGCCAGTGATAGAGAAGAAGAAGATGAAGATGAGGTGATGATTTTTTTCTGTAATTAGCTCATTGCTTTTCCAGTCTTACAAACAGAAAATCTGGATTTTCCCACAAATGTCACACACCCGAGACTTGTGTGTAATCATTAACCTGCAAATGTCACACACCCGAGACTTGTGTGTGCTCATTAACCTGCAAATGTCACACACCCGAGACTTGTGTGTGCTCATTAACCTGCAAATCTCTCACATTATTTGTGTATCAAAAGTATTCATCTAAAGTAGTTTGATAAATAGAAGATAGCAATTGAATTGAACAATTATTGTAAAGAGATCTGTGTTCGTTTGCCTAAGATGAAAAGTTATCAAAGACCAGCAGTTTGTACGTTATTTAGCACAAACCTACAGAAAAGTTTTATGTAATTTTTCGCACTATTATATGAACTTCGGCAGGGGCTAAAAGTTCATATTCAGCTCTGCCTACTGATTTCTTTTGAAATTATAATCGCTAACAAAACAAATTTGTCAAGCGTAGCTGAATATATGAAGATTCATACCCCCACATAACGTTCTAGTTTTGCCTCTGATTTCGAGTTATATTTCATATTCAGAAATGAGTTGTTTAACGTGTAGGAAATTAAATTTCAATCTTCTCTTGCATTTATCCAGGTCGAGGATCAAGGTGAAGAAGAAAGCGATGGTTCGGATGATGGTAAATATCAACAATGAAATACTAAACTTACTCTTCTCTACTAGTTTAAACGATCCATGTTGTGTAAAACGTAATTACCTTTGTATAAAACGCAATTACAGTTGTATAAAGCGTACTTACAATTGTATAAAACGTAATTACAGTTGATTAAGAACCAAGCAAATTATTTTTAAATTCATTTGACAAAAATATGTCTCTCCTCAGATGTTTTAATAACAAGAATTTTTTGACTTAACTTTCTCAAGTCAATTTGGCAAATGTGTTTTTTTTAAAAAACGGTTAGATTTTTCATGTGTGAAGCGGTTCGCTATTGTCACTTGTCACACTTACAACTATTCTGTTGCTTTACCAATGCAAACCTCTCAAATTAAAAGTACATATTTAATAACCTAGTAATAATTATGTATGATAATTATATTATATTATTATAATTAATTCACCATAGAAAATTGTTGATTTTTATTTGTTACAGTTCATGAAACGGCTTCATCAGACAAAAGTGTTAAACGTTAAACTGTGATTTGTAAATTGTTCATCCCGTTAAAAAATGATTTATTCCATTATATTTAATAAAATTAGTTGTTTATGTATAGCATTAAAGCAAAATCCGTTGAGTGTGTTTATTGGAGTTAAACCCAGTGAAAACTCAATGAAAACGAGTTTAACCACTGCTGAATAGTAAATACGTTATGTAAGAAGCACATAGTGAGCTTCAATACATTAAAATCAATCGTTTACCGAAGTTGAATTTTGTTCGCACTGAAAATTGCAGGTATGTTGTACCTGGTATATTGAATTGTTTTTTCCTTAATATCTATGTAGTTTATTAACCTTAGTTCATTGTTCATCATTTCATACTATAAAATAAACACAATATAACGCGTGCGATGATTGGTCTAGAGCCCTTTTTGCCTTAGCCTGTGCTCACCGATCTGAGCTCAACCAAATAAAATTAATTAATCAATTAAAGAGAATTTGATAATTAATCATGAATATATATTTAAGGAAATATCAAAGCGTTTGTTTTAAATTTCTCTGTTTCGCATTATTGTTATTTTATAAAAGAACATTTTTTGGAAAGTTTCAGAACAAACAGCGCAATCAAAACAGATTGGGTAAACTCTAATCTTTAATCCACGATTACCCTAAACAATCATGACCGCAGAATGACGTCTTATGCAAACCTTAGAGACGTTTGTGTGGTACCAAATGTAAAAAGCTCGATGACTTAAGCTTTCCAAAAATTAATATGCCTACTTGCAATGTGTTCTGATGTTCACGACAGGGATTTTTCAAAAAGATTTTTATTTAGATACGACATTGTCATCATTAAAAATGAGAATTAAGATAAACAAAGAGGAAAAGGTATATGGTTCTTTTACTAGCCAAATGTTTGAACTTGTCAATGTTGTACTGTATATGTACACAAAGACTATCTCTAACATTCATACTAGCCACATGTTTGAACTTGTCAATGTTGTACTGTATATGTACACAAAGACTATCTCTAACATTCATTCTCCTACATTCTTGAATAACCAAAATGTCGATAAAGACTATCGCTTGTGTTATAAAAGCTCATTCACAATCACTCAGTGCGGAAAAAATCGCGCTCTCGCTAATCAATGACAAAGTCATTTCTCCATCGATGACAAGATTTTTGGTAAAATATTTCAAGTCAAGCAATCAGTATAGAGAGAATGGCAATTATAAACAGTGGCGTAGTAAGCATCGATAAACTGGGGGAGCAATATTCCTGCGTCACTGGTTGTGAGGCGTAGCTAGCATCGATAAACTGGGGGGCAATATTCCTGCGTCACTGGTTGTGAGGCGTAATTAGCATCGATAAACTGGAGGGGGGCAATATTCCTGCGTCACTGGTTGTGAGGCGTAGCTAGCATCGATAAACTGAAGGGGGGCAATATTCCTGCGTCACTGGTTGTGAGGCGTAGCTAGCATCCATAAACTGGAGGGGGGCAATATTCCTGCGTCACTGGTTGTGAGGCGTAGCTAGCATCCATAAACTGGAGGGGGGCAATATTCCTGCGTCACTGGTTGTGAGGCGTAGCTAGCATCCATAAACTGGAGGGGGGCAATATTCCTGCGTCACTGGTTGTGAGGTGATTTTGAAGCCCCCTACAATGAGTGTGAGTGCATGAGTTTTTAAAATACAGACGTATATCTTACATATTCAAACTATGTCGTACTTTATGTAAGTAAAGACCATATCTTAAACATATATATAGGCCAAAAAGAAACAAGGTCATTTCAAAAAAGTGGGCGAAAGCGCTTCTCAACAGGAAGACAATTCTGAGGTACGTTAATTGACTGCGAAATTCTCCAAATTAATGCATTTCAAAATTTAATCATTTTCCTCTAACACATTCTCTTCTGAGTTTTTCTGCATACAAAATTTTAATCATTTCCCTTCTACACATTCTTTTCTAAGTTTTCCTGGTTACACAATTTAGTCATTTCTGTCCTAAACGTACGTTTCTCAGTTTTCATAGATACAAAATTTAATCTTTTCCCTCCTACACGTTCATTTCTTAGTTTTCATAGATATAAAATTTAATCATTTCAGTCCTGCACGTTCATTTCTGAGTTTTCATAGATATAAAATTTAATCATTTCCCTCCTACACGTTCGTTTCTGAGTTTTCATAGATACAAAATTTAATCTTTCCCTCCTACACGTTCATTTCTGAGTTTTCATAGATATAAAATTTAATCATTTCTCTCCTACACGTTCGTTTCTGGTTTTCATAGATACAAAATTTAATCTTTCCCCTTCTACACGTTCATTTCTGAGTTTTCATAGATACAAAATTTAATCATTTCTCTCTTACACGTTCGTTTCTGAGTTTTCATAGATACAAAATTTAATCTTTCCCCTCCTACACGTTCATTTCTGAGTTTTCATAGATACAAAATTTAATCATTTCAGTCCTGCACGTTCGTTTATGAGTTTTCATAGATACAAAATTTAATTATTTTCCTACACGTTCATTTCTGAGTTTTCATAGATACAAAATTTAATCATTTCTCCTTACACGTTCATTTCTGAGTTTTCATAGATACAAAATTTAATCTTTCCCTCCTACGTTCATTTCTGAGTTTTCATAGATACAAAATTTAATCATTTCAGTCCTGCACGTTCGTTTATGAGTTTTCATAGATACAAAATTTAATTATTTTCCTCCTACACGTTCATTTCTGAGTTTTCATAGATACAAAATTTAATCATTTCTCGCTTACACGTTCGTTTCTGAGTTTTCATAGATACAAAATTTAATCTTTCCCTCCTACACGTTCATTTCTGAGTTTTCATAGATACAAAATTTAATCATTTCAGTCCTGCACGTTCGTTTATGAGTTTTCATAGATACAAAATTTAATTATTTTCCTCCTACACGTTCATTTCTGAGTTTTCCTAGTTATAAAATTTAATCATTCCCCTCCTACACATTTGTTTCTGAGTTTTCCTAGTTACGCAATTAAGTCATTTCTGTCCTACACGTTCATTTCTGAGTTTTCCTAGTTATAAAATTTAACCTTTTCCTTCCTACACATTCGTTTCTAAATTTTCCTGGTTACAGAATATAATACTTTCCTCATGCTCTTGTTCATTTCTGACCAGCTCAGCTTAAAACATTAAATGGCATTTTTATATTCATATGTTGTAGATGGAATCCGCTGGCGAATCAGAAAGTTCTACATGACGAATATCTTACTGGTATGCGATAATCTTGTACGTGTGACGTGTGGAAGGTACTTTTGAAAAAAGCTTTTAATTTATATTATTACCGGAAATAAAAGATCATTGAAACATTTGGTAATCAATAATTTTGTTGTTGTATCGTGACTAAATATGGTGCTTACGTCATCAACAACAATGTGAAAGTGATTCCATTTTATGGCAACATTTGTTAACGTTTTTTCTATAACAATGTGGTTAGATCATTTTTATATTAATATATGATGGGTAAATACCTAGAGAAACAGTATTGCTACTTAGCAACTGAAAGTATTTGTATGACGTTCTTACAATACTAATTTACCACTTTAAACAAGACCTAGCCCTAGCTGCATGATACCTCGTTTTTTAACACTCTAATTGAATCAATATCCGTTCGGATTTTTCCATAATGTCATCACGATTTTTTATTTCTTTATGAATATGTTTTAATAACCTTCAAAGAAAATATAAGCGATGTCGATGATCGAGTGCATTGTGATCGTTCCAACGAGACCCCGCGCGCTGATGATCTAACTGTCCTTTGGCAGATAGTTGGTAACCTGTGTATAATGTGGTACTACTGTAGATAGCTGTTAGTTTTCACTCGTGTGGCACGTGATACAACTAGTGCAAGTCGGACAATTCTAGAGTAAACATCCAGCATTATGTCATGATGCTGTAAAAGTCTGGGAAATGCAACTTATTTCATGATATTCGTATATTTATGGGTCGCTCGATAAGCCTTTTCATTATGTAGTTTTTATTTAACCAAAGTTACAAGAAATATCAAACTAAACGAGATTTTTTTTCAATTTTAAATCGCAACACGTTACTCATGTGTCAGCACTTCGGTTTTTTATGCTTCCTCTTTGAGATAAGATTAGAAAGATAATTTCGTGTGCCAAAACATTGTTGATCATAAATTATATATCATCGTTAAAATAGGTAACTATATTGAATGCCAGTAGTATCGGGAATTAAGAACAAATTACCCCAGAATAAATCTTTGGTTTTTCATTTTAATCTCGAATTATGCTGAATTAACTATGAAATGATTATTTTAAAGCTCAGCTACTTGCGAGAAACATTTTTATTTTAGGAGTGGACTTGGAAGCAAATATGTAATATTGATAACATGTTCAATTAACATATATCTTTATTATTTTACTATTTATACTACCTATCACATTGTCATCTTATAAAATCGTTCAAGCACCATAATCCGTAATTTTAAGCTGCATTTTAGCGCATTAGCGTGACTTGAGTGTCAGCTTGTGTTGAAATCTCTTTGTAATAAACTGCTAATTTGTCACATTTTAAACAGTTTTGTATCTTTTTGTGTGTCTGATATACCGTATTTGTTTAATTTTGTATTCTGATAGTTTTTCGTTAGGTTTTTATCACTCTGTCTGTGTTTTAATTAGAAAGAAACACATGTTGCCGAAGTCTTGTTTTGATGACTCGGCATGGTCTGTTTTTCACACATGTTTTTTGTTTAAGATTAAAATCCTTTCGTGCAAAAATTTTTAGCTACATGTTGAATGTCATTACTAGTTGTATTGTTCACAGTCATGCTTCGCTTTGCCAAATGTTTTTTGTCACGCGACCTTTGGCATAAGTATATTAATCATAAACAAATATTCTTATAACTATGTTAAAAATGCATGAAATGAATACATGCTCGCGTATAAAACCACGACAAAAGTTGGTTCATCGACGTTTTGTTTTACAGTACATCAATTAACATGGTATTTTAGAGCAATGATTCTTTTTTTGGTCACTGAGACTTCTTGAGACAATGATAACAGTTTGCACACTCTATGCCAAGTAGACAAGAATTTAAAATCATCCTAATGCATTATTCTGGCCCATTCTACAAAAAAGCATGCCAAGACAGTTTGAATACTTTAGATTCCAAGTCAATTAAATGCTGCAAATTTCTCACACTTTTTCTTTCATGTGAAAAAAAATAATTCGACACAATATTTTCCCATGCTATTTTCCTGTGATTTCAATGAATCCTTGGTTAGATTGTAAAAAGACGCGGTAGTAAATTTATTCTCATTTAAATTATTTACGTACATCTGGTTATTTTGACAAGAGTCCTATATACTTTAAAGGAACACAACAACAATTCTATAAACTTTGCAATTTTATTAAGATAGTGGCATAACCTTGCGGGAGGTGTGTAGACTTATGTTTTGTTTTACTTTCGAGCACGTGACTATGGTTCTTCTCATTGTGAAATTTATAATATAAAAGATTTATATTTATGGTAGTTTGTTAGTTTGTGACGATATGGCTCATATAAATCAACACCATGCCCATTTAGCGACGTCTACAGAAGGTTTTTTACACTCCCTACACACACCGTTTGCTACGCCCAAAGACGTCTTCATCACTTATAAATGACATGTCTACTCTTGTATTGTTAATTGTTGAGTTTTTTTTGATGAAAACATATTCTTTTTCGATGATCAGACACCAAATATTTCTGAAGTTCATCTTTGCTCGTACGTTGTGTTAAATGCAACGTCTTACTGTCGAAGGGAAACGCTCGGTGATTCAATGTTTCGAACCAGTTTAATTTAATTGAGTCGAGAAAAAGAAATTTCATTGCAAATGAACTAAATCTTTTTAAACACGCAATATCATTTTGCTCAGGCTAATTATAAATACAAAGACAGCTTTCCCAATTTGGTTGAAACAATTTTCCCCCCTACGAAGGTGAATGAGCCGTAAAATTATTTTCCATTCATGAAATGTCATAAGATTTATGTGTGCGGCGATATGTGATTAAAAATTACACAACAGAAATGCGTTTATTGAACAATTGTTTAATTGATTAAAAAACATTGAGTTATAAACTATGGTTGTTTGCAAAATGAAATCAGCGAAATGTTTATATTTTCATCGACTTTCCATCAACATCTTAATTTAGCAACATTAACTTCCCGACAATATCGTAGGTAATGTCAGTGCCTATTTCTGAAAACACTGCCGTCATTTTTTCGCAGTTTTTTTTGTCATGTTACCAAACACGACCGAAATGTGCCATCTTGAGATTTTAAGGATTCTTGTTGTAAATAAAGCCAATTATAAAAGGGAGAGTTTTTAGTAAGTGCAACAGGATAAACAGTTATTGTCATTCACTTACTTTCGGAAACCTGAAAAGGAAATCTTTTTGATTTTAGTATTGATTGGTCACTTAACACTGTGTAAGTGAGTTGAACGCGCGACATTACTTTATATAGAGAATTTCATCGCGCCTCAATGATTATAGAGAGACTACTATTTATGTGCTTGTATAAAGAAAAGTTCGCGGCTTGACATTGTTCTTATTTGTAAAGTGGATGTTGCTAATTGTAATCAAGATTGTCTGTATAAAGGCAAGGGTGTCGATCCACGTCATAAATAATCTGATATCGTTGGATGAAATTTCAGTCGCTATTCCCTGTCCCATTGAAATTGTTGATTGAACTACTGTCATCGCTGGTTCTTCTCTTCTGACGCACTGCAATTGAACGAAAACGTTTTAAAGAGATATTATTCCACAAAAACATTCTTGTCGCATTTCATCGATTTCTTTTCTCAAGTTGAACACGAACTGAAACGACTACTAGTCACATCACAAGGTAAAAAATTTCATCCAAAACTTTACCTAAATTATAGCAATTTTTAATAATGTCCGATTTGTTGTGTTTGTGATCAAGGCTGTCCATTCAAGTACTGTTTGAATTCTTTTCGCGTGTATATAGATTAAGATAATCTCGGCAAAATGTTATCATTCAATACTTATTAATTGTGTAAAATTCCCCTTCCCAGTTTGCTAAAAATAAATTTGAGTGACCGTTCATCAGCCATGCGTTGCCAAATGTTTTAAGAAATTTCTTCATGTTTTTTGCTTCGATTCTTTGGTGAAATGAAATTCTTTAGCTTGCCATGTAATATTTGTAAGATTTTGCGTGTTTGATTTTGTGTTGTATTGCTAACTACCAAGTTTCCATTGAACATTATTTACACATAACTCAAAGGTTGTCTCCATGTTAAATTAACACATAACGTTTTAACCTCATCATTATTTAATGCCGACATTTAATTATGATTGATTTGGGTGCGTTTTTGCTTCTTGCAGTATTCAACTATGTTAAAGTCAAAATATCTATATGATTAAGACCACCGTACGGCTAACATTAACCTCATTGCTCGAAAGCATATCAAGACTAAACTTCAAATGCTTGCTCATGATAGCTTTTAACGATGCAATTTGTACATTCCACAAATAAATATGCGTAAATGACTGTGCATGAGGAAGAGTCTCGCTAACGCATTTATTTAGCTACAAGTGCTAACCAATATTGCGATGTTGTGGTTGCGAAGCAATTTTTTCATTCTCCGACATTTATAATCATTCTTAATCTTTTGTTAATTATAGTTAGTGTCAATACAAGGCGTTTTAGAAAATACTGGTGTTGAATAATCTGTTTTGTGACGTTGGTGGGCTTTCAAATTTTTTCAAACGAACTTGATACTTAAAATACAGCTTATTTCTCTATATATGTACTTGTTGATACTTCTGTGTATTTTATACAGCGAAAGTTTGCGCAATTATAGTTTAGTAACTTCATTCCATACTACGTTTATTGTCTGTTTAGAAAACCACACGAAGTATATACCCCTGGAGATTAATTCCTTAAAACAATAAATAAGATTGCTGGTTGACCCTGACTTGTCGCTGGAGCAAGTTTAAGTGTTGGCTGATACAAGTTTTTAGACTTGACCGTATCAATTACAATTTTTATGCATTTGCTTACAAATATTAATGTACGTTATGCACAAGTTGACAGTTTGTATTTCCATATAAGAACGAGTACAGAAGCTGTTGACGATGGAGTAAAATTTATGTGAGGAAGGAATACTTGATCAATATAGATTGGCATCAAAATAGGAAATGACAAGGACTTTATGTGCGTAATGAAATAACCAAGGGCCTTTCCATTTGTTAGAAAAATACGTCATAAATATTAAAATTTTCACTATTTTGCAAGAAGCAAAAATGTTTCGTGCATGACACTAAAAACAATTTTACCAATAAGCATGCCGATGAATTCATTCACGAAATTTTTTTGAAAAAGGTCATCATTAGTTCATTCGCAAAATTCAGGAGAAATTCTTATTTGATCGTGTCGAGACGTTTTTTGCATAGTTCTATGGCCATGTGATGAAACAGACCGACTGGAATTTCCTGAAAATTATTAATCTGACCCAACAGAAAGTTGAGTGATAGTTCCGTGTTTTGCAAATACACGAACTTGATCCCTAACTCTAAACTTGATCTCAAAAAGCTAGGCTTTCGCCAACATATTCGTTAGAAATTGAATGAAGGTCAACTTGCTTATTTTAAGCAGACATAATTATTCCCGAAACTTGGAATTGTTCCAACATAGCTAGTACTTGATTCTAATAATTTGCCTTTCGCATTCACAATGGCATTTCAAACGATTATAAGGAGCCATCTTCCTTTGCGTTTTCGTTGACAACACCTGTTTAATGTCTATATCGCTCACTGTACAATTTTATTATTTTTTTCTGATATTGAAAATGTTTTATTTTCCATGTGTGTCAATAAAGTCTCCACTCGCAGATTATTGACAACTCATTACCTATTTTGTCGAAGGAACGCTCCCTTGACCTATGTTGATTACAAAATAAAGAATGGCGTCTCGGCAATTAATTTAATTGCAAATCCTTTCCGAAATACATAAAAATTATGTTGAAACACGCCTTAAGGACGTTTTCAACCGCTCAAAAGCTGCGTGAAAACAAAACGAAGATATAAGAATTATGAAGCATAAGTCATCCTTGGCGTTTTTCCTGTATAACTTGTCCAATTCTTGTTTCTATTCTTTTTAGTTAATTAGTTTTTATTACAGTTGGAAATTTTACAAAATAGTGATCTTATCTCTTTACTTTTTTGAAAAAATGTCTACATTCTATCACGTGCAATGTTATATTCCTGTGTTTGAATTGATCTCGACAGGTAAAATGAACTTTAATCTCCATAGGTAGACTGAACATTTGATCATTTGACTTAAAAAAAAAATGTATCGCGTCAAAAACATATTGAATGGTGGTGATCGATCTCGTTGTGTTTGCATGTTTTCCTCGCTAAGCTTTTACCTTTTTTTTTAATGTTTTTATGTTTTCCTCTACTATGGGCATTAACCATATGTCGATTTAGAAACTTCGATAGTCATTAGGCAAAAATTTCGACATACGTAGCTATGTGTTAGTGCTGCAAATAATCAACAATGTGGCTATTTTTGCCTCACAGTTGTTTTCGAAATACTGCGTGGCTGTTAATTATCATTAACCTGTAAAATGGCACGAACCTTACCGTATGTAATGATGCTATGACTATATATGTTAACTGCTTCTCCTTTCATTCGACTCACATGCTGTTTTGTAAATTATCTCTTCATTATGATAACGAGCTACAAGTGTGGATTTTTGTTTGTCGGTAGCCATTTCGTGCATGCTTTTTAATTGCTTTTTTCAACAATAAAAAACCCATTTTTTAACCTCACCAACGTACATAAGATCTGTAGCTTTATAGTGATGTAGTTGATCATCGATTTAGAGAAGCCCTTTCAAAAACCAGAGGTAGACAGATGACTGTGGGTATAAAGTTCAAAATCAATATCATACAAATAATAAGTTTTTATGAAAAAGAGAAAGTTCCTTTATAACATTGAAGGTTTATGTCTTCAGTATGACACACTGTAATCCAGCTATTTTCCTCTGTTAAGAGAAAGCAGCTGCATTATTTATAGGTGAAAGACACCAGTCGTCCATAAAAATATGGAAACTGTAAAATTGTGACAAAATTTTGACTGAAAAGAAAGGTCAAAGCAAATTAGCATCAGAAAGAATGTTGATACTTTGTAACCCACACCATCTGAAATTCATTGTTAGACACAAGAAGAAAATGTATTTAAGAATGTGTGTCGAATAATTTGTTGAGCAATTCAATACGTTTTTCAGAACGAGTACTAATGGTTGTTAAAATTCGAAACTAGTTTGTATGTGACAGCAATTTTGGTGGAATGTTTCTCTCAAGAATATTTTCAACAGAACATTTTTATCTATTTTTTTCCAAGTGTATTATAAGTGTCGTATGACATTTAAGAAGATATATCGTCTATTTAGATTCTTTTAGGATAATGTTTCCTGATTAATAACGAGTATAATTAAGGAATTTCAGTGTTCTTACGGCGCATGCCGAAAAGGAAGAGAAAAAGCTTGTTTTTGATAAACATCAGTTACCATTTCCTTATTTTCAATACACTTGGTTGGCGGGACTTTATGTTCTGTCATGCGGTCTTAAAGCTGTTATGTTAAGTTAAAGAAAACAATTCATCTACTTATTTGTTTATCGTATTAAATAATTTATAAAAACCATTCGTTTGAGGAGATATGTAGACGAGCTTTTGGGCAAAAATTCTTTCGCTTCATCATATATGACAAATCGCTTTATTGCATGTTTTTGCTATTAGCCATACTGTATTTGTCCTGATTGTAAAAAACTTGTGTTTTTATTTTTACGTGTCAAGAGGCCTACAAGTACATTTTGTCAACTGCTATGTCATCTGCCTGCAGTTTATCACACATTTTAAAGTCACTGTATGAGGTATTGCTTGAGGACAAGTCAGGTTGTTTCCTCAATATTTATTGCTTCTGTTAAATTGACCAATAGAAACTTTTGCTGTGGAAATCCTGTTAGAGAGAGAGCAACTTCTTTTGAAGGTGATGACGTAGTTTAACAATGATTATAACTATTAGTCCTTCTATGTCACGATAGCTCGTAATGTTCGTGTTCTATTTACGTATAGTTTATGAGCGAAGTATTTTCACATAGAAATTACAACCAGGATTATTTGGAAGACATATGATTTTACTTGGGAAAATTTACTGTCTTTCCTGCTCATTTTTAAATAGCTCATCAAATATCACATTTATTTTTATGATTAGATTTAACTCCAATTATTCATATTATTGTGAATTATCTCCAATTATTTCTACAGGAATTATTTAATTGGTGATAGATTTAAAATAATCCTTGATGTAATTAGTTATAATAAGTGCCATTTTAAGCCGAACCTAATTTCCCTTTTATCTTTCTGCCTCTTGATATTGCCTTCTGTAAACAATTTTCAACGGATAAAACTTTCATAATATGTCAGATAATAACTTAAAGATTACTACTTCTGAATCAAAGAATCTGTAAAACTCGTTCTTGCTAAGAGATCTACGACATAATTTAGAAATTCTTCTTTCTCGCCAAAAAAGGTGTCAATCTCATAAGTTGCTTTGTAACCTAATTTTCTTTGAAGTATTCTCCATCAACTCTCAGCATTCAATTCATTGATCACCTTCAATGCTTTTATGCTGAAGTGGAGATTTCTTTTAACATCAACTTGTGATTAAGTTTAGAGTTACAGAATGTAGTCAAGATCGTCAAATGTCTTTCGTTCATGTTAAGTTTCTGCATATGCGATATCTCCACCAGGTCTATATTTTGATTATAATTTGGCATATTTGTTTCATCGTTTCTTTTTGATGGAATGCTTATCTCATCAAATGAGCTCATGTTTCAACTTTCAAATTAGACAAAAATTCCTGCAGAAGTCTCTAGAACGAGAATCGTCTATGAAATCTTATACTAGTATTATGTTGATAAAAATCTTCATTAGTCACAGATGAAGGTTGACTGATCGACTTGCTTGCACTGCAACTAATACAAGTATGTATATATATGTGTGTGTGTGCTATGGTAATATTGTAAATGCAGCCGTAACCCCTCGTCGAAAACTTACCGTAAAAAATTAAACTTTTTCATTCAATTGAAACTCGTTTTAGCTTTCCATTATATTTAAAAACATATATGTATGCGGCTGAACGATCAAAAACATTTTCTTGCATCAGTTGTGGACGATTATTTCCACTGTATCACTTTTCTAAATCCCTACATGCATGAATACGAGCATGCGTAATAGATTTAATGGTACGGTTTTCGCCTTAATGTGATGCACAACTAATCATTCTTTGAATTTTTAAGTATATACACCATAAAATGACGGATTTCGTGTGGAGTTTTTCTTATTATGTCCTCAAGTAAAAATTAGCGCTCGATTAATGTGCTTTATTGTACACGTATTTCTATATCTGTATAACGTATAATTTGAGTTCAATTGCTGCTTCTAAAGATCTTTGACATTAAATATTTGTTCAAATTTTACGTTATTGCACTTACACAATATCTAAGCTGAAATGTCCGTGGGGTATTTTTTATTGAAGTAGATTGCTTCTTTCACTCTCTTCAAAACATTTTCCTAAACAAAGACATATATGGTGTGCATTTACTACCGTATTTGTGCATCGTATCTCTCTAATCATTCCAAAGTGTGATAATTTTTATAACGCAATTACATAAATTAAGAGTGTAGACAGTGAAGTTGTTATAGATTGGAAACGTGTGACGATTGTTCAATTCTGTTTCTTTATGTGTTCCATATGTGTTTATGCGATACAGTCGCAAATGACAAAGACAATGTAAAACAATCAATAAATTTAATGTTATGAAGGTGTGTTAAAGCACGTCATGGTGTCATTATTAGAACTATTCAAAGCATGCTGAAAGATATCCAAATCTTTACTAATTGTAATTATGATATTAGATTTTTCGTTTTCAGTTTCTATCTCGTCTTGAAGCAAGATGGCATGTCTTCGTTATATCGCCGTCTTGGTAATTATTGCGTTTTTTCCCAACAGCAAAGCAAATCCAGGTAATTCTACGTTTGAAGTTGGTTTTAATTACTCGTATGTGCTTGACATTTGATTTTATATCAATGTGAAGATAAGTAAAATTTTGTACCGTGTTAACGTTACTATTGTGTTTATAACTTTAGCTAGAAAACTTGTAATAATATTGATGTTTTGTAATAATATTGATTGAAGCTATTTTTAACAGCAGCAGAAGATTTAAATTGCTGAAAGATTTAAGGTTTTAAATCGTTACAAAGTGTTAAGTAAAAAAAATTATAAACAATTCCGACTTGTAGATTATTCTCGCTTTGATCACCTTGTGATGTTTTTTTTGTTTTATTTTTAATTACAACTTAAGTATCAACAGTAAATATTGTCTATAATCTTAAAAAGAAGAGTTAAATTTAGCTACAGCTGAAATTTCAAAGTGTTAAACCCAAGGGAAGTCAAAACACTATGTTTACCTAAATATTACACTTTTAGCTCCGTTTACCTGAACTATATTAACAATTATGATACTGCTACACAGGAAGCCCAGCATTGTTATATACAACGTTTTGTAATTGTGGATTACTCACTAGCGTTGCTTCATAAAAATTTTTTTTCCTTTATTTTTCAGTCAATCGTTGCCTTAGTAACCAATTTTTATGTGCTGACAACAATTTATGTATTCCAAATACCTGGAAATGTGATGGAACGGGGGATTGCCTTGACTCTTCCGATGAACAGAGCTGTGGTAACTAATTTTTCATACATGATTATGATAGTTTTTGTACTACTTTGCGAATTACTGTATACGATCACTTACTCTGATATAGTTTGTTGTTATTGTCTTTTGCTGATTTTCATAGTTGTTTTTTTTTAGTGAAAACCTATGGTTTTTATGTGGGGTTATATGATCTTACCTCCGAATCAATTTATGAACATTTCAATCAAAATATTTACCTCTGAATCAATTTATGAACATTTCAATCAAAATATTTACCTCTGAATCACTTTTTGTCCTTGTCAATCAATGTACTTACATCTGAATCAATAAACTTGTGAATCTAGACACGGTTTATACTCGTCTTAATTGCTTCAAATATTTTTAAATGTAGCTATCTATTTTTTCTTCATCTCCAGCTGTTAAATCTGGTTGCGGGTCATCGTCGTTATTTAATTGTGAAAATGGAAAGTGTATTTTATCATCGTGGTTATGTGATGGAGAAAATGATTGCAATGATAACTCGGATGAAATAGAAGAATTATGTAAGTTTTGTTTCAGTCGTTTAAAAAAACCAAATCACTAGATCCTGTCTATATATAGTCCTAAAAACATACGTTTGTGCTTCATTATGTGCTTGTTGAATGATAAGTCTTTTGATGAAAAATTGCCAACTATATAATGTAATTTCTATATTTTGAGAGTAGCCCAGATAACTAGGAACACCGCAAACTGGCATAAAATGTAAAAAATGTTAGAAAATAACAGTGAAAATCAATTTTGTGAAACATAATCTGTATTAAAATCGCCTCCAAAAGATTTCTATCTATTCTTTCTCATCAGCATTAAATATAATCATAACTTTGTGAGAAACTTTTGCCAGTTTTCTCAAAAAAAAATATTAAACAAATTAAAATTGACTTTTAAAGGTGGTAAAAAAGAAAATTGTACTGGATTTACATGTGACAATGGAAAATGCTTATCTTCGACGTGGATGTGTGACAATTATGATGATTGTGGTGACAATTCAGATGAACGATTATGTGGTAAGTTTTCGTCGCCACTGGGGGGGAGGGGTGGGCTACGCTACTGAACCCATGTTTTTAATGCTTATCGCTGCAGGTTCTACTTCTTTACAAAATGTTCCTACGACTGAAAGATCAACTACAACCACTACAACAAGAGTTGAAACAACAACGACTACAGTTCAGTCTTCAAGATGTATGTCTAGTGAATTTGAATGCAGTATTCAAAGTAGTTGTATTCCCAAGGAATGGAAATGTGACGGAAGTCCTGACTGTACAGATGAAACAGATGAGAAAGACTGTGGTAAGAAAGGATATAGATGTATTTTTAATATATGTACTGTCAATAATGATCTTAACCATTAAAACGTATTATGGTAATGGTAACAAAAAATTTAAAAAACACCGACGTTGATTGGTCGAATGCTCGAAAAAACCGTGTTTACATAACTCTTTTAGGCACGAAACTCGCTTTTTAATAGCGAAGACTTCATGTTATTAACATGGATGAATTTATCTTTTTATTGCTGTTTTTAAAAGGCTATTTTATAAACGAAATCAAAAATATAGTTACTTGTTTATTTTATAAACGAAATAGAAAACATATTTACTTTTTTCCATTGAGTTTTTGGAAACACTGTTGAAAGTTTGGCTATTAGAATAAAAAATGCAGGGCTTCTAACTCATTTAGGCGGCTCAAGTACCCTGCAAGCAGACTCCAGCTTATCTCGTTGCTCGTCATCGTTATTCTCCTGTGATAGCAAATGTATTCCATTGTTGTGGAAATGTGATAATGAGAATGACTGTAATGATGGAACAGATGAAGCATTTTGCAGTAAGAAACTACCAAGCAGTATTGATAATTGAAAAGCAGTATTCGCAATGATTGATAATAACATGTTGTAGATAAGTCAACAACATCTAACAAACTCGTCAACCACACTCTATTCAAAATAACAACCACACCAACAACAGAAAAAATGCCAACATCATCTCTTTGTTTCTCAACGGACTTTGAATGTTCTTTGGAGAAAAGATGCATTCCAGAGAGTTGGCATGCGATGGAAAGGAAGATTGTAATGATGGGTCGGATGAATCGAACTGTTCAGGTATATATTTTGTAAAAATGCAGTGTTTTGTTCTGTTATCTAAGAATGTAGGTACAATTTTCACGCACTAAACTATATCACGTATTATTTAGCTCGCGTCGCTACCACATCAATGTATGTAAGAGCTCTTGCGGAGGCAAAAAGTTAGTGATTACTATTACTAAACATACTGCTGTCTATCAAATTGTGTAATTTTTTATAGCTAAACACACACAGCTGACCAGCATATTATGCAATTTAGTCTTCACTGACTCTGCAAATGTAGCTATTGTAAACAACTAAATAATTTTTATATATCATCTTTATTAACAATAAATATATTTCTCGTTTCTAGATGTATCCACCATGCCGACTGTTGGTAAATACGATTTTTTCTGCTTTGTTTTATAGATTAGCTACTTAATTGTTGTGCTTATCTTTTTTGAAGTTTGTTCTGAGGGTAAATTCCTCTGCAGTTCTGGTTTAACTTGTACATTTGATGCTTGGCGTTGTGATGGTGATGAAGACTGTGATGATGGATCTGATGAACAAAACTGTAAGAAAAATTCAATTTTTTCGCTCTCTGAATTGCTCGAATTTCATATTTTTACCTTGTATGTTAATTACCTTCTAAATAAATTAAAATTTTGTTCGTTCAATTTCATACTTAAACTTTGTAAAAGATAATTATCTTCGAAATTAATTTAAATTTTGTTTCTTGGATTCTTTATTTGACGTCTTACATTATTTATTTGCCTTTTTTCACACACTACACCTTCAACGTGCATTTTATTCAGTTTATGATCCCTGTCTTTTTTACGAGATTTTTGTATCAAGTATATGTTATTTATATTTCCAAATGAACTTATTTGTGGTTGAGATCCAAAAATATAATATGAGAGAGAGGTTTGTAATATTTTTGTTTTTACGTTTGAAGGTGATGTTCAACAGACAACCCAGAGCTCTGGATCTTCATGTGGTGAAGGATATTTTACATGTGAAACGTCAAGACGTTGTATTGTCAATCAATGGCTTTGTGATAATGAAAGAGATTGTCTTGATGGCAGCGATGAGCATGGATGTGGTAAGCTATATCATTACTCTTTTATATTGAAATAACATTTAGTTCAAGGAGCATGCTTTGTTAAAAACCAAACCTGTTAGATTGTCTGCCAACCGTTCTTTAGGCTACTTTGTAGAATAATTCTTTAAAAGTTTTCAATCACTTGTGCTTCAGCTTCACGTATCTCACTCCTTGTGTTAGTATACTCGATTTCCACTGCTTCCGTTAGTTTACAAGTCTCCTGCTTCTCCCATTTGTTTAAACGTTCCTTGCTTTTACAGGTTTACATGTCTGTTACTGACTTACTGCTCTAGTTAGTTTACACGTCTCTCACTTCTGCCGTTATAGTTTACATGTCTCTCTGCTCCGTTATAAGTTTACATGAGTTATATCCTCCTTCCTTATATTTCCATGTCTCTTTTATTTACATTTCTCCACTTCTCCGTTATAGTTTATGTCTCACTGCTGTTAATTTACATGTCTTCACTGCTCCGTTATAGTTTACATGTCTCTTATTATAGTTTCATGTCTTGTTCTTCCATTCTACTACTCCTTACATGTCTCCATTTACATTCTTCCACTGCTCCGTTATAGTTTACATGTCATTCCATGCACTCCAATTTTCCACTACTCCATTCTTTTATTCTCTTACTGTCCATTACATGTCTCCTTCTCCCGTTATACTCCACTGCTCCCGTTATAGTTTACATGTCTCTTACTGCTCCGTTATAGTTTATGTCTCTCCTCCATCCCCCATTTAATTTTACATGTCTCTTCCATTTCATGTCTTTCCTGCTCCATTATAGTTTACATGTCTCACCTCCTATAGTTTACATTCTTACTGCTCCCATTTACATGTCTTTCACTGCTCCCGTTATAGTTTACATGTCTCTCACTTCTCCCGTTATAGTTTACATGTCTCTTACTGCTCCCGGCGTTAATTTACATGTCTTTCACTGCTCCCGTTATAGTTTACATGTCTCTTACTGCTCCGTTATAGTTTACATGTCTCTACTTCTCCCGTTATAGTTTCTCTTACTGCTCTCTCTTTCTACTCTTTATAGTTTACATGTCTCTTACTGCCTCCGTTATAGTTTACATGTCTCTTACTGCTCCCTTTACATGTCTTTACTGCTCCTATAGTTTATGTCTCCACTGCTCCGTTATAGTTTACATGTCTCTTTCTACTCCCTTATAGTTTACATGTCTCTTACTCCTGTTATATTTACATTCTCACTCCTGTTATAGTTCATGTCTCACTGCTCCGTTATAGTTTACATGTCTCTCACTGCTCCCGTTATAGTTTACATGTCTCTTACTGCTCCCGTTATAGTTTACATGTCTCTCACTGCTCCGTTATAGTTTACATGTCTCTTACTGCTCCCGTTATAGTTTACATGTCTTTCGCTCCCTGTTAGTTTACATGTCTTTCACTGCTCCCGTTAGTTTACATGTCTTCTGTTCCTTTCGTTTTTCTAACATCAAAAACACTTTTCTCAACAACAGCTGCTTGTCTGACACTCATCGTTCAGTTATTAAACAAACAAAAAGAATGCATGGGTGATATTAAAAGTAAAAATATATTTTCTAGCTCTAGCGATTTCTATTTATGCGACTGCTGGAACGAAAATTGTGAAGCTTTCTGAAGATTTAAGCTCGTCTGAAACTGTTATTTCAAGACTCGCTGGCGCTGTGGCTATCGATGTTGACGTTCAAACACGAGCAATTTACTTCAGTGACGTGAGACGAAAACAAATCAAGAAAACATATCTAAATGGAGGTGATGAAGAAGTGATAATATCCCGAGATATTGGTATTGTTGAAGGTATTGCTGTTGATTGGGTTTCAAGAAAATTATACTGGACTGATTGCTTGGCCTCGACTATTGACGTCTCCGAATTACGAGGGAACAATCGCAAAACGCTGGTTTCAAAAGGATTGAGTTATCCTCGTGCCATCGTTGCGCATCCTTCGGGGTAAGAAAAGAAACATTTTTGTTTGAGTTGATTGTATGTAATTCGTTTGCTGTTGCATTTATTATTTGCCAACTATTTCATGTTACGTATGTGATTGGTCAGCAACCGTTTGACATAAGAGATGTGATTGGTTGACTACGACTTGTGTAAAACATTAACTTTAGGCCTTTGGGCTCGATCACTATAATGTCTTATTTTTATCAAGAGAGTTTCTGTTTTGTCTATTTTGTGAATATTATTGCTTTTGAGAGTTCTGTTGATTGATTGTATTTTCTTAAATAACGGATTTTAACGATATATTTTCAGTTATATTTTCTGGACCGAATGGGGTGGTCATCCCAAAATATCACGCATAAGTAGTGATGGCAGACCTGCAACGAGAAAAATCTTAATCGATTTGGACATTGCCTGGCCAAATGCCCTCACCATTGATCATCAGAATGAACAACTATGGTGGGCTGATGCGAAGTTGAATAAAATAGAGCGGTGTGGCCTTGATGGTACAAATAGAGAAGTAATCAAACGTAATGTTGGATTGCCATTCTCTCTAGCTGTTAGCTCAAGATTTCTTTATTTATCCAACTGGGGCAATGGCAAAGTAGAAAGAATGGAAAAAGGATCTTGGAATATAAACAAAGTAACATCTCCAGCTTTTTCGCAAAAAGTTAGTGGAATCACTTTAATCAATGGAGAAACGCAAAAGTCAGGTAAATAGACTTAACTCTTCAATTCAAGTGGAAGAAAAGGACCGATGTTTTAAAATTGACGTTTTCCACGAATCCGTACTAAATGATTTGGCTTTCAGAAAAACGTAAAAAATAATAGAACTCTGAACAGACTTATACTTTTTGTAGTTTAATTGTGTTTATCTAATGAAACTTATGGTTGTGTTTTTGTATCAGGGAGTCTTACATAAATTTGAGACAAAGTTGGGATCAATAAACCAAATATTGATTCATTTGTTCATAAAATGTCGACTTTTTCGTAACAACTTCTCCAAGTTTAATTTCCTCTATTCTATCCTTAGATAAAATAATCAAAATATTTCATGTCTTTAGTTAATACTGAATGTTCAAACAACAATGGCGGTTGTAGTCATCTATGTGTTTTATCAAGTGGAGGAACGTATTCATGTCTTTGTCCAGATAACTTACGGCTCCATCATGATAAACGCACATGCGTATCAAGAAGTAAGCTTGAATTTATGAAATATATCATTATATCATTTATTATTTCTACGTTAATAATACAAGATGTCCAAATAATTTTCTAAATTACTGGGTCATTTTGATTATCAATAATGTAATAATTAATAGATATTGGAGTTTTACTTTTTTTGTCTAACCAATTTTATTACTTTAATCATCATGTAGACGGAGTCGCCTACCAAAATTGTAATGGATCGCCAAAAATATTTCTAATCTAATGAAAGCGCTTTGTTTCATTTGAAGTAGCACTCACTTGCAAAAGAATGTAGCAACAATTGATACATCCAACAATAGTTACAAATTAAATTAATCATTGATACATCCAACAATAGTTACAAATTAAATTGATCATTGATACATCCAACAATAGTTACAAATTAAATTAATCATTGATACATCCAACAATAGTTACAAATTAAATGATAGCAACACACAAACTAAATTGATAATTGTAATGCAAATCATAATTACGTTCAAACTAATGAATTTTTTTATTTTCTAGTTGGGGTTTCTTGCTCGATTGAACAATTTCGTTGTGATGACAACATTTGTATCAATGCATCAAAGCAGTGTGACGGTACACAAGATTGCGAGGATGGAACTGACGAACATTATTGTTGTAAGTGAGTTTTAATTAGGATTTGAAGAAGAAGTTTTTGTTCAAATCAAGTTGTCTTGTGAGATGGTGTGAAAAATTTCACTGAGATTAAAGATCCACTTCGAAAGTAAAATAATAGCCATTTTTTTGCAAACTTTGAGTTTGAGATGAAAATGTTTGCATGAGCGATGGCTGATGAGTTTCAAGTGTTGATATTAAATTTCAAGGAAATGAGTCGTTTTAAAAGATTATTTCACGAATGCATGTCTATCTCTATTTTGTGACTCCACTGATTTTGAATAATCAGATAGGTACACAACATTAAATTTCTTGCTCAAAGATAGAAAAGCGACAAGCCTTTCTTGCAACGAGTTTTCTAACATAGCTATAAACTACCAACTTTACAAAATCCGTACGTTTTGTGAACAACTAAAATGCAAATATCAATTTTCAACTGTCATTATCTGCTGTTTTCAAGCTAAAACAATAAAGTTTTCTTGCATAACGAAAAAAAATATTTTAAACTTTAATATAGTGACAAAGCCAGCTCGCCTTGTCTTCGGCGACAGACAGCGTTATCTTGGTTTGTGTATTTTGCAAGGCAGTAACCAATGTTCCAGTTTTAAAGCAGTTCAAGAAACTACGTCAATCATTGGATTAGATGTTGATGTAAAAAATAGCATTATTTACTGGTCAGACAGTAATAAAAATGCAATCATGAAAAGTGCTATAACTACACAGGGCAATCTACTTTGGACAAGAGTTGTGACTGATAAATATGTTTTTACACCACAAGGCTTGGCATTTGATTGGGTAACCAACAAGATTTACTGGGCAGATCGTTTTTCTAGAAAGATTGAAGTTATTGATACTGAAGGAACCAATCGCTACACTATTGTTGACGATAATTTGCGCAAACCTCGTTCAATTGCTTTGCATCCGAAATCGGGGTAGGTAATTCATTTTAATGCATTAATCTCAAATATGTTTTGCTCTTTTTCAAATATGTGTTTGCTTTTGTCTAGTTTTCCATGCAAGAAGAATAGTGCTTCTATTAGATTATATATTGTTCATACTAAGCAAAGACAACAGTCTTATCAAAACCTTATAAACAACAAGTCGTTTTCTTTAGAAAACGAGCACATATTTTTGAAACTATTTTTGATGGCTTTTTTCAACCAAATTTTTAGATACTTATTCTGGACAGACTGGGGTAAACGACCATATCTCGCCAAAATTGCTATGGACGGCAATCCAGACACTCGACGCAAAGTTGTAGAGACTGGAATTGTACAACCAAACTCGGTTACAATTGATTACTCGAGGGATATTTTGTATTGGGCGGACTCTGCTTTAGATAAAATAGAGAGAATGGACGTAAACGGTGGATCACGTATACTTTTTCTACGGAAACAACTCGTTTATCATCCATTTGCTCTAACTTTTTATAAACATTACTTGTATTGGTCAGATTGGCATCTTCAGGGAATTTTAAGAGTTGGTATGAATAAGCGACAAGATTCAATCGTTAAGAAACCAATATCTCACGCCATGGAGTTTGCAATTTTTGATAAAAATCGTCAGCAAGGTAAGAACATCTATTCTTTATCTTTCTATTTCTGTTTTCCCTAGTGTTTTTTGCGTATAATTTCTTGTAAAATGTAAGCAAAAATCACATAAATATTTTAAAACTTGTTTGTCCACTATTAATACAAAATACTAAACAAAATATGAGAAACAAATTTGCAAAAAGTAAAATTTTGCCATGGAACAAGTTATATGTTTGTCTTTCATCTATCAGTTGATATCCGACTCTACTATCCAATTTAACTTGCAGTTGATGTTTGTAAACTGTCAGTTGATGTTCGACTATATTATCTACTTAAACTGTCAGTTGATGTTCGATTCTATTCTCTACTTTAACCTGTCAGTTGATGTTGTTCCGTACGATTTGCTATGAAGTGTCAGTTGATGCCTTAATCTACAACCTACTTTAACCTGTCAGTTGATGCTCGACTCTGCTATATACATGTACTATCAACCATCAGTTGATGTTCGCATCCATGTCAATTCCAAGTGAATACGATTTACTAAATCCGTTATTATTTTGTAATGTTTAGCTATCGCTAATCCGTGTGCTCTATTCAATGGTGGATGCAGTCATATCTGCTTAATTAATCCAATTTCTGGGTTCAGAAGAAGCTGTAAATGTCCCAAAACTATGAGTCTCAGGAAGGATAAAAAGTCATGCGAATCTTTATGTAAGTAAACAATCTTTTAATGCAAAGTTGCTTGACTACCATTGGCAGCAGTTTAAAATGACATAACCGTGTGGGAACAAAGTCTTTAGGTGAAGCATCATAACCACTGAGTTTTATGATACTCAATGACCTTTTCATTTATTCAATGGTCATCACGTATTAAACATGGTGTTACATGTACTCAATATGAGTTGAAGCTCGTAAATTTGTTTTACAAAGCATTAAAAGTTCTTGTAGTTACAAGATGCTAGAATAACAGCACCGTACGTAATTAATTGCTGAAATATTTCATTGGTTTCAAAGTTCATGGCTATACACGTAATTAAACACATGAAAGATAAACGCAATACCAGAGCAACAGCAACGCCAACGGCAACATGTGGTATTAACCACAGAAAATTTTGTGTTCGACCGTCAATACCTTACATCCTCCAAAAGACATCATATTGTTATTTCGCTGCTTCTTTTCTGGAGTAAAATGGATCTCTTCCGGACATTTTAAAATCATCAAAGATCTATATTTTGGTATTCTTGTCTCATTTTAGATCGTCCAAATGATAATCGATACATCAGAACAAATTCCCTCTATGACATCGGTTTGCTATAAAACCTAAATTCTGCATTGCTTCATTGTTGATAAAAAGAGTCAAAAGCTATACGTTACACTTTTGCCAGTGTTATTATTTTACATGTATAAAGGAATAACTGGGGTGAGAGATGTGTAAAATAGAAATCTGACTGAAAGAATATCAACAACTAAAGACATATGTCTCTGCTACTGCAGTAAAAACTGATATATTTGTAAATTTAATATGTATTTTCATGGTATTAGCTATCAAATAGTTTTTGTGTTTTGTGAAGCAAATTTTCACCACATATAATTGCTGGGGCTTAAGGTGATACTTTTACAAGTATCTGGCTGTTATTTGTACAAACATGTAGCTGTTACTAGAGGGTGTTTTCTATCCAATCAATTTTAGTTTTCATTTAAACGTCACAATCTGTGTTTAGCTTAGACTCTTAAAACGAGTTTATGTTTGAAAGACAGTTTCATAACGTTTTTGAAACTATTTGATTTTTGTTTACGTATTCATCTCGTGCACATCTAATGACGTCACATTGGGCCTCATAAATTCTTTGGCAAACAATACAATTTTGTAAATAAACAATTTATGCCATTGCTTAGGGTTGAATTATTCTTTCCGTGTTGATAGTAAGAAGTGGTGAAAAATTTTGTTTCATTTACGCACTTTAAAACCTCAATAAAAAAACAATATATAGAGCAAAGATTATTTATGTATATAGAAATCAAGTTGGCTGTATTATCCTAATGTTACCAATAAATATTCATTATGTTTTTAAACCATAAAATGTCTCAAGCATTATGAAATATTTTAGTTGTTTCGCGACAGTAAACAACGAATGTCTCAACAATGTTTTTTGTTGCTCCTTGGAAGATCAAGAAATTGTCATTTCGACATTTTGATTTTATAAATGCCATTACCAGGATGCAAGCTTGAACTTTGTGAATATTAGTATGTTATGAAGCAATAATTTAAATACAGTTCAATAATTCAAATACTGATCAATTACGTGTGAAAATATATGAACAAATAATGGTGAAAATTCCTCTCTTTATGTGAGATGTTTTTGGTTCAAAGTACCGTCGAAGATGTCGACTTTAACAAAGCTACAAGTTACCACAAACGACAGTTTGTCAGATAAGCATGAAGTTACCACAAACGACAGTTTGTCAGATAAGCATGAAGTTACCACAAACGACAGTTTGTCAGATAAGCATGAAGCTACCACAAACGACAGTTTGTCAGATAAGCATGAAGTTACCACAAACGACAGTTTGTCAGATAAGCATGAAGTTACCACAAACGACAGTTCTTCAGATAAGCATGAAGTTACCACAAACGACAGTTTGTCAGGTAAACATGAAGTTACCACAAACGACAGTTCTTCAGATAAACATGAAGTTACCACAAACGACAGTTCTTCAGATAAGCATGAAGTTACCACAAACGACAGTTTGTCAGATAAGCATGAAGTTACCACAAACGACAGTTTGTCAGGTAAGCATGAAGTTACCACAAACGACAGTTCGTCAGGTAAGCACGAAAATTCAGTGTCCGAGCCTGATTTGGCCTGAGTAAGTTTACTCAACGTCTACCGTGGAGGCTAACAGGGATCACTCATGTACAAATGTAGGCCAACAGAGATCACTCATGTACAAATGTAGCCCAACGGGGGTCACTCATGTACAAATGTAGGCCGACTGGGATCAGTCATGTACAAATGTGAAATTACTTCACAGTTTCAATTATGTTGTTGTGGTTGAAGATTTTGTTGTAAAATATTATCGTTTAAAAACGTCACTCGCGTTGAAACCAAAAAAACGTGATAGAAAACGGGTAATCTATCACAAAAAAACGCCACTCACACTTATCATTAATCAATCACGCCACAGGCGACAGACGTCTATTATAAAAGAACGTCAATTGCATCTATCATAAATCAAGTTCATGAAAAATGTTGAAAAACGTGGTCAAGACAAGCTTCAAATTGAAAGTTAGCTGAAATATTATTGAGGTTAGAATTCTTAGGAATAGAGTTAGTCTTTATAATAGTGACATAGTCTTGATGCATATGTTTGTCCTACTTAGTTCTGATACCTTAGTGCTGGTGTTATCGCGTTAGTGTTAGTGTTACGGTGTTAGTGTTACCTTGATAGTGTTACCGTGTTAGTGTTACCATGTTAGTGTTAGTGTTACCATGTTAGTGTTAGTGTTACTATGTTAGTGTTAGTGTTACCGTGATAGTGTTAGTGTCACCGTGTTAGTGTTACCATGTTAGTGTTAGTGTTACCATGATAGTGTTACCGTGTTAGTGTTACCGTGTTAGTGTTACCGTGTTAGTGTCAGCGTGTTAGTGTTAGTGTTACCGTGTTAGTGTTACCGTGATAGTGTTAGTGTTACCATGTTAGTGTTAGTGTTACCGTGTTAGTGTTAGTGTTACCATGTTAGTGTTAGTGTTACCGTGATAGTGTTAGTGTTACCATGTTAGTGTTAGTGTTACCGTGATAGTGTTACCCTATTAGTGTTACCGTGTTAGTGTTAGTGTTACCATGTTAGTGTTAGTGTTACCGTGATAGTGTTAGTGTCACCGTGTTAGTGTTACCGTGTTAGTGTTACCGTGTTAGTGTCAGCGTGTTAGTGTTAGTGTTACCGTGTTAGTGTTACCGTGTTAGTGTTAGTGTTACCATGTTGGTGTTGTGTTACCGTGTTAGTGTTAGTGTTACCATGTTAGTGTTAGTGTTACCGTGATAGTGTTAGTGTTACCATGTTAGTGTTAGTGTTACCGTGTTAGTGTTGCCCGTGTTGCGTGTTAGTGTTAGTGTTACCATGTTAGTGTTGGTGTTACCATGTTAGTGTTAGTGTTACCGTGATAGTGTTACCGTGTTAATGTTACCGTGTTAGTGTTACCATGTTAGTGTTAGCGTGTTAGTGTTAGCGTGTTAGTGTTAGTGTTACCATGTTAGTGTTAGTGTTACCGTGATAGTGTTACCATGTTAGTGTTACCGTGTTAGTGTTACCGTGTTAGTGTTACTGTGTTAGTGTTACTGTGTTAGTGTTACCGTTTTAGTGTTACCGTGTTAGTGTTAGTGTTAGTGTTACCGTGTTAGTGTTAGTGTTACCGTGTTAGTGTTAGTGTTACCTTGATAGTGTTAGTGTTAGTGTTACCGTGTTAGTGTTACCGTGATAGTGTTAGTGTTATTGTTACCGTGTTAGTGTTAGTGTTACCGTGTTAGTGTTACCGTGATAGTGTTAGTGTTATTGTTACCGTGTTAGTGTTAGTGTTACCGTGATAGTGTTGGTGTTAGTGTTAGTAGTACTGTTAGTCTACCGTGTTAGTGTTAGTGTTAACGTGTTAGTGTTAGTGTTACCGTGATAGTGTTAGTGCTGGTGTTAGTGCTAGTGTTAGTGTTAGTGTTACCGTGTTAGTGCTAGTGTTAGTGTTAGTGTTACCGTGTTAGTGTTACCGTGATAGTGTTAGTGTTATTGTTACCGTGTTAGTGTTACCGTTATAGTGTTAGTGTTAGTGTTAGTACTACTGTTAGTCTACCGTGTTAGTGTTGGTGTTACCGTGTTAGTGTTAGTACTACTGTTAGTCTACCGTGTTAGTGTTAGTGTTAGTATTACTGTTAGTGTTATCGTGTTACTGTTAGTGTTGGTGTTATTGTTTGTGTTATGGTTTGTGTTAGTGTTGGTGTTAGTATTTCTCCAGCTGTAGTGTCTGTGTTTGTAATAGTGTTAATGTGGCAATTTGAACTTCGTGTTACATGGGGTTAGTCTGGAAAAATAGTGCTGGTTTTAGTATTATTCTTAGAGTTACATTAAGTGCTGGTCTTTGTTTTAGTCCTAGTGCTTGTGTTAAAGTTCATTGATTTTACATTTTCTTTCGATAACAAAAGAGGGAAGAGTATATACTGGTGATTTTACTGTTTCTTATGAAAATGATAGGGTCGGAGCGAAATAGTCTTTTGTATGAAAATGCGTGAACTAAAGTATTTTGCATGAAAATGCGTGAAATATAGTCTTTTGTATGAAAATACGTAAACTATAGTCTTTTACATGAAAATGCGTGAACTATACTCTTTTGTATGAAAATGCGTGAACTATAGTCTTTTTGTGAAAATACGTGAACTATAGTCTTTTTGTGAAAATACATGAACTACAGTCTTTTACATGAAAATGCGTGAACTATACTCTTTTGTATAAAATGCGTGAACTATAGTCTTACATGAAAATGCGTGAACTATAGTCTTTGGCATGACAAGGTGTGAAAATAAAAAAACTATAGTCTTTGGCATGAAAATGTGCAAAAATGCATGAATTATAATTTTTGGCATCAAAATGTGTGAAAATGCAAAGACTATGGTCTTTGTCGTAGAAAAGTGTAAAAAATGCAAGGACTATAGTCTTTGGCATGAAAATGTGTGAAAATGCAAAAACTACAGTCTTTGGGATGAAAATGTGCAAAAATGCACGAATTATAGTTTTTGGCATAAAATGTGTAAAAATGCAACGACTATTGTCTTTGGCATGAAAATGTGTAAAAATGCAAAGACTATTGTCTTTGGCATGAAAATGTGTAAAAAATCAAAGACTATAGTCTTTGGCATGATAACGTGTAAAAGTGGAAAGACGATAATCTTTGGCATAAATTGTGTTAAAATGCAAAGGCTTTAGTCTTTGTCATGAAAAAATAAAATGCAAAGACTATATTCTTTAGCAAGAAAACGTGTAAAATGCAAAGACTAAAATTTGGCATGAAAATGTGAAAATACAATGACTATTGTCTTTGGCATGAAAATGTGTGAGAATATAATCTTTGGCATGAAAATCTGTGAAAATTCAAAGACTATAGTATTTAGCATGAATATGTGTAAAATGCAAAGACTGTTGTCTTTGGCATGAAAATGTATGAAACAATGACTATAGTCTTTGGCATGAAAATGTGTAAAAATGCAAAGACTATAATCTTTGGCATAAATTGTGTTGTCTTTGGCATGAAATGTGTAAAAATGCAAAGAATATTGTCTTTGGCATGAAAATGTGTAAAAAATCAAAAACTATAATCTTTGGCATAAATTGTGTTAAAATGCAAAACTATAGTCTTTGGCATGAAAATGTGCAAAATAATTATAGTTTTAATCAAAATGTGTAAAAATGCAAAGACTATAGTCTTTGGAATGAAAATTTAAAAATCAAAAACTATAATCTTTGGCATAAATTGTGTTAAAATGCAAAAACTACAGTCTTTGGGATGAAAATGTGCAAAAATGCACCAATTATAGTTTTTGGCATCAAAATGTGTAAAAATGCAAAGACTATTGTCTTTGGAATGAAAATGTGAGACTATAGTCTTTGGCATGATAATGTATAAATGTGCAAAGACTATAGTCTTTGGCATAAATTGTGTTAAAATGCAAAGGCTATAGTCTTTGGCATAAAATAAAATGCAAAGACTATAATCTTTGGCATAAATTGTGTTAAATGCAAAGCAAAATGCAATTTAGCATAAATGTGCAAAGACTATAATCTTTGGCATAAATTGTGTTAAAATGCAAAGGCTATAGTCTTTGGCATGACAATGTGTGAAAGTGCAAAAACTATAGTCTTTGGTATCTTTGGTGTGAAAGTGCAAAAACTATAGTTTTTGGCATAAAAATGTGTGAAAATGAAAAGACTACAGTCTTTGGGATTAAAATCTGCAAAAATGCATGAATTATAGTTTTTGGCATCAAAATGTGAAAATGTAAAATTAAAGACTATAGTTTTGGCATGAAAATGTGTGAAAATGCAAAGACTATAGTCTTTGGCATGGAAATGTGTAAAAATGCAAAGACTATAGTCTTTGGCATGACAATGTGTGAAATTGCAAAAACTGTAGTCTTTGGCATGAAAACGTGTTAAAATGCAAAGACTATAGTCTTTCACATGACAATGCATAAAAATTCAAAGACTATAGTCTTTGGCAAGAAAAGGTGTAAAAATGCAAAGACTATTG